ACTAAATTATAGTAAATCTATATAAATCTATATCTATAAGGATCGGGTAATATACCTAATAATCTAAAAAACTCTATAAAGAGTTAAGAAGTTTTTTAAAGAAAGAAATATTTCTAAGAAAAGATTTTAATATAGGTAGTACCTAGACTTACCTAATTATATTACGTGATACGCTAGGCCTAATTAGGTAATCTTACCTATATAAGAAGTTAAGATAGATAAAATCTAGTTTATTAGGAAAACGCTTATATAAATCTTAGATTAGTAAATATTAGTAAGTATCTAAGACGAAGCGTAGAGAACGACTAAGATCTTATAAGACTTAGAATAGGGATATAGAGATAGATAACGATCTAGATTACTAAGGGTAGCTTTCTAGAGAGAAGGGATAATTATTAGAACTTAGCCTTAGATAGAACCCGATCTATATATACCTTAGCTAATAGGGTTAGAAGGTAATATAAAGGGCGGTAAATAGTTATATACTAGATAGATCGGCGTCCCTTTATATATATACTCTTAGATTCCTACTAAAAGGGTTTAGTAGTAATTTATTCTATAATAGAATACACTCTATTATTCTATCTAACTATACTACTATCTAATAACCCTATTCTTATAATTACTTACTTTAAGCTTTCTTTTATTCTAATATTACTAAGTATATATATATATACTTAGTATAGGGGAGTGTTATCGGAAGGTACTTTAAGTAAGAGATACTACTTCCTAAACGGGACTAGTGTCTAAACGGTTAAATAGCTTTAACTCTGTCTCCTAGAACTTAGTTCTCTATATATAATTATAGAATATATTTAATGACCTCAATTACGTCTACTTTCTACTTATAATAATAGGCACATAGTAAAAGCGCAGTTACATTGCCATATAAGCCATCCCGAGCCTCTTTCATAATCTCATTCCTTTCATGCCATAAACGACTCAATGACCAAATCAAAACGCACAATGCTACGCAGTCAGTCACTCAATCACAATCTCCTGCACCTCAAAGCCCATCGTCAGAGCCTTCCCCACCATAACGCCATGAACATACGCCTCGCCAACAAGTCTATAACGCCCATTCGCCATCCTCCGCAGCACAAAAGGCACCGAAGCACCCCTCAAGATCCAGATCTCGTCGCCTGCCTGCAGCGACCGCGCCCCCGTCCCCAACAGCTGTGACTGAGTCCTAAACACCCTCCGCACGCTACCAGACGAATTCTCCAGCTCGTGGTGTAGCTGCGACAGTCGCACGGGGTTGTATCCGCCCTTGAACATCCTGCCGACGATCTCGGAGAAGCGTTCTTTGTACAGCGCCAGGCCGTAGGGCGAGTCTTCGGGCTCGGCAGCGAGCAATGTGTGCCATTGCGGGACGATGTCCTCGGCGACATGGGCCTGGTGAGGCTGGAAATCGACCTCGATCGACCACGGGCTGAGGGAATGTCGGATCTGCAGGTTAAGAATGTAGTCGATGAAGAGCTCCCCGCAAGACGATGGCGCAGGGCACTTTCGCTGATATGTGTTCGTCATGAGCGTGCGCCAGAGGACTTCGACTCGTGAGGGATGGAACCCGCTAAAGTAGGAGATTGGGCATCGGTCGTTGAGCTCTGATGCTACTTTGACGATGTCGGACCAGAATTCCGACGGGTTGTCGCATTCGTTCTGCAGTTTGACAACGCTGGCAACGCGGTCGATGCAGATACCCTGGACACGGAGTAGGCCATCTCGCATAGCAGAAGCGTCAGGTTCCCATCTGGGCCCTCCCCGACCGTTAGCCCTCCACCGGGGAAACCCTCGAAACATGAGCGGGTATGGTTGCTGCTCCACGCTGAAGTCGGGGACCCACGAAGGTAAACCTTCCGTTACGGTTTGACTGGGGTCTTGCACGTTGGACATGAAGCCTAGGTTACGTGACGATAGTAAAAACGCCCGCGTGGTGTCCAAGTATAGCTGCTGAGTCGACAGATTGTAATCAGCTCTGATCGTGTCCTCTTCGGACAACGACTTGAACGGTGCTCCATTCTGATCCGCAAGTCCAAGGAGTGCGTAGACTTTGTCACGAGCGTCCGTCGTCTTCGTGAACCTGTGTGTCTCGATCAGTGTGCGCAACGGAAGGCCATTCTTCGGGGGCTGATCCCCGCGCGGCCTCTGAGAATCGGCCACTCTCATCCGTGTCCTATCCAGATACAATGCTGTCATCTTTATGGAAATGTCTGATTGAAGGAGCTCGTGATAGATACCGGAATGGTCACGGAGCTCTTGTACATGGCGCAGCTTAGCTGAGGATAGGTGGTGGTACCATCGCGTGGTCTGGATGAATCTGAGAGTCCGCGACATCCATCTCCAAGGGATGCGATGCTTGCCACAGATTACGGTGGCAGCATTTGCCAAAGCTAGCTCCTGCACTACCCACGCTCTTTCGAACCATGGCCGATTGATGAAAGCGAGAAAGCCAAGCCAGTGATGATATTTTAGTGGAGAGATTCCGAGTCGTGCATATGTCGCGCAGTTGTCTCCATCAAACAGACGCGTGTAATCTTCCTCAGCAGACTCACCCGCATCCTCAGGTAGCGAGCCTATCGTCTCCAGGACTTTGAGAGCGTCCGCGGTAAATTCATCCTCAGGACCAAGCCAGACAACGACTGAGTGCGCTGATCGGAAGATGTCAGACATGAGCGAGACCTGATCGTTACGCTCTGCAATGTCATTTTGATTGACACAAATGGCATCAATCCAGATGTACTTGGTATCAGATGCCGTTGCATTTTCCAGATCGGTCTTCTGTAGCATTAGCAGGGCATCCCGGAGGTTTGTCGTCACCGGTAGCGCAGCTCCATCGCAAGTAATCGAGTTGGATCGTTTGTGATGGACGTCTTCGTGCCCTATATCAGCACTGTCGGTGTTTGCGATAGGCCAATTTCGACTTCCGTCTCTGGCTTTGATTTGTTGCAGAAGCGAAGACGACGCCGAGAGATGCGTCAGAGGAGAGCCCCATGTATAGCTAAGGGCGTTGAAGGAGGGTGCTTCATTCAGTCTGAACTCCTTGAGAGTACTATTGATGCGATTGCTAACAGATGGAACCAGTTCAAGCAGACGAATGGATGATGCGGTGCTTGACAGTTTGCTGTACTTGAAAGCGAGGGCTACAGGAGGGGTTGCCCGCATTGAAGAAATCAGCCTTGCAAATCGCTCAGAAGTACCGAGCGTATCCTATAAAGCCCCAAGTGGCCTGGAAGTCTTTCCATGAAGCTCAAAGCTGTAGAGAAGATGGACTGAAGCTGTAATGCTAAAAGATGCGATTTACGCGATTCTGGATCAGCACCTCATCCATCCGATCTGGATTGGGAGGGATTGAAGTCAGCGCTTCTTAGCCGCCGACGGTGGATTTGGCCTCTAAAAAGAGATAAAGTGGCCTCCAACGTACAATACCTAGTTCGCATCTCTTCATCTACATTCATCTGAAGTCTACTTCTTGAAAAATGCTCATTACTCTTGAATCATGCTAGAAGTTATGAGGCATTAGCTCGAGAGAATGGATGATTCACTTTCTGGGTCTATCAACGACCCCCTGCGCCGGCATGACCTCCGCGTCTAACCATTATGGCATCAAATGTCAAGTATACCTTGGCCTATATTTATGATGATATTATTATCATCATCATATTTATCTCGTTCATGTGCGAGTTCTAGGACGAGGGATGACGAAGACTATTTTACTGCATGCCTACTCCTCCGCCTCTGCATCCTCTTCCTCCTCCACCTCTCCAGCATCAACAGCAACCTCTGCGTCGTCAAGTTCGCCATCATCCTCAGGGACAACATCCACAGCCGTACCGCCCTCTTTTTCCAGTCTCAACCACTCGTCCCATTCCGGGAACATCTCCTCGTCTCCCTCCCCTTCTTCACTCGACGGTGGTACTCCCAGCAGGCGTGCCACCTTCGCCTTGCCATCTTTCTCTAGTCCCTCCTTCCATGTCTTGACAAGCGAAGCAGCTCTACTCGGCTTGTATGTCTGCGCAAACATCACCGCTTCCGCGATACGCTTCGTGCGGATCAGTAGATCGATGCAGCCGTCGAGATCGCCAATCTGCCAGAGACAGGAGAAGGCAACGTTGTTGGCGGATGCTGAATCTGCTTGCTCAGCAAGCGCGCGCAGTCCTTCAACGTTTGATGTTGCGGTATGAAGAAGCAGTAGCGATCCAAGATCTTTCGCATTCGTGAAACATTCAGATGCGAGTGCGACGTCCCACCCTGTAAGCGCGGCATCGCCGACCGTCTTCCACTTGTGCTCTACGTTGGCTTCACGTGCAAGCTCGAGAGCGACGTCCAGACGTTGAAGTGACAAGGCAAGATCGAATCGGTGCTCAGAATCAGTGGCTACCTCAAGTGCAAGCTCTTTATAGCCTTGGCCTTCAAGGAAGCGAGCAATCTTGTTCTTTTGATCACTCGGAATATCCGGAAGCATTTCGTTGGCCGCCTCGAGCTCACCACGGAGGACAAGCGTTTGATACTCGACAACTGAGAGCGAGAGGGCGTAGGAAGCCACATTTACGTCTTTATCGGCAATGTATATCCGGCCGTCACGAGGTAAATAGCCAAGAACATACATAGCATCGTCGAAGTGTGAAATAGTGTAAGTTTGATCGCCCACAAGGTAATTCAGACGGTTAGTACTGTTTGTGTAGACGAAGCAGTCGCCAACCCATTGACCGGTGCGCACACTGTAACATATTAGTTGCGGTGGGATAGTCTAGATCACAATAAAACTTACGTCTCGGAGACCTCTGCAATGACCTCGAAGGCCGACTCTACGCCTTCATCATCCGCCTCGCCAGCGTTGTAGCCGGCAATGTAAGCTTCCCTCGAGAATCGGAGGACGTAGTAGTTATCGTCACAAGCAAGTGTCACTAGCTCTCCGCTCTCGGACCAGTAGACATTTCGTGGATCAACCTCTATTCTTCGTACGAGCTGGCCAGACTCCCAGTCATAAAGACTGATACCTCCGGCACCCTTCACACCAAGAAGAATGCCCCCACTCAAGCCGTCGGCAGAGAATGTGACGTTTAATCCCGTGCTTCGCTCCTTGAAGTTGCGGAAAATCTTGACACTAGTCGGCGATTCTCTGATAGCATAATCCTTGTCATTCTCTTTGGAGGCCCAGGCAAAGTCTAGGGCAGATCCAAAAGCTTGATTGCGCAGCGCAAGGGCTGTGTAGATGATATACTCACCATCCCCACAAACAGCAACAAATCTTCCATTGGGAGAGTGGAGAAGGGATTGGGGGTAGATCTCAGTTGATCCGAGGTCCTTGGAGGGGATAGTGAGACGGTCGCCATCTTTGAGGCTCTTATCTGTTCCCTTGATCACCGAGGACAGGATTTCGGTGTGCTTCGCCCAGATCAGCTTGCCTGAGCTATCCATCGATACAGCCGGCTCCTCACGACCCATTTTTACGACGACCGCACCATCGTCAAATCCGACCGCAATACCTTGCTTTCCTCTTTGATAACTCACACACCAAGCTCTTTCTAGGCCATAATTCAAAGATTGTTCCAGACGGTAGGTATTTGCGTGCCATATCTTGACGGTGCCATCCTCGGAACCGGAAATAATCACGGGCAGCTCTGGGTGGTAACAAGCAAATGAAACATTGCTAGAATGCCCCTCCAGTGTTGCAATCAAGGCCTTAGTAGTATAGTCCCAGATCTTCACCGTGCGGTCGTCAGAAGTTGTCAAGAGGTAAGGCTTGTCAGATTGAGGATAGTAGTCGACATGGTTTACGCCCTTGGTCTCATGTGCTTCCAGAGTAAAGTTTGGCGTGCTTGAACCCAGGCTCCAGATCTTGACCGTCCTGTCCAAACATGCCGACGCAAATGTGTTGGTGTCCTTTGGGTTTATGGCTAGGCCCATAACGTAATGGCTGTGTCCTTCGAACACCTGTACACACTTCCAACTCTTATCCCAATCCCAGAGCTTGATGGTCATATCATCGGAGGCAGTGAGCACAAATGGCTGTGAGGGATGGACTACTATTGCACGGATATAGTCGGGATGTGCTTCGAACGAGGTGATCTTCTCTGAGGTGTTGTAGTTGTATACGCGGAGCTGAAAATCGTCGGAACCGCATACTATCCAATTCTTTCGCGCAATGAAGCGACCAGCTCGCACCGGTACATCGGTGAGTTCGAAAGTTTTGACAATAGCCTGAGAAGTGTCAATGTGACTCTCATATCCCCTGAGCGCCATCGGTTCTTACCTGCGTTTCGTACGACCAGATATACACATGTCCTGTAGCATTTAGCTTCCACTGTTTCCGTATATGCATCGCTCCAGAGCGCCTCCAAACGTACCACTATATAGTGTCGTAAGGATCTACAGTCTATTAGCCCGACATGCAGAACGGCCATGAAGTGTGTGCTTACCCATGGTTCCGTGGGGTGAAAGTCTATGCCTTTGACTCTCTCGGATCGCGCGAACAGTTGTCTCTACAGTTGAGAGATTGATCAGTTCGAATTCTTCAGATCCAGCGAACAGGAGACACCGTCGATATTGTAACACACCTTAACGTCCAAGCGCATTGTTGCTGTTGGTCAGGGTCAGGGTGGGATCTAGGAAGCGCGGAAATTCAAAGACGTGGCTATTCGAGCCCGCCAGCCCAGACACTGGTCAATTCGTGGGCAGCGCAAAGTTTATGGGTGTTCGAGATCGCTCAAGTTGACGCGTAGTAGTCAGATCGGCCAAATGTCGACGTTGTTATAATTAGAGGCTCTTACAAGCTCCTTCGAACCAATTTGACGTCTATTATGCTGTCTGTGTAGGAACCGGCCACGATGCGAGTGGGTCAAGGCCGCAACGCCAAGAACAACCTTTCCTGCCTGAGGTCGCTGTTATCAAAGTCCTTGCGCAGCCTCCTAGTTTCACGAGAACGTCTCACAGCGATCACATCTCATAGCGATTGGAAAACTTGAAGTATCTATTTCGATGCGGGACCCAATTTAGAGGTACGTTTTCTTCATTACTGGTCATATAGTAGGATATCAGATCCTATCGAGGCTACATGACTATTATAACAGACGGTATACGACCGTCAAGCCTGGATCACGGCCTTGCGAGAAGCAGGAGATTGCACGACCATCGTCACTCCTAGCGGTGAAAAATAGGACAACGTGCTGTTGACATACCCAAGACCATACATGAATACAGAAGCCAGAGTCCCATAAAGAAATCTTTCGTAACGTCGTTAGTATTGAGATGGTACACAAGCAGAGCAAGAGACTCGTTGAAAGCCCTTAAAGGTTCGCAGGTTAATGGTATCGTGGCGATGTTGTGCCATTCGCTATGGGCGACTGTGGAGCTAGATTACCTGTGCTTCCTCTTGCTGGTCCGGGGGAGTTGAAACTCTCTTCGTGCCGCATTAACTCGAGTGTCTCTGGAAAGTAAGGCTCGATACCGAACGCTTTCAGGTATTGTGCAGTCTTTTCGATTCGCTTAATCTCCCTGCTGACAGGCCAATCTTCGTTCTCGTTGAATCTACCTCGAACGATATCTACCATTGCGGCATCAAGACGTGCATAGAAGTCTTTGCGAGCACGAGTGTCATCCGGGTCGCCCGAGTCTAGACCACCATGCGCATTCAGATTGCCGCCAAGTTTGAGAAGGAGATCGAATCCTAGACGAGGACCAGTCGGAAGAGAGGAGAGACGAGCGATATCGGGAATGAATTTCAACATGGCTGCGGCGAAGTGGGAAGTGCTGAGTGACGAGTTCAGGTCATCTTGAAGGCGATGGAGGTCGAAGTTGACTATTGTGATCTTGCGATCAAGCTGTGTTGACAGTGCCTGTGCGGATGCAGATGAGGATGTGTCCATACTCTTAGCAATCGAGAGAGGAACATCTATGGCTGTCAGTGTATGTTATGGGCGATTTCTTGAGGGCTTTTAATATACCTGGTCGTAGGCCTCTCTTGTCGATCCACTCGTGCATTTCCTGTCTCTGCGCTTCTAGATCGGCTATCCATTGCTGCATATCGGCGACCTGAGTCTCCAATTGCTGGATCTTATCCAATTGAGGACGGAGTGCCTCATTGAAAGCTCTTGTTAGGAGGTCAGGGGCCGTCTCCACCTTCAGCGCATTGGCGGGGTTCAATGGAGCGGGCGCTGAGGTTAAGTTGTGCATTGGCAATGCATTATGAGCTGCGCCGTTGATGCTAGGGTGTGGTCCTCGAGGGGAGCCATACGCGTCCTGAGGGCCGTGTTGACGAGCGTACATCTCTTTCTCGGCGTCCTCGCTGGCGTCGTCAAAGTCTTGGGCGTTGTGCTTCGAGGAGTCTGGACGATCGTACTTGTCGTTGTGGTATTGCTGATCGTAGGACTGGGAGCGATCACGCGGAGACGACTCGTCGAGATAAGTATTCGAGTTGGAGCGTGAGCGTCGTTTGAAGAACATCTTGAGGGAGGGGAAATGGGCTTGGTGGCTAGTCGAGCGCGCAGGAGGATTAAAAGACCTGCGGTGACTTCGAGGAGAGGCTGATTCCGCCGTGGTGAAGGGCTGGGAGGGAAATTATTGTGGTGGTTGGTATCGTGGCTTCAAAGATAACCTGGAAGTTCCAGTGGTGTTGACGCGGACTCTGGACGGGTGCTCTGAGCTCTTCTGAGTGCACAGATCAACTTTCTTGGAGAGGTGGCTGGTGTTGCGCCACCAAATTTCGTCGATTGGCGGAACACGACAGGTATGAACAACAAGTACTGTAATGATTGAGGAATACGAATCAATTGATAGGAGAGCGAGTGTATTCGATTATACGACGACGAAGAGTGGAGGTGGAAAGTAAAGAGAGAGAAGTGGAGTTGGGCAGACGAAAAGGCGGTCGCAGTGGTTTCAGACGCAGCTCTGAGCTGTTAAGTGAGTGTTATCGACCTGCATCATCACACTCTGTTTACCGGGTGCCGCCCAAACAAAGCCTCCTATTTCCCCTTCCCGCGTTGCCATGCATGCGGGGATATGCCATCAGGGAAACATCTCGCCGAGTCTGGGATTCCAACAGCCATTCTAACAACCACGTCTTGTACTGGCTGATGCTACTACTAGCACTCACTTAAGAATGATACAAGCGCGCCTGAACACCACTAGAAATCGCATCAAAGTGTCTATCGGTCAGATCTATTAGTATCTCACAAATCATCAAGGTCGTGCAGATAATCTGCATAAGCCACATCAAAGTCGTTACGGAAGACACTGCATTTATAGGTTTCATTTGTTTTCCTGTCGTGGCACACGGATAGGTATGCGGCCCAGAAGTCCGACCAAGTCACGATGAAAAATTCGATGCGCAATCTACTTCTCTCGTGCAGTGCCCGAGTTCACAATATCAACATAGCAATCACAATGCAACAAATCATTCCGCGGCCAGGTTCTGTCCTTCTCTCAGTCCCTCGACCTTCAATTCCTCACCCTCAGCTCGGTTGTAGATGTCTCGGATGTCATCTAGTATACAGTCAGTCCAACACTCATCAAATTTAGCTGATGACAAGAGCTCCATACCTGTTGTGGTCTCAAAATGACTCGTAGCATCATAGCTCTTTGAGATGAATATATTGTCGGACGTGCCATCCTCCTTAGGGGCATAAAGTGGGATGGATGGTCCCATGAATTTCTCCTCTATCTTGCCAAGCCTGTCAAAGCCAGCCTGTAGTTCAAGGTGGTGGTTGCTGTCTCCTTCCGCAATCGTCGAGACAATAGCAATGTAGTAACCCTTAGGACAGACGCTGTGTGCAGACGAGACACACGCAACATAGATGTCTGCAGATATCAGCCAGCGCCCACGCGACCATTTAGGATATACGTACCGTGTTTGCGACCAACCTGGGACTGGGGGATGATCAGTTGGAATGAATCACTGTTGTCAGTATTCGGGACTGGGTGATCAAGTATGCAGATGGCCTTAATGAGGTGTCCAGTTACCTGAACCTTATCGGAGAAGTATGAAGGGTCTGCTATGATCTTCTTGCACTTGGTTTCAAACTTCATGCCCTCCCCAGGTTGGTCCCGCTCTTTCATAGTAGCTTTGATGCCCGACACTTTGCCGCCATCATACAGGAACTCGTCAACGTCCGTATTGAGCATGTAGGTTCCGCCGTAAATGGCAGAAAGGCGAGCAAATCCTTGCGGAAGTTCACCGAGGCCGTATAGAGGATAGATGTACGGCGATTTTCCGTATCGAGCCATCGAGTTAACGTATAGGCGAATACGTTGAACAGCATCCTGTGCCATACCCTTCTGGTTCAGGTAATCATCCGTTGTGAACAGTGCCATCGAGTGGCCAACGAAGTCTCGAGTGTTTGGTTCCAATCCGAACTTATCGTAGACGTCCTTCATGGTGATGTCGTTCAAGTTCATTCCTAGCCCAATCAGTAAATACTCTGCATGCTATGTCTCTTACTCTACCTTTGTGTGTAGCAGGGTCGTCCTCTTTGTATGCACCGACCCACTCCAAGAAGTTTCTGGCACGTCTCTTCTCGAAAATGCCCATGAGTGAAGACCTCAATGCTTCACCCGCATCGGAGGGGACCTTGGCCACAGTAGCTTTGGCTCCGTTGCCCTGTTGAACGTAGCTTCCGGCAATTTGCTTGAATTCGAGGTATCTTGTCACATCGGTCGAAACAAGAATATTGGTGAGCTCTCCATTCGCCATAAGGAGTTTAGGAACAAGATCTATATTCCAATCGTTCGCACGCCCATATTTCTTCCATGGTTCTTCGCCCTTGTTGTAGTTTCCGTATTTCTTGTAAAGCTACCATCTTGTCAGAGCGTGATCGGGACACAAAGAGGGATGGACATACTGCTTCGATGTTGACTGACGCGGCCTCGCTATCCTTCAGTCAGGGTCATGCATCTATGCTAGTACTATAGCGACGTACCCTCCGTAATGGTCGTTCCTGTCAATATGCAGGACCTTCTTGCCTTTTACGCTAAGAACGCTGCAAAGGAAATCAGTTGAGGTATAGTCATAGAGGAGTAAGAAGCTGACCCTGAGAGAACACATTCCGTGAGACCTGTGTTGGATGGATGTGTTAGAAGACAGCGATGATTGAGAAGCAGTGGGGGAAAGCGTACCAGTCCCAAGGACTACGACGTCGTATTCTGGCGCAATCTCGTCCATAATGATGACACGGTCTTTCGAACCTCGAGTTGTACGTAGGTAGGAGGAGTGTATGAAAATAGAATTGAAGTGAAGAAGAGCTGTGGGAGCAGTTATGTTGTTGCGGTGTGCTGAAGCTCCTTGCCCCGCGCTGCTAATAGTACCCGCGGCCTCTGCCAAGGGCACGATCTCCCCTAATGTCCCACCTTGCATGGATCCATGCCCCCACTTGTAGATAGCTTGAGCATAGATCCACCTGGGCATAAAATGTACAAATCCTTTGATCAGGTGTATTAGGAATTGCAAAGCTGAAAGATAATGACAGCCACTCAGAATGAGTTCTGTTTGTGATAGCAGCTCCTTGCATCCTGTCACTGTGAACGTATACTAGAGGTGTTGAATATGTTTGAGTGCATTTCCGGTGACGGAGACTATCTTACTGTTTCCATACATCTACTAGATTGTTCATCTTCCGGAGACAAAATAATATACAGTGCCAACGTAACGTCGGAATCGTGTTTATGGATACATGTCGGTTGGCCTTGGCAACTTCTCTACAGACAGTTATATATGCGTTTAGGCCTGCTGCTGCTGAGTCTTCGTGGTATTATTGTTCATGTTTTGTTCGTCGGTAACGGCTCCGTTCTCTTCCGCTTCGTCTTCCCAGTAATCATTCTCGTCCTCATCCTCATACATCTGCAGCTGGTCAGTGTCTGTTCCATGTGCGACTCAATCAAATTTACGCACACGTTTATCAGGTACTCCTAGTGCTGGGTTTTGTCGTACGAGTTCCTTCGCCTCTAACCACGAATAATGTCGCTCTCGTAGTACTTGCTTGATGTTCGACATGGTTCTCCTCACCTGAGAGTCACGTTTAGCAGAGTTCGGAATCAGAAGAGTTCAATCCTGGTACGAACGTGGATTTGTCTTTCACGCATCTCCTTGTCACCGAATTGGAGATTGAGACGTAGTCTCTCGCCTTCTTCGGTTGCCATACGATTCAAGTCTTTCACGCACATCCACCATATCTTGTGCATATCGTCAAATGATTTGATACGGAGCTGATCCGGGTGCCATGGATTCCCTGAAGATTGCGAAATCAGTTCCGCAGCTGTTTTCGCGTCTGGAGAGAGTCTAAGACCTACCATGAGCATGATCTTCATGGGGTTTGGCCGAGAATGTCTTGGCTGGGTTGAAGAATCCCCAGAGCGGATGGTTAGGATTGACTCCTTCCTCGTTTATATTATGCTTCAGATATCGATCTTTCTTAGGTTCCACGGGAACAGGCAAAATCCCTCGAAGCTCCTTCTCCACAGATAGCCTCTTCCCATTGAGCCCAGTAGACCGTAGCGCAGACATGCCTCGCAGTTTGTTGTTCTCTCGAGTGCGACGGGGTCGGGGATAGGCTTTGGAGCTTGATGTTGAGAAAGGGTGAGAGCTGATTCGAATTGGCTGCCCGCCGCAGCCGAAAGGAGGGAAAAGGAATGGCAATAAAGGCTCGACATTACTACCAGATTGATTTGTAAAGCGCATCGCGCGCGAGATACTGAGCGTTGCCATGATGAGCTGATGTTGATAAATCGTGAAGATCGATTCATCGTCGCGCCTTCTTTTTACAGACAGCTGGGGATAACCGGAGTTCTACCGGGGTGCAGGCGCGCGAGGCGGCGGACGGACCTACGACTTCACCTGGCACGGCGAGCTGCTTGTATAGCAATTGATCAACTATAGCAACCCGATCATAGGAGTTGCAACGGCCCCAGACTCATAGGATATCTTCACCTATCTGATCTACACCATCATGAATCGCACAGGTCAGTGACAACCTGCAGCTGGCACGCCAGACTTGTTAGCAACCACGCATGTGCTCTCGTGGCACCCGTAGCTTGACGAACAAACCTTGAGCTTTCGCTAATGCAAGATACTCCCAGGCCCTGGACCCCAATCGATGCGAGCCATACCGGGGAATGTATATGGTGCTCCACAACCGAATGGCAGCAGAGGCCCATTGCTAGGAAGCGGCAGGTTGCAGAATGGCAAGCTAAGTGGTGGGAACAACAACTCAGGATGGGGCTTTGGGGGAATGCCCATGGGAGGTGCGCCTGGTCTTTCGTCGGGGCAATCACGTACAAACTTTGCGCAAACAATAGGAGGGAATCAATCACAAGCACCTCTAGATCTATCGTAAGTTCCATCTTTCGGCATCATACTCTCGGCATGGCAGTAACTTCGAGCGCATCACTGAAAGTCAATGATCATAGAGAATTTCCATCCTTAGGCGGCGCGCCTCAATCTCAGCAACAACAAAGCTCATCTCAATTATGGGGAGCCAACCCGAGTCTGCGCATGTCGCAACACACGCCCGTTCAGCGACCGCAAGGCCAGAATGCACAGTCGAGCGTACAGCAGGTGCAACAACACGACACCGCTCCACACGATGAACACCAATCGTCCTCACGATTCCGGAGCTCAGGCGAGGACTTTCGCTTTGGCGCACAAGGGAGCATCGGACAGTTGGCTGGTGGCTCGCAGCCTCAGACCGGCAACGTTGAAGAGTTTCCTCCTCTGGGCGGAGCTGGCGGTAATGGTGACATGTTGCAAGAGAGACGCTCTGTTATAGGCCAGGGTTCGGAGTTCGGTGGATCGAGCAGTCCATTTCCCAATCTCGGACAATCAAGAAACGGCTTGTCGAGTCCCAGCGATAGCCAACACGAACGATCAATAGCCTCTGCAGTTGGTGATAGTAGAGGAGCAGGAACGAGACCACACACAGATGACAGGAATGGACTATCACGGGCACTTCAAGGGGCTAGTGGAATGCAACTCTTCGGAGCGCAAGGTGCGCCGTTAGGATTACCGTTCAGAAATACAGGCTACCGAGACCCTGCACAGCAGCCTATAGGAGCGCGCTCGCAGCAATATCCTCTCGATCAAAGTTTTGGACCCGACAATCTTGACCAAGAAACTGTACCGGCGCGGCATAAACGATTGACAGATATGACGGAGAGCGAGCGATTCGGGTTACCTGGTCTGCTAGCTATGATATCGGAACACGGCCCTGATCATTCAGCCTTAGCAGCGGGGCAGGATCTTACAGCACTCGGACTAGAGTTGAATCGACCTGAGTGAGTATTTCTAGCGAACATTGACATCTGCTGACCTAGACAGCAACTCCCCTCTATATCCAACTTTCGGTTCACCTTTTTCGGATGTAACAAGGCCCGTCATACCAGACTTCTCGCTCCCTCCGGCATATACGGTCAACAATGTACCGCCACTCTCCCAAAAGATGTCAAGCTTCTCTCCAGAAACGCTACTGGCTATCTTCTATCAATTTCCCCGCGACATCATGCAAGAATTCGCAGCAGGCGAACTGTAAGTTACCTCTTTGTGCCTTACGGGGCCCTACAAGTGCTTACAGTATTCTAGGTACAATCGCGATTGGCGGTGGCACAAGGGACAGCGACAGTGGATGATGAAGGATCCGGACTTGCCAGCACCACAGCGCATCTCGGATAAGCACGAGAATGGTTGGTATATCTTCTTTGACGTCATGAACTGGAGAAAAGAGAGGGTAAGACCAGTCCTACCTTACGTAGACTTTTACCCGTACTAACATATAGCAGAGGCAGTTCGAGCTCAATTATGATGATCTAGATCAGCGTCATGCACAACAAAGTCCAGCCGCGCCTATGTAGTGGGAATTGTGGACAAAGTCGGGGACAGACCAGGGTCAACTTGGACCCTCTCTTCGAGGCATTCGAAGGGTTATGGCGGTTCCACAGACTATAAAGGCAATGCAATGATGAACCGTCCGGCGGCCTTTGGCTCCGGCGTATCCTGCAGCAACTCGCTATCTTGGAAGCTTTTATTTATGTGGTGACTGATTATTGACTGCAGTATCCCGATCGGTGGATCATGTCCCGTTCGGCCCCATTCTCCCGAGTGACCCCGTCGCAGATCGTATGAAATAGCGCTAGATCCCGGGGGCTTCAATTCGCTCATATCGCTTTAGCCGGGCCTATGCTTCTCATTGACGGGACAATTGCTACCTCGCTCGAGCTAGAAGCAATCTAGCGTATACTCACGTACATTCGGCGATCTATCGTGAATTGGATGTTCATCGTAAGACGTGTGCGGCACTGGTTACATGTGCTTGGTTATATCTACCTAGCTATGGAAGTTTGGCTATACTGATGAAGTCCAACCAAATCCACTACAATGTATCTTCACAGCTTTCTTGCGGTGCTGCAAGGATTACTGATAGCCGCTTACGCCACTGACAATGGCTACCAAAAGGTCGTTACCTGGGATTCTGACAGTCTACTGATCAATGATGAGCGAGTCTTTATATTCTCTGGCGAATTCCATTATCAGCGACTGCCGGTGCCTGAGTTATGGCTGGATGTCTTTCAGAAATTCAAGGCTGTAAGCATCTAGCTCGCATTGTGCGTCTCTCTTGTTCTTCGTGAAACTTACTTGAAGACGTCAGAATGGTCTCAATACAGTGAGGTAAGATCGCGATTATATCGTACGCAGGCTCCTTAACAGTGTGTCTCTCAGCATTTATTTCTTCTGGTCATATCACTCGCCGAGCAGAGGCGTATATGACTTTGAAAGTCCGGGCAAAGATGTCCAGCATCTCCTTGACCTGGCTAAGCAGTCCGGGCTCTACGTCATTGCTCGTCCTGGCCCCTACTGGTGAGTTGTGTGGTTTCACTCCTATAGGAGTCGTAGCTGAAGTTGTCTTCAGCAATGCAGAGACTTCTGCAGGAGGATACGCGCTCTGGACGACGAATGGCTCCGGTGGAAAGTATCGCACGAATGACGAGAATTATCGGTTGGCATGGTCCGAGTGGGTGGCTGCCATTGGGCCAATCTTGGAGCGCAATCAGATCACGAATGGTGGACCTATCATACTCACTCAGATTGAGAATGAGTTTCAGGAGACATCGTATAATGCAAATAGTTCGGCCGTGTAAGTCATCCAGAGACTAAGATCTGTACTAATGACCTCGCTGATGGCCTGTAGTCTGTATATGGAGCAGTTGAAGACAGCGTTCAGGGAGCAAGGGATTGTTGTTCCACTGACACACAACGAGGTAGGACTTCATATAACCCATCATGACGGTTCTTGATGAACGATTCTAATGAAAAAATCCAGAAGGGGATGCGAGCTGTCTCATGGAGTACGGATTATAACAACGTAGGTGGTGCTGTTGACGTCTACGGCTTGGATAGGTATGCACGAGTCAAAGCATCGACTACAAATTGCGAAGATGATGCTAAATAACACGTAGCTACCCGGGAGGTCTTGGTTGTAGTGATAATCTTGATACCGGTTTCAATCTGGTAAGGATCCCCTTCATGTTAGAATTGACCGCGCATTCGGACTCAATAATCCCAGGTCAGGACCTACCACCAATGGTTCAGCAACTACTCGTTTACACAGTGAGTGCATAGGCAGTCCAGCCGTATTGCATCTTTCCTGACTAGTGTAAAGACCAAGCTATTTGGCCGAGTTTGAAGGTGGATACTTCCAACCTTGGGGAGGAAAAGTGTATGATGACTGCCTGGCCGAACACAGCACAGAGTTTGCAGATGTGTACTACAAGTCAGTCATCGGTCAGAAAACGACACTCTTCAACATCTATATGGCTTACGGTGGTACGAATTGGGGCAGTAGTGCAGCACCGGTGGTATGGAGATATCTAAGCATAATCATATTGTTCCCTGCTGACGATCGACTCAGGTATTCACCTCTTACGACTACTCTGCACCACTGCGCGAAACGAGAGAGATTCAAGACAAATTCAAACATACTCGACTCATCAGTCTCTTCACGCGCGTCAGTAAGGATCTCCTGAGTACAGTGATGGAAAGCAATGGTACGGGTAACGCGGTAAATACGACAGCGATATTCACATGGGTTCTGCGGAACCCTTCTACGAGCGCCGGATTCTACCTTGCCGAAAACAACAATTCGAAGTCTAGGGCTACCACCAATTTCGCTATACAAGTGAAAACGACGCTCGGCGATGTTGCTATCCCTAGCATGCAGCTCGCAGGCCGGCAGTCAAGGTTTGTCGTCACAGACTATCGGATTAGTTCAGACATCACCTTCTTGTATTCCACCGCGGAAGTCATTTCGTACGCAGACTACGAAACGCCAGTAGTGGCGATGTATCTCAAACAGGGGCAAGTCGGAGAATTTGCTTTCAAGGACACCTATCAAGATCTGCAATTCGACATATTCGGCGCCCAGACAGACTTCAACAGTGTCAAGGCAAACACCACAAATGCCTACACGAGGTTCGTATACACTCAGCCTGCAGGTGCAACTATCGTCAAGTTCAAGAATGGCCTCGTGGTGTACCTGCTCGACATCCCGACAGCCTACACGTTCTTCGCGCCCGTCACCACCATAAATCCGAACCCGAAACCCGCAGACCAGATCTTTGTTCTTGGTCCCTACCTCGTTCGTAGTGCATCCATATCTGGATCTACCGTCCATGTGGTCGGAGACGTCGTAAACGACACGACAATTGAGGTGTTTCCCCCCTCCTCGTACATTGATAGCATATCCTGGAACGGCGCTGTTCTACCCACTATCCGTACTTCCTATGGCGCACTCGTTGCCAACATCGATGGTATACAGGGTCATACTTTTGACTTACCGACCCTCGACAGTTGGCGCGTCGCAGATAGCCTCCCCGAAGCAGACCCTGGATATGACGACACGACATGGACGGTCTGCGATAAGAACACCACCTTATCACCCGTGAAACCCATATCATACCCCGTGCTATACTCGACCGACTACGGCTATCACAGCGGCATCAAGCTCTACAGGGGCACTTTCGCCGGCCCGGCAAACTCGTTGAACATCACCGTCAACGGCGGAAGTTCCACCGGCTTCTCCGCCTTCTTGAATGGCGTCTACGTCGGCAGCGCAGCTGGAAATGCATCGCTCGCGACGACTTCTGCGGTGCTGGATTTGGCTGAGAGCGCTACGCGTGGGAGAAACGTCGTCACGCTCGTCACGGATTACACCGGCCATGACCAACTCAGCGTCGGGCCTTCCGGCCCACAGAACCCGCGTGGACTGCTGTCCGCCACACTATCACCCTCAAACGCATCATCGATAACATGGAAGATCCAGGGAAACGCAGGCGGCGAAGCAAACATCGACCCTATCCGCGGACCGATGAATGAGGGCGGTCTATACGGCGAACGCAAAGGTACGATTATATCCAACAACCCACCCCATCCCATCCATCCTCCATCCGAGTACTAACCGCATCACCACAGGCTGGCACCTCCCCGGCTTCAACACAACAACCTGGGCCTCCGGCTCCCCAGTAACCGGCCTATCCACAGCCGGCATAGCATGGTACAGCACAACCTTCCATCTCGACATCCCCAGCGACATGGACGTGCCACTAGGCATCGCCCTCACAGCTCCCGCGAGTACACTAGCTCGTGTGCAGTTATTTGTCAATGGATACCAGTACGGGCATTATGTCCCGCATATCGGCCCGCAGAGTGTCTTTCCTGTTCCACCGGGGATTCTGAATCTTCGGGGGGAGAATCTGCTGGGGCTGAGTTTGTGGGCTGTGGGTGGGGATGGGGCGAGGTTGGAGGGGGTGCGGGTGGTGGAGGTTGGGGGGAGGTATGGGAGTGGGTTTGGGTTTGGGGGGGTGGATGGGGGGAGGTTGCAGCCGGGGTGGGAGGGAGATCGGGAGAGGTATATGTGAGGGGTTACGCTTGGGGTGGAGAGCTAGAGGTGTGAGGTTGGATAAGGATGGGGGTTTTTTGATATTGTGTTTTTGATGTGTAGTTTTGATGCATGAAGATATCTCAGTAGCATTTCCAAGAAATCCAAAAGAGGAGTCACGCAACCCCTAGAACTCAACCAAAACCAAAAATATAACAAAAGCTTATATAGACAGGTCATCCCCTTAAATGCCCCTGCATCGAATTCAACAGCCCTACGCTCCACCCTAAACTACGCAAAGCTTTAATATTGACACTCCATCATTCAATCTAACCCCCCCAAACAACAAACACCACCAACCTTTTTCCCCATCAATGCTTAGTAGTTAGTCAGAGTGACTTCCTATATCACATAGCACAGTCCTACGGTTTTCCAGTACGCATATACCCAACGCTCCGACCAATACGCATGCTTTGTCCCGGGTCCGTCACCAATATAGCAACACGTATGAAGAAAGTCTCACCTCAGACATATACAAAAACGGACACGGTTGGTAATTTGCTGTGCTATGTCGACACTCCTTCCTTCCCTTTCTATAATAAAGATTCGTGGTGGTCGACTATACTATTTGACTGAAGATTGAGGATTCGTCCGAACTCCTAGGAATGTCAGGGACTAATTAGGTGCAGGAACGGGAGGAGTGATTAGGCTAGAAGGGTATGTGGGAAGCTATTGAATGAGGACAGTAGATGCTTGGACGGAACGCGTCTTTGATACGTGGTGAACAGACGAGTGCGTCGAGTCCAGGCATCTATCAGGATCCTACGTTTTCTCATTCTACACTACAATTATACAGGGAGATAAAATGTCGACTAGAGCTCGAGTCTCAGAGGCTAGCTCACCATCGATATCGACAATGAGCATAGTATGAGCTGTGAAATGACGAAATTGCCTGATACAGCGTGGCCGGATACTTAAGTCGAAGCATCCTATTATCTCCGACGGTCGAGACCTGGGCACCCTCTATCATATCGTCCCAGCTGCCATAGCCCTAGTGATAAAACCGTCCACTTCTTACAAAATCAACATCAGGTGTAAGCAAAGCAGAGCGCGATCGAGGATCGGGGACTATATTGCATGTATGTAACCCAACGTTCCTATGTCCAGTAAAGGGTAAGTGTAGTGTGTACAATCTATATGGATGGGGGCCCAAATGCTTATATACACCCCACAACAGCGCCAAACGAATGCCCCAAAACACCGCGTTTAGTGGAAGGTTTCCAATGAAAAAAATCGTGCGGTTGGAGGAAACGATGATGAAGCGGCTGGCTATGAAGCATTCACCGTCTCATGGTAGTCGTCTCGAGACCGCTCACTCGAGGTGTCCAACTCGCTCTCGACTCGTCGCTCGTCTTCTTCGTCCTCCTCTAAATCGTTCACGAGGGCAGTCGTCTGCGACTCTCGCATTTGATGAATATTCCCTTTCGTGCTGAAGAAATCAGATGTTCGGATTCCGCGCACCTGTCGTGCGTCCACACCGGCTCTGAGACTACCCTCTGCCTTCTTCTGTCGTATATACTCGCGCACCGGCGTCATGACGGCGTCCCTGCACGCGTCTTTGAGGTCTGAGCCGCTCATCCCAGCTGTGACACGGACGACGTAGTCGAGGTCGAAGTGGTCCTTGTCAATCTTTGTGTCGTTCAAGATGAGCTTTAGGATTCCGCGGCGCTGGTGTGTGCTTGGGAGCGGGACGGCGAATTTCTTGGGCATGCGACGGAGAATGGCTTCGTCTATGTCATTTATGCGGTTTGTTGCGCCGAGCACGCAGATTCGCTGGGGGGTACCGTGGGAATTGGCGGAGGTTAGACCGTCCCATTGGGTCATGAACCTAGAGAGTGTTTTTTAGTACTGTCTGATATGACGACTATGATAGCGTTTGACTGACTCTGCTTTGACCATACCGCTAGCCTCGTGTTCGCCACTCCGTCTCTGGCCCAGGACCGCGTCTATCTCGTCGATGAACACAATGGCCGGCTGGAGTTTCCGCGCAAGGGAGAACACAGCGTTGACCAGCTTATTCGAGTCTCCATACCACTTCTCCGTAACGGTCGATATGTGGAGGTTTATGAAGCAAGCTCCGCTCTCGTGTGCGAGTGCCTTTGCAAGCATGGTCTTCCCGCAGCCAGGGGGGCCGTATAGAAGCACACCGGATGGTGCGGAGAGGAGTGATGAGGATGACGCGTAGAGGTGTGGCATTGTGAGAGGATATATGACAGACTCCTTCAGCTCTTCTATTATATCTTCAAGTCCGCCGATATCTGGTTCACGGTTAACATGCTGGTCGGTGGTCCAAGAGATGGTCCGCAACCTTCGAAACTGACAGGTATGTCGTCTGATGCAACAACATCGTCGGCGATCTTGAGTTCGTATTCGGTGAGGTTTGAGAGATCCAACTTTGTATCCAGCTCCTCTTCTGACTCAGAGTTGTCTTCATCCAGGCCATTCATCAGCGCCCTTGAGGCCTTTGTTCTTGCGTATAGACCTTCGAGTTTCTGTGATGCTGATTTTGTTTTCTGCTGTATATCTTTCCGGAGATCTGCATCAGGGTTCGCGATGTGTCCTAACAGGTATTTGAATAGAAAATAGCTTCCTCCGAGCTGGCGTTGTGGTCAGTACATATATATCAACATATGCCAGGATAGGTGGACCGCATACCGCGACAGCTAATAACGATAGTTCCTGAGCGAACCTCTGTGCCGATTTCGAAGCTTCACCCATGGTGGGCAGAGAGTGTGTGTTTCTTGAATGATAAAGGTATGTAGCACCTAGAGAAGAAGAGTCTGGCAACTATCGAGATCGACCTTTCATGCAGCGTGAACGTGGCGCCACACCTCGGGCCCTACTCCCCCCCAAGCCACGCAAAAGCAGCCCGAGCTTCCTTCCCTCCCCCGCCACGAGCGACACACGAGCCAGCGACAAGCTTCAAGCCCTGCAAGCTTCAAAACATCGAACCTACACATCCATCCAAGCCGTATCCCATGGCTTTCACACATCCACAATGCTCTCCACCAGCAGATTGATCCTCCGCAACAAGTCCCTCCTCCGTCCATCCTCCACCCTCATAAGAGCTGCACAACCCACGCTCCGCAGCTACGCAACCTCAACCCGTAAAGCCGTCACTATCGTCAACGACGATGGCCGCATCAACTGGGGCGATCTCTCCACGCGCGAGAAAGCCGCGCGGACAACACAGCAAACATTCAATCTAGCCGTGGTCGTTGTCGGGGTTCTCATGACTGTAAGTCCCTCTCTGCGCGCGCGAGACAAAGACTGTGTCGGAAAAGAAAAGAAGAATGGTAGAGAAAGCAAAGGGAAAATATACTGATAATTGTTGCCAGGGCGCGGTCGCAACGTTCCTCTTCCTCGACGTCTTCTCGCCACACTCGTATACTACATACTTCAACTACGCCGTCAGCAAACTCCGTGCCCACGCAGACGTCACGTCGCTTCTCGGGCCGGCCTCCTCCCTGACGTTTTACGGCGAGCCGCAGAGTAATAAGTGGACGCGAAACAGGCCGATCGCGCACAGACTGGAGACGGACAAGTTTGGTGTGGAGCACATGTATATGGATTTCAATGCTGAGGGCGAGAAGGGGATTGGCAGAGTCCATGCGCATCTGGTCAGAAGGGGCGGGAAGGGCGATTTTGAATGGAGGTTCCTGTGGGTGGATGTCAGGGGTGGGGAGAGAATATACTTGGAGAGAGAAGAGCAGAAGGGCGGGGGGAAGGGCAGTGGGAGGATCTTTGGGGTGCGGTGGTGGTAAGTGTAGAGACTTCATCGGAGGTGTACTACTGGATGCTGCACGCAATGTACCTATATGGCAATACGGAAGACACAGTCTGACCCCAGAGTCCACGGACTGTACAACACGACAGCCGTGCTCTGCAAGCGTCAGATCGATCAGGTCAATCTAAGGAATGTGAAATCGAACACATTGAAGCTCTGCTCAACGCCCAAACAACACCATTCGCCTCCTTTCCTCCCCTAAGACAGACTCGCCAGACCTCTGTCCAACTCCACACTCCCATTCAAATCCACACTCCTCCGTCCATCCAACGGTGGACTCGCCGGCGTGCTCCTCGCCACGTCCGTAAACGCAATATTCTCCCTCAAACACACATACTCACTATCCGCATACCCCAGCACATTCCGTATCTCCCTACTCCGCAGACCCTGAATCAGCTTAATCTCACTACTCGCATAGTTCACAAGTGCCCTGCCCACCTCACGCGGCGCCGGATTCTCATGCTCGTACGCAGCATGTCCTCCTGACACGCCACCAAGCGCGCTATGCACAGGACCGCGCCGTGGGGAAGTCGGCATAACGCGCTGCACAACGACGAGCCGCACGGCTTCCTGCTGGCTGAAATGCCCCTCGACATCGACTACGCCGACGGGCAGGAGTCCTGCTTTTTCTGAAAGCGCCTTGTAGGCGCCCTCGTCGATATACAGCGTTCCGTGCGGCGTCAGCCCATGCAGCAGCCAGAAGTACCGGTCACGCATCGGCTGCGCTTGCGGCAAGAAGCGCGTATGTAGCGGCGCGCGGGGAATGTCGTTTTCTGCCGCCGTCGAATCGCGCAGCGCGACGCCGTCGAGCGCCGTTGCGGCGGCCTTGTGGGAGACTTCGTCGGCGGACAAGCCGGAGAGCGCGGACGAGGATGCGGCGCGCGAGATGGGGACAGGGAGGCTTTTCCGGGCCTCGATGTATTTGACGATGTTGGTGATGTTGCCGGGCTTGGAGGATTTGGTGATGATTGTGGTGACGCCGGCGGAGGTGGCGAGGCGTGCGGCGACGATCTTGGTGCTCATGCCGCCTGTGCCGAGGGAGCTGCCGGACGAGGAGACGTCGGCGGAGAGCTCGGCGATGTCTTTGACGACCTCGATTGCGCGTGCGTCGGGGTGTGTGCGCGGGTTTTTGTCGTAGAGGCAGTCGACGTCCGTCATGAGGAAGAGGTAGTCGGCTGAGACCATGCCGGCGGTGATGGCGGAGAGGGTGTCGTTGTCGCCGAACTTGATTTCGGACACGGCTAGGGTGTCGTTCTCGTTCACGATGGGGATGACGCCCATGTGTAGGAGTTCGTGGAAGGTGTTTTGTGCATTGAGGTATTGCGTGCGGTCGGCAATGTCGTTGCGGGTCAGGAGAATCTGGGCGACGGGCTGGCGGAGGTGTGCGAAGAGTTGATCCCACATGGTCATCAACTTGCATTGTCCAATTGCTGCCAACGCCTGGACTTGTGGGAGATGTTTCGGCCGTCGTTCGAGGTTCATCAGCCGGAGCGCAACACCAATCGCACCGGATGACACGATGATGACTTTGTGGCCATCTCGCTGAAGCTTCGCCGCTGTTTCGGCGATGACGCTGAGAGTAGAGAGGAGTGGTTCGTGGGTCTTCTCGTCGACTATGGAGGATGTGCCTGCGGTGTGTTAGTGGTGTCCAATAGACCAGGAACTTTTCGTCTGTACAGGTAAGAATATACCGAGTTTGATGACAATGGTGAGATGCCTCTGAGCTGTGAGACTCATCTTGTTCGGCACTCTGAGCACACAGAACGGCACTCGATTGATCTTTTGGTGGTTTCGACTGGTTTGTGTTCCGCAAATGGAGTCATCGAATGTCTGTTGCATGTATATCCATGCTAGGCGAGACAAGCAAGACTTTTGGCCGACCTCGGCGTCGGCATCTGAAAACTACCAGCCAATGGGCATCATACACTTGCTACTGTTTCGGGCTAATCATAAGCCGAATGAAATCCCTAGGGATCCGGATAGTATTGAGTCATCGTAATTAGATCAACTAATGCAACTGTTTTTCTTGCAATGTGTATGTACATGCTGCGCCTAGTCGTGCTACGGCGGTGGATCAAACAGATCATATCTGCGAGGACACTGCAAGACTTAATGGCTTATTACTGCGAATCGGGACATATCTCGTTACCAGAGTTGGCGTGTAATCATTCTATCTGCACGGGCTATGATACATATTTCGTTAAATACAGGTTCGCCCATGTCTGTCTGGTTTAGTGTGGGTTCTTGATGCGATCCAAGGAATCTCGTCCTGTGCATACTTTTGTAACGGCATGCTATATGGGATGCGAAGCCCTACAAGCGGACCCCTTTTCGTCTCACGGACAGTCCTCCCTCGGCCCCTGTCCAATCTTTCGCGTTCTTCCTCTTCGTCCTCTGTGACATCTTCGTCAGTCGTCGCATCTGGATCGTACGCCTCGCTCATATCCAAGGCTAAGGGGGTATCATTCTCATCGCTAGGCAAGTCCTTGCCCCAGCAACCAATCATCCTTGCCTTCCCTTCTGGTCCGTCCCATAGCGCAGGCCAAACTACTACGCCAGTCTCATAGCTGCATACCCTGACGAGTCCATCCTTGATGTCTGTACCCCAAGCCTGTGTACTCAGATTTGCAGATGTAAGCATGGCCCAGTCAATGTACCTCTGCTCAGCATCGGTGAACCTGATATATGTCTTGATATGTGGGGCCGCGGCGTCTCTCATAGAGTTGCGCCTATGGGAATCACCCTCTCGTGAATGGGGATTTACAGGGCTCCAATGGTGTAGGAAAGGACGAAGATAGGTCAGCTGGGCTTCGTGTGTTGCCGTGGCAAGCTTGGTATGTATAGCATTCCCAGAGATGTAGCCATCAAGAGAATCTCGTATCTCTTGCGCTGTCGGGAAGACGATCTGAGTTCGCAGCATTCGAAGGCTTCTTTCTAAGCCTGTACGTTTATCAGTAGAGAAGTATGAAATCAAGTTCCTGAGCCAGACATTGGTGGAGCCAAGTGAGGCTATCGAAGAAACTTGGATTACGAGGTTGGGTTTGGCCGATGGTGAAATAGATGTACAATCAATATTCTTGAGGATGCTGCGCAGACCGCACCATCCGAACGAGGCATCAGGACTGTGCTTGCCGGGAGTACTGCAGATGAAAGCAGCTCGTATTGCAGAAAAATCATATGCTTCGAGTTGCGAACTAAGTCTTCCCAGTAGCGGCACTCTGCGTGGTGGGCCAGATTTATAGGCAGATACGTATCTTAGCAGATCATTCTTGAACTTTTCTCCGCTTCCAACAGCTGGAGACTGCTGCGATGCTGCCTGAGGACGCTCCAATGTTAGAAGAGGTAATAGGGGTGAGAGCCACACTGCCTGCGTCATATTACTCCAGTCGCGAAAGATCATGTTAGCGGTATGAATCAAGACCTGTGCTGTATCATCGTGTCGGATCAGAACCATCATCTTTGAATGGTGTGTTCCGAACATCTCTGGCATATAGGCCGTGATCAATTGCACGTTAGGCCAGTGTCGAGCCGCGTCCTAGATCACTATTAGTGATGCTGAACAGCATCGACTAACAGAGTAATATCTTACTTCCAGAGCGACTCGTTGAGGATCATCCCGACGCCATGAGCCATGTATAATCTTCATCTCTACGCTGTGCCTCACATCTTCGTCCAAGTGATGCCTAACTACTGTCAGTATAAAGAGGCTCTAGAAGAAATGTACAAACGACAATCACCAATACTCACATCACAAAGTCAACGTTGAAGGTGTAATTGAAGTTCCAACATTCTTTAATCAAGGGGTCACCAAGTATATCACCCAGCCCGATAGCGTCTAGGTTCGCGTCATCAGATAAATCCGCGATTCTTGTTAATCGAAATGGCGAAGAGATGGCTGCTGATGGACACTTGTCCAACGATACAGGTTCACGCTCTCGAACAGCTGGACTTTTGCGTGATCTTAATGGAGGGCTAATGTCTCGTTCTCTCGAAGGAATCGTTTCTATCAGCTTTGCGGGATCCATGCGGACCCGTTTGGGGGCGCGCGTGTCTTCCATCGACCTTGTCTCATGCGCATCTTGGACTGTTCTAGTGCAAGTATCCACAGGTGCTACATCTCCTAACGGTGGCCGTCAGATCCAGTCACAATGGTCTATTGCATCGTTCTTGAGCTCAATACGTGGTGGAGTTAAGATGGCAATCGATCTGGAGGTTTCAAGGTTGGAAGCGGGGATGTGCTGATAGCTACCGTAGGACCGTGACTGAATATACTTACAGCCACTAGGTACGTGATTGCGCGAGGTTTTCGCGAATTCGTTTACGTCATAGCTTTGGCCTTAGGCACGCATCGCTCAAAGACGACCACTCCTTGAGTATTCATGTCCACTAATCAGACAAGTTCCGTGTTTTGAGACTCATCATAGCCATAATTATGGCGATACCTGATTGAGAGTGCACTCCGATCGGCGCCCGCCGTGAACAAACCTCCACTATGACCAAACTTGCCGCAGCCAGCGTTTCCAACCAGATCGTGCGAAAGAGGAAGAGGAAGCATACGCACCCCGATGTAGCACAGACTGCTTCTCCAGCAGAAGTACCCACCATTGAGACCCACGAGGAACATAGCGGACCCGTCACGATTGGCATCGTACCCACGAAAACACACGATGGCGGCTCGAAACCGCAACGCCGGCGCAAAGCTGGAGATGCTACCTCGAAGCCTACCCTGAAGAGAAAGAGTTCCTCGACATTCGTAGAAACCTCCATAGTATGGCCTGAGCATTTTAAGAAGCTGGAACAAGTTCACAAAGCTCTAAATCTTGTCTGGACCTTCTGCTCAACCAGAAAGCATATCTCCACGACTTTTGAGAACATCAAGGGGTCTGTTGAAGGACACATCAAGCGAGAGCTGCTCATAGGAGACATTGCACAGATACAAAGGTTGATACCTCGAGGAGTGAGCCTTGCGTATGTAGATGAGGCGATGCTTCAGGTCAATCTTATGGGAGGAGAGCAAGCGGCGAAGGATAAGTATCTGATGCCTGAGCCAGAGCAGGCTAGCGATACAAGCAAAGAGGTGCTGCTATTCGAGTTCATCGATGGCGACATGAAGCGACAAGTGGCAAATGCAAAAGGCGAGGCAACAAATCCTATCCGGAAGCTGCGACAAGAAGATCTAAAAATGCCTGTATTCAGTCACAAGCAAATGATGAGTTGGATTGAGAAGCGTAATAAGAAGTTCACTTCTGCTGTCAATGAATATCTCAACTTATGTCAGGAGGCTGGGCGAGACCCGGAAACCCACATTCTTTCCGAGAAAGAAAAGTTCATTCCCCGACCCTCGGAAAGTAGACATTCCTCGCCCGGCGCAATTTCGCGGTCTCTTATACCAAGCACCATACCAAAAGAGCGGAAGTCCATCCGTGAGATTATTGCAGAAATCAAGTCTCAAGACTGGTACACTGAACAAATCGTCCCTGATGGGCATCGCATTTTCGACCCACAGCCACCTGTATATGGAGACCTAAACTTTCAACTTTCCCAAAACATGGTAGATGCCCTTTTCAACACCCGTAATATCACTCAATTGTACCAACATCAGGCTGAAGCCATCAATAATCTGTATGAGGGCCATAATGTCATTGTATCAACGTCCACGAGTTCTGGTAAATCCCTCATTTATCAGATACCGGTCTTGCACGAACTAGAGAAGGATCCACTGACGAGGGCAATGTACATTTTCCCAACAAAGGCTCTCGCGCAAGACCAGCGTCGCAGCCTAAAAGATATGTTGCGTTTCATGCAAGGTCTCGAGGACATAGTCGTGGAAACTTTTGATGGCGACACACCTATGTCAGATCGCGCTCGTATTAGGGATGAAGCTAGGATCATATTTACGAATCCCGACATGCTCCATATCACAATCCTCCCTAAGGAAGAATCGTGGCGAACCTTCTTACAAAATCTGAAGTTCGTCGTCGTGGATGAGCTACATGTTTATAACGGCTTGTTTGGATCACATGTCGCGTTCATAATGCGGCGACTGAGACGAATCTGTGCGGCAGTGGGAAACAGAAATGTCAAATTCATCTCGTGTTCGGCTACGGTTGCTAATCCTGAGCAACACATGAGAACCATTTTCGGTGTTGACAATATCAAGCTTACAGATTTTGACGGATCCCCTTCAGGCAGGAAAGAATTTCTATGCTGGAACACACCATTCAAAGATCCGAGCGATCCGACCTCTGGGAGGGGTAGTGCTGTGGACGAGGCTGCCAGGCTCTTTTGTCAATTGATCCTGCGTGGGGTGCGCGTCATATCATTCTGCCGTATTCGGAAGATGTGTGAGGTTCTGATTACTGCAATTCAGTATGAGCTTGATCGATTAGAACGACCAGAAGTGAAGGCAAGAGTTATGGGCTATCGAGGAGGATACACACCACAGGATCGACGACGTATTGAACGCGAGATGTTCGACGGCAAGCTTCTGGGGATCGTAGCGACAAGCGCCCTGGAACTTGGCGTGGATATTGGCTCACTTGACGCAGTCATAACTTGCGGTTTTCCCTATACTATAGCAAATCTGCGACAGCAGAGTGGACGTGCTGGTCGACGAAACAAAGACTCGTTGTCTGTTCTTCTTGGGGACTGCTTCCCAACGGACCAGTATTACATGCAAAACCCTGACGAGATCTTCACAAAGCCGAATTGTGAATTGTCTGTTGACCTTGAGAATGTCATGGTGCTAGAAGGACACATCCAGTGCGCAGCCCACGAGATGCCGATACACCCCAAGGACGACCAGATCTACTTCGGCTCACTTCTCCTAGAGTTGGCAGAAGATCGCATGCGGCGGGACTGTGCTGGCTTCTATCATACGAATTCTCGCTTCCTTCCTTTCCCTTCAAAGTTTGTCGCCATACGCGACACGGAGGATGATCATTTTGCAATCATCGACACAACGCATGGCAAGAATACTGTTCTCGAGGAACTCGAAGCGTCGCGAGCTTTCTTTACCATCTACGACGGCGGTATCTTCCTCCATCAAGGTCGCACCTACTTGATCAAGGAATTCTCGCAAGAGCGTATGATGGCCAAGGTAGAGTTTGTCAAAGTAGACTGGACAACGCAACAGCGTGACTACACCGACATCGATCCTGTAGAGACTGAGGCGATACGACAAATACCGAAATCGCGATCTCGGGCGTTCTACGGCCCCATAAAGATAAAGCAAGTGGTGTTTGGCTTCTTCAAGATTGACAAGAAACGACGTATCCTCGACGCCGTGGAAGTTGATAACCCTCCCATCATTCTCTTTAGCAAAGGTATGTGGCTAGACGTACCTAAATCAGCTCTCGACATCTTGGTAGATCGTCGCTTGAATGTTGCAGGCGCCATTCATGCTGCCGAGCATGCGGTGCTCTCACTCATGCCAAACTACGTCATCTCCATGCCAGGCGACGTACGGACCGAATGCAAGAATGCACAGAAGGAGTTTGCAAAGCGTGAGTCACAGCGGAAGCGGCCTGCTCGTCTTACGTTCTACGATGCCAAAGGCGGTGCAGCAGGATCGGGTATTAGCACCAAAGCCTTCGACTTTATCGACCTTTTGCTCCGGCAGGCTTGTGAACGCGTCTCGGCGTGTCATTGCTTGGACGGATGTCTCGAGTGCTGCTGTGACGAACGATGCAAGGAAGCCAACCAGGTCATGAGTAAAGCTGGTGCTGAGGTCATACTGAAGAGCTTGTTGAATTGGGAGATTGACATCGATGCTCTGCCGTGGGGCCCAGAGGAAAGCACACCTGCAGGCATAGAGACTGTTGTGCTTGCCGACGAAGTACGACCGGCTCGTGGCAGGATGATAGACGTCATACAAGTCAAACGAGAAGAGGGCGAAGAGACGGACACAGCTGTCGTTGATGCCGTCGCTAGTGATGGAGAGGAAGGATTGGATGATGATGACATCGATGTTGCGTCTAAGGAAGAAGAGCATGGAGATTGAATTTATTACACACCTCTAGATCGACATTGAATAGTCACAAATCTCTTGAACAGACGAACTGCGAGTTCTATTCACGACTTGTTTATGATCTGAAACGTCTGGTCAGGTTTGAGCACCGACACGACTGCAGCATAACTATCCAGCAGATCCACGTACGGCCTCAAGAGCTGCGCCAATGCTTGCGAATACACCATCCTCCAAAATGGCACTCCAGCATCCCAATCCTGTACTAGCACCGTCAAGAACGAAAATAGCCGAAAACACGTCCATTCAAATACGATGACCGAAAACAACCATCGCGGCACCGCCCGCTCACTTGTTCCTGAGGCGAGCGTCCAAATGTTGTAGAACAACTCAACAAAGCCCCAGAACCAAGCAAACAGAACCCATCGCCCTTCCCATTGCCCCAGCGTTCTGACACCAGTGTACCACCGCCGCCGCTGCTTCACATAGTCTCCAATCGACCTAGGCGAGACTTCTCTCGCAATCGCTGGCACCCAACCGATCCTGAACCCCTTTTTCATTGCACCGAGCAAGAACCAGTAGTCCTCTGTAAGATGCGCTGTCTCCCACGACACTGCGTTCTCCACCTTCCCGCTCGCTAAGAAGAACGCTCCGTGAATCCCCAGCGTCGCTCGATGAGGCACATTCGCGAGGAACTGCCCGCGACCCCAGTCGTCTTGAACACGTGAGAGATCGCCAATCTGCGGGATGATGCTGGAGAAGTAGCCGTTGCTGTTATAATGGATGACACCGGTGCCGATTTCGCAGTGCGTTTGACGCGTGATATATGTGATGCAGGTGCGGAGCAGGTAGGCGTCAATAAGGGTTTCCTCGTCGATATGGAGGACCCAATCATCGTCGCGTAGACACATGTTGACGCGGAACCACTCCAGACTGCGGGCCTTGTGCTTTGCGAAGCGCGGAGTGTAGGATTTGGGCACGCCGTGGACCTGGACGTGTGGGGCGTAGACGGCCGCGTTGCGGAATTTGTGCGCGTTGACTTCTTCGGTGAGGATGTGCAGGGAGATCTTAGGGTCTATGTGCGCGACGATGTCTTGGACGGGGAGGATGGAGCGGCGGACGACGTCCTCTTGCTCGCCGCGCGTCACGAGACATATGAGGAGTCTGTTGAACGGCCGTACGGCGGGCTTGTTGGTGAGGCGGAAGGGGCGGCAGGGCCAGCAGGTGGCGAGCATGGAGAAGTGGTGGAATGGTTTGGCGGGGAGGACCATTGCGAGCCAGATGAGGGCGCTGGGTGTCCAGGTTGTCGTGTCGTCGATGGGGACGTAGAATATGGTGTTTGGGTTCGAGAAGAGGCGGTAGGCGATTGGGTAGAGGATTGCGAGGAGGGAGGGGATGATGATCCAGTTGTAGTCCATGATTTGGCAGATCCGGTACGAACGTTGGTCTTCCCATGATTCTGGGCGTGTTGAGTGTTGTTGGTGTTGAGTGTTGTTCAACTGGGTGTTGGCCTGCGTTATTGTTGCCATATCTCTCTGTTGTTTCTATGCAACGGGCATATAATGCTGATTCTGGGTGGATTGATATTTCAGGCGCAGCAACGAGGTGAATCTCAACTGCTATCTAGAGAAGAGACAATCTTTCTTCACTGGTGGCAATGATACATATGAAATCCAACTTTTATATTGTGCCGGGCATGTCAACAACTGGCCCCTGAAGATCCATACTATCGCTATCACTAGAATATGTTCGCCCCCTAACTCGATGCGCTGTAGCAACGTCTGCTTTTAGACGTTGGTGGCGTCAACTGAGTGGCACCTCAGCTCTAATCACTGGTGATTGAAGACCCAGGGGCACTCAACATCCCACAACACCAGTTCCACCTGGGCAATATCCTGTTCGTCTGTTCGTCCGATCATCTACCGATTGGCTGAACGTCATCGATGTCGCGACTGCTTTTGCTTCTGCCTCAGGCATTATCTCAGCCTTGGAACCGGTCCATCGCGCGATGTGGACTATGATTAGGTAATCTGCGAACGGTCGTCTTTTCCGACGGACGCTCAATACCAGGACAAAAGTACGCATATCATCACTACAGCCCCAAACCTCACAGCGGCTTAGTAGCCAGCTATCTGAAGAACTCTAAGCATCCGATGCGTAGCCTCTGCAAGTTGCTATCAGTCGCGTCTTCGAGCACAGGCAACTCCATAGTGGTCATTTTCCTCAAGGTGGGACGTCTTCTCTTTTGTTAACAGGCATGCCATAGCAACAGATTATTGGTCCAGAAATATAGTCACTGCAATCTAGCTTCAACGACGTTGATAATCGCCGAGTAGAGAGTGTCGTACTACTGTACCCACACATAATTAGTCAGTGGTGACCGCAACTATCCTTTTACTGAAGACACGCAAGGTAGTAGTAAAGAATATTTCTATTCATGTGTCTTCCGAGGCCTGGATTGCGATATTGAGCGTCTTCTCAACTTGTATGGACCCACGTGGAATTGTACATTGCGATTCCCGCCCGGACCATCGCCTCTGATTTTCCAGGTCCGATACGATCACTGTACTGATATCGCTTCGCTGAGTCGATGGATGATCGTATGGAATTTCAGATGGTACCGAGCCTTGATTAGACCTGGGCATATCGGTCTTGCCGCGTGATCTGAAGCACGGCGTTGCTGCAATATACCAACGACGAAGTCGATCGACACCCCTTATCTTTGGATAGAGTGGGCCATACGTCAAAACACAAGCACAGATGATGGCTAATGTCAGCTGGACGTGCAGAATCTTCGCAGACGAGTGTATAACGTCGATACCTGATAACGGATTAGCTGGGTGAAATGACGAGATCGGCTGATTTATCACTAACGGTCCCAACTTCGAGGAGTAACGGTCCATACGATTCGTACAACACTCGCCACAACGACACTGATATTGTCAGCGCCTCGCCACCTACTGTCTCATAGCTACTCACAAAATCCCGCAAAGGAATATCAACGACAACGAGACCTTGCGGTGCGTAGAAAGATTCAAACTCCGTAAGACACCAAGTGGCATCAAGACGATTATCAGATCCTGGAGTGTGTTGATGGGCTCGGCAATTGCGACTATAGTTATAGGACTTTCGCAACCTTTCGTGCCGTGTGTCCAAATAAAAGCAGTGTCTGGATTCCAGGCTTCCCTGATGGGCATGCACCTAGATAGAAATGCCGCGGTATGCCCTATGCCCCAAGCCAGACTCAGTATCGACATGACTTTTACATAGATGACAAATCTTTCTTTGACATTGAACACGATTCTGTAAACCTCGAGGACACTAAGCTTGCAGAATGTTATACAGGGTGCGCAGAGGACGGAAACGACCCAAGCAGCCTGGAGTCTTGAGTCAATACAATTCTGCTGGATAGTATTTCGAGACTCACCCGTAATACCTCGACGATCGAGTCATCGGAAAGCTCGCCGAGTGGGTAGCCGAAAATTCCAGTGACGCCCACTAATACAGTCAGACACGAAATCTGCAAGGTTTCAACTGACAAACATCTGATGTTGACACCGAGTATCCCGACCAGACTTATCCACGCCAATATGATAAGAGCATCATCCCACCCATACCTCGAAATCTGACCTTTCGCCCATAGTCTCAATACCACGGCCAGCGTTGATGTAGACAGAAGGGTGAAACAGTACGCAAGTTGTGAGCTCCGGTATATAGGAGGCAGCATATGATTCGTCGTTTGAGAGGAATTCTTAGACATTGCGGCCCAATGATTTGGTTGAGGAGCAAAATCTCATGCAAGAGGGACGACTACCTATAAGTTTTGGGATAGGCTGACAGTCAACTGATATTTCTATGGCATGTCGCAGCCGTTCGCATAGAATTTTCCGACAGAGACAACACTAGAAAGTACAGCCACTAGACTTGGAAACCAAGGATAAGAAGAATGTTTTACGGGATTAAACACAAATACGGACCGATTGGTTGGACCAATTGCCCGAACCTCAACTTCTACCTATTTGAATCCATACAATCGATGGGCGAGTTGTACTGTTATAGGCAATATGGTTGAGGCGCATTCCGTGCCTACCGTTAGGTCCCAGGGATATATATCCGGTTTGCCCAGCCTGATTTCTATCCTACAGGCAGTAGTAGTATTATGTAAAACTTCCATCGCCGGTTTTCTGACCTCAGGATTCGCCAGTTGTTATTCTCTTTTCGTTCTTACCATCTCTGATATCCATATCTTCCTGTTCGACTGGTTGCTCGTAAGAGTGCGCTCCACGCTGGTGATTACCATAGCCTGCCTCCATCCATGGATGGATCCCCATGTGGGTGCGGCGAGGGCGTCTAGCCGTCTAGCCTTGCGGCACAGTCACAGTGAACCACTTTTTTTGCGGCGACAAACGAAGCCACGTCCCGACCCATATTACGCCGCATAGCGAAATAAATGTAAAGGGTACCAGGGAAGTAGTGACCTTTACCGTATGAGACGACGCAAGCGCGCGCTCGCTGCTCCGACCAATGGATTCTGCTTACTTGTCCTTTGTTGCTGCAAGTGACGGCACTCGTCACACACATTCACCAACCCAGAGTCCAAAAGTTGGAGGCTAATGCACCACGCCGCTGTCGTGCGCGTCCTGAGCCGCGCTATTCTGGGACTGAATACATCCAACTCTTTCGATTCTTTTCCAATCATTCAGTCGCAGGTGTCGCCTTTATCACCGGGCTGGCCCCCAAGAGGATACGCCTTATATGGGACGAACCTACTCTCACAGTCACGAACTTACGACCAAGTTGCCCACCAAAGGAAGATTACCGCCGACAGTATGTGTGCAACCCATTCCGTTTAGGAACTCTGTTTCCAGCTCCGCATCTCACACGATCAATGATCTTATGTCACATATGTGGGAGAGCTGAGAGGCGCACTACCCATTGATATTGAGGCGAACGACGCTGTTCAACGCATCAAATTCGTGTCAATGAACCTGCCACTAGGCTTGAATTACTGCTGCGAGGATCTGAGGCAATGGCTTCACCACCGCCACTTATTATACGGTCAAGAATTAGCCAAATGCCCTGGCTGGGGATACCTGCCTCGGAAGCTATTCACACATTTACCTCCTGATTCCTTACAAGCAGACATAACTCGCGTCTGCGGCAAGTCTTGCAAGGAGTTTTGGTGAACTTAGAATCAATCAAGTCCTGGAAAGTACCGTGAACACGACCATGGGATCACAAGCAACTTGATTACAGTAGCCTGTATTCATCTGAGTATAGAGCCCGATGCGACCGACAGGACGGCAGCCATCCCTTTATCATCGACTTCGATCATCTCAAGCACCCGACACTACCAGTAAGTACACGGCATGCTTTCTAGTTCCTTCTGTGTATTGTCTCATACCTGATTGATTGTAACATTGGCTCTTTTGTGCTCTGTGGACTGGCGACCCTCGGACATGCTAAATCATTCTAGATGTATACGCTATTTGTCTTGGTGTCGTACGATATGAGCTTTATAGTTTCGACAACCTTAGGGGGTGTTGACTCAGAGGTCTGAGTACACCATGCTATTTGGAACATTAGTAATGGCCCAAAAACGACATGCTTTGTTCTCCCTTGATGTTCGGATCACAATTTACTGAGGCTGCCTAGCCGATGATTTCTCCTGATGAGCTCTCAACATCTCAGTCTGGATCCATGGGCGGAGATCGAGAAGAAAACAACATCTGTGCGCCAGACGCATCCAGGCCAGACGTATTAATGTCCACTGAGAAGATTTCTGCGCTCCCGTACCTCTTTGGTTAGATAAAAAGACCGTTTTCTGCATTGCAAACTGCAACCAGATCTACCAAGCGAGGTTATGGATCTCCAGGATTTACTTTTCATAGATCTGTATAGCGATCACTTTAACAGACGATACAACTAGCGCGAGTAAGTATCGCAAGTGGACCTAGGCCATTCTGCAGGCAAGCAGGACGTGACATAGTGTCATTGGACGAGCTGGCCCGCTTCATTCCTAATACGTACGAGGAGTATTGCCATACATGCAGCATGCATCTCAGATGTATATATCCACGCGCATGCGATAGCCAACGAATATTACCTTTCTGATCCTTGGCGCTGCAAGTCTCATGAAACTTGCCAACGAACGAGTCTTCCTACAGGATGATTGCAGACCAATGAAGTAGTCCATGACTATCAAGCCACTCAAGATGTCCCTGTAGGGCAATAATAGTACACTTTAACAAGTTTACCCAGCCAGAGAATTTCAAGTTAAAGGCAAGGAGCAAGCTACCCAGTCATTTTGCCTTAACAGTCTGCAGGCACCTACGTTGACCTTGTGTTCAAATTGCTTACGAGTGTTACACGATCTGAGATGCGATCCCAACATGTCCCCAATCCCACCGAAGCGGACTCAATCGCTGTGATCGGAATGTCCTGCATCTTCCCGCAGGATGCGTCATCCCCAGAAGGCTTCTGGAAAATGCTGGTGGAAGGTAGATCGGCTAGAACAAAGATACCTGAAGACAGGTTCAATTCGGATGCCTTCTATCATTCCGCGACTGGACGGGCCGGAACTGTGGGTATACGAAGTTCAAACAATCCTTGATACTCACATTTTTCCGAGGTTAACGTCCAACATGGCCACTTTCTCAAAGACGATGTCACAGCTTTCGATGCACCTTTCTTTTCGATTTCATCTCAAGAGGCCTCGGGCATGGACCCTCAACAGCGTGCTCTACTGGAAACAACTTATCACGCTCTTGAGAACGGTAAGGCGGTACTAAGCATTTTCAAATGTGACTGACATGGCTACAGCTGGTATACCAATCAACAACATAAAAGGAACAAATACCGCAGTATATATTGGTAGCGCTGGACGAGACTTTGAGCTTATTGGCTCCAAAGACATTGAGCAGATGCCAACCTACTTTGCTCTTGGTGCCATCCCATCCATTCAATCAAATCGTCTGAGCTGGTTTTTTGATCTTAGAGGACCAAGTATGACTGTCGATACTGCTTGCAGCGGCTCAATGCAGTGTTTATACCTTGGCGCTCAAAGTCTATTGAATGGCGAATGCGATATGGTAAGTATAGTGTAACAGTCCGGGATTCCTGCATCTAGTCTAACACAAAAATCGATTATGGATTGCTGACTTTAGTTTTTCAGGTCATTACTGGAGGTTCTAATCTGATTTTGACGCCTGAACTCACAATCAGCCTTTCCAACTTTGGATTTCTTTCCCCTGATGGAAAATGCCATAGCTTTGATCACCGGGCAAACGGATACGCACGAGGCGAAGGCCATGGCATAATCATCCTCAAAAGACTTTCTGATGCCATACAAGATGGCAATACCATCCGTGCTGTTATACGTGCTGTTGCCTCGAATCAAGACGGACGAACCTCTGTTTTGGCTCGGCCTAGTAGGGACGCGCACGTTTCGCTCATTCGGAGCGCGTACTTGAAAGCTGGTATAAGTTTCAACGAGACTCGGTTCTTCGAGGCGCACGGAACTGGCACGGCAGTCGGAGACCCTATTGAAGCCGGCGGAATTTCAGACATTTTCAAAGAATATAGAACACGCGATGAACCACTGTATGTTGGCGCGACCAAGAGTAACATTGGACATCTGGAAGGTGCAAGTGCTATAGCTGGAGTTATAAAGGCAGTTCTTGCTGTAGAGAAGGGTATCATCCCTCCCAATGTATGGCTCGAGAAAGTCAATCCCGAGATCAAGGAAGATTGGAATCTCGAGGTACTTTGTCCTGCTTCGCAGTTCTCTGGTGCATTTACACTGACATGACTGGTAGTTTCCCACAAAAGCTTTGAGGTGGCCTGCGCATGAAGTCAGAAGGGTATCTGTCAACTCGTTTGGGGCTGGTGGTGCCAATGCCCACGTCATCATAGACGACGCATATAATTATCTGCGAATACGCGGACTTTCTGGTCGGCATCGGAGCTATTCAATTGAAGGACTTCATCTTTTCAAGCCGAACAATGTTGATGTCGGTGATAGCATAGGTAGGTGTTCTCTGTTCTCAAAGCTACTACGTTGCATAGCTCTTTGGTAAGACACAGATCTAGCGGTAACCTTGTGAATAGGAAATATCAGTATGTTTCCCACAGGCACTGGAGGTATTGAACTGTGCAAGCCTCATACCAATGATCAATTAGAGATCCGAGGACAGCCTGGTCTGCTTTCTGAAACACAGAAGAAGCAACACCTGCATAGACGCATTGATTCATCGATGATGACAGAAATTTCAGCTGGGGAAAGCCAAGCAAAGACCCTACAGGTCACAAATGTCTTCGTATTCTCCTCTGCGGACGAAGGTGGCATAGAACGACTTTCTATCGCACTAGGTGGTTACCTCGCATCAGGCGTTCCTAAAACAGCAATTGGTCAGACATTTTTAGATGAGCTCGCGTATACATTATCCAGGCACCGAAGCATGTTCCCCTGGAAATCCTATCTGGTCGCATCTTCGGTAGAAGAATTAACGCAAAAGTTGAGCGCAAAACAGTATGCCAAGCCTGTGCGCTCTACAGGCATGGCGCCATTGGTTTTTGTATTCACAGGTCAAGGTGCACAATGGGCTACCATGGGACGAGAGCTCCTTGTTCATCCAGCCTTTCGCGAGAGCTTTGAGGCAGCTGAGGCTTTTCTGTTATCCCTTGGCTGTACTTGGCGGGCTTCAGGCAAGTGAAAGCCGATTGGCCGACTTCCAAGAAGGTTAACGTTGCCTAGATGAGCTGAATCGGCCAAGCGACAAGTCGAACATACATTTGACAGAGTATTCGCAGGCCTTATGCACTTTGCTCCAGGTCGCACTAGTAGATCTTCTAAGATCATGGAAGATACACCCTAAGGCGGTTGTCGGTCATTCTTCAGGGGAGATCGCTGCTGCATACTGCGCTGGCGGCTTAGATAGGGAGTCAGCTTGGCGTGTCGCATATTATCGAGGAAAAGTCTCCGCTATCCTAGAAGCTACTCATAATGAGCAAGGAGCTATGCTCGCAGTACCGCTGAATGAGCCCGACATTGCCAATATCATCACAACGATCAATGAGAATCATATGATCTCTGGCACTAAGCTCACAGTGGCGTGCAACAACGGACCTAAAAGCATCACAATTTCGGGCTCGAGCATCCTTATTGATCTACTGCAGAAAGCTTTGGAAGATCGTGACATCCAGGCAAGGAAAGTCAGGGTCACGATAGCGTATCACTCCAAGCAAATGCAGGTTGTGGCTGAACAATATCGCACCTTTATACGTGACATACCTATACCACCGGACAATGGGAACTCACCAGCGACTGAATTCTTCTCTTCCCTTCATGGTGCGGGCATAAGTCTGGATATCATTCGCCAGAGCTCGTACTGGGTAGACAATCTAACATCTAAAGTTCAGTTTGCTGAAGCTGTTCAAGCAATAGGGCTACTCTACAGCAATAGAAAGGAGGCACCTCTGTTTGTCGAAATTGGGCCTCATCCAGCGCTTCGAAAGCCAGTAATGGACACAATGGCGAGCTGTGGCTGGCATTCAACGTACTCTTCTATTCTACAACGCAACTTAAATGGTTTGCACCAGCTTGCAACATTCCTTGGCATTCTCTTCCAAAATGGCTATACATCTACTACATGCCCAATCGACTCTGCCCCTCTTGGGGTAGACCTACAGATGCTGACAGACCTGCCTTCTTATCCTTTCAACCACTCGCGGTCATACTCTGCAGAAAGTCGACTAAGCAGAGACTTTCGAACGAAGAGGGTGCCCAGAAATGTGTACCTGGGCACGAGAGCTGCTGATTGGAACCCAGCTGAGCCACGGTGGCGTAATTTTATTTCTTTAGTAGATCATCCATGGACGCAGGATCACCAAGTAAGTTCCTAAGACTGTGCTTGATTTACATCGTACCCCAACAAACATCGTGAGGGCCAATCTGACGTACAGCAGTTCAATGACACTGTACTGTACCCAGGTGCAGGTATAGCAATCATGGCCGTTGAGGCTGCTCGCCATCTCACATCAGTCGATAAGCATATACGCAACATAGAGGTTCGGGAAATCAACTTTTCTAATCCCATTGTTCTCTCAGATCAGATCACTCAGGCTGAAGTTCATGTCCATCTGAAACTTGAGAAAGAAGATGAAGCAACCACTGAGTACTCTTTCAATATTTATCGTGTATCACCAGAAAGCGTATGGGAAACTGTTAGCTCCGGCAGGGTTGCTGTGGAGCTCTCACATCCCTCTCTGGACGATCGCACCGGACCCAAACAAGATTCGCATCACTTTGCAGGGGTGCAGAATCAGCTCCATCCCAAAGCCTTCTACAACACGCTTTCATCGTACGGACTATCTTTCGGTCCGGCATTCCAGTTGACGAAGCGGATACTTTATGACTTCCAGAAGATCTCTTTCACTGAAGTTAGGCAATCTGAATCAGAGGACGTACACACTAATCATTCTTTCACCGTACCATTGATACATCCGACCATACTGGATGCTATCATGCAAGCAGGCCTTGTCGTTTTGGCAACAAACCAATACGTACCAAATCCAAATATACTCCCTACTCACATTCGCCAGATATGGCTTTCAGATGACCTCAAGGACCTAGGTAGCCATTCTTTAGATGTATATTGCAAGACAACATTTATCGGCTTCAGAGAAGCAGAATTCTCCATCTTGGCTAAGCATGGTCAGACTGGTAAACCTTTAGTCCAGATAACCGGATATAGAGTAACAAGCATTGTAACAACAAAGTCTGAGACCAGAGACGTTGTAACACGGGATCGAACATGCTACAAGATGCAATGGAAACCCGATTGGTCTGTTCTGAGTCGCGAAGCAACTGAGAGATACCTGCTTCATCGCCGCTTAAAAAATGTCGAAGATCGTCGAATCGCCGATATAGAGCTCTGCTGCCTCTATTTCATGTGCAGTACTGCCTCTAATTCAGTTACGAGTACAAAGTCGCATTTGCATCGATACCATCAATGGGCTAAGAAGCAGTTATTATCTGAACACGCTAGATCAGTATTGGCTCAGCCCGAAGCACAACGAATGTTCTTGGATTTTGAGTTCCGAGAAGATTATCTCAGGGATCTCGAGAGGTGTCCCGGAGGTAAAATGAGTGTAGCGATCGGAAGAAACCTTTCAAGGATTCTCGACGAAGCAATGGACCCTCTCGAACTCTTGTTCAGCGAACACACACCATTGGCTCAAGAATATTATCAGGGACCAGAGTGTGCTATTGCTTATGATAGCTTCTCAACATATCTGGACTCCCTTGCTCATCGTAATCCGAACATGGATGTTATTGAAATAGGCGCAGGAACTGGCGGGGCGACGCGCCATGTTCTCAGTACTCTCGCTCCTACACATAGCTCAGCAAAGACCTTTACGCCCCGTTTCAGTACCTACGTCTTTACAGATATCTCTCCTAGCTTCTTTAGTGGCGCTCAAAAAGAGTTCGAAGCTTTTGATGAGCGCATGACTTTCAAGACCCTGGACATTAGCCGGGACCCTAACACTCAAGGTTTCCAGCAAGGGCAGTACGACCTAATAGTTGCGTCTAATGTATGTTCTCCCAAGTTGTTGCTCTCTTTCGAGCCTTGCTAACAGGTACTGAAGGTACTGCATGCGACTGAGGACATTAGCGCAACACTCCAGAATACCCGAAAACTTCTAAAACCGTAAGCAGCAGGCATCTTCAACCAATGTTAATGGTAGTCTTCAGCGACCCCGGCTAACTGAAAGAAAAGTGGTGGCAAATTAGTGGCTATTGAGTTGAGTAATCCTGAGGCCATACATCCTGCCTTCACTTTCGCTCTACTCCCTGGCTGGTGGATGGGTAAGTCCACAGTGTTTCTGATGAAGCTACCGTGTGATCTAACAATATGTAGCAAAGGAGCAGTCAAGACAATGGAGCCCTGCCCTAACTCAAGAAGGGTGGCACGATGCCCTTCTTCAATCTGGATTCTCTGGCACCGATGTATACGTACGCGACTATGATGGACCCGACCATTCGGGCTGTCTTATTGTTTCAACAGCAGCGCACGAGAAGACCCCCGATGAAGCGCCACAATCCAGTGTAAATCCAATTGTTTTGATAGCTGATATCGAGTCTAATATGCAGCAATCTATAGCTATCGAGACAATGCAGCACTTCTCTGCTAAAGGGCATCAAATACAGTTAATGACTTTCGAAGAGAGCAGTTCGGACAGCATGACTAGCGACAGGATTTACGTGTTTCTGTCCGAACTGGATCGCCCTCTACTTGTTGATATGAAGCAGAAAGAGTACGATTGTTTGAAATCTGCAACTCAGTGTGCTCGTTCTATCCTTTGGGTAGTTTCGGAAGGATTGAATACGCCTACCTTTGGTTTGATACAAGGTCTTGCACATACAGTCTATTCTGAGCGACCTGTACTTGGTTTCACCTCACTTAGTATTGATGACACCAGCTCTGTATCACATGTTTCGGCAGCGATACAGCAGGTTCTGAGCAAAGTCATCTGCGACGACGCCGAAAACGCAGAAGTCGAGTACATGCTTCGCGATGGCATCCTGTACATCGATCGAATCATCGAAGATGAAGAAATGAACGACAAGCTATATCACAGAAAGGCTACCCAAGCACCATCGATACAACAAGTAGAGCCGAAGTCTATGCGTCAATTGCGCATGACCATTGGATCACCAGGAATTCTCGATACATTGCACTTTGAGGACGATCCACGCGCTGGAAGTCCTCTTGGTGAACATGATATCGAAGTCGATGTGCACGGTGCCGCGTTGAGTGTCAGAGATTCGGCTGTCATTCTGGGGCAAACTCCCGGAAACTTCATCGGCCTCCAGTGTTCTGGTGTCGTCTCGCGCGTTGGATCATCGGTGTCTAACCTGCAGACCGGCCATAGAGTCGCCTGCGTTAGTCGCGAGTCATTCTCCAGCTACGCCAGGTGTAATGAACACGCCGCCCTGATTTTACCAGACTCTGTAGATCTCCATGACGGAGCATCTATATTCGTGAACTATCTTGTAGCCTATAGCTCACTTGCCGCTTTTGCGAACTTGCAGAGGAATCAGATCGTTTTGGTTCACGACGGGGCAAGCTCCCTGGGCCAGGCTGCGCTTCAGGTGTGCAGAATGAAAGGAGCGGTTGTCTTTACAACAGTCAGTTGCGACGAAGAGAAGAGAACACTCAAGGATGAACTTGGAATCCAGGAAGCGGATATCATTTCCACCAATGCGGTAGCTGTAGACCTAGCTGAGAGAGTTCTGGCATCCACCGGCGACCAACGCGTGCACATAGCATTTGGGTCCTTCTCTAGCATCGAACTCGTTGAAATATCCAAATGTGTTCAGCCGATGGGTAAGTTGATCGATATCAGATATGGAATCGACAATGTGGCGCTCACGAACTTGCCTAAAATGCCGAGCGTATCCTTCATCTCTACAACAGTGGAGGAGCTCGTTGATTACAGTTTGGAAAACGGGTATGTCAAATTCCTTCCTGATATATTTTCAGGATTAGAACCGGGAACTATCGTTCCGGCCGGTCTACAGAGGTACAAGGCCTCTGATATTGAGACTGCTGTGAGGTCGCAACAAGGAAATCAAGCCTCAGGATTATGCATCGTTCAGTTCACCGGCGACGATACACTACGGGTATGGTTTACCTCAATTACTTGTAGACAACAACTAACACCAAAAGATGATGCCCAAAACGCCGGCTCCTTTATTATTTGATCCGATGGTGAGCTATGTCATAGCCGGAGCATTCGGGGGTCTAGGGCGTAGTATCAGCCGGTGGGTGGCGGACAAAGGTGCCAAAAACCTCATACTGCTTTCTAGATCCGGTGGTAGCAGTGTTGCAGCCACAACATTGTTGGCTGAACTACATGCAAAGGGCGTAAAAGTCATGGCTCCAAAATGTGACATCTCTGACGAACAGTCCATGTCTGAAAACTTGAGAGATTGCAAAGAGTGCATGCCAGCTATAAAAGGCTGTTTCCAGTGTGCCATGGTACTAAAGGTAGGCCATCACCGTAACTGCAAAGTCATCACTTTTGAACTCGACTAACTTTGAACAGGACTCCCTTTTTGAAAACATGTCACTGGAAGACTTCAATGCCGCGCTACGTCCAAAGGTGACTGGCTCATGGAATCTCCACACCTATCTACCTTCAGATCTAGATTTCTTCGTCATGCTATCCTCTTCTATGGGCGCCATTGGTAATCTTGGGCAATCCAACTATGCCGCCGGAAATACGTATCAAGATTCTCTCGCCCGGTACCGCGCCGAGTGTGGCCAACATGGAATATCTCTTGGCTTGGGCCTTATCACTGATGTCGGCTTCGTAGCCGAGCATCCAGATATAAAAGACCGTATGCTGGGTGCTGGATATGCTAGTACCACAGAAAGTGAGCTACACGCAATGCTCGAAAGCATTTGTGCTGATGCGATGCGTGATCCGGCGATTGTCAAATCGCCAGATTTTGTCTCTGGTATTATGACTGGTCTTACAACCCACTCAACGTTCGAGAAGCGCAGTCTTGCCCCGTTCCCGATGATGGCTCGGCCTTTATTCAGACACTTGTGGGGGATGGACCGACAGACAAATACTGGACTAGCTAACCTTTCCGGGAGTGCTCAAATGCCTGCCGCTGATTTACTCCGCGATGCAAAAAGCGAAGACGACGCAATTAGTATACTCTCGAAATTGCTCTTATCGCGTGTGGCAAAGGCCCTTTTTGTGCCGGAGGTCGACATTGATCTCACGAGGGCCGCATCGGCACAAGGAGTAGACTCTTTAGTAGGGGTAGAGCTGAGAGCATGGGTGAAGAAAGAGTTAGGTGTAGACCTGAGTATCTTCGACATATTGCAGAGCCAGAGTCTGGCTGCTGTGGCGTCTATCATCAATGAGAAGCGTACTACGATCGTTTGAAGGTTTGCACACTCTACGTCAAATGACTGTCGCTTAAGGCAGCCTTCTCAGATAGGAGTAGGAAGATCACTCATAGTATGACTAGATGGTAACAAAACATAGCTCTTCCTACATATAGAAGTGCATAACTGCGCCAGTGTAGAATAGCACATGGAGACTACTTATAAAGGAGTTGCTTCTATTGCGATCTATTTCAATATTTTGGGGTAGATTGCCAATTAACGAGGTCTATGATCTACTACAAAGGCATGAAGTTAATGAAAATATTATACTTGGGCTAACCATTTCGCCCTGGAGCTTTGTCTGTTGCATCAAACAGACTTTGTCCTTGGTTCTAATCTTTCTCTATTGTTCTGTTACGTCTTTTCGTGCCATATTTTCTTTGTTCCGATGTGTGTTGGCCACTTAGACAATGTATAAGATTGGCTTGGTGCCGATTAAATATACATCGTAATCACAAGCAGAGGGTAAGCACTTCCAATGAATAACATCGATGTAGAATAAAGGACATCTTACTTGGTCAAGAGTAATGCTATCACAGGCCGTGTTAACCTTATTATTCAGTCTCCTTCGTCAACTCGAAACGATGAAATCCTATCAACAGGAAGTTTTTTCCCGACAAATTAAGCCACAAATTACCCCGACAGTCGTAACAGGTGATACTCAAATCAATTCTCTATAAAATTGTTTTCCGACCAACCACAATCGACAGGCTCTGCGTCACGGTCACACCCTGGCTCGTTTCCACCAAACAAGCGCTGCACAAGTCTGACCAAGACAGACCCGTCCCTTTTACCTTTCCCAGCTCATCCGAAATACCCCGCCCGACATTCTCCAGTGCCGAAAGAGCATTCGTCGTCATCAGTCTCCGGAACTCCGGAGGGCACTCACGATGCACATCTGCGACAGGCTCAAGTCCACACTTCTCAAAATACGAGGCGAGCGTCGAACACCAGCTACAGTGTGTTAGCAACCTTTGTTATCACCTTTGTCTAAGGTATCATACTTGAGATCGGTCTTAAAACTCATGCACATCCCTTTTAACATGGCCGTGATCCACGCTTGGGCTGACTCCGTGCTCATCCCTGGCGTCGGTGCTCGCACAATCGTTGTGTTTGGCTCGAGCTCGTCCCACTGCAGATAACCACCCGGCTTCAAGAGCCTCACCGCATTCCGGATCATCGTGCATGGGTCGTTGTCTCGAACGACAATGACGAAGAGCCTGATGTGGACGATGTCGAATTGACCAATCAGCTCAGCAGGAGGCTCAGTGTAAACATCCCATTCCGAAAACTTGAAGGTTGATGGTATGTCGTCCCCCATGGGGAGATAATCGTGTGCGATATCTATGCCTTCGAAAAGCACGTTTTCGCGGATGTTGGCCGGGAGTGAGCGATATGTCTCTAGAAGCCAGGCGCTGGATGTATATGTTATTATGGCTTTGCAGTTGGTGGAAAAGAAGTTGCTTAGTACAGACCCATTACCACAACCGACATCAGCGATCCGAATATTCCCGTTCTCTTTGATGTGTTCCTCCGTGACTAGGGATGCTGGAGCGGGTTGTGGAGGGTATTCATCGAAAAAGTACGTGAACATCCAATGCTGCATACTCAACCTGACCACAGTAATTCAGAGAGGGTCTAAGACAAAGAACTAGCACTCATTTATCCTACCTCACAGAGTCATTCAGCTCCCGGGTTAGACCGTAGCGATTGTCACGCACAGGTGCTGCTTCATTTTCTGTTGCCGTTGCCATACCGACATGAATGCGGAGAGAGCGATAAGTCAGACAGTAGGCGAGATCAAATCTTCTGACATGGAACCAAACAAACAACTCTACGGACGTGGCCATCTACTTAAATTTCAACGATGCCCAACGCACTTATGACGGCCTGTTGGACGCCTCACACTAGCTCGCGTAGCCTCCCATTGATTATAGACGTTTCGCTCCCGTCTCAAGACACGGGGTCGTCAAGACATTACAAAAGAATTGTGATGTCGATACATATACCCGTTATTGGTACTCTCCAAAAAGTTTTACTGAGAGCGACTTATGACAAAGAGTTTTCTATAGATAGTAGGTCAACACATACGTCAAAAAATTACTTCCACCCCGCGTCCTAGCTGATACACTAAGAGAGTTTGGTCACCTTAGCGTTAAATATGACATCGTGATCAGTTATCGTGGACAGTACGGGTTAGAGAGATATGATGACAAAATCAAAGTGCAAAATGTGAATTTTCTAACAAATTCAAAGGCGCGTCCTACTACACCGCCAGCTCTCCACTGGACAATCACAGTCTCCGCCGTGGTATTAAGAAAGTCTGAAAAGCCAAAAGGAAGCTGTATGCTCCACATAAATCTCATATTTCCTTGTTTCACATGAAGTTTTCCAGATGACGAAGTTGGAGTACATGGACAAATGAAAATAAATCTAGGTCTGTGTGTAAATACAGTAGTAGAAGAAACATTTCGGCAATTTCACATTGTCTCCTCACGTCTGGGCCCCATTTTACATTAAACCAGGCATTCTCCAGTACACATATCCGTCGAAGGGAGCTCGTCTTCCCCCTTCTTCTAGACGTTATCCATTTTATGTCGTCTTGTGGGAATTTCCATCTGAGATATTACCCAGTTCAGTAGCGGTGTTCTCACCCTACGCTGTTGGCCCTGGAACCGGCTTTGGTAAGTCAAGGGAATTGCCCTGCTTGGAGAGTTCCTGTTCGTGACTTTGAGAGAAATCTTCCAGGCCCTTGTCCGCAGCGTTGGCTCCCAAGTTCTTGCTCTGCTCAGGATTCTGCCAGTTGTTGCTTGCTGGAGCGGAGCTTGGTGCCATGTCTTGGGGCTTATCAGCGCTGGATGGGGTGTTCTGCCAATCATTGCCTGCTGGAGCAGAGTTTGGCATCATATCTTGGGGCTTAGCAGCGCTGGAGGGGTTGCTCTGCCAGTCATTGCTTGCTAGTGCGGAGTTTTGCGCCATATCTTGGGATTTAGCAGTGTTCCAGGCGGTGTTCTGCCAGTCATTGCTTGCTTGGGCGGAGTTTAGATCCGGGTTGCTGGGGTACTTTGCGCGGTTACTCTGCCAGTCATTGCTTGCTGAACCAGAGGGTGGGTACGGGTTGTTGAACTTGCTGCCAAAGTCGGTGGCACCAGATTCTTGTAGACCAAAACCACCTGCGGTAGCACCCGGCGTAGTAGTGTCCCAGTCATTGTGAGACTGAGCAATGTTGGAGCCAGCGACTGGAGGGTACTTTCCGGAAGTGCTATCCCAGTCATTGCTCCCTGGAACGAAGGGTGACGGAATGTTGGACCTGCCACCAAAGGTGGCGGCACCAGCTTGTGAAGCGGGCATGTTCTGTAGAGCATCGGCTTGTTGACCAAAACCACGCGTGGTGGCACTGGCCTTGTCTGCTGCCCAGGAGTCCATGTTGGCACGTTCGGTAGGGATGTCAAAGTTGGAACCACCAGCTAGTCGGATAGTCTGCTCCTCCATGTGTGCTGGAAAGGGGTTCAGGTGTGCCCCGTCGGTATGAGTTTTGTCATGACCCTTATCGTGGACGAGCTTATCGTGAGACTTGAAGTCTATAGCGATGATCAACTTGTCTTGCGGTGCATCAAAACCAGCCGAGACACCAGCTGGCGTAATGTTGTCTTTGTGTACCGGAAGGTGGTGCATAGGCCCTTTATCAGCTGGCTTTCCCGCGTCGTCACCCTTTTTATCGTCATGGGCTTTCGGGTCCTTGTCCTTGGGTTCTTTGTCGGCAGGCTTTCCTGCGTCATCACCCTTTTTATCGCCCTCTTTGGCTTGATCTTTAGGGTCCTTATCCTTATTTTCTTTGTTGGCAGGATCAGTGGACGGTTTTCCTGGCTCGGTAGGCTGCTCCCCCTCAGTGTTTGGAATATGGCGTTTATGTACTCCCTCAGGCATGTTTAGGCCGTCATCGAAGTCCACGTCGCCATCCAAATCCTCACCTAGTACGATCCGCTTAGAAAGACTGTCTGTAAGTACATTCGTTCCGATATCCTGACCGGCCTCTGGCGAGTCTAGGACTATGCGTGGTCTGATGATATCGAGACAGGACGAGTGTGAAGCCTCACCGTCACGACAGGTGATGGTCGGCAGAGCAGCTGTGAATGGGAGGGTGGCTCCGAGGAGCAGAGTGACTGAGCGTGAGAGAGTCGGCATCTTGATTGGTCCTGAGAACAAGATGCTTCTGCAATGATGACCTGAGTAGCTTGGAATGATGCTGAGAGACAGAGCAAGCGTTGGGTGCACACTTATATTCACTCCATCATAAAATTATTGTGCGCAGTGTGCACTTTGCGGTGTTTCTATCTGGCCCGCATGGTCTACGATCACTGACTTTTCGCAGTGTCAGGATATGTCACTTAGGATGAAGAGCCAGGCACGGTGATTTCCTTGCAAGTCTAATAGTACTATGTAGTTATTACTGTCAAAAAAGCCTGGAAGCAATCAGCTTGGCAGCGAATTAGACGCGTCTATGCATCGGACCGGAACAGGTACACAGACTTTAAAACTAATATTAGTAGTGACGGGATGTACCTGAAATAGTATATTTGCTCTGCAAAGACACATCAGTAGAAGGATTTGGTCCTACAAGAGGATTTAAAACAGTTCAACCACCTTACTATGTACTGTGCGCGATTATCAGGCAAGGGTGCCCTAGTATAAATCTGTCTATAGGGAAGAGGAGCAATGCTTGGCAGGATGTCACAACCACCGAGCGGTATATATATATATAGCTGCGGCATTAACTATGAAACAACGGATACTTATCCACCCAACTCACTTGTCATAGCTCATGATATAAACAAAGCGGATCTTGAAAATGACATTTCCGCCGCGCAATTCCTTCCAGTCACATCGAGCACTCATGCTGCTGCTCCACCAGTACAACCGGCCCTTTATACACCTTCCGTGCGCGACGCACGTAATCTACAGTACTCAACAGCGCAACAGCAAGGAACATTACCACGGCCCAGTTAAACGTCTCTTTATCCACAGGCGTTTGGGGCGGCCAGAAACACCAGAAAAACGCAACCGTGCTATACGCGACTGCGATTGCATTTATCGGCACGCCCCAGTGACCTAAGCTCCAGCGGCAAGGAGGTAGAGTTTCAGGCGCGGTGATGCGGCGGTAGAGCACGCAACCGATGGAAATAGTATATGTGATCATGAGCGAGACGAGATTGAGCGATATTATAGCATTGAATGTCACCTCAGAGCCAATGTTGATGAGTGATAGCACCGCCGTGAGTACGCATGTAATTAAGACCGCATTTACCGGTACATGCATAGTAGGATGCACAGCACTGATGAATTCACTGAATGGTAGACCTCCATCGCGCGCAAAGGCCCATGTCTGGCGCGATGTAGATAGATTGTAAGACATTGTGCCCGCGAATATCAGGATTATGAGGATCGAGGTGAGGCCATTGATGCCGGCAACGGAGACAGTTTGGCGAAAGACAAAGATGAACGGATAGTCCTCATTGAGAGCGTCTGTAACAGATGTGATCGTGAAGAGGAAGGAGATGAGGAAGACGATGCCGATACCACCGTTGACGAAGTATGAGCCCATCATAGCGCGAGGGACTGTGACTCCGGCATCTTCGATTTCTTCAGACATGTGCGCAGCTGCATCAGCACCTACACGTGAAAGTTAGCAGGTAGCAAGGTCAGAAAAAAGGTCTTGACTCACAGATGCACGCATAGAGGGATGATATCTGACCAACCATCAAGCTGACTCCTATCGAGCCCCAACCACCAGAGTTGGTGAACTCAAGAAAGACTGTCTTGGCAGGGACTCTAGGTGAGAGGACCCAAAACACGATCATTATGATCAGAAAACCAGATACATGGACAACTAACATGACGTTCTGGAACATTGGCATGATCCTCACGCCATATACGTTGATGAAGTAGATCATTATAGTAATAGCAATGACTATTAGCGTTCCCTGCCAGTTACTAGGTGAGTACGATTCGTTATTTTCAATAACTAGCGACTGAATCATTGTGCCGACTAGGAATGGTCCGGAGGCAGTACCGGCTTGCCATGATAGTGTGGACATCCAACCTAGAAATTTTACTACATGTCATCGGATATATATGAAGGTTCATACCTGTCTGATAACTCAGAAAGCGCTGGAATCGAGGTGGCGCGAATTCGGACACCCAATGATACTGGCCTCCGGAAGTGGGTGCCCTGTAAGTTGGTAAGAGCTCGAAAAGAGCCTGAGAAATCTGGTGCAAGGTACTTACATTGACGCCATCTCCGCCAGTGAGACATTAACAAACAGCATTCCGACAAAAGTCCAAATATACGACCAGATGAGGCCAGCGAGGCCTCCGTTCTGCAGACCTTGATAAGATGCACTACATCCTGAGCATGAATATGAAGATTAAGAATTCGAGGCATACATACGCCAAAAGTACTTCCCACGTTCCTTGGAGGATGACTACAAAGGCCAAAGCAGAAAGGGGTCGAAAGTTCCTCTAATGAGTCACATGGTGAGCTTCATATCGGTCGCATTGAATCCACGTGGTGAAAGCTAGAATGAAACATACTATCAGCTCCTGTGTCTTGCCCATACGCGCCATATCGCGCCTGTCGTGACTCAGCGAGCGCTGAAACCTATGAATATCGACGTCGTTCACGTCATCATTAGCTGGGCCTGGTCTGTGATACGTTGTCTCTTGAGGTCCAGTCGATTTTGCCTCTAAAGGATTGCGCGCGCTGGCAACCCCAATCGCGGCTGTGGCCGACATCCGGACTTACACAACGTTATTCGACGTCTGTAACGTATGTGAAGGCCGGTTCCGGTTGATATTCGTTCTTTTCGTCGCTCGAGGTCGATATGCGAAAAGCATTGAGATGAAAGGTGAGGAGGGCGAAAGCAGAAATACCTTTTTAAGAGCTTATCGTCCAGCCATGCTAGGATAATCAAAGGCCAACGGTCCACTTCAAGCTCTTCTCGCCAGTCATCTCATGCACGAACGGCTGCTCAGCCATTAATGTTGCCGTAGAACAGCCGTTCTAGATATATATTTCTAACTTGGTCTATTGAATGGATAGCGAGGCACGGCCAGTGTAGCCGCATCCATGGTGAGCCTGCCAACCATCCATGCAACCGTCCCCGCTTGAATGGCAGCCTACACGCCCAGACAGGTTGAACGTACGTGACCATACGATGGCTGTATTTAAATTCTGAAGGAGATCAGGCAGCTAGGGCATGGTGAGAGTGAATTTCGAGGTCGGAGTAAATTATATATGAATTAATTGTAGTTGGATGTGAATTGATCACAGTAAAGTACGTCTAGTTATGCTGAAAGATTCGTGAGCTGGAAGAAAACGTGGTGCAAACACACAAATCTCAATCTATCATATCGGCTCATCTCGCGGTTCAATCAGCAGCTCGTTCACAGCTACGTGGCCCGGCTGCCGTAATGCGTACACGATCGACGAAGCGATATCCTCCGGATCAAGTATCTTGCTCCCGGTCGGCTCGCCATATTTCTTGATCGCTTCCTTATCACTACTCATGCCGAGTAGATCAGTCGCAGTATTCCCTGGCTGCACGCTCGTGATGCGTAAACCTGAGCCGGCCGTCTCCAGTCTCAGGCTCTGCAAAGTTGCCTCGACGAAAAATTTGCTGGCAGAATAAACGCCGAGCCCGGGAAAGACTTTACGACCAGCATCGGAGGAGATGGCGACAATGTGACCACTGCCTTGTGCCAGCATTCCTGGTACAACAGAAGACAAGCAATGTAGTAGGCCCTTACAATTCACATCCACAGTCCGGTCCCATTCCTCGACCTGTACATTTTTCATCAGCGTATAATACATTACACCAGCGCACGAGACGAGAATGTCAACAGGTCCCAGCTCGGCTGTCGTTTGCGTAATGAGCGCTTCGACCTGCTTTCGATCTGTAACATCCGTCTTACGGATCAAGACCTTGCCCTCACGAACGACGAGCCGCCGTTTGATAGCCTCTAATGCATCGTAGCGTCTTGCAGCGAGGGCTAGATGACAGCCTTCGCGAGCAAGTGCTGCGGCGATGGCTGCCCCCATTCCAGATGATGCGCCAACAATAACAGCTACGCGGCTACTCAACGGACCATAGCGAGGGCGCTGTGCGGAGCCGCCTTTAGATTGATGCGTTGAGGGCGGATGGGAGAGCCATCCTCGCGCGTACCAATGGCGTGTATAAGTCTCGAGAAGAACCTTGTCGACCTTTGGTCGTTCAACCACAGCCCTATATGGCCTTGTTGCGACATTGTTGAGCACAGTGATGCCTTTGAGAAACCCGATACTTGGCATACCGCTGCGTAGGATATCGACAGTAAAGGCACCGTCACCTCCTTTAGCCGCGCCTCTTTTCACGTTCCACATCGCGACCCACTCATCGAACTCGAGTGGTTCTGTGGGATAGCCTAGGTCAGTCAAGTGCTGGAAGAGCTCCTTTGTTGGGATCGGGTTTGGATCGCCGAGATGGAACACCAACTGATCCGCATGTGTTTGATTACCAAGATGAACAATGGCTTTGCTCACAAAGTCGACTGGCGTCATTTCTGCGCGCCAGCCAGGTACATCAGGGAAATATCCGATGCGTACAGATTCTACGAACAGGGCATTGAGTAGGTCCCACGCATTAGATGCTCCGGAAGTACTGTGTCCGCTTATTGTGCCGGCACGAATGATCCTAACTGGCATGCCGCGACGACTTGCTTCGACAACAAGTTGCTCTGCGACCCATTTTGAATGGCCGTATCCGTCAAGCAGCTTCTCATGTACATGCTCTACGCCTAGCATGGCTTCTTCTGGCCAACCTCCCGCTGATGGCGGGAGTACACCGTTACTGGAGATGTATTGGACAGTAGACCCGCCCTTGCTGGCAAGACGAAGAATCTCGCGAGTTCCGCCAACGTTGGCGTCACGAAGCGCAGCATAGGGATAGACGAGATTGACTGTGGCTGCGGCGTGAACAATGACATCTGTCCTAGATGCAATGTCTTGAAATGCTCCAGAAGACAGGCCAAGCTGCTTTCGTGCAAGGTTTGCTGGAATGATCTCAATCCGTTCCATGATCTCGTCGTTCCACAGCCCAAAGTCAATCATATTTCGTCGAATCCTGGCAATGCCAGCTGGGACATCGTCCTCTGACGGATCATTGCATCGGACAAGGCAAAGAATGTGAGCTGACGTGCTCTCTAGGAGCTCATTGAGCAAGAACGCGCCCAGAAATCCAGTGCCGCCCGTCAAAAGGACGGTATTCGCATTCTGGAGCGAACACATCTTTGCCCCATTGGAAATGATGTCATCCTCAAGAACCGAGTCTGCTCGCAGCACAGCCGGAAGATCTGCTTGCAAAGCAGCGATACGGCCATCTCTAACGGCGCGTACAGTCTCAAGATGACCATTAAGTGTTGGTGGAGAAGCGAGGCGGCTCGCAGGTACGCGGAACCCGAACATTTTACTAAAACGAGAAGCTAGCTCTGCCAGTAGTAGTGAATGTCCTCCCAGGTCGAAGAAACTATGTTCTGGTGTAATGTTACCCCGTGAAGTGTTCAGCGTGATTGCCCATATCTCAGCAATGTCTTCAAGATCTATGGGATCACGCTCAGCTTTTTGACCAGGTGCTTGAGGTTTCGGTGTGGGAGGTGAAGGGAGACGCGCTGTATCAATCTTGCCAGACACGCCATGGGTAGGTATCTCATCGAGTTGAACCCATAATGCAGGAATCATATACTGAGCAAGGTACGCAGAGAGCATTTTGCGCCCTGATGGACTGTAGCCCGCCTCATCTATAGCCAGGGCTGGGCGTGATTGGGTGGCATCCTTGTCTCGTACAACATATGCGACTAGTTGTCTTTCTAACCCCTCTCCGTGTGCGATGACAGCACAGTGTTTTACAGCCAGATGGGTTGTGATGGCATTCTCCACTTTCCCAGGAACAACGGAATACCCACGCAATTTGATCATAGCGCCAACACGACCACCGATTTCCAGCAGACCGGAGGGCAGTAGTCGCGCAAGATCACCAGTCCGATACATACGAGCACCGGGTGCTGAGCTGTATGGATTTGCGGTGAAGGCTCGGGCAGTGGTTTCCGGCCTGTTTATGTAGCCTCGAGCCAGTAGGTTACCGCCAACGAAAAGCTCACCACTCACGCCTACGTCGGCCTTTTGTCCACTTTCGTTTAGGATGTAAACTCTCTTCGGGTCCAGAGGTTTTCCAACAGGGCAATATGCTACTCCATCGTCCAAGTTCTCGAGCATCTCAGCGATATCGCCGCAAGCGATTTCATGAGTTTCACACGCGCTATAACAGTTCAGTAATCGAGTACCCGGAAGCGCTTGGAGTCCTCGGCGTGCTAGATCAGTCGTAACAACCTCTCCGTTCAGCCACAGGGTTTTGAGCTTAGCCAGCCGACTGCCGACCTCGGGATGTCTAGCCAAGACGGCAGCAAGCAGTGTAGGCGTCATCAAGGTCTCTGTGATGTTCTTTGATGATAAGAATTCCACCAAAGATACCGGATCATAGCTCGTCTCGTCTGGAACAGGCACCACAGTTGCACCTCGTAGAAGGGGTCGTATGATTTCCCAAACAAAAAAGACATTGCAGGCCACACGATCCCCGGGTTGAAGATCACTAATGGCAAATCTCATGTCGTATGAAAGGACTGGTGCACGATGTGGGTTTGCTATGCCCTTCGGTTTTCCAGTTGTCCCTGAGGAATATGCAACAAAAGACAATCGATCCAGATCGTCGTCTGCTGGTAAAGGTGGAAGGTCTTGATCGGACCTTTGGCCATCTTGCTGAGATTCGGTGTCGTCAAGGGCGATGAATTGAACACCATCCTTCAACTTGCCAATCTCTGACCTCTGGGTTAAAATAACAACTGGATTTGCATCTTCAATGACATCAGTCAAGAGGTCTGTCGGATATGCCAACTCAAGCACAAGAAAGGCACCACCGGCTCGAAGGGCAGCAAGACAAGCGATGACATAGTCGGCACCACGAGGTAGTAGCACTCCGACCAGGCTATCACGCCCTACACGATGGCATCTAAGGCGATGTGCGAGCTCGTCGACCTTCTGGTGGAGGTCGGAGTAGGTATACGAGGTGCCATCATCATCTAAGGCGAGGGCATCGGGAGTTGTCTCTGCTTGCTTTGTGAAGAGCGCTGATAAATCCTTTGTGGTATCTATGATGGGCATAATTGAGTGGCGGGCGAGGAGGCGATTAAGTTGTAAAATGGCTGGGACGATGCCACTTGAACGACGAAATGGGTTTGGGTGAGTGAAACTCAGGGTGCGACCCACTTAATTCTCTACCTCTCAGCGTCCAAGGTACTCACGACCGTCACCGCCTTTAGATATTGGCTGACCACGAGCATCTTAACTTTCAAATCCTTGCTTGTCCAGTCCGGCGGACTAGAGAATTGCGTTGTTGTACACGCATAGACTAGGGCTGTTGGGATAGCCAAATAGCAACGTCTAAAGAGAGAGAGAGAAGAGTTGAGCTTTTTCGTATTGATACGGTGATACCTGGTGGCTTACTAATGTTAACTTTACCACACCGTGTGGATGACCGCGTGTGGCTACTGTCAGCGCTTACTAAGAACAAATCGCGTACTACTAAATGGATCACTTCAGATATCTACCACTGGTATCCCCCTTTCAACGTCAGAAACGACCTCCCTAAAATCAAGACTATTCAATACTGTTGCCTGCATATGCTAACATTACCCCAGTCCATTCTCTTCCCAACTGCCATAACTCACCACCCTTCCGTACTATAAACTCGTTACCTCACATCAGACACGCAAGACACTGATTTTATGACTGGGAATGCAGGAACGTTCACAGAGAGGGGGTCGCATACATACTCGCAATACCCGATCCCATGACAATAGGCAGACTGCGTCAACGTCATGTTGCCCAGTGCGCGAATGCAGTTTCCTGAGCTTGAAAGACTATCACGGAGACTGATAATGCTTTAACAAAGGAATATCTCGCAATTAACGTTTATTTACCAAGAAGATACATCCTCCCTCAGGAACAATCACAACATGTTTATACATCTGACCTACGCCTTCTGAATCATCCTTCGCATTGTCTTTACATCTGGGGATAGGCTGCCAATGATCTCCACAAGCTCATCAGCAGCTGCTTCTAGATTGTCATCCGAGCAAGGTTCCAACGCATCCAGGATAAACAGGACCCTCGTTGTTCTGTCAGTGATACGAGTTCGCGAGCACTGTCGCCAGTTCCAGCGCCGACATGTGATTCCTGCATCATCGCACCACGCAACCTCTCCATCAGGCGGCAATTCTGTCACTTTTTCGCCTCCTACAACTGTCTCGAAATGTTCATATCCTGACATGCGCTTGAGCTGGGGTGGACCGCTGTACGCGTCCAGATCTTCTCCACCACAAGGAATCTGATACTTAATCGATATAGCATTGTAGATATCCGTCAATCTGTTGATGCGTGGGAGACCAGTCGTGCAACGTCGCATCAATGATTCAAGACTGCATCGATCTTTCTTAGTCTTCGCGCCAAAGGCCTTGTACGCTTCACGCCATGAAACAATATGTGGAATACTAGTGACGGCCTGCGTCAATAGTATTGTCTGTACTACTGATTCGGTTTCAACCAAGAGGCTTTCAGATGTCGCATCACTTGGGCCTTGTGGTATCCCTTCGATCACGAGTAGAAGGACACGGTAGTCTGGTCAGAGCTCGAATACATCCTCCTGGATTTGAGCGCTCTGCAAGAATGTTGCTGATGTCGTTGACATTGTGAACAACGATGTTCAAAATGGGGGAATCGGCGAAGGTCGTAAGTAAAGTGCAGAAGCTGCTTCATGCAACTGACAGGCTTGAGATCATTGAAGGAAAGCCGCAAGCCTTCTCTTATAACTTCTGCTCCAGGTTCACATAAAGTTCCAGTCAGATTGGAATGAAGAAAGGCACCAATCATCTTTCTGGGCTCACTTTGCGCTAACCTATTTGGGACTACAGGGCGTGGACCCATAATAGATGTAGACTTCGCTCAAAGTCATCCGAGTTTCCCTAGACTGGACAGCTTAGTCGCGTCTTCCACCTGTCATTTCATACTTGCATAGGTAAGTTTATATGTGATTAGGTCATGATGGAATGAGCAAACTGGTAAATCAAGCCCTCCTAGTGACTTCTAGTGACTCTTAGGTGACGGAAGCAACATGTGCTAACGGCGACCAACAAAGATTGAACCCTTATCTTTGTGTACAGAAGGTATCCCTATAGACCCTAGGGCCCATATAAAACTTCAATTAACCTCCGAATTATCGGGCTCCTCTCATTGAAGGTGTGTGGATTCCTACACTGAAACTCCGGTTGCCGAAGCGCTCAAAGGCTTAGACAGAAATTTGCGCAGCAACATTCGTGTTGTCTTCATCAAATATGATGACGGCAAGGGAGCCCATATCCTCAAATTTCAGCTACGACCATCAAGGGGGCAGAAGTCGTGAAAAGCTCTTTCTAGGCGAGGAGCTCACTAATCATATATTTTCACCACGTTTAGATGTCCTAAAACCTTACAAATTATGAGAGGCATATACTAATATTTTAATCCTGGAGTCATAGTAGGATAAAGCTACTATTCGAAGTGTGAAATGGATGAATTTTGGTGAGAGGTGATCCACAAATTTTATAAACCCCCTGTTGAGCAACTCATTGTATTGCAAGATCCATGAGTTATTTTAAAAGAGGTTTCTCAAGTCCTAGGTATACGCAACCTATGGTCTAGATACAATCTCCCGCTGCTCACCACGGAGAAGTCCAAAGGGTCCTTTTATATGTACCTATGATAGCACCGCTGGAAACGGCACGTATGGATATGTATGAGATACTGGCATTCAGACCTCACATGTCGAGTTCAACGGACGAGCCCAGTATGGGCACAACTTCAACCAAACTGATGAACCCCCTGAAGATGATGCAGGAAATGGGGACGCACGTTGCAGGTATAATGTGCTCTGAAAATATGGTGTATCGAAAAAATGCCAGCTCATCTCTGTCAAAGTGATGGGCATAGACGGCGGACCATTGTCCTCAGCCCTGGACGGATCCTGACTGGTTCATACTTTCCCTCTTACGTGACCCATACGCCTACCATGGCTACGGGTCGTTTCTGATATTCTATTTAGGGCTGTCAACGACATTATCGAGAAGGGTCGCACCACGCGTGCCGTCATCAACCTGTACTTCGGTGGAGATGCTTCAGTCCTCTGGCATGACGCCATAAGAACAGCATACGACAAAGGTGTGATCACTGTCGTAGCAGCCGGTAATTTGATTGTGAATGCTTCATCACAAGGCCCAGGGTACATGCCCCAGTGCATCACCGTGGGGGCGACGGATGCACATGATAGACGCGTGGGAGGTTCGGATTTTGGTGAGGCTATAGATGTCTTTGCTCCTGGTCACTTGGTGAGGTCGCCTTTCTGGAGAGGCAACAACGGGTTTAATACTCGCGTGGAAATTCTGAGTGGGACCAGTACGAATGCTGCATTTGTTTCTAGGCTTGCGCTCTATCTGCAGGCTCTTGAAAGTTTGAAGACGCCCAAGGCTGTGGCAGATAGGATTATTGAGTTGCCTACAAATGACATGGATTATCTCGGATGCGGGGCCTGGGAGCCCGAACAGGTTGTTATATAACGGTTGGTATTGAGAACGCGTGCTTTACATAGCTACAGTCCCTTGACTAGGGCCTTGTCTTAGCATAAATGATTAATGAAGTGTTATTATATCAATAGATCGATGCTTTTATGAATCATGCTAAGCGCATAATTTTATAGCTGTATCGAACCCTGTGCTTATAGGAGGGTTACGCAGTTATATGATACCCCTAGCTTGTGTCTGCTCGATCCTCGCTCCTCTCCTGTGCCCCTTATTTCTGATCCGGGTATCCTGTTATTTAATAACCAGGATAAGGTAAAGACAAAGTCTATAATACTGAGTTTCTATAGATACGAACACAAGATACTATTTAAGGAGTTGTTATAGGTATATAAAACTTGGATAAATGCGTTTTTGGGAGAATCTATTTTCGCGATGCAGATATCAACAGACTGCCTTCTATGGGTATAGCCCTATGATTATGTTGGTACATCCCCGTCGATGTTTATTGCCTTATGTACGCTCGTACTAACACATGCTGGGATTGCCCCTTAGAGGACAGACCGTGCGTTGCTCGGCATGCTGCTTGCCCAAATTTGATATTTCATAGTTTCATTTACATTCTAGTTACCACCTCAAGCAAGGTCACCTGAGATAGATATGGATATGGCGAAGTATAATATATATATAAAGGAAAAGCATCAGGAATGCTCGTTCGAAACCCATCTCACGAAAGATCTTTGCATTCAGCCCCATGAAGTAGTTTCAGTAGTGATCAAGCTTCCCAATATAACTTTTGATAGCTCGTTGCGTAGTGGGTGATCCCTTCCTCGGGCGAACCTCAAAACATTGACTTGCGGGCTTAGCTGTGCCTGCTCACCTCGATAAATCTCTCCAACCTTATCAGCTTCACGAAAGTCTTTCTCACGGGCGAATTTTTCCGTGCTATGGCAATTTACAGCGCGGAAAGTACTACTCAATGTGACCACAACGACGTGAGTGGCTGTTTTCGGAGTGGTACGCTATCAACACAACTCTGCTTTGAGTTTCAGTGAGTCAAGGATATTCTCCTTGAACTGTTGAGCGTCTCATAGATCCATGGCTTTGATTGCACCACTCTCAGCATCGGCGGATTTTCCTGTCGAGGTTGGTTTCATCTTCATTGGTACCGGACAGATGTTGATTATGCATGACTACTTGGCTATCAATCATCCTTGGCCAGAGGATCCAGGGACGGTCGTGATGATTTCGTGATGTTGCTTGTGTTCGACATGCTTCTCGGCCCATCACCTTCGAGACTAGGAGGATTTGTGGTGAGGCTCAGCCTGAATGCTCTTGCTCTGTGCTCTCAAGTACTCCCACTGGTCGCGAGGGGTGATCATATGACCTGACTATGCCGAGGACCACCACAGAGAGTCCTCTAGAACTCAGCGCACCAGAAGCTAGATATGTCGGTACCTTGCACAACACTCTGCTCAAGAAGGTCTCCCGTACCATTGTGTCCTCTGGCCCCTATTTAAACTCGACATCGGACTTATCGGGCTCGAAATCGGCTCTCCTGGCTCCTCGTGACCCGGATCACCTCTCAGATCCACCGTCAGATACGGGGTATTGAAGCTTCTACTATTGCGGTCGCTGACCGGGGAAGGGCCGCTCATACCACTCGTGCTGGAAGGCTCGGTGACTTCAGACACAGGCCGCAGATGCGTGTACATGTCCGGCACACCTTCGCCAATGTCGTGTCCGAACTGCTGCGACATGTGATGTGGCGTACCCATGGCATGTGGGTTGGAATTGAGTGGACCGGATCCGGGATAAGGGTATTGCGTATAGCCAGCGGGGTGCATATCGCGGGGATGAGGATAGGTATGAGCCAGAGGGCCAGCTTGGGCTACAGGACCCTGGCCATGGATGGATTGGTACGACATGCGAGGTGGAGCTTCGGATCGGGTCTCGCTGTGCTGGGAATAGGCGCGTGTAAGTTGCGGATATGGTGGTGGTATTGGTGGTTGGTCTTTGAATGTCTTTTTCCGTCGTTTATGGACACAGAACCAGAGGATAAGCCCGAGAATGAGGAGGCCAGCAACAGCGGAACCGATTCCAACGCCGACTTTGAATCTTGTGGTGTCTGTGATGTCTTCGCCAGTGTTTACGGGGACTGAAGTTGATCCGGTACTTCCAGGGCTGCTTACCGCAGCGTTGGACGTTGGGCTTTGTGTTGTCAATGCCGAATTCGAGTGCGGAGTTGTCGTCGCGATGGTCAAAGCTATGGTGGAACTTCTGGTTACTGGCGGAATGGTCGTGAGGGTCAGATTCGGGGCATTAATAATAGTTTCAGCTTCACCAGGCTCTATCACGAATGTACCCTTTCTACTGTCACAGTCACAGTCTCCATTCAATTCGTCGTACCTGCAGCAATAGGTATCATTGCCACAAGCGGTGAGCTCTCCACTACTACCACGGTCTGGTTTGCGTTATCGATTAGCAGAAGAGCTCATCAAGCATAGGACTTCGTACCTAGACAGTAATTTCCACAGAGTCTCGTATTGAAATTTGGATTTGTGCATGTAGGCCTGAAAGCCGTACCGAGCGGAACATTGGTCGTCGTTGCATTTGGATCAGTGAGTATGCATACGTTATTGGAGAAGCAGGTGAAGCCAGAGGGGCAACAGGCTGATGTAAAGGCAAACGGATTGCACGGTTGGTAAAGCAGAGCCGACTCTCCACCGGGATAATAGCACGGCGCATTCGGTGTGGCGTCTACTGCGGACATCCAGGTCTGAAGAAAGACGAGTGATACCAGGCTTCTGCGTGTTGCTAACATTGTGTTTAGCCTTATCGCGGGGCCGTAAAACAAATGGCATCCCAACTATGCCAAAGTGAAAGTATGGTATGAGGGAACAATGCGCACCACCTACAACTCATAGTCGATCAGCAGTTCAGCAGACCAGAGAGGACAAATTTGGATCATGGGTAGGGTAGGGATCAAAGGGTATGTCAGACAATTTACGGTGAGCAGATCCATGAGATCTGCTCGGCAAACGATAGGGAGCCTTGCACTGGGCCGATGCTCGCTCTGATGCTCGACCGTGGGTGATCACCGTGTGGATCCATGGTATCGGACACCTTCAAGGATTAGTGGCTCCTGAGGTGTATTCCTAAGGCGTAGTAAGAGGAATAGGGCCTTGGGGGCTACGGTTTCAGGACAGCCCCCACAATCACATCCCGACACGGCACAACCCCGCGAACTCTATTTATATCCATGAAGCAAATGCTGGTGTCTTGAGTAGCTTGTCTTCGTTGGTGACGGCGACTTCCTTTAGCTAAACTTCTCTATTTGGAAGACTACATCCAGCAGGATTTCCGGAACGTGTCCATGACATCGGCGTATAGGCCCACTCTCTGGATCATTCCGTGTCAAAAACTTCCTGTGGATACCGCACCTCTTCACAGCGACCTCGACCAGGAAGGGAACCGAGTTGCTAGCATGTTTTCGCTTATCCCTGTTTCGGAAAATGTGCAGTAATAACGAAACGGTCTAGTCGACTTCTTTACCACCCACACTGAGGGTATAAAACCCTGTTGGAAGGACAGAGAAGCGTTTCACCATAGCTGCAGGCAGGTCTAGCTGACATCTTGCAGTACCGTGCAGGTCATTTGGTCGACCGCTAGCTATTCGGTACTTGATTGTATGCCTTACACTCTCCAGTGACATATGAGCAATCTGTTCGTTTCAGTGTGCAGTAGCACTGAGCTGGACAGCATATCTGTTGCCGTACTGCTAGACATTACATGATTGATGAGACTCCTGTATGGGATAGAATGTTTCTCTCGCCAGTAGCCATCGTTCTATGCACCGGCTTAAGTATAAAAATGCCAAGTCTCACCCACCAGGTCGAATCCTTGAGGGTGTCATACACGATAACGGCCCATACTTAGATAGGCCATTTCAGTGAATGCATAGCAGGGAGGTACCATACCCCGCATCACAAAAGGGAGTGATGAGCGCGAAAGATACCGTTCTGAAGCGCCAATCCAGTGCCCGGCTCGTTATGTGGCCTTGCATGTTATAGATTCGGAGAGATATGAAAGATCAGCATACTGCAGACTTCCAGAACTGTGGACTGCCACCTAGTCTCGCTAAGGAGATTCTATCTATGCACACCAAGATTGAAAGGGCCACCTGGGTAGCCCTGCGGCTGCGACCGCTTATGGCAACTCGATACTTGCTTATTAATACAGATTGCATTGGACCTTTGCTGTGGACGGAAGGATTGCAAGATTCATGTTCGTTTCTGCCAACATAACGTACTGTCATCAACCTTCGTGGCCAGGCTGATCATGACATCAATGGCATCCTTAAAGGATGTACGCGTACGCCATGTAGTTGCCCAGCAACATGGACTACAGTATATACCATTCATATTATCAAGGGGTTGCGTTTGTGAGGTGTCGTTGATGTTCGTAATTGATTGTTTATGTGATGTTCTTGAAGAGTTATCACAACGCGGATGGATATATGTGCAAAACATTCGTGTAATCTCCGCACTCAGGATATCTCTCACTAGTCACCTGAGAGCTCCTTAGTCCAAGCTGAGCGTAGACGCTCTCTTTCTTGTCATCATATTTTGCTGATCGAGCAAGTAATGCTTTGGAGAATCAGTACAACGTGTCATTAGTCTTGCGATTGTCCGGGTTCAGATTATGTCAACACTTGAGCTCATATGTTCAGGATGTATAATTGTAACGCCTATCTGTAGCGCACAGAGCCGACCATGGACAAATGGACAATGCTGAAATCGCAAAAATCGAATTTGCGCTCGCTGTTCGTACCCAATGGGATGGCATGTAATAGCACTAAGCCTGATCCGGCGGACGCGATGAACTACTTGTGTCACAACAATTCCATTCACTCTCGCGTAGACACATCCAACAACATTCATTCCAGCCTTAGGCTTTGCGTGTACGTTTCGCGTCACTCACACCCATTACGCGATAAATCTCCTGTACCATCTTAGGTCCAATGACTAGCCTCTACAACTCTGTCGTTCACGCGATCACTCCAGGTCGCACCAGCAAGAGCAGAGAGCCGTCGCTGCCTGCAACAAACATGCCGAACTTCGCAGAACTCTCCTCGGAGCTCGCATCTGAAGTTGCAGATATTGCTGCGCCCGTCTCCAATATGCTCGCCGCGCCTTTCCGACCCAGTTCAGTCTCCTCTGGTACTGTTCCCACCGATCCTGCGCCTCTGGAGACAAGATCCTCAGCCGAGCCTTTGCCCAAGACAGTACCAGAGACAGCTCTTCCTGCGCCGATGGTAGAGCCTGATGGCGATGCTCCTCCTAAACCACCGCCGAAGACTGCAATCCAACGGGGTCGCGCACCAACTGCAAAGGCCTCAGCTCCCCTGACTCGTCCCTCTGGTGTCACCAAGTCTCGTGGCCCAGGTCGTCCCAAAGGTTCTAAGGTTTCTAAGATCCAAAAGCCAGTCGCAGTAGCTCAGCGAACCAGTCACCGGAACGTCAAAGCACCCGAGCGATTTGAACCTATCGCCTTTAAACCTCCGGTTCCCAAGAAACATAGCGGCTTCTACGAGATCAAAGCTATCATCGAAGAGAACGACGACGGATACAAGGTTGACTGGGCTGGGAAAGACCCCAAAACTAAGAAGCCTTACGAGCCAACTTGGATCCCAAAGGATGACGCAAACGTAGGTGCAATCAAAGAATGGGAGAAGAAGCAGAAGAAGGTGGCCAAAGATGCAAAGGCAGCTGGTCCCAAGACGACTGGTGCAAAGTCCCGCGGTCGCCCAACAAGCTCCAACGCGAAGAGAGGAGGTCGCCCTGTAGGCACGGCCACAAAGAAAGCAGGCCGCCCCGCAGGTATAGCCACGAAGAAAGCAGACACCACCATCCCGATTGCGAAGAAGCGCGGACGTCCAGCAGCTGCCAAGAAACCAGTAGCTGCAAAGACTGTCACGAAAGAAGCGACCAAGACACAAGCCAATATGAAGGCCAGGATGGCTAAGTCACGAGAGGGACGCGCAAGCAAGAGAGCTGGTCTGAAATCTGCAAGACGCTGAAAGATCTATCTTCGTATTGATATCTTCTGGGGGCGCAGGCGGGGTATGGGCGTTTCCAGATATATCACAAGAATGGGGCCACTGTTTATGAGGGAATGAGCATGGGAGTAAAGGGCTTATTGCGGATCGATTTCATTGTAGGGCTGGGTGGAGAGGTATGGATCTCAGGGGCGCAGACACGTCTCATCCAGATGACTCTTAGTCACATCGCTCAACTTCTATGCCAATTATATTCAAAGCGTGCGGTTTATCATTATGTCTATGTGCACCTATTCCTGCCTACAACTTCGGCGCGACATTGGCCTTATTATGCTCACAAGTATATAATACCCTCTCTCTTGCGTCCCTCATCACTCCTCTAAAAAACGCCTGCGTCTTGCCCAAATGCACAATCTCTGCCTCCACCTTCACCTCCTCTCCCGCCGGTGCCGGTCTCAAATAAACACAATTCAGCGTCCTGCTAACGTGTCCCCCGTCCCAGAAGCCCTCGCGACACACCGGATATACACAGAAACTGGTGCATATGTCAAAGATAGTCGCGACCATGCCACCGTGTAGATTTCCCATGCCGTTACAAAGAGTAGGGTGCACGTAGAGGCTAAATGTGAGCGTAGAGAGTGTCGGATCAGTGGGCGAAACACTGGCGGTGAGTAGGGTAAGATTGCGCATCATTGTAGTGTCAAAGTACTATCATCTCTCTAGTTAGTCAGTAGGCTTGGCCATAGCTGGAATGCTAGGCGTAGGCATCAGAGGAAATCCAGGCGTACGTTGATATTTTCATCACGGTATGCCAACATGGCGTCCATAATGCGCTTTGTTCGATCGAATGGCGTATCGGGCGCATCGTTGTCGTCACTGGAGGAGGTCATCTTGCGAATGTGTTTGTCTAAGTGTGTGGGCGACATGTCTGTTGCGGACGCGCGCAAGACCTATGGATGTTATCTAACTCTTGGTCGGCAGCTAATTCCCATGAGCCGAGGCGTTCGGAGGTGGCCTGAGGCTGCTGGTGTGATCCATAGTTAGCGTCGTCTACGTCCATAGGTCAATTAGGCTGTGCTGTGTACTGTCGAAGGAAGTGTCGAGACGTTATATCGAAATACGTTTCTAGGACTTTTGTTGGCCTGATATATGCTGTACGTCGGTGCGATTCTCTACGGATTATGCGTCCTTCCCGAAAAGATCTTTCTCGACCATACTCCTGCAAATCGGGTGATAGAAGTTCTTGTTCTTCTCAAACGTCGCGATTGCCAACTTTCTATCGCATGCATTCAGCATTTTATACAAAGGCCTGACGAACTTCATCCTTCCGACACGGCCCAAGAAGTCTGCAGTTGGCTGATACACGGCCTCTGCCTTCGCCTGCAGCCCAATCCCATAGTATCTCGATACAAGTTCCGCGTTCTGGCTCTTGTCGTAGCTATATGCCTGACCCATGAGCTCGATGTCTCCTGCCTTCAAGGGTTTGGGGAACAGTTGTACGCGCTCAAGGAACACAACACTTTGGTTTCCGACCCAACCTTTGATGTCTGTTGCCGCAGGCGTAAAGTCGGTCTTCCCGGTCGAGCGCGACTCCCATTTATCCGCCAGCTCGAGGCACGACTTGATAAGTGTATCGTCGAACTCTGGCTTGGGCGGAAATCCGGGCTTGTAGAACCATGAGTCCCAATCAACCTCGTCAAGTTTCGCGGCCGCAGCCTTGTCGGAGGCGAAAAAGTCGAGGAGCGTGGCCTTGAAGTCGTATGAGTCTACTGACTTGTATTTCCACGTCTGGAAGTAGTGAGGAATGAATTTATCCCATTTGCTTTTGCCAATGAGCTTCTCCAGGTAGTACAGGAAGATGAACCCTTTCTCGTAAGGAATGGACGAGAATGCGTCATCGGGATCTTTGCCTTTGAGGTCGACGATTAACTTTGTGAACTCGTGGTCTTCGCCGTAGTCGTTGATGGAGTCAGTGAGCGCCTTCCATCCAATGACAGCGGAGAAGTCGCGGTGTGGCTCGCCGTGGATGTATGCTTGGATGCGGCGCTCGAGATAGGTAGTCCAGCCTTCATTAAGCCAAAAATGCTCCCATGATGCGTTACTTACCAGGTTACCACTCCAGCTGTGCGAAAGCTCGTGGGCGATGACATCGATATTTTGCTTGTCTCCACTGACAATTGTTGGTGTCGCGAATGTGTAGATGGGATTCTCCATGCCGCCATAGGGGAAGGATGCGGGAAGCACGAGCACATTGTATGTCCCCCAAGCGTATGGATAGACGATACTCTCTGCAGCTTCAAGAAATTTGTCCATGTCACCTTCAAACTCCCACTTACAGCCCACAAGCTCCTCAGGACCTGTCCACACTACACTCCTCGGTCCTATCGAAGCACTTGCAAGGTCTCCGCTGGCAATAGCAAACAAGTAGCTGGGCATTGGGACATCTTGCTTGAAGGAGTACACGAGTGTGCCAGACTCGCCATTCTTCCCCGGTGCAAAGTCCTTTGAACCTGTAGCCAGACCACTAGCCAAAACAGGAAGTCGAGAGCGGATGTTGAACTCGAACGTCGACTTCACATCTGGCGTGTCCTGGCAGGGATACACAGACCTCGCATGAATGGCTTGGCATTGAGAGACTTTCATATTATTAGCTTTCTTATCACCATATCGATTCTTCAGAGATTCTCACACATATACGGATGCTTCTTATTCGAAGTCTGTTCAGGCTCCATCCACTGCAGCGCCGTGCACTGTTCAGTCGTACTCAGTGTGATCTGTATGCAAATATCAGCACTGTGATTGCATACCATCGATGGACTCACGTCAACATCAATACTCTCTCCTTGCCCGACCCCTTCATTCAATGAGATTGTCAATGGACTGCCATACGGCTCTGTCCACTTCTTTGTATCCCATGCCACCTGAATACCGGCTACCTGTACATCCTGAATGTCAAGGTAGCTTGTATCAAGCACAATCTCCTTACTCTCCCTCTCCGTCAAACTTTCTAGACTCAACACCACGTTTCCGCGAAGGATTTTCTTCACAAAATCGATCTCAAAATTTGCCTTCGTGTGCCGAGTCAACCAAGCATTGTAGTTAGACAATGTGTTGGGGTCGCGGGGCGCGTTGATGGTCACATTAGCGGTTGTCGCCATCGAGCGAGAAGCCAGAGCCTGAGACACCGATCTTACAGGGGGATTGCGTGTCATTATAGCAAGCGGATTGAGGCGCGTGAACCATGAAAGAGGTCGAGTGGTCATGTGTTCCCAGTTACTATTCAACAATTTGTCTACTTGGGAACGGTGCGTAATGTTTGTCGACTTGGATTGGCCCATAGGATTATAGCCGGCTTAGGAAATCAGGTGACTAGCCGATATTAGTCAGGCGCTCGGCTCCGCCCCAGCCAGCTGGGTTCTTCGCACTTGCGTACCTTCATGTCATTTGTGCCCGTTACATGATCTTGTCGCCCCTTCCAACTACTCCATACTCATCACCAATCCAAAGCTACGATAGTATAGGCGACTTCCAAGACAGATACACCACTGGCTTGAAAGCCCGAATACCCTGATCTCATTAGCTTGTCTTCTCCCGTCATTTGCTTTTCCTGTTCTACTTACCACTTCCCTGATACTCCTTTACAATGTCTTTACCTCCATGGCGACAGGTACAACCAGTTCAAACGATGCACAGTCAGTTGCTCCAAAGTCTTCTTGTTCAGAGACTTAGCTAACGTATCATAGCGGCCTACAACACCGTCGGTGCCCGCAGAGGCTTTGAGGCGCCACAAGCAATAACACATACACACATGGCAAGCACCACGAACTCGATGTCCTTATCTGCATCCTCAGAACCAAAACCGGTTCCTCGGGCCAAGATGACATGGTCACAAGACGTTCGCGATTATGTTCAGCGTTCATTTGACACAGATGCGTATATTCCCGGTATAGAGCGAGAGGAAGTCGAAAAGAAATTGAAAAGCATCATCAACAACGCTGCTGAGACCGATACTTTGTTGACTACAAACTGGGCTGAGCTACCGTTACCTCAGAAATTAATCCAGGAAGACAGAAAACTCGCGTTGGCGAGAAACAGCGTAGTCTATGGCCAAGGGAGCTCATTAACCTCTAACGCGGATCGTAAACGGAAGAGCAATGACGCTCTTTCAGAAGGACAGGATCGAAGATCACCTCCTCCATGGCGGCAAACCAGTAATCAGAACCCTTTAGAGGATCGCTTGACCTTTGCCACGCAGGAGCAAGCCGATCGTCTAGACAAACGCCAACGAAAGCTCCATGATAAATCAAGTAAGTACCAGAATGATCTCGAACGACGAAAGCAACGTTTCCAGAGCGGGAAATTGCCGTGGTCATCGGATGGATCTGAATCTAGACGAGCGGAAAACAATCCGGATATAGTCCCTCAAGGTCCCGTGATAGGCACATGCCAAACATTGGAGAAGAGGTACCTTCGTTTAACATCAGCTCCAAAGCCTGAAGCTGTTCGGCCACTGCCTGTCCTCAGAAAAACCTTGGATCTGTTGAAGAAGAAGTGGAAAGAAGAAAACAACTATGGCTACGTGTGCGACCAGTTCAAGTCCTTACGCCAGGATCTGACAGTGCAGCACATCAAAGAGGAATTTACTGTCAACGTTTACGAGATCCATGCCCGCATCGCACTAGAAAAGGGAGACATGGGTGAGTATAATCAGTGTCAGACGCAGTTGCGCGCACTGTATTCGCAAAACCTGGGTGGCAATCCACCTGAATTCTTGGCCTACCGTATTCTTTACTTTATTCACACAAACAATCGAACCAGCATGAACGACGTGCTGGCCGATCTAACCGCTACAGACAAACAGCAACCCGCTGTTGCACATGCCCTCAAAGTGCGTTCTGCACTAGCATTAGGCAACTACCATAAGTTCTTTCAACTCTATCTAGATACTCCCAACATGGGCGCTTATCTCATGGACATGTTCATCCAACGAGAACGGCTTGCAGCAATGGCAAATATAATGAAAGGGTCAGGTTTCATGTCATAGCATACTGCTAGTGATGCATACAGCTAACAAATTTGTCTCAGGCACGGCTCGTCTCTGCGCATCCGATACATCACAGAAGAGCTCGGATTTGAGTCAGACCATGAGTGTGCACAATTCATTTCCGATTTCGGCGGCGACGGACTGTTCACCGGTACGGGCGATGGGGTCCGCGTGAACCCAAAACTCGGCGTAGTGCTCTTCGAAAGCGCTCGAGCTGCTGCCTTCCGCAAGGTAGACATCAAGGGACAGATATGAACTAGCCGAGTAGATTTCTCAGCCCTCACGACTGCGAACGCTGACTCCGACGTCCTTGCTAAGCTTTGCTGCATTCCTTGGCCATAGACCTAGCTATTGGCGCATTCGGACCAACGGACTGAGAGCCATCCTACGCTGGACTGCGACGTGTGTCCTCGGAACAAGTAAAAGCTGTGCTGAGTCACAAGACGTCTCATCCAACACCCTACCAATGGAACGTTGTCCAGAGAACGATACAAGACGGCATCCGCTAACAACGACCTGTGGCAATCATTTTTGAAGACGGTGAGAAGAGGTCAGCATCGACAGTTCAACACAAGACCCAAACCTCCCCCGGTTGAGACATGCGGCACTCTCATATCATATGATGCCCTTGTGAAATACTAACCACAATATGTCGTGACTGTTAAAAATTATGGAGGAGCGAAGCGACAATCATGGAGAGGGCGGGCAGGCGAGCAAGGTCAACTCGAATATTTACACAAGCTATGCAGCGCGGAAGCATCCCTCCCTCGATTTCAAGCAGCACAGGAACGGCAGTATTTTGGCATGGCTCGATGTAGCTTATATATTTAGATATGCCTCAACGCCCAAATGCAAAACCATTATGATTGCGACAGATCGTAAATTGTGATGATTGCGTGATGAGATAATAGGTGCAGAAATAGGATGTATAAAAGTGGGTAAGTGGCGCGTACGAGCTTGGTTGGTGGTTATCAGGTGATGAGGGCGCGAATGGGCAGCTCGGACGTCGAGAAGAGTACGACGACTTTCTTGGTAGCGGTCGTCAACCTTTTGAGGTATGAGGTTAATTATTGTGCAAATGATTTGGTCCTTGATTGTACTGGAAATTGGCTGTGAAGCAGCTGGAATGGATGATGGAGGATGGCGGGGGGGGAAGAAGTATTGATGATTCACGACAGAGGATAGCAGCAGTCACCAGGTTTAGACAAGACCACAAGGCAGCTGTCTGTGTAGATGCAATGTGATGGCCGATAGATTGATAAATTGAAGATGATAATAATAATCATAATAATAATCATAATAATAATCATAATAATAATAATAATACACAAACACACCACAAGACAATGCCCGCAGGGACGCGTTACGGTGTGGCGCAAGCACAAAACAAGCAAAAGAGCAAAGCCAGCCTAAGGCTCCAGCCCTTCCCCTCCCCGCCTTCTTCGCTGCCTCTGCCCCCTCTGCCAAAACACACCACCACACACACTCACCACTCACCAACTTCACTCACTGTAACTTACTTGCCTTTGTGTTGCAGACATGCATACATAACTTCTTCGTCTTCTTCTTCTTCTTCTCTCTTCTTGTCTTCTTCATGTCAGGCTGTCATTACTCGCCTTGCGCTCGGCAGAATCACTGACAGCGTTTAAACGCTCGCAATCATTTAAGACATCCTTTTAGACACTCGACCGGTCCCATCCCTCGCCCACATTTCGTCAACGGCCCAAGCCCAAAGCCTACGCCCAAGCTACTCCTCGGTCCCTAGTTACCATTCTTCACTACCATTCTTCTCGAAACTCATTTCCCGACATCTCGCATCTGATCTGTCGCTTCGGGCCTTTCTTTACTACAATTTCCGCCGTCGCTGCCACGAGAACACTGCTAATCCTCCCTCCAACTTCCTATTCCACGACAGCCCTGCAAGAGCTGCAACTGTCCGAAAAGCGAAAAGCACCCACTACATCACCACGAAAACCTCCATCGGCTACTGGCCACTTTGGGAAACATTTGGCGCCAACCCATCACTTGATCGCCATTGTTTCGCTACATTTCGAGGAAGTCCAAAGCGCCTATCGCTCTTACATCGCGCTCGTGCAACCACTAGCATTCAGTGAAACGCGCATCCTCAATCTTTTCCTCTTTCCACCGACAGAATACATATCGTGTCGGTCGAGCGCAGCTACTACGTGGCTGACTACTCGGACATTATACACCAGCAGCAGAAGCTGCAATCATCCTCAAAAATGATTGGCAAGGTGCGTCTCCATCACGACCGTACTCCAGGATGGGTCACAAAGTCTAACGCGCCCCTCAGTTTCGAAGGTCGATGAAGAACGACAAGGAGACGAAACCCCACCACATATCAATACCTGCGAAAGATCCTCTGGCCATCGTACCACCTAAAAAGGTATGCATCTGTACAATTAAGCTCCGAGTCGATCTGGAAGAGGTAGCTATTTCCATTCTAGTCGCAAAGGTCTAACATATCGCGTCACTCCAATAGGTTATTAAAGCACTTTACGACTATAAATCTACTGAGAATGATCCTTCCTCTGGATATCTCAGCTTTTCGCAGGGCGATTTCCTCCACGTCATAGGTCGCGAAGACGATCCAGACTGGTATGAAGCATGTAATCCACTCCAACAGACAAGAGGACTTGTTCCTGTCAAATACTTTGAGGATGTTGGGAAGCAAGTTCGCGACAGCGCTGGCTCTACACATTCCATGCCTTCTCAACCAAGCGCCGGGCACGATTCTGGATACGCCGAGGGGCGGTCTCCTGCGAATGCGATCGTGCAGCCACCCGAGCAAGATGGTATGCGACCCATGAGAATGTCCAAAACTATGGGCAAGGGCGCCGTACCAATGTTATACGGCGAGGTCATCTACGATTTCAAAGCCGAAAGACCGGACGAACTAGATGCCAAGGCTGGCGAATTCATCATCGTGATTGCGCAGTCCAACCCGGAGTGGTTCGTTGCGAAGCCCATTACTAGACTTGGTGGGCCTGGTTTAATACCTGTATCGTTCATTCAACTCAAAGACATGAAAGGAAACATTCTTGGAGACCCTGCTGTCGCTGTACAAGAAGCCGGCATACCAAGAGTTGAGGAGTGGAAAAGAATGGCCGCAGACTACAAAAATGGCAGCATTCCGCTAGGAAAGCTCGAGACAAACTCGGCACAGTCGCTACAGCAAGGAATGGATCGCATGAGTATTGGCAACAAAAGCCAGTCGAACGGGAGCTACGTAAGCATCCACTCCGGATACAAGAACTGGCACATGACTGACATCAAGTAAAGAATCATAGCCGTGGCCCTGGTTCATTCTCTCAACAATCACAACAGCCGCCAAGAGGGAGTCCACTTGCCCCTGTAAGAGCGTGTGTGCCAGAATATGGCTTCTCAGAGTCAGAAGAAACATTCTACTTCGTGGTGAAATGCCAGATGGAAGAGAATGGCGCCCATATGAAGCTCCACCGCACATATCAAAATTTTTACGATCTTCAGATCAACCTCATCCAGGAATTCCCAGTAGAAGCTGGTAATGTGAGTGGAATCGAGCGATCGCTACCGTACATGCCTGGTCCGGTTACATACGTCACGGAAAACATCACTCAAGGGCGACGCCCTAATCTTGACGAGTACATCAAGAATCTTCTCCGATTAGGCACGCACATTACGCATTCGAATCTAGTTCGAGACTTTTTCGTTCCTCGCGGAAGGGATGGCCCTGATTATGAAGTAGATGAAAGCACCTATAGGCTTTCTGGCGCGTCACAGCAGTCAGATCCCTCTCACCCCGGTTCGAGGCAGTCTTCTCAAGGCAACATTTACAGAGATCAGTCACAGTATTCTAACAGCGATTATGCCTACCAAGCAAACCATCAGCGCGCTCAATCGTCCATGTCCAACCAGCAACATTATCGGAATCAATCCGATCTCTCAGTTCCACCGCCAATGCTACGCAACAATAGCGCTTTAACCCAAGCGTCAGCATCATCAGCGAGCAGTGCAATGCAAGTCGCACGTATCAAAGCGCGGTTCCCTGGCGAATTTACTACTATCATCCGAATGCAGCCGCCTTTCAATTTACAAATGCTTCGGCGAGAGCTTCGACAAAGGCGAATGGTCGAACTGCAAGGCAAAGGCAATTTTCAAGACTTCGACGAATCGGATTTCATCATCGATCTTGTCGAGGATGAAGCGACCGGTCAGAAAAGCCCGATTGACTCGGACCAACAGCTTGGAGAGGTGCTAAAGGCTCTGGAGAGCTCAAATCAGCCGACGAAACTGACGCTGCAGGTGACAACGCCAAGGTCTGATGATTCAAGATATTGATTATCATGTCTCGTGACTCCGTATCTTCTATCAACATCCGATTAATCGCACATTCTTGACCACAACGCCCACCTCTCGAGCGTATCATTTACCCAGTTTTGTCCAATGTTGATTTGGCTGTATGTTCTAGGTTGCTCGATACCTGGCTGAGAAATGCTCGTCTAGCCTGACTCGACGGTACCTCTCCCTTTTCTACGGTCTTTCTATACACGCAGGTCAACGATCCGCGACGCCTCGCTACAATCGAAACCGCTTGCCACGCTTTGATACCCTTGTATGATAGGCATTCCTAGGCGGTTGGAGAAGTCTTCTCCGTGAAACAGTTCTTTCATTTGTCTCATTTTGACACCGCTTGTATATGCTTTGATATTTGCGTGTCACGGACGACGATTGGGTGGAATAGAGCTAGCTAAGCGGAAGGGTATTATTGGTTTTGAGGAAATACCTATCGTATGTAGGCCACTCACTCTAGGGGCCAGACTCGTACTGGGTAGTATACTCATGGAGTCATTGAATGTTATGCTATGCTGTGCATTACCGCCCTGTCCACATTTTCCGTGTGCGCTATGTATGCACCGCTCGTTCCCCGTTACTATGATTGTTATTTCCTAAATCTGCTTGAATCGGTCTACAATACAGTGAGCATGATTATATAGCATTGATAATCATTATTATTATTTTCTTTGGACAAGAGAATTGCTAATACTAATCATGTTTAGAATCTGCTAATACCGTATTTCTAGCTAGTACATATAAATCTCATTTAGTTAATTGAGAGATTTATATTCTTCCTAACAGGAAAGTATAGCGACACTTATGTTTGTTGATATCAAGTATATATAGAGTATCTAACTTATACTACTTCAAGAGTTAAAAATGATTATATAATGCTATTGAGTTCATATAGCTGTGTACTAAGATATATATTACTAGTAGAGTAAGTTTCTAGTAGATATTACTAATGAAACTTTGAGAACTCCAAATCATATATAATTAGCTCTTGTCTCAGGATAGTATTAAAGCAACTTCCATACAAGTCGTGCCGTGTGCTGAATATGATGCGGCACAGCTCTTTTAAGAGACTGTGAATCATACGATATTTAATGCGAGTTTCTGACTAGATGCTCCCATCCTGTCAGCACAAAAGCAGTTTCCCACGTTTGTTCCTACATACAGATAGATCACCATGTCATCGACTGGAAAACGCCCCAACTTCCTCATCATTGTCGCCGATGATCTAGGTTTCTCGGACGTCGGCGCCTTTGGCAGCGAAATTCACACCCCGAACCTGGACGCTCTCGCCAGAGATGGTCTTCGCTGGACGGATTTTCATGCTGCTGCTGCGTGCAGTCCCACGCGCAGTATGCTCCTCAGTGGGACAGATAATCGTAGGTTAGCTCCTTCATATAAGCACAATATCAAGTGAGCCAAATGACACACACACACACATATATATATACATACACTAAAACAGAGCCTAACCCAGACATCGCCGGCGTCGGAGCCATGATAGAGTCCATCGCGCCACACAAGCGCAACTGTCCAGGCTACGAAGGCTACCTGAACGACCGCGTCGCCGCCCTGCCAGAGCTCCTCCACGACGCCGGCTATCTGACCCTGATGTCTGGGAAGTGGCATCTCGGGCTCGTGCGCGAGCGCTGGCCGTGCGCCCGCGGCTTCGAGCGCAGTTTCTCGCTGTTGCCGGGCGCGGCAAATCATTACGGCTGGGAGCCGCAGCTGGAGGATGGAGATGAGATGCCGCGGCAGCAGAAGAATACGAATGTGTTTTATGTTGAAGGGGAGGAGAGGCTTGCGCCGGGGCAGCTGGCGGAGAGGTATGGCCGAGATGGCGTGTTTTACTCCACGGATGCGTTCGCGGATAGGATGCTGGGCTATCTTGATGAGAGGACGGATGAGGATAAAGAGAGGCCGTTTTTCGGGTATCTTGCTTTCTCGGCGCCGCATTGGCCGCTGCAGGCGGATGAGAGCGATATCGAGCCGTATCATGGCAGGTATGATGACGGTCCTGAGGTATTGAGACAGGAGCGTGTGAGGAGGTTGAAGGCGCTTGGGCTGGTCCCGAAGCACGCCGTTTCGCACGACGTCGTGGCGCCACATGATGGCGTGTTGAGTAGAGACTGGGACACTCTGACGACGGAGCAGAAGCGCTTCTCGTCTCGGACGATGGAGGCATATGCCGGGATGGTGCACCGTATGGACCACGCCATAGGCCGCGTGCTCGATCGTCTACGGGAGACAGGGGAATTAGACAATACCCTGGTGCTCTTCATGTCCGACAACGGGGCAGAGGGGCTGCTGTTCGAGGCTACACCGGTCATCAAAGGCAGTATCCATGCTCACATTGAAAAGTACTACGACAACAGCATCGCGAATATCGGCCGGAAGAACTCGTATGTTTGGTATGGACCGCATTGGGCGAGTGCTGCCACAGCGCCGAGCTGGCTTTACAAGATGTTCTGCTCAGAAGGCGGTATCCGGGTGCCGCTGATCCTCAGATATCCTGGTTTGCCCCCTGATAAGTCGGAGAATCGTGTCGAGCACGCTTTTGCAACTGTCATGGACATCACGCCCACAATCCTAGACCTCGCTGGCGTCAAACATCCTGGCCCGAATTGGCGCGGACGGAAGATCGAGCTGCCCAGGGGCCAGTCGATGGTTCCCTATCTCCGAGGCGCTCGGTCACGAATCCATGATGAAGATAGCACGCACGGCTGGGAGCTGTTCGACAGAATGGCGATCAGGAAAGGCAAGTGGAAGGCAACCCACATACCGAAGCCGTACGGGCCGGGCAAATGGCAGTTATTCGACCTCGAGCAGGACCCGGGTGAGACGGTGGATAGGGGAGATGAGAATGCAGCGAAGTTGAGAGAACTGCTTGCGGCGTGGGATCAATACGTTGAGGAGGTTGGAGTTGTAGGCGCGGCACCGGAATATGGAACTGTGGTTGTGTAGAAGTAGGGCTGTGGTTGTGTAGAAGTAGGGCTGTGGTTGTGTAGAAGTAGGGCTGTGGTTGTGTAGAAGTAGGGCTGTGGTTGTGTAGAAGTAGGGCTGTGGTTGTGTAGAAGTAGGGTTGTTGATAGTAGAGCTAGTGTATGTATGGTATGCCAAGTGTGATCGAAAGCGTCAAAGCTGCAATTGTGACGGTTAGTTCTAACACGCTACCGTTCAGGGGCATGATGCACATGGCCTCCGACGTCATGATCGGAGCTTGCTGTTATGAGAACCAGGAAAACTTCATATACGTGGTACTTGAACTGGAAACATCCGATCAGTGAACACAAGCTAATCGAACTCATAAAACTGATCCATAATGTGGCGCCGAACGGCCTCGCTTTTCTCATCTTGAGAAACCTATATTGCAATCCACTAGCAAACCCCGTCCGATCCCGTATTAACACCTTCGCCAGCATCTCCTCGCACCCCAGCTTCACCAGCCTAAAGCTCAACATAGCAATCCACAGCACCAAACACCCCGCCAAAAAAACCCTTCACGCAGGAAACACACGCCGACTTCACAGACAGCATCACACAATACATCGGCAGCGCCTTCCAATTCGCACAGCTCTCTCCCCTCGCACGCTTCTTCGCCGACCACGGCGAAGCCACACTCCAGGACGCTAGCGCGCCGTCGCCGTCGAAGAAAGGGACGTTGATCTTCACGGGCACGCTGGGACGCGCTGCGGTGTAACGCGAGCTATGGATGGCGCGGGCCGGGCCGGGGTGCGGCAGTTGAGCCAGGCGCTGGCGCGCGAGTTTCAGTGAGAAGGGCGTGCATGCATGTTGTGCATGCGATTGCGAATGGGGCGATTGGGGATGGGCATGGCGTGGCGGCAGGATCGGGGGAGGACGATGAGTAGTAATGGGGTTGGGGAGACGTATCTGTGGCTGCATGGGCAGAGGGTGGAGCTGTGGACGCATGAGTTGGATTTGAGGCCTGCGGCGGAGAGGGTTTAGTCATGTTGGGGGAGGAGGTAGGTTGGGAGGATGTGAAGGGAGAGGCGGATTGTCGAATGACTTTTCTATCGTGTTCAATTGCCTATGAAGGGTCTTGTTGCATTACCCCCTATCAGCCATAGCGAAGACAAATACTCCATTGACACAAGTTGGCTATACATGCATAACAACTGCTTGGAGTTGACGATATCATCTGTCCGCTCATAATGACATGATATAAAACAATTCATCTCTCCGTTAGGGGATGAAAATAGCAGCCCTGTAATTTCTACTATTCATAGATCACGTCCCCAGGTTCCTTAAGAGCAGCTCAGTGAACCAGCCTACACAAATGAGTCTGACAAGAATAGCCTCGGGGTATTCCTTATCGGATAGAGGAATCCTTGAAATATGGTAGAATCGTAGTACCATACTCCTACGATACTAGGATCTACATCAAATCGCTCCTACTCAATGTAGGTATTGTGGCTGGAACTCGCGGACTGCTGGTGAGTGACGCATTACAGCTTTGAATCATACGACCCAGGACGCATTTACATACTCTATACAGGGAGAATATAGCACTGGTAATGTAATCACAGAAGGCTTGAAGTGTATATTCTTTAACATTATATAGCAAGCCTCAATATCAGACGCCTAAGCGTAGAGATGTGCTGAATCGCCACCTCAGCCTAACTATCAGAATCCCAGTAATCAGTCAATACGAACGGAAGGTAGAGTAAACTTAGTCTTGAAAGCCCGTAAGCCCTTGGTAATCAGCTGACGGCAGCAAAGCCAAGATCACCGGCTGTTCCTCAAGTTCCTCCCAGGACCGGATCTCACAATGTAAGATTGGAGCGTGACAACTAGTCGGTAACTATGAGCTTGTTCAAAGCTTAGGCAGCTAAATGGCGTGCTCTAGGATGATCATTGCTCTTAGAACCATCTGAGATGCCTTCTTTGACGTCAGGGCTCGGATGCAGGTCCGTGATGTGTGCCGGGCTTTATGCTGTAAGCAACTGGTGAGGCACGCTACGTTCATTCGAGCAGCCATAGGGGTTCTGTGTCGTCAAGGTCATGATACTCTTATAGTGTGTGGTCTGCAGCCCTGAGATGTATGAGGAAAGAGGACTGTGGAGTTAATAACGGTGCGGAAACGCTCATTCTGTCCGCTTCTTGTGCGTAGAGAAGGATATTTTTCGTGAATACGTTCAGTCTCGATGGCCGCTGAACTGTGTGTTTCCCTACCGTAGATCAAATTCCTATACGACAATAAGTCTTGCCTACTGACTGAATAAACAAGAAACCAAGAAAGTAATTCCCACGCTTGCGGGCACCACCCATCATTTTAGGCGAATGCAATCCATTCCCTGTTTACTAGCTATTCATATACCGTTGATCTGATCATGTTCTTTTTCTTTTCCCCTTCCCTCGCTGCACTACCACTATAAAAGTTTTAAAAGGGTATATATAAAATAGATATATATAATACCCTTAGGAGGATAGGCAGTGTAGAAGGTATCTTGAATGAATAAGACCAAGGGACACAATATATAGTATATAAAGTATATTTAATTGAAAGGCTTAAAGAGACGACTATCTATGGCTATAGGAAGGTCTATATATATATAATTTACGTGCGTTATTATCAAGAATCGATAATATACATTAAATGGTATACTAAATACCAATAGTATTCCATAACTATCCGATTTAGTCCATTTTGGTACGCTAAGAGTTAATATATTAATTAATATATTACCTCTATCCATATACTTCCGATTCCCACTTAATCTAATATAAGCTAGTACTAGCTTATATTAATATAAGTCTCCTAGTCTATAGTCTCTAAGGAAGTTATAGAGTCTAGTCTAGTCTCTAGAGTAGAATAGAGCTAGTTACCTCTAGAGTGAGTAGAGGTAGAATAGCTCTAGAGTAGAGTAGGACTAGAATAGCTCTAGAGTAGAGTAGAGCTAGAATAGCTCTAGAGTAGAGTAGAGCTAGAATAGCTCTAGAGTAGAGTAGAGCTAGAATAGCTCTAGAGTAGAGTAGAACTAGAACTCTTCTATAGAATACTAGAGAACGTACTTCTATAGAATAGAATAGAGTAGAGCTAGACTCTTATTCTATATAACTTATATATTATATATAATAGATTATAAGGTTATTATGTATATAAAACTTATAACCACCATCCTAGACTACAACGTAGACAGTCACCCGCACAGACAATTCCATGTTTAAATCTATATAAGTACCACACACCTCCACCCCACACCGTCGCCGCGCCCGCAGTTGTGCAACCTCAAGTCCAGCCCTTACACCCCTTCAACCCTAGCCCCCTCCCCTCGCTCTATCTCTGTCTCTCGCGCTCTCTCTTGAATCTCTTCCTCCTCGTATTACTTACATACCCATATACACGCACAGACACACAGACATAGCACATTCGGAAAGATACCCGCAGTCACTCCCTCCCACGCACCCACCTAATAATAGCTTTCCCACATTTTCCCCCACCACGACTAATTATCCAATCCCTGCACACTCCCGCTATATCTCTCGCGCATAAGCACGTCACTAGCACCATCCATGCAAGCCCACACACATCCACACCACACACCACGAACCGAAATAAAATTCCGGCAAAGCGCCTCGTCAATGTAGGCCACGGCTAGAATTAGTGTCTCCTGTTTAACTTACCGTGCTGTTTCTAGATATCCCTGCCTGTCGATATGGGGGGGGGGGGGGGGTCTGGGTGGTTACCGTCATCATATGCTGCAGCGTTATAAGCAGCAGCATCGGCGTCATCAGCTGCAGCAGTAGTAGTAGGAGCAGGAGCATCACATATATTTCTAGAGATCTGTGATAATTCGCCGCGCTGACTTGTTGATGGAGCTTGGCTGGGATGTACATGTACATCTCCATACACACACATCCCGAACGACAACAAAGCCAAAACATCGCACAGGAACAAGCATGCCAGTGTAGAACCACGCGATTATCAGGCAGGGAGAAGAGACGAGGGGCATGTATAGCCATTCACAGAAAACGATTCAGTGTACTCTGGACAGATAGACAGAGACAGGTACATAGACAAATAGATGAATAAATACACAAAATCGATAGTCAGCGGGGGAAGAGAAGATGAGACGATGGATGGGGCGCATTAGGCGTGGAACTATCGTATCGGTGCAGAAGGATGTATATATATATGTGTGTGTACATATGTACATAGACATGTACATGTATACAAATGAATCGCGGGACTAGGTACTTGGAGCAAGACTTGCATGTGTGTGTGTGTGTGTGTATGTGTGCGGGGAGGGAAGTATTGGCGGTTGAGAGAGGGGGTGGGTAAAGGGTGATTGGGAGGTGAGAAGTGGGGGAGGTGGGGGTATCTGCGAGGTGAAGTAGGGAGGGAAGGAAGCAGGATGGGATTAGTCAACCCATGCAGAGAGCACAAAGAAGGTTATGCCGCGAGATGTCATATTACCTATTTTTCTAAGCTTGCTTGAATGCTTGCTCGTGCCGAACAGACTGAGCTGCGTGCTTTCAGACAACGCGATAGGAGCGTTTCCAACGAGAACCCCCCAAAAAAAAAACGAAGAACCGCTGCAGAGAAAAAAGAATAATGACACCATCCATGCTCCGCGGGCAGGACTCCGGTTTTGTAACCATCCATAAACCCCCCCCATGTCTGCGCCTCTTCGGTCATCCGGTCGGTTCCCATCGACGATGGCGACCAGCCTGAACACAAAACCTTGGAAATTCAGAATAGAACGCCCGCAAATGCCCTTTTCCCCCCCGCTCGCCTCGTATCTTGGGCGATCGAGCTCCCAAATTCGAGATGCTCACACAAGTAACCTGTCGTCGCTATCCCTGTCCCCTTCCACGTCCCCTTCCTCCCCGTCCTCTTCTTCTTCTCGCTTCACGCGATTCGTGACCTCGCCATGGAGAATAGAGAGCAGCTTGCGGAGGGTCTCGCCGCCGCCGCCACCGCCGCTGTTGTTATCCTCGTCCTTGGTCAGGACCTGTATCGTCTTGCGCAGCTTCTCGTATGCGGCTGCGAGTTCGGCGTGGGACGTCTCGAGGTTGCGGTACTTTTCGGTTAGGGCGGTGAGTTGCGTCTCGAGGTCCTTTGCGTGGCGCTCCTTGCGCTCGCGGAAGGCGCGTTGTGCTGCGCGGTTTTGGGCTCGTCGGCGCTGCCAGTGGTGAGTCAGGATGTGTATATTTGTGTATGTTTGTATGTATGTGAGGGTGTGATCACGCAGGTGAAGAAAGAGCTTTTTCAGGGGTCTCTCTTTCGTATTCGAGCATGTAGTTTTGGAACTGGGAGACAGGGGGGGCTGGTGAGAAGGGTGGAAGACTTACCCCGCTTGTGGTGTGCTGCTTCTCCTGAGGTAGAGGTGGTGGGAGCGGTGCGAATGCGCCGACGATATCTGCGGCGTGCTGCCGCGGACTGCAGTACGGGCTCTCGTCCGAGCCTGAATGTGAAGGTGGTGTGATGGAGTGGAAGGTGTACGGCGTGGTGTCGTCGCTGAAGTGGTTATATGTGCTGTTGTACATTGGCATCGCCATACTTTGCGGGACACTGTCGAATGTGGTTGATGTCTGAACGGAATTCATATATCAGTTTTTGAGGTCGAAGGCATACCCTTTCCAAAAGGAGCTATTAACATACGGGTGAAGCACTTAAACTTGAGACTGCTGATAGCTCTGGTGTGGAGTAGTCGAAAACATTCTGGTGGATATATGAATTTTGTGACATCCAGTACTCGTATGCTGGATTCTCCATGATGATATGATGGGTATGAAGGCGACTTAAGACAAAGAGTAGCTACAGCTGCCGGTATGGTCGGATGTAGTGATGAGCAATAGAAGTCTCTCGAAGCTGGAGTATGCTTTAAAGATCTGGCTGTAGATAGTGCGGAGAAGTCTCGGACGAAGCTGTTTATCGAAAAGATCTGCCAATATGGTACAGCAAGAAGTAGCGTAACTTTGGATCACCAGCGTGAATCAGCTGGGCCAAGTCACCTTATATCAAAGCTGGAGAGACCGGCCGACACGTCGAAAGCTTTGCCCTGCAAGGCTAACGTTGACAGGTTTATCAAATCCAGCCCACATCGACCTGGTCACAAATTACAAGATACTGTTGTCAACTGGACCCCCAGATTTCCGAAGCTAATAGGGCGGCATCGGCACGAACGGTAGCAGCATGAGAATAGCTGGTCGTGCATGAACTCGGAAGTCTGACCGCCTTGCAACGCACAAAGAGCCATTCAGACCCGAGGACCCTGTGAGACTCAGGCTTATTTGTTACCGGGGCTCTAAAAAAGGGTCAGAAGCGGCCTGAACTCCTCGACCGGGAGGCCGTGCGGAGGATCGATTTGGGTATCTTCTCACCCAAATATATCCTTGTTTCTCGAGAATATTCCGCCAATGAGCGTGCAGTATCGTGTCCAGTTCCAGGGACCTGTCTCGCGCTAGGCTTGATGTGGGCTTAGACTCGCGCCTTGCCTAAATCGGTCAATGTTAATTCTCACTTCTCATTGGGAGTCTGCGACTCTCTCACAGTGTGGTGGGAGCATTAGTCAGATGGCGTTGTCTTTGTCAAAGCAGCTACCTGGACCTTGCAACGTTCGAGAAGACTACCCATAGGATCCTGGCAGGTCTAGCTGCCGCAGACCCGTTCATTCGTGAGTTGCTGATCCTTCAGCAATGCTTCTAGGGCAGTGTGCTTAATTCAACAAGGCTGTGGCTACACAACTTGCCCTTAACTCCGTTGCTGGATGGAGGTATGACTGGGGACTGGTACCAGTCGAACACGCACATTGCTAGGCTTTTGATAGCCCTGAGTACCTCGAATGTCCCAGGAGATACAAGACAGCCTCGGCCGTAGAATTACAAGGATAACCACACTGGTCCTGGTTTGGACGCAGAGGCATGTTGAGCTTCAGTATTTCGGCACAATGTTGCCGTCCAAAGTGCGGCTGGAAATGCTAGACATGCTGTGACTCTTTTCTCGTTGGCAGACCATGATCATCTTTGATCTTTCGGCACGCGGGCGGCAACTTTACGTGGTACTGCTACCTGGCATCGATGGCGAAGTGACAAATCGAAAAAGCTGCACCCATGTAGACCAAATCAAGGAGTAACAGTATGCATATGATATGCGATGAGCAGGGCGAAGATGGTGATGCGGAGGTGACTGCGGGATGAGGGGCAACAAGTAGCACATGCAGAGAATAGTACTGAACATTTGAGGTATGCGACTAACCGACTATGGTTAGACATATACTTTATATATATATCAATTATGCATCATAGCAGCCACAGATCCAGGGGAATTGTACACGGACCGCTCTGAACAATGATGCGCCCTACTTGGTAGTGTACAGATCTCAAATGGCACTACAAGATGGAACGATACATATAAAAGTTAGATACAAAGCCAGAGTTTGCAAAAGCGCGCGCTCCGCAGGTCCCGGCCCCTGGCTCAACGCTGCGCTAGTCCAAATGAGGAGAACGATAACATTTCAGCTCCTGGATAGCTAAGATCTGCTGCTTTGTACATATCATGTATGGTCGAACAAAAAGCGGTGTGGTATATTGCATCCCTTCCTTTGATCCTGGCCGGCGTCCCTAATGCATCGCCACCTCCAGGAGCAACAATATTCAGGACATACATGCCCAGAGCAACATCTGTCACATGAGGAGGTTGATAGTCGGTCTCACAGCTCGTATACCACTGCTTCAGCTTGAAGATAGATCTTTCTCGAGAGTACGCACTCAAGTCTAACGTTAGCTAATCTCAAGTTGAGTTCAAGAAGCATACCACGACGACATTGTGACGATCATTCAAGACTATCGTTACTCATAGCAAGGCTGGAGCCAGGGCTTGGTAGAACATTATATGAGTTCGATTCTACGGTACAGCCTTGCTTGCCTGACCCCGCAGCAGTGACCTAACCTTTACGTGTGTGGTATACAAAATGATTGGTGTGGCGCCTCAAGAGCGATATGACTTGGAAGCGAGACACCGCGGTCATACGATGGATGCTCGCCTATTAGACGTGCAGCACGTTGGTCAGCACGATGCGCGAGGGTGCAGGATCGACTCCATTCCTGGCAACTGTGTTGCAGCGAGGGCATCAAAAGGGTATGACGATCCGAGTCCACTCATGTCTTGCATTGTACGTGCATTCTCCTTTAATACAAAGTCTTGACCAGCTGCAAGACCTTGTCATACAGAACGCCGCTATCAGATCCTGTGGCCAACTTGGCGACGATAGGAGCCTGGTCATCGCCTACCTTGTGGTCGCCCAGTCTGCTAGCCAGTCCAAGATTGTTCACTAGGTTAAGGATCTCATCTCCAAGTTTCGTTGCATCGGCTTCGTCGTTACCAGTCCGACCATGCCCGATAAAAGGAAGCAGGCGAGCCAATTGCTCTGCACTCTTGGGATCCTCGGCTTTGAGTTTGACCACGTGGCCGAGTGTCAAACACGAAGTGATGCCGTGTGGGATTCCATACGGTGAGCCCAATGCATACCCTGTTGCACGTTAGCCTAGGCTGCACAACCGGCGCCGGAGTGTCCAGCATTTGTACTGACCAAGAGAATGCGAGAGTCCCAGGCCGCCTTTTAGGTTCAGTCCGATGAACCCCAAGGATCCGTACGAAGCAAGTTGAAGATTAGTAATGTGGTCTATGTTCTTAGAATCTTCCTTGTACTTTGGAAGGTGCGTGAACAGTCCAGAAACAGCATTAATCGCCATCTGTCTGGCAGGTGACTCGCTGGCGGTTGGGTGATACATGGTTTCCACAGCATGATCTAGCGCTCGTATTCCAGTGGAAATCCACAGACGAGATGGCGTCTCGAGAGCGAACTTGGCATCGTAAAAGATGACATTTGGTACTAGTCGTGGGTGTGCTACACCAACCTTTTTACCTTCAAGGTTGGTGTAACCAGCCATCATGGTACATTCCGCGGCGGATAACGTGGTTGGGATGGTTATGTGGTAAAGATATTTTTGGCTCTTCTCGTTCAATCGGTAGGAAATTGCTTTTGCGGAATCGATGGGACTCCCACCTCCAATCGAGATAATCGTGTCAATGGTAGAGTCATGCTGGACCTGTTCAGTAGCTTTATCGAGACTACGGGTATGACGTTAGATGATATCAGATGCGATTAAGAAAATACCTACTCTGCGACTGGTGCATGTTGTTTGATTTTCGAGAATGTACCTGCATGCCGCTCCCCAAGCAGTTTCTCCACCTGCGATACCAATTGTGTCTTCTCTGCCAGTGATGACCCCGTGATGATGAAGGCTTTTGAGGATGAAGACGGAAGCGTATCGACGAGATGCTTGTTCACACAGTCTGGACCATAATATACTTGTTCGACTTGTGTATTTTTCCACAAGCCAGAGAGTGGATTATTGGTCGCATCTACCATCTTGACCTTTGATCTTCGCTGCTGCAAGTTCCACAAGCAACGGGGGGTGAATATGCTGTTTTGAAAGGTTGCCGTAGATATCGAATGGCAAATCCGTTGCAATGAAGCTTTGGACAGTCTTATGTGTCTCGATCTGGAGAGTAACAATACTGGGCGTGTGTGCATGTCAAATGGTAGGACTTCTCTAACACTTCGAAGTATTAGGAGGGGGTCACATAGCTACTAATCATGCCGCAACTGCATGCACATACGTAAAGCTTCGCGCAGAGAACGAGTTACGTCATAGCGTCCACTCGGGTGAGGGACAAAGCCGGTCATTCTTCCGCGACCTTCATGGTCTTATAATGTAAATTCACATTGCGGCTGGTACAGTAATCTACTCGGATGTCTGGATTGAGATAAGTAGTCTAGTAAGACGACAGATACGTAGCTACAGAGGCTTACTTCTTATCAATGTTCATCGCCAGACCGCAAGGAGGCATTATGAAACGCACAAGGTTTTTGATCTTCGAGTTAACTTTTTGAATTGGTCAAGTTTGCTTCGTATGTACACAAATCGCAGTTTACCATCCATGGAGGATGGACCAGCGGACAAATACAATCTGCGTTCCCTCGGCGCGCGCAACATGCAGACGGTTTCAAGGCCGTCTCACGCTACGTCCCGTACACGTTCTAAAGACATGTACTATTTCCATTCTACACTCGTCGCCGAGGGAGCCGATGTTTTCCCTTCCTTTTTTCTTCTAGTTCTATGCGATGCAAAAAGATGAGAAATGATGCAATGTGGTTTCTCAATGTGAAAGAAGCAAAAGTCCGACCGATGCGATGAGAAAAAAACATAAAACCGAAACAGTTCAAGAATAACAGACACCCGAAGCCGCGTGGTGGATGCAACTGTGTACTTTTGCGTGATGGGGAATCAACGCGAGAATAATATGATCGAGCAACAGAACAGAACACAACACGAAAGCCGTAAATGCAAAGAGACCACCATTCCGCCCAAGTCGTAACATTCGCCAGCCGGTAGTCCCGACAACTGCATCGAAGAACCATAGAATGCGTTGTAAGAAGGTTGAATGCATCGAATGTTTGAATACAAGAAACATAAATGGCGAAAGAATATGGATCCGGGCGTCCAGGCCCGTCTATCGCCGTCGGCCGTTACTTGTTGTCTATTGTTGTCGTACCTCTATGCTTTGCGTAGTAAAAATATTAGCTTTTACCGGGAACCCATGCCGAGATTTTTTCTTTTTTGTAAATGCAATGGATTACCACAGCGCTGGGTATACCAATTAGAAGAGAATGTCTTATCCCAAGACGATGAAGAGGGTGAAGGAGGCTCACGCAACCGTACCACGAGTTGCGGAACAATTTATATCGTGACTGATGTTCAACTGGGTGTTCTCGCTGTCGAAGCGATAGATGGAGATGGTATGCGCATAGCGATCGGTACAAGAACGAATTAGACCGAGGCGAAAGATGGATATCGTTATGTTCGTAGACATGAAGAGACTTTACATCATGCGAGGGTGCAAGCTGTTTGCGATCGAGGGAAGAGTCTGCTCCGACTGGCTGACGCGAGAGAATAACATGCTGACGTTTTGCGTCAAGGCATCCATGCCGTACCTATCGTCCATGCTTGCAACAGATCCTCCGTGCGCATCTTGAAACTTCCCAGCCTGCTTGAGCATTGCAAAGGCGTGGGCGAACTGCTCATCCGCTGGCACGTGCCAGTGTTCGGCTCGAACTCTGAGGAAGATTGATGCGAGATAGTAGAACGGTACAGCGTCGCGGCAAAAGCCAACACGGTGAATATCTTTATTCGGCGGATATTGTCGGACTATATCCGAATCCCAGGTCATCTTCCACTTCTCCAGGGCCATATGCATCGTCTTAAGGTGAGGGTTCGCAGAGAGATGAAGGGTGGTTGGGCCATCCACTGGTGTTGCAGGGCTACTGGTACCACGTCCGGAAGTGCTGGGCTGGCCATCCGATGCAACCCAATCTCGTTGAGACATGGGCGTACTGGCGCCACTGGCAGGCAAACTGTATGATAACTTTCCATTCTGTTCTTGCCGTTGAATATTATTCAGATGGTTGTGCAGGCCATGTATGAGTATAAACTTGCCGTAGGCGTTGGTAGTGTTTGGCACGAAATCGTACGTGTTTTGTAGTAGCAGCATCAACGCGTCATGCAAGTACACTTGTTGCTTTCTTCTCGAGCCTGTGACATTCCTGGCTTGCGCAGCAGGCCCATGAATGCCGAGCGCGTCGGCACATTCGGTGGCGTTTTGTGCATCCCATGCGGCATCATCCGCGGGCAACGGGACCCGAAGCTCGAATATGTCAAAGGATGCCTTTGCGTTGAAGAAGATCACCATCGCAGCGTCGATGAGAAATATCAGATACAGCGTCCTGATCCTCTTTTCTTGTGCGAGCCAGGTGTCCCACGACCAAGGCGAGAGTGGAGGATCGTTCAAGCTGTGACGGCGATGAAGAGCACTGTGCCGAGAATCCTTGACACCAAAGACACTGAATAGATCCATCTGCTGTGCGATGCGCCGTAGGGTGGGCACTTCTTCGCGCCCAAGCTTTCGTTGGTGTACGTCGCCATGCCAGATGAATAGAGAATTCAGAATGACCAGAGCTTGAAGTTCTTCGAGATCGATATCGCTACCGCGAGGAGAGGATTGTGAGTTGTTGAGAAGCTGTATGACTGGCGAGGAACGGTATATGGCACATCGGATGACATCCATGAGCCACCGTACTTCGGGATGACTGAGGCGATCAGACCAGGCGGAGCCGAGCGTAATAATGGAAAGGACGAGTCGATCGCTCGACCGTGCTGGATCGTAGGTTGGGAGATGAATCATCGGCCAGTGAGTGTGGTAGTTGATGGAATGTTGAATAAAATGCTTGACATTTTCGACAGTGAACAGCTCTTTTAGCCTCTGTCGCCCTAGCACATCATCTTGGGGTAAGTTATTGGTATCTGGGTAACAAAGAGAGATTAGCGATTCCACTTTGTTTGGTAAAGGATCGGACGCAAACAACCAATTGTCATTCATTGCCGGTGGTTCGTTAAAGGACGATGAACCGGGATAGAGGGTGTTGAAGAGCCCTTCATTCGAAGGAGTTCCGTAATCACCCTCTGCATATGAGTGAGATTGGTTCGATTCGACTTTCAACCCAGGTGGCGCAGAAGTGACGTTTGGCTGATAGTGGTTGTCTGATCCCTCGCCATGATATTGGGACCATGGCTGTTGGGGCCCCGGAGCATTGAATCGTGACGGCTGGTTGCGATTGTAGTGGGCGGGTGATGAGCTCTCGCTCTTTACTGCCACGCCGCGAAGCTCGGCACTGCTTGGTTTCTGGTTCAGACCATAAGGTTGATGTACTTGGGTAGACGATTGAGGAGTAGCGTACCCTGAAGACGGATGGCCCATGTTACTTCCCATAGCTCCGGCTCCACGAAAGTCATCATAATGACCCCGCGAGTTGCTCATCTCCATACCTGGCATGTTGCGCCTAGTGTCATTCAAGCTGTCGGTCGGACGGATCAGGCTGTTTGACCTGGACGTGCGAGCAGAAAGTGAATCCATGCCGTTGTACCCAGGCTGGCCATTTGCAATCGGCGCCATGCCAGGAACAGAGTTACCATACCCGGCACTCGTGAAAGGCATGTTGGGCATCCCCGGAACAAAGTTCTGTTCACCCGAAGTGCCGGACGGTCTGTTTCTTCTGAGGTGCGATTGCGAATGGGCCAGGTGGTTTGCACCAGTCGGATTGCCCCTGCGTATCGAGCATTTTTGGAAATGACGCTTGAGAATATCACTCCGCGAAAAGGTATCTTTGCAAAGATGGCATTGATAGGGCCGTTCGCCAGTGTCTAGAATGGAGTAAGCAAAGCAACAACAAGGCACAAAATTAACGATACGTACGGCGCAGCAGATGACGCTTCAGGTGCTTGAGATGCAGATATGTCTTGTTGCAATGGGGGCATTCGAACTTGTTGTCAGCGTTTTTGGTGGGGTTGGTCGCCGGCTTTCCAGCTGATGGTGGGGTCCTGCCAGGTACAGTGGGCAGAACACCGCGACGACCTTGCTGGCCAACCACGTGAATTGGCTCTTGATCTTGTTGATTACCCATGTGCTGCTGTTGCGACATGAGCGCATGCCCTCCATAGTGCGGCATTGCCAATTGATTCGGAGGCATGGGTCGCAGCTCTTGCATAGGACCACCGGACATGGGTGCAGGTGCAATCTGTTGACCTGGCGCAGTGGATGTGGGATATGGGCTTGACTGTGCAGAGGAATATGGCGGATAAGTCATGGAGCCGATTGAAGGCTGCAGCGGTCTCAATGGCGGATGCGCAGACATTGACGGTATTGAGCCAGCCGATGAGCCCGTGGTATGTGGAGGCAATGGAGTCTGAGGGTTACTGCCAGGACCCTGCTGGCCGTACATGGGCGGGTATTGATTGGAGCCGTTCAGAGGAGGTAACGTATGCATCGAGCCAGGTGTGCCGTAGTTGTTCTGAGGTTGTACACCTAAAATTCAAGGTTAGCAGTGGCGCGTCTAGCAATGTGCGTCAACAAACCATTTGAACGATAATGGTCGTCCATGATTAACGCGTCAAAGATATAAGCAACAGTGAAGTCGGCCTTGACGTTTCTGTTTATTGCTCTTGCTACGCTCTTCTAGAAGAATTCGTGTCGGCGGATGGGTAGGAAGCGGCAGGGCAAAGTTCTCCCAAATGTGTATAGCACAGGCTGTATTCGCGATAGAGGAATGGTGGAGACCGGGAGGATTTGAGGATGGCGGCGGGAACGATCAAAAGTAAGGTGAGGGGCGTGGTGGAGAAAGATTGACACGAGGTGTGAGGAGCAGAAGTGGTGGTGCTTCAGTCAAAGTATGTTTGGCAAAGACAGACAGGCCGCGTGCTCTCGACAGCCGAACGGGCGATCTGGATCCACTTGCACAAAGGAGCCTCAAGCCTCTCCCGCTGTGGAAATTAGTGGGTCGACAGCGTTCCTGGGTGGGAACCTGGTGGATTGAAATATGTCGAAGCCGCAAATGGGTGATTGATGAAGTGAGGAAGCCGGCGCAGGTAATGGGATAGCGCGAGGCGAAGGAGGAAAGGTATGTGAAGATGCCTTTGTATAGTAACGATGACGCGAGGGAGCGAGGGAGGGAGGGAGGGAGGGAGGAAGAGAAGAGAAGAGAGAAAGCTTGAGGCGCGAAAGATGCACTGTTGGGTGGAGGAAGCTCGGGATGACAAGGGTAAGGGGAAACAGCGGCAGAACTCTTTGGGAGGGATAGTAGAGAGAAAGGGCAGGGGCGAAGGACGACAAGAGAAGTTTTGAAATCGAGTTCGAAATCGAAATCCCTGTTGAGAGAAGGGCAGGTGGATGACCCTCAAGTGACGAGGCAGAGACAGGCCAGCGATGGATATGCCGAGCGGGTCCCAAGGAAGTGCCGCGGAGCTTGTGCTTGTGGTGCTTGTGGTGGTGGTGGTGGTAGTGATGGTAGCAGTGGGAGTGGTGCTGGTTACTGGATAGCTGCTTTCTGCTGGTGTGGTGTGCTGGGCTGGGCGGCCGAACGTCGTCGTCTCGTAGTTGGCCGACTTTGGCGCGTAACCGCAGCAAGACTCGATGAACCCTGGGAGATAAGGCGTTGTCGGTATGGCTAATGACTCGCTGCTGTGCTTTAGACGCTTCGAAGAAAAGAAGACATCAATATGCTTGTCGAGCGGGTACTTTCTGACGCAGAGGGAAGCAGGCAAATGATATGATGTATAGAGAGGCTTGAATTTCGCAAAAGAGCGGCTAGAAGCGATGATGTGTGGGTCGGCGGTAGCAAAGATCAGAGGTGGGTCGGTGTCAATGTCGTCTCTCTCTGTCTTCCTCTCTCACGCACACACACATACAAACACTTTTCGCGTGCCGTGGCTCGAACGTTACGGTATAAACCAGGTACCGGGGCCAGGGTCAGAGATGATTAGTGTGAAAAAAAAAGGAACAAAAGGGGGAAGATGATGCTGGTCGTGGCGATTCAGTGCAAGATGAATTAGCCGGGAGATGAATTATTGAAGGGGGACTCGAGGCGACGACAAATAATGGCAAATGCGAAAAGGGCAAAAGGGCGAAAAGCGAATGAAGAATCGCGATGGCTGATGGCGGCGTGCAGGCGGAACATGCAGATGTGAGCTAACTGTACATTCCCATCACGTGCCGGCAGAAACTTCGGAGGAACACTACCATGTACTAATCACTAATACCATACTATAATCCATTATCTCCTACACAAAGAATAGAGGAGGTTTTTAATCCACGGTGTATCGATGAGAGAGTGAATATGGCCCGAAGTGTATAGTATGAATTATAAGGTAGGAATCACGACAGGCAGTAGTGTCACGTAGGTTGGCCTTCCATTTTACCTATTAATGACCACTTCTTCTGACTGTCTACCAGAGCGAAGACCAGCAGCAGCAGCAGCAGCAGTAGTAGCAGCAGTAGCGGTATCACCACTACGACCATCATGACCATCATCATCATTACCAGCATGATCAAATCATCGTCGTCACCAGCCTCAAGGCTCTCAACCTTCTTCATCCTCCGCTTCAGCTAGTGCCGCCGTCACTGGTCGAGACTAATGCAGGCGACGGCTAGCGAATCGGACAAAAAACCACTTCGTCTGTGGGCAGCGGCAGCGTGCGTGAGTCGGCATGCTCGCCGCGTCCCATGGTCCTGTTTGACTCTCTTGATGCGGCCTCTTGTTCATCTTCACAATTCTGCCAATTACTCAAACGGGCGATTCGTGCTTGCACACGGCCACAAGAGATTGGCATGCACCTCTCTGTTTGAGGCTAAGTAGTATTGTCACAAACCCGGACCAATTACGCAATGTTGCTTGCCAAGCGGGCGTGAAAGGGTTTCCAGCATCTGAGCATCCATCATCCTACGACGACAACGTCAACCCCTCGAGACGAGGGAGGCGGCGTTGCGCACGTAGTCGGTAGAATAGACGATGGACGGTAATTAGACGGCTTTGAACAGTAAGACGGTAAGACGGTAAGACGGCACGCTGAGGGCGACGAAAGAAGTTGTGCTGCTTGTTTGCAGGATCAGCATGAGCATGAGCATGAGCATGATGAGCATGAGCTTTCAGCATGATGATGATTGTTTGCAGAGCCCAGAGCCCAGAGCGCAGAAGCCCAGACTCAAGTGGCGGCCACAATGAAATCTCAAGCCACCACGCGCCATGCCTAACCCAAGCCATCGAACGCTCAATTGCAGCACGCGCCGAACTTCCGACCGGGCCTCAGACTGATCACTGGCACTGTGCAAAATTCCCAATCGCTGTCATGCCTCTCGGAATCCGGCGATGGATGCATGCCAGTGCCAGGGAAGAATGGACAAGACGTGCATCGACCGTCCATCTCCTAATATGTGTCGTGTCTATCGTCAGAGCTTTTTGTCTGGTACAAGGAAGGGGACATGGATCGGTATCCGTCCAGCTGGAAAGCAATAGATATAGACAGTAGCATGCATAGGAGCTTAGGATGCACCCCACGCAGCATCAACAAACGGGATATTAATGACAGTGTGTAATTCATGGTTCGTTGACAGTTGATTAATACAATAGATACTAGTTATTGCCAAAGCCAAAAGGCTACCTACGGCGATGAATGTGGCCACAGCTTCAAGATTTTGGCGTGGTCGGGCAGGGAGCTAATTATCGAATAGGAAGATTCCTCCGTTGAGAGACTTGGACTGGGACTGAACCGGTGCAACGGTGCAAAGTGTTGAAGCAGCGACAGAGACCGTCACAGAGATGGCTAGAGACACACACATACACACGGACGCATAGGCACAGACGACATGGATAGACACACTGGCACTGACACATTCCAGAGCCAGAGCCAGAGACAAGAGATATTATAATCGACACAGGCCAGCAGAGCGTCCGAGCAAGTGAGCACAGTACCCTGGAACCGATACGGCGATAGCTGGTGATGGTGTTGGGACTTGCTACACGCTGCACCGAAACACTAATACTGCAACAGCTGTATGGACGAGTGACGACTGCTACTGTCTGTCTGTCTGTCTGTCTGTCTCAGGGCTTTCTGTCTCTCTCTGCCTCTGTCTCTGTCTCTTTCTCTGACTGCGCAGTCATACCGTAAGTCTGGTCTTGCGTGGGTGAGAGGTAGTGGTCCCGGGCCGATCATGCTCAAATACACAGCCAGCATGCTGGGAAACACGCACATAATCCATGCCTTCCGGACCCTGACTTTTGTGCTAAATGCTAAAAACTACCAGGTAACCAGCAGGTAACCAGGTAAACGGGCACGGTAATAGAGTTGCTGTCATTAATTAGTTAATAATATGGATTGGACTGCTACCGTCGCGTCCTCCTCTATCCTATCTCTCTCCATTCCAATTCCATTCCATTCCATCCATCTGACGTGGGTCTCGTGCCGATGCAAGTTTTGTCGACGTGCGCGGGAACGATGTGGGTGCCGGATGCCACCAGCCGCCCAACCCTCTTTTGCCCACTTTACAAACGTTGTTGCTGCTGCTGCTGCGGCGGCTTCGGCCGTCCGCAGTCAATACCTTACTTACCATACCTGCTAGCTACTCAGCACTCAGTCAGCGGTATTAATGTCGCTGCGAACTTGGCAGCTGGCAGGCACCGGCTACACCTCATTAGGCAAACACACTCCCCAGCAGCACCTCAAACAATACAGAGATGCAGCCAGCCCAAGTAGGTAATACCGATCCTCCGGCTCGATTACGTACGTGGCTGTAATTTTGACCCATGTCGGATACAGCATCCACCCACCCATCAGATCCATCTCGGCCCCACCGGCATCCTTTCTGTTTTCTGCACTCTGCACTCTGCACCATCCACACTAATTAACCACTCTCAACCACACTGTCACTTTACTCAATTCCTCACACTTTTACTTGCTCGTCTACGGCGGCGTTGGCGTTGGCGGCGTGCGTCAGTGTCCGCAGTAGTCAAACAACAGCTGTCTCTTGCAAGCATGGGAATGCAGTGACATCTGGCCAGCGCCATCGCCCATCGCCTTGCCCTGGACTGTCTTCCGCATTCCCAGCTGCTCGCCTCGCCTCTCTCGCCTCGCTCGCCTACAGCCTGCTGCAAGTCATCCCGCCGCTCCATCACTCGCCCATCCAACCGCCGAGCATCGGTCACACATTGTCCTGCAAGCCTTGCCCACAAAACACCCCTACCGATGTCTCTATCCCACGTCCCCTGCTCTGCCTCATCAAACAGGAAGTTTGATCCGTACCCACGCAGGGTTCTTGGGGCATGAGCTTGCTGGGATCGTTGTCCGCCTTGCGTCAGCCCTTTTTTTCCCTGGCGGAAATGCCGCCACGCGTCGTCGTCGTCGCTCGCTATCTATTAGTCCCTTGCGTCTCCGATGGACACGAAAGCAGATGAAGGCGAAGATGAAGAGAGAGAAAAAAAATATTGAAAAAAGAGTCATGCGGAACGCTTGAAAAAGTTTTGCTTTCCTAAAGTCAGCTCATCTTTCTACGTTGCAACGCCTATCCGGCCGAAACACGTTTCATTGTCTAGACTCTGGTCAAACTTTGAGATAGTGTAAGTCACAGATACTATTTAGAGACGTGGTGGTGATGTTGCATTGTCGCTTGCCGTTATCGGCGCAGCTAGGTTATGATCTCTACTTACGATTGCAACGCGTCGCCTCGCACACTTCGCGAGGAGTAAAACCTTTTCGCCAACTCGAGTATGCCCTCACAGACTTGCCCTGTCATTAATCTGAGCGCACATAGTCGCCTGAAATCTCTCTCATCAAAATGGTGGCCTGCTCTGAATTTTATACATGCATGCAGGGGGACCCTCGAACCTCGAATCTCGAAATGAGGTCACTCTCGTCACACATACCCCATCTTAAAACACCAATCCAACACCCCACCTGCAAAGACCCTGACTTCTCCGGCTGACTTGAAACTGGAGAAAAGCAGCCTCAGAAGAAAACTCTGGAGCTCCTTCTTCAGCCCTTTTTTTCCCATCAACTTACCCCGCCAGGACTTTCCATTCCACAGCACACACACGGGCACGTTCCATAGCCAACCTTGGGCGTGAAATCTGACAAAGAATGCTGAAAGACACGATCCCCACCGAATAGACGCTACCACGGCCCGATTTCGTGGACATCGATGAAATGACGGCAGTTGCATTCATTTTTTTGCTGGTATTATATATATACACACATACACTTCTACATGCCTCGTCTTCGACTGCGCCACATTGTTGCCACATGTTGTACTACTACGCTGGTGGCTTCTCCGTGCCTGTGCCACGCTCGAAATAGCTCCATTGTCCCTCGGGTGCCTTCTCGACGAGTTCCTCCCATCTGTATGACTATTGTTAGCTGCGATGTATGCAGAATGTGGCAATCTGTATGCGAGAATGAAGGGATGGGAGACGACTAACGGCTTGGCTGTGATCATGTTCTTGACCAGCTCGAGCTCGCCCTCTGCGACTTGGATGACTTCTTCAATTAGACCGGCGCCGATTTGTGTTTCGATGTCTGAGATCCTGTGTTTGTACCGTTGTGGTTAGCTATGCGTTTACCTGCTGGCTTTCATGCAACCAAGATACAGCGATACGCGCTCGATCCAGAGGTATCAGTAGGTTCCACTTACTGCTCTGCCGTCAACAGTCCCTCTGTAACCTTCTCTTCTCTGGTAGTGAGCTCCCCAGTACTCTCGATCTTGCTCATGATCTCAGAGACCCTGTGCACAATTGCCAGTCAGCAATGCCTCCTGTACCCAGTGATATCCCCCGTGTGTTCCATTCTCACACGGCTCCACACCACTGCGAGAATAAAAGGACGCCCAACTCACTGCTCACTCGTCAACTCCCCATCCGCCGCCTGCTTCTTGATCGCCGCAATCCTAACACCCAACATCAGTCCATCAAATTCTTTCGTCCACGCAAAAGCACAAAAAAGAACGAAAAAAAAAAACTCACTCCTCATCCCCCAACCCCGGCCTCCGCTCCCGCACCCTCGCCAGCACAACCTCGCGCCTCTCCGCGCCCTCCAGCGGCGCAACCGCCTCGACCGTCCGCAGCCGCGCCTTGGTAATCGCCTCGACCGACTGTCTGTACACCGACGACTCCGGCATCTGGCCCAGGGCCTGGAGCGTCTGCTTGTATGTGTAGATGAGCGCGGGCCGCGGGTGCGGGTGTGTGAGGAGGCCGGCGAGGCCGGTTGGGGCGTTGGGCGTGTGGTATGTTGGTTTTGCGCCTTTGAGGGTGGCGAGGAGGCGGGTTGCGGGGCGCATCTTTGGGGGAGGTGGGGGAGGAAATGGCTGGCCGAAAGTATGAGAAGGAGTTGGTATGGGCCTATGGATTGTGTTTGAGGGTAATTGGCGATGGGTGGTGAGTGTGTGGTTCGGGGGATGGGTTGTGGTGGTGGTGGTGGTGTTGTTGGAGATGCGGATTTGAGGGTCGAGCTTGGACCTTGTGCTGCTTTTGTGCTTGGATAGGGAGTGGGTTTTATATTCGCTTTCTGGTATTGCGTGTAGAGGACAGTCAAGGAATACTGAAATACTGCTTGTAAAGCGCTAGGAAGACTGGACTGTTGAGAGTAATTGAGTAGAGTCTGAACATCTGAGCCCGATAATAGATGATCTTTTCTTTCTTTGCCCACCTGTCCAGAAACTTTTGAGACGATCCAGCTTGAAATCGCCTATGGTATCCATGATAGCATAGCCATGAGACCAGACTCGAATACGAAGACTTCAGATTATATACTACGCCTAGCATATCTAGCGAAGTCGATTGGGTGTTTGTTCCCTTCCATTGAGGCGTGGTTCAGTGTGTTCCTGTTCCCGTTAGTGCTAAGAATAAGGTTATTTGACAAAGGACCCGATCCAGTAACTCATGATAGGGAGCGAGAGGCAGGGGTGCGGCGTACATGTCAAAGCCAACACTTGTTTGACTCGAGACTTGAGCGACGATGGGTTTTAGACTGCTCATACAACAGCAGTAGCCCAAGGTCCCCAGTCAGGTATCCTCCCACTCTTCTTTCTTTCCAGACTCGCATACCAACAAATGCGCACTGGAACCTACTCCGCCAACCTTTCAAATCGTGCAACCTGTCCTTTCCCATCACGAAGTCTACGAAGTTCACGAACATACCCTTCCACGCATACAGCGCGCCAAATCGATCGCATGTCCTGATACGTTCCACACACCATGAATTCACAAAGGAACATACGGCTTGCCTTGCTGGCATGCATCGCTTTCCTCTTCGCATTTGTCGCCGCAGCAGACGCAGAGCAGCAGGAAGGCCCTCCACAACCTACCAAATTCAATGGCATAGAAGTACCGCCGATCGTACACCTCACAGGCGACAGCATCAGTGAGGCTATAAGCACAGGAAACTGGTGAGTGAGCCGCAACATTCTTTGTTCCGTCTTTCAGTACTAATCATGTAGGCTTATCGAGTTCTACTCGCCATACTGTGGCCACTGCCAAGCGATGGCCCCCATCTACCAGACCGCATACGAGTACTACTACACCTCAAACCCCGTTCCTGGGAATAAACAGGTCTCCGATGACAGTCTGAACACCTTCTCGAGATACTACGATTTCAAGTTCGCGAAGATAGACTGTATATCCTTTGGGGATGCTTGCCAGAAGTATGACGGCCTGCGATTCCCGACTTTTAAGCTCTTCAAGAACGGCGAGGAGACGAGCAAGCATGTCGGAGGCATGGACATCAACGTATTTAGCGGCTTCGTGGAGGACTGCCTAGAGACGATAAGACCGGGCTCGCGACCGAAGGAGGGAGTGAAGCTTCCTAAAGTTGGCGCTACGCAAACGGACGATGCGGCTACGAAGCCGGAGGTATCGGAGGAGAAGGACAAGAATCCTGCGGCAGGCTCTGCCATGGCCTCGGCGCACCGTGCTGTAGCGACTCCGGTGACTGCAAAGCCTGAAGCTGCATTGCAGAATCAGGCTCCGATACAGAATAGGCCCGCTTCGAAGGATAACAGCAAAGCCAACCTCCAGGGCGACTCCGTGCCCCTGGATGCAGAGGCCTTCCAGAAGAAAGTCACAGCAACGACCGATGCTTGGTTCATCAAATTCTACGCACCATGGTGCGGCCATTGCAAAGCTTTGGCGCCAAACTGGAAGCAGATGGCAAAGGAGATGCAGGGCAGACTGAATGTCGGAGAGGTTAATTGTGAACAGGAGAAGCGTCTGTGCAAGGAAGCTGGCGTCAAGGGCTATCCGACCATGCTCTTCTTCAGGGGAGGTGAAAGGGTAGAGTATGAGGGCTTGAGAGGTGTCGGGGACCTGATTTCGTATGCTAGCAGGGCGACTGAAGTCAACGAGGGCGTAGTTGATGTCAACTTTGACGACTTTGTCAAGATGGAGGAGACAGAGGAGGTCATCTTCCTTTACTTCTACGACCACGCGACCACAAGCGAAGATCTGGCAGCTCTCGATCGCCTCACTCTGAGCCTTGTAGGACACGCCAAGCTGGTAAAGACAAACGACAAGAAACTCGTCGAACGATTTGGTATCACAACTTGGCCCAGGCTCGTCGTGTCTCGCGATAGCAAGCCCACATACTTTACGCCATTGGCGCCCAAGGACATCCGCGACGTCAAGAAAGTTCTCTCCTGGATGATGCAGAACTGGCTTCCCATAGTTCCCGAGCTTACCTCCTCGAACGCCGTCGAGATCATGGAGGGCAGACTTGTTGTGCTCGCTGTCCTCACCCGTGACAACGATGACGAATTTATCAGTGCGAAGCGCGAACTCAAGAATGCTGCCATTGAGTGGATCGACAAGCAGACACACATGATGCAGCTTGAGCGTCAGGAGCTCCGAGATGCTAAGCAACTGCGTATCGAAGAGGCAGAGGATCGCGACGACGAACGCGCTCTTTCCAATGCCAAACGCATCCGCATTGACATGGACGAGATCAAGCGCACAGAGGTTGGCTTTGCATGGGTCGATGGCGTTTTCTGGGATCGCTGGATCCGCACCACGTATGGTATCGACGCAAAGGATGGCCCCAAAGTCATCATCAACGACGAAGATGTAAGCTCACTCCACCTCCTCGTGTCTCAGACGCATGTCACTCAAATAGACAAACCCTAACCATCACCAGAACCGCCAGTATTGGGACGTCACCATCAACGGCGACCCCATCCGCGCCTCCCGCACATCCATCTCAGAAACACTGCGCAGCGTCACCGCCAACCCGCCCAAGATCTCCCCGAAATCAACCTCCTCGCCAATCATGCGCGTCTACTACCGCTTTATTCGCCTCTTCACCAAGCACCCCATCATCATGGGCGTCGCCATGCTCGTAAGCACCGTACTGGGCATTTTATACAGCAGGCGAGCGAGGAGAGGGAGGACTTTCGGCGAGACGGGAGGGTATTTCAACCTCAGCGAGAAAGGCGGTCTGTTGAATGGCGGGACTGGGGGGAAGACGGACTAAGTAGAGGCTGGGATGAAAATAGTTGGGGGAAGGGGGGGGAGACGTCGGAACTTGCAGAAATGCAAATGGGCGTTTTTTGGGTTTGGCATAGGTGGTGTTGGTGGATATGTGTGTGTGTGTGGTGTATTATTAGGAGTGTGTATTGTATACCTGTGATAGCGTCGCGAATCTCTTATATACGTGGTGTGGGTGGTGTCGATTTGGATGATGTGCTGTGTTCGGTATCTGGATTGAGTGTTGGGCCTTTCATCTATCTGATCTCAGTAGTTATGGTTATGGTTGTCATCTCGAGTCTCGTCCACCTGTTGCACTTCTTGGAAGTACGAGTTTACCTTCACACTTTGTGGTATTGACATCCAGACTTGAGTATGTGAGGAACAACATCCCTGCCTTCACACCCCCCTTTCTATTCTCCCCAGTATCAGAAAATAAAAAGTAACCATTCGCCACCCACGCCCCTGAAAAACGACTACTTGCTTGTTATACAAACAACGAATGCTAGAAACGATGAATACAAATACAGATCCAAAATACACAGAAACATTTCATTCTGAGGACTACCTTCCTCTTCTTCGTCTTTTTATGCATGATCTGGTTTGTAGAATTTAATCTCTTGAAGTTTGGATGGATTGGTAGGTCGTTTGGGCGGAAGGGATTGTAAAGGGGATATGACTCGTTGGATTTGTTATATTGGTTGAGTATGGTGATTGTTAAGTGAGATTTTCATGTAGAGGTAAAACTTTATGGACTTGAGTGTTTTGTTGGAAGAGGAGTTGGGCTCGTAGATGGAAGTGCTGGCGTGCGATGCTTATTGTGTTTATACTAGACAGATGTTGACGTTCTATTAATGTAGAAATGCCAGGCGTGCTGATGTTTGTTCTTGTCTGCTTCAGTTTAGCGGGCATTGTGAGGGGACTGGAGGTGTTGAATTCTTTCTTGGAGTGGTATGATGCCAGGGGTAAATTAGAACAGATAAAATTGAGTTCTGGCTGAGAACTATAATACGACCGCCTGACCGGAGAAAAGTATCTATCGAATCCCGGTGACCGATGAAAACCCAGCTTTTTACATATGATATAAAGGGTGATTAATTGATCAAATGGTTCCTTTTCAAACGTGCCCCTGTCTCACAGTCTGAGCCGACGTCACCTGCAAATACTGCATGCAATACACAATTCCAAACAACGCAGAGCAAACCCAGGTATCAACATCTATTCCTCATCTCAACCCTCCACCACCCTCCCACTAACACCATGCCACCACCTCCAACCCCAAAAATACGTATACACCAAAGCCTTAAACACACCCATCCCCCACCACGGCACCTCATCCCCAACGGCATTCACCACAATCTCCTCAACATTCACATCCGGCGCCCCAGGCACCAAAAAGCCCAACCTCAGCGCCTCCCACGTCCGCTCCTGGCACTTCGTCGCCCGCACAAACATATCCCGCTCAAACGCCTCGACCTCCGCATCCAAACGCTCCGCACCACCACCCCGCAGAACAGCAGCCCCAATCCCATCCGCAAGCCTCACCGCATCGCCCATCGCCAAATTCACCCCCTCGCCAATAAACGGCGTCATCAAATGCGCCGCATCCCCCACCAGCGTCAGGCCCTCCCGATGCACCCACCGCAGCCCAACAGGCAACATATACAACTTCCGCCCCACGCACTCCCCATCCCCCGCAGCAATAAACCCGCGCAACACCTCGCTCCACCCCTCAAACACCCCCATCTGCACCCGCCGCACTTCCTCCCCGTCCTGAATCCGTCCCCCGCCATATAACTCCTCAAGCACATCCTCCCCCTGCACAACCCACGTCGAAACGCTAATCTCCCCCGTGCCGAGCTGCTGCGCCGTAATCGCTTTCCCGTCGCCGAACGCGAATATGCTGCCCTTGTTCAGCGCTGCGCGGAGATGTGCTGGACAGGTGCCCGGGGAGATGGTGCGGGTTATGCCTGCGATGCCGGCGTAGATGGGCGGTTGGGGGGTGAGGGCGGCGCGGCAGTGGCTCCAGGCGCCGTCGGCGCCGACGACGAGGGAGAAGCCGTGCTGGGGGGCGTGGTGGCGGAAGTGGAGTGTCCAGGAGGGGGTCGTGGGGGATGAGGGAGTGTTGTTGTTGTTGGAGGTTGGAGGACCCCCGGGGGAGACGCGCTCGAGGTGGTGGGCCCAGTGGATGGTGTCTTTGGGGAGGGAGGCGAGGAGGAGGGAGCGGAGGACGGCGCGGTCGATTTCGGGGCGGGCGTGTGAGGAGGAGGAGGATGGTGAGGAGGGGTTTGAGGGTGTGGAGCCGGAGGAGGTGTTGATGAAGGATTTGAAGGCCTTGTTTGTGAGTTTGAGGGCTTGGCCGTCGAAGCGGGCGTGGGCGAGGAATTGGTCGTAGAGGCCTGCGCGTTTGAGGGCTGCGATGCCGGTGTCGGGGTGGAGGTCGAGGGTGCCGCCTTGGGAGCGGGCGGTGGAGGAGGGCTCGCTTTCGAAGATTGTGATGCTGAGGGAGGCGGCGGCGGGGGAGTGGAGGAGGATGCGGGCGAGGGTGCAGCCGGCTGGACCGGCGCCGATGATTGCGATTTTGTAGGTTTGTTTGGGGGACATGGTTTTGTTTTGGATGGGAGGGGGAAAGGGGGGGATGGATGGATGTTGGGTCGAAGTGAGGTATATGTACCATATGACACTTTCTGAACAAGACAAATCAGTCTCACACAGGAAATCCCATCAAATATATATCCATATCCACATCAATCTCCATCCCTCATCTTATCCATCCTTCCCAAGAACCACACTAAGCAGTACAACACAAAACCCAACACCCCATACATACCCACTTTCGGACCCGACGACGGGAAACCCCCGTCGCGTCGGCAAACGAACCCCGGTTGTCCGACTTCTTTCGCACCCGAAAACGGAAATATGTTTCGCTGCACCTGTGGCGTTTCCGGCCGTGCTTGTATTTTAGTGCTTGTATGGATCCATGGGATAAGCTTTTCGGCTAAGCCTTGAATAGTCTTCTCCTAGACGGTGTCGCGCTATCGGTTGAGATTGTCCCGTGCTTGTTGTGCTTGTCATCGTGTGTATCGTATCCATGGCCCCCAACGTTAGCGGTGGGCTATCTGATTGTAATTATTAGTCGGTTTGTTGCTTGTTTAGTTGCTACGCACAACAAGCAGTTGGTTCAGGGGCGCGAGATGAGGTTGGTTATGAGAGTATCAGGTGGGTGCGGTTTTTTTGGCTGGCTGGCTTGTGTTGGTTTTATAGTTGGGAAGGAAATTAGGGCCGATGGGTAAGATGTTGGGATAGGTTTGTACCTGATACAGAGCAGGAGGTTTAGAGAAGGCTTCGATTTAACATTTCCTTTCATTTGATCTGATCTGATCTATATACACTGTTGCAAGTAACACATACCACGACACACATGCGCAACAAGTTGGGGAGTCTATACGCTCTTTCTACACACCTCCATCTACACCCACCATCTCTTCCTCATTCCAATTCCCATCCCATCCCCCAATCCCCCACCCCTACAACTTCCCCGCCCCCCTCAACCCACCCTCCCCATCAACAAGCACACACCACCCCTCCCCACCACGCCCGCCCTGCCCCCCAATCACCGTCCCAAACCGCTCCCTCGCAAACCTCATCCCCTCCTCATCAAAGCTGCCCGGCTGCAGCCACACGGCCGGCACACCCACACTCGCCGCCTCCTCAAGCACCTTCCTCGTAACCTTCGGCGGCGTAATGATGCTCAGACTTGTATGCGTGGGGTCTGGAATCGCGCTGGGCGAGGGCACAGTCGGGTGCGCTTCGCTCAGAGCAGTGATGCTGGGCGTGGAGGGGTTGAGCGGCGTGACGGGGAGCGAGTGGGCGAGATACCATGCGAAGACTGTGGGGATGATAGCCATGTTAGTAGAGTTTTGCTTTTTTTTTTCTTTTCAAGTAAGAGGAGGTAGAAGCATATATGGTTGTGCAAGTCAAAAAAAAAAAAACCACGAAAAGACTGGAACCGCACCCTTGTGTCCGAATTTGCTCGTGTCGGAGCTTGCGCCTGCGACGGCGAAGCTGCTGCTTTGGAAGAACGTCTTGAGCGCCGCTGTGGCTTCTGATGCTGCCATTCTTTCTGATCTGCGTTGCTCTTCACGGCTGAGGAAGTCTTCCCTTTGGGCGAGTGTGCTGGCGCGAGGTGTTCTGGGCATGCGCTCCTTTCCTGGCTTGAACAGTAGTAGGGTGGATTGTGAGAGAGCTACGACGAGTGGAAGGGTTAAAGCGTTCGTTGGTGTGGATGTCGTATAAGTGGTGGAGAGTGCGATTATAAAAGAAAGTGTTGGAGAGGGGACGGGTATGGCGTCAGAAACGTCCGGGGGCACGCACTACGCACGTTTGGGGTCCCTTGCCCAGAGATGATCGGGGCCGGGTGTTTTAGGTAGGGCGTCAGGGCTGCCTTGGTGATGGAACCGCGTTGGGGAGAAAGCGTGGGGGAGAGAGCGTGGGGTGGATGGTGGACTGACTACACACAGCTTCAGGCTCACGATCAATGAGCACCACCTTCTCACCGCGACTGCTGGCAAAAGATGCGAAGTGATGGATAAAGATAGATAGCTTCTTGGCGCAAAGGGTATATAGAGCTAAATTCCATCCCAGAAGGATCCCCATGCCGCATCGACATGTTGTTGGTAATGACAGTCCGCATCGTCCCATATATCTCATCCTATATAGTCATCTCTAACCTGTATCGGCTCATCTTTTCGTTATATCCTTCTACCTCGACAATATATTGCAGATATTCTGCATAGGCTGGATAACGAGTGTTAATTTAAACATAGGTCGAAAGCTGTCAGGAAACAAATGGGTGCGTAATCGTGACAATATATGGCGCAGAACATGAACGGGCATGCTCCAGATAACCGTCAAAACGCCGGATATGCTATCGGGACAATGAAATGGTTTGTACAAACGGTAGGTGAGATATGTGGCTCATGTCAAGGACTCCTGCTCAGGCATGAAATCATGGCGCGAGGAGCTCAATGCATTTAGTGAGGCGTACGCTAGCCTCATGAAGGAGTTCCCAGCGGGTCTTCTTGAACATGTCTCGCATAAGAACCAACAAGCCCAGACATGCATTGCGGTTCTGGAGCTTCGCAAGATCATCAGGGGCGCGTACAGTCCCCACTCGCCGTAGATAGCCCTGCATGTCTCGGACGCATTCGTCGTGTGTATTCAGTGTATAGGCCGGACTGAGCGGGCCATCGAGTGCGTAACCGTAAGACCAGACGATGAGTACAGCGAAATAGAGAACCCAGGGGCGATTGAGGAGAAAGTCTTCGCGCGCAACGTAAGTCATGTCCGGATTGGATTGCATCGGCACAGAAGAAATGAGGCTGGAGTGGTTGGGCCTGTCTTCAGGAATCAATACTTGACTCAAGAAGCGCAGGGCGTAAAAGGTCGCATCTCGGGCCTTTGCTGTAGGTGCCCACACTTCCTTCATACGTTTCTGAGCACCATTCGCATCCTGAGATGTAATACTGCGACCCAAGAGCCGCGTCGCACCGGCGTAGATCTGGCAGTCCACTATGTCGACATGCATGGCCATATGTGCCAGATGGTGCAGAACGGTGCGACTTTCGTACATAAGATTGTCATCCAACGCACTGCGGCGTGAACTCGAGCCGGTCTGGTGCTGCTGTGCATGATCTACTTTTGCTACAGCACCATCAAAGTCTGTTTTCCAAAAGTCAAAGGCACGAGTGAGAGCTCCGCGCCATTTGTCACGACCGCCTAATGCCTGTGACACACCCAAGGATGTTACTTGGAGGTCTCTTTGGTTCATGTGCCATGTGACACTCAGCAGACCTGCCATGATAATGTTGCGACCAAAGGCGTTCGTATGTACTGCTTGTCCGTTGAGAGTCTTCTTCAGACCCTCGAGGAAGGTTGTTGGCTTGACGCCGTTGTTGTGTAAGCTGGTCTCGATACGCCCAACTTCCGCGCCACTGGTGGCTGACCACAGTGTTTCGTCGCACGGGAGAGGCAGGCGCATCTCGTGCGCGACCATAACGGCGGAATGGCCAAACATTGTGGCATGTATCGAGTCCCTAGAGACATTAGCTCACTGCCCATAACATTGTTCATCAAGGCCCTGCAACAACGTACATGACAAAAGCAGCGAATGCTGCCCTTCGTGTCGCTTCGTTGGATATCCAATGATTCCACCATTCATCGGGTGTCTGTGGTGCCGTCGATGCACTACCATTCGATTTAGGGTCCTTCGTACTTGGCGGAGAATCCATCGCAGATCTACCGATGAGCGAGCTTCCTCTACGCATCAGTGTGAGGGTTGTAGCATGGTGGATATGTGCTCTTTCGTGGAGAGGCCTGGTTGAAAACATCTTCTCGAAGATCTCGAGTAATATCAATGCCTGGAAAATCCAAAGCCTAACAAAAGGTCAGTGTGGCTTAGTATATCTACCTCATTTGGACTCACTTAGCAGGGGGACGAAAGTCCGCATCCATGAATACTTCCCATCGCAGATGCCAAGCCAGAAAGTTGGCAAGTTCAGAACATGTTTGAGTTGTGTCGTATCCGTGGTTCTTTTCCAAGCATGCAGCTCCAACGGCCATGACGGCCAGTAGCAGGATGTTTGGACATGATGCCGCATTGAAAGTCGGACGGTGCAGGATAGGCATTTGGGGATGGAAATGAGACCAGTACGACGCAATGAAAGTCTGCATCATGTGTAGGCTGAGGATATGATGGGGGCCATCCCTGTTGCCTTCCAAAAGCTCAGCCTTTTGCCTCTTTACGGGTGCATGGTCAGTCTCGTTGAATCGTTCTTCGATAAGATCGATGAGCTGAGATCGCTTCTCCTCCGACAGCGCAGACTCCGGCAGACTAGTATCAAGAATACTATTGACAGCCATTGGATGTTGTTGGGGTGCCTGTGGAGTATAATACCCGCTGACAACCGGATCGTAATTAAAATATGGTGCTTGTAGTCCGATGGTGGACGATGACCCCAGTCCCGGTGCGACACTTCCATGTTGAAGATTCATAGCCGACCCGCCATTCGTATTCAAGTTTGATTCATTAAACAACCAAGCAGCAAAATCATCGGCCATGGCAAATGGCGATCTACTGTAGCCCTCACCCCCGAACACTGGTATCGACGACTGAAAACCGGGAGTGGTGCCAAGCATCGGTGTATCCGAGACGACTGCAGTCTGCCCATTCTCCAGGTGGGATGTTTGTGGGGTATGATGGCCTTGGGGTTGACCGCGGGCATCAGTCGCATTGTTCATCGTCTGAAAACCGGGTGGAGGTAGATTATTAAATTGAGGAATGCTCTGCTGCGCTTGATAGCTAGCTGACGAAGGGGTGTATTGCTTGTAGTCCTGTGGTCCTTGTGGTGCTTGTGGTGCTTGTGAGTTGTACTGTTGCCCAGTGGGGCCGCTGTAAGGTGAATTATTGCTTTGATTATAAGTTTGCATGTGGCCACCAGATGCCTGGGTGGGAAGGCCTGGCCGGGCGAATCCGTCATTACTTGTGTGCGGTGACATGTTGGGTCGCGCCGCGCTTATAGCACCAAAGCTTGGAGTTCGTTGCCCTTGTTGGTGATTGTTATATGCCCGTGGAGTCATGTCGTACCGTTCATCCCTACGCCCATAACCAGCTGTAGACCGCATAGCAGATTCGGATGCGGGTGAGGGCAAGGTCGCATTCAATGGAGGGGATATCGACGACCCTCCAACGGCTGCAGAACCTACAGTCGCAGAGCTTGGGTGGGCCGATGCAGGTGAATCCCGCATATAGACCTAGTACCACAGTCAGAATCGCGGAACAAGACAACGGGGTAGTCCATGCATACCGTAGGCGAATGCTGTCCCTGCTGAGGATGAGATTTCTGGCCCTCCAAGGCAGCAGTTACTATAGGATTCGCATTATGCATAAATGTATCCTTGCGGAGCAGCTGTGAGCCTCGGGCAGTATGTCGTTCTTTGTGTCTCGCACACAGGTCCTGGCGAACAAAAGATCGATTACAGTCAGGAAAGTCGCAACGATATATTTGCTTGGGGTTGTCTGCACCTTGTAATTAGCCTGCTTCCTTTTAATACGTCTCCAGATTGTACGACCGGAGATGGTGCTCTGGTAGATATAAGCTTGTTCAGCACATTCGAGGACAGACAGGCTGGCAAAGCTATAAAAAGAGTCGCGCGTGATCTGTACGTACGGTTCAATTGATGGCGGTATAAATGCTCCGCTCTTGAGTAGCTCTTCCCGCAGCCCTCGTGGGGACAATCAAACTTCTTATCGAGTCCTTTCCGACTTCGTCTTCTCTTTCTCGAAGAACCACCTGGATCTGCTCCATCAGCATCATCACCATTATCGCCATCGTGCGTCTGATCTTCATCTTCTCTTGTACGACGCCGACCTCTTGGATCGTCTCCTGAGTTGGGAGAGGCTGGCGTGGGAAGACCCATCCTTGGGGTATCTGATATGGCAGACATGCTCGATTCGCGATGCTGCCCAAATTCCGACGTATAACCAGTATGTACAGAGAGGACCTGAGCCGTCATGACCAAGCTTCACGAATCAGCAATTGTGTCTGGCAGTATTGTGAAAGGTCAGCCCAAGAATGATAGGGCTGAATCGGAACAGGTCGTATCGGGCAAGGGCAAGCCGTCCGCACCGGGACCCTACTGCAGCAAGTACGGCTCTTGAAGAAAGCTTCTTTCGTGGGGATTACAGAGCTGCAATAGGCATGGTATGGTAGTTGACGTGGAGGTGCGGCGGGGATCTGGCTCGCGGTGAGGATATGATGGGGCACGGTTGGAGACAGGCGGCGAAAGGATAAGGTATAGACAGCGATCGCGAATCACTCGCGCGGCGAAGTGAATGCTGCTGCTGAGTGGAAACGGGGATGGCCAAAGCACGGCACGCTGATCAGGCCTCTGGAGCGCGCCGTGTGTGTTGCGCGGAGAGTAAGCCGGCGGAGGTTCTGAGGATGGTGGAGCGGAAAGTCGCAAAAGGCGAAAAGACTGGCTACAGAAGGCTGGCAAAGCTCAGTGTACGTTGATAGGGCCGAATGACAGGCACGTAAACAGCTACTGGATAAAGCCGCGAAGACGATGCCAGGGCGAGGCGTAATATGGGGGAGGCGACGCGATAGCAGCAGCAGTAGCAGTAGTCGAGAGAGTGGGGAAACAGATGTTGAGGGCGCGCGCGAGCATCCCACTGCAGGGCGTGACCAGAGATGAACAGTAAGCAGTAAGCAGCTACTACCAGAACACCGCTCCGTGAAGAGTGCAGAGCGTATAGAGAGTATAATTAGAGTGTTGAGTGTGTGTGTAATGTATGTAGTAGGGTTGAAGAGTGGATAAAGCTGTAAGGGTGGATGGACGGGATGGGAGGCAAGCCAAGCTGGTGGAGGCAGAAGTAACAGAGTAACAGATAATAGAGCGAGCGAGGGTCAAAGCTGGGTTTAACGATGCAGGACGACTGGGGGAAAAAGGTGGAGTGGAGGGTGATGCGGTCGGTGGTGCGGTATAGTGCGGTAGTGCGATAGTGCGATAGTGCCCAGTGCTCGGCGGCGACGCTCACGGCAACCAGGCGGGAAGCGCGCCAACTAATTAGCTGCAATACGATCGCTGGCCCCCTCCCTCAGTCCTGGGAATCCTAATCTTCAGTCTCTGTCTTGCTCTTCCATCTTGTGCAGTGTATTGAAGAGAGGATGTACGAGAATATTCAAACTCTGTCGTATGCATGCCTGCCTGCCTGCATCCAGCACACGGGTAGACACGGATTGGCAGCAGCACGGGTTGAGGCCTTTGGTGTATCAATGTCAGTCAGGCAGGGATTATGAGCTGCATATTATTACCTATCGATGTGGACGACAGAGTCAGCAGATGCACGCCCAACGGCGACCGTTACTGCTGATAGATTGCTGTGTGTGTCGGCATATCGAGTCCCATCACTACTACAGTACTGCTAATTACTGCTCCTATGTGCATGCTAGGGAGGGAAACGGGCTGTGGAGTGCGTGCATGTTTACTCCGCTGCTGCATACATACATGCACACACACACACACACACACACACACACACACACACACACACACACACACACACACACACACACACACACACTTGGTCCGTTCGTCTGCTGCTCGTATGTTCGTCTTTGTAGCAACATATAGTGGTTGGTAGGCTTGTTTGTAAGCATTGTTACTGGCTCTTGTACATCCTGGTTCATCACGACTCAGCGGAAGTGATCACCATCATGGGCACCACCGAGCCTCAATTGTCATGTTGCGAAAAACGCCACTGACAAGAATGCGTGGGAGACTGAGTGCAAGTCTATCCCACACCAACTCCAGGACGCTCAGACTCTTCAGAGAAATGCAGTGGGGGTGGTAGTAATAGTAGGAGTAGTATTAATTAGGTTGATGGTGCTGATCCACTGAGAGCTGCTGGTGGTGGTGGTGGTGATGGTGGTGCGAGCTGCCTCCCGTCAATCGCTCCACAGCTCCGTTGGTCAATGGAGCAGCCACTCGGCCGAGCTGATCTCGTCCCTCTACCGTGTAATGTGCGCTCTACTCTTCCATCACTCGTCAATCTCTCGGCTTTGTTTTTCACATCCTCACATGCTCCGGTTATGCATCTCTTCAAGCTCTTATTCCGTCTATCTTTTCCATCCTTGATCATAGTCCTAGCCTGTTTCGCGGCCTTGCAGCATGTCACATTCAATTGGCACCCATTGCTTGTGCTGTGAGACGGCCATACACCAAGCTTCGCTGTGGAGAGAATTTCTTCGAATTGGTATAATTGGGTAGGAGCACTGCTAAACGCAATAATATATAAATAAAACTTCGACATGTTGTACTGCAGTGTCGTGCAGCAGCCCATCAACGGATTCGCGTGGGACTGGGGCAATAATCCACGGCTGCGGCCCGTGAGCCTCCAGATAATCGTGGGAGACGTCTGTACTATGCACACAGAGCCTCCCTGTAGCGTGGAGATTCCCCACACCAAGCCTGCATGTCGTCCTACTCCTACACTTGCACGCAACCTGAGACTGCAAAAGCAAGCTTCCGTCGTGTCGCGCCATGTCAAAACTATATCAGGGCCAACGAATACGGCGCCGCTTACCCAGAAATCCATCGCCTTAAATATCGCTTCAGACATATCATCGTACGTAACAAAGCATTAGCATTACACATCGAGAGCGCATACACGCAAATGGCGGCATTCACGTCTTGTGCTCATGTAGTCTTTTCAGTGCTTTCTGCCTCAGGTTCTGCCTCCGTCTCTGCCTTTGGCTCATCCTCAGCAGCAGTTATGTCTGTCTCGTCAGTACCGTCTGCTTCAATCTGTGTTGTTTCCACGGTTTCCACCTCGGCTTTCGACTCGCGTTCTGCGACCTCTGTAGCAGGTTCTGATTCCGATGCTGGTTCTGGTTCTGGTTCTGGCTCTGCTACTGGTTCTGCTTCAGGTTCCGGTACTGGTTCAGCATTAATTTCTGGTTCGGCGTTTGTTTCCGTCTCTGTTTCTGTTTTCGGATCCGTCTTTGCTTCTACCTCCTCTACTTCCCCCTCCTCCTCCTCCTCCTCCTTCACTGGTTCGCTCGCCTCCTCAGCCAGCTCTTCTACTGGTGGTGGCACTTCCGCTTTGGGTTGCTCCGGAACTTCTTCGGGTATCTCGGGGATTGGTTCTACTTTTGTTTCCACATTGCTGTCAGGGAGTGTAAGAACAGCGGTTTTCGGCTCTTGTGCAAAGTCCTGCGCATCTTCTTCTACAGATTCGTCAGGTAAGCTTTTATTTTCTTCTTCCATGCCATCACTTTTTGGTTCAACCGGTGTATCTTCTGCTCCATCTGCCTCTTCTGGAATGGTATAGCCATCTGGCGGGAGTAGCTCATACGTGTCTATAACAGTCTTGAAAAATATGTAGAGACCTGACTGTTTCTCTACGTGCCAGAAGACCTCCCTATGCTGAAACCAAGCGTGCGCGAATATACGGTAGAGGCGACGGAATATGATTGTCAGCTGTCGTATTTGCTGGTCCGGGTTACCGATATCTGAACCCAGATGCAGTCTACTGGGAAAGTGTTTCGGCGAGGTAAGAGTGTTGCCTGCGCAGTCGAGTGTGTGGCAGCAGTAGTCTATAGCACAGCACGATTTCGGTGGGTCATGTACGGCGCAGAGATATTGCCATTCAGATGCGCGCATATCGGGACATGTCTGTGATGAACACGGAGGTTTCGCGGCGAAGAGGGTGATGACAATTGAGTTGAGATTCTGCGTGTGGAAACGACACAGCTCGTACAGCCACAATTCTCGCGACACGCCTTCAGGCGCCAGAGCGAGCTTCCGCGCCGAGGTCTTGTCGATAGGTGAAGGGTTCTGGGTTCCGGTCGGATGGGTATAGGAATAATGTAGGGCTTTGAGATGCTCGGTCAATTGGAACGGCGAGTCAATCTACAGAACATTAGGTCTGATGGCTGTGGCTATAGATGGCATGTACCTCAGTCAGCGGTACCAATGGTGGTCCTTTTGCCATGTCATTTGCTTTCGTTCCAGGCCGTATCCTTCTCGCAGCGCTGTGGTCGACACTTTGCGGCACGGCAAGCTTGCCATAGTCGTCAGTCGAAGCCGTCGCAGGTCCAGGCGATGTTGGACCTATTTGATCCTCTGCGATAGGCGGCGGACTTGGTAGCCGTGGCGAGCTGGCGGGTGATGCAGCCATGTCAATGTAGAGTGTATCTTGGAGCTGGGACGAACATGCACGCGCAGGTAGTAGGTAGCTAGCTCGAGCGCGCTTGGGCCACCGAGTTGTCGTTGTGCTACAAGAAGAATCAGACCCTACACACTTGAACCACTGAGCACACTTATAAGATATACACAATATCACATTTAGACTGCATCGTGTCAGGATTAACTGGATTGCTCTGGTCGCACACGTTAGGCTTTATTTTGAAATCCCAGAGGGTTTCGCGTCTCTTACACAATACATTTGCATGCTAGCATCAGCCAGCAACTAGATAGCGGGCGTCGACAACGCCTTTTGGAATATATACAATGGACATGGACGCAGATTTAGATGACGAACCCCCATCGTTGGTACCTACCGACGAGACGACCACTTCAATCGGAGCACCAGACCAGGAGCGAGAAGAAGTCAGCAGCATTACGAAAGTGCCTATAACAATCGTCACAGGTGTGCTACACCTCTCAAACTGCGATGATGCGGCACTGAACATCATAAGGATATCTCGGAGCAGGCAAAACCACTCTGCTTAACTATATCCTCAATGAAAAACACGGCAAAAGGGTAGCCGTCATCCTGAACGGCATGTAGACACAACGGCACTGTCAACCATATGTATACTGATATATCATAGAGTTTGGCGATTGTGAGCTGCTTTAGCTCTAATATAAGTATCTTCACACTGATATACCTTAGCGACGGACATTGAAAAGTCCCTTACTGTCAACAAAGATGGCCAGGAAGTCGAGGAATGGCTCGAACTTGCGAATGGCTGCATATGCTGCTCTGTCAAGTATATCATCCTCTATACTCCTCGTTCGAGTACTTACACCATCCAGAGACTCCGGTGTGGCAGCCATAGAATCACTCATGGAACGCCAAGGCGCCTTCGACTACATCCTCCTCGAAACGACCGGCCTTGCAGACCCAGGCAACATCGCACCCCTATTCTGGGTCGACGAAGGTCTAGGCAGCACCATCTACCTCGACGGCATTGTCACACTTGTCGACGCCAAGAATGTACTCAAGTCTCTCGACGAACCATCACCAGAAACCAGGCCAGATGCTCAGGACCACGATCACAATGGCCCGGAGCTTACAACAGCACATCTACAGTTGAGCCACGCGGACGTCATCGTCTTGAATAAAAGCGATTTAGTCACAGATGAGGAACTGGAGAATGTGCTAGGGCGGATCAAGGCAGTGAATGGGCTTGCACGAGTCCACATCACAAGTCATTCGAAGGTACCACAGCTAGAAGGAGTGCTATTAGACTTGCATGCGTACGACTCGATAACTACCGCAGAGCTAGACTTTGCATCAAAGGGCCACTCCCATCTCGATCCCGCGATCTCTACGGTCACGTTGGGTGTGCCTGAGCTTGATGAGAATGGGCTGGAAAAGCTGGACGCGTGGCTACGGAGTACACTGTGGGAGAATATACTCCCTGGAGAGGGACAGCAGGAGGCTTCCTTCGAAATCCATAGGCTGAAGGGAAGGATATTGGTCAAAGGCGGCGGAGTGAAGCTGATACAGGGAGTGCGTGAAGTATTTGATATCCTAGACGAGAAGGATAGTCCTGGAAACTCGGACCAGACACGCGGCAGTGAAGGCAAGCTCGTTCTGATAGGAAGGAGATTACAGAACGGGGTGTTTCGGAGAAGCATTGACGGCTACTTTGCATAGTCATAGTCCTCCATCCAGCATGTAGAGGAGAGGAAAGAATCATGAGACGTCTGACTGCTTTGCGTTGCGGATGCGAACACAAACCTTGTGTGTGTGTGTGAATTCAAGTAACGCTCAGCGTTCACTCAAGCATCATCTCTCACTGTCTCCACTGACTTCTCCTTGAACAGCTCCCAGCAGGCCTTACAGTATCCAGGGTCCAGCCAAGACCATCAAGTTTGACCACGAACTTCCACGACTATACACTCTATTACCTCTTTCGCCAGCGTCCAGCTATCCCGGGCCTTCCATTCGCTCTAACCCATTCTAGCGGCGTTTGGTCTCCTGTTTCAGAATCATCAGGGTCCAGCCAAGACCATCAAATTTGACCACGAACTTCCACGACTATACACTCTATTGCCTCTTTCACCAGGGCCTGGCCTTCTATTCGCTCTGATACCGCTCCTAGTGGCGTTTCAGTTCCTCAACTCCTATGTTTCAGATCGTTGTATTCGACTTCAGGGTCCAGCCAAGAGCATCAAGTTTGACCACGAACTTCCACGACCATGACCATACAGTTTATTACCTCTTTCACCAAGGCCTAGGCCCTCTATTCGCTTCTAACTCTGTCTAGCGGCTGTTCACTTCTCCTGCTTCTATACTTTGAAAAGGTCAGGTCTTACTTCAGGGTCCAGCCAAGAGCATCTAGTTTGGCCACGAACTTCAACGATGATGTCGTATTATTACCTGTTTGGTCAGCCCTAGGCCAAGGAGATGCTATTATTAGCTATAGGCCACTATGACACACGCCGTCGCGTGTTATCTTTGTTCAAATGTTTGTTTATCAGCCTATTCACTTTTCTAGACCCACTATCGGCCAGAATAGGCTTAAGCCAGGGTCCAGCCAAGACCATCAAGTTTGGCCACGAACTTCCACGATAATGTCTTAAAGGATTGCCTATTTCGATGGCTATGCTCAGAGAGATTACTATTATTGGTTATCGGATACTATGACGTATGACACGGGGTAGGCTGTGTTTCAGGTTTATTTATTAGTATACAGGGTCCAGCCAAGACCATCACTTTTGACCACGAACTTCCACGATAATACACTATAGACTGCCTATTTCAGTGTGTACGCCATGAGAGGTGGCTGTTATTGGCTATCGGCTGTTATGACGTATATCATAGGGCGTGTTTCAGATTTGTCTGTTAGAAACAGGTCCTGAGCCAGGGTCCAGCCAAGAGCATCACTTTTGACCACGAACTTCCACGATGGTGGTCATTGGATTGCCTGTTTAGGTAGCTATGCTGCTATCATTGGTTATTGGCTGCTATGACGTAGGGACGCTTAGGGGTTGGGCGTCAAAGTGATGTTTCACTTTGTTTATCTGCAAATGCTTCTCCTCGTCCTACACGCGCATGCTGGACGCGATCCTGATACTCTAGCGTCACTCTCGCTCATCTGTTCTTGAGCGCCCTGCTCTTCCCCATTAATGCACCCGTCGTCTTCTTCAGCCTGCCCAGCATATCTAGTCCCATGAGCACCGCTATACGCCACGTCAGTAATCACCTACACATTACGGAACACGCCATAGAACGTACCAAGCAGCAAATACGGTCCATAGAGCGTGCCAATCTGCACCTTCTCATCCGTCGTGATCACATCCCAGCTGACGAAATCGACGATGCAGATGAAAGTCGTGACAGCGGTTTGCACTGCGAAGACAAGAAGGTGAATGGGAAGGTTGGGGTTGTCTGCGTATTGTTATCAGGCCGTGGCATACATTGCGGTAAGCTTGATTGATTGACGGCGTCTTCCACATCGCTCGCACATGCTCCAATAACAGATTCTGGCTAGAAGAGATGAGGGATTCGACATACCTCTCCAGATCGCCCGCACTGCCCACAGACTAAGCGGTGCGTGGTAGAAGAGCTCCATCCAACGGCATGCAGTGAACCAAGGTCTTACGCACGTCATAAGTTAGCAAAGCCGCATTGGGAAAGAGTGTTGCCCGTACTGTGGAGAAATGAAGTTTTGATCCTTATACGTCGCGATGTACCATGTCATCAGATCTTTCATCCATGTTGGCTTGAAGTAGTCGGGATACAATGGCGTCAAGTCGAACACTGCAGAAATGGTCAACTCGGGGCTTTTTCCAGTATAGTACATTCACAATCAACAGCATTGTTGGGTCGGTCAACATTTGTATATAAGAGACCTCAGGATGTGTGCCATGGAATGTACTGGTACTTACGGAACACAATGGGAATATGTGAAAAGAAGAAGATCAAATATATAAGGTCCTTTTTCCTCGTGAAAAGAGAGCGCGCCATTATCTATGTTTCAATCCGATTTGCGCGAATGCTACAAAGAAGCGAGACTTGTTTAGTGGTGTGAGCTTGGTGTTTCGTTCAAAAGGAGAGGTCGGTGTTTGCGGCTAAAGCGGCACGGACACCGAAATACCTAAGCAATGCACGTGATAATCAAAACTGTTTGACAATCAATACAAACTTCATGTCTTGGAACAAATCATCTCATCGATGCTATATCACTATTCTAAGTGCTCAAATTTCCTTCTTCGCAGCCCCAGTATGTCGCGTATTTGCTAGCTCCTTTGGTCAATTCCACAAACTCGCGAGCGATAATGCGATCGGTCTGTTCACTCGGATGCAGAGCGTCAAACCATGCATATGCATCTGCATTAGGATCACGCGTACACTTCTCAGTGACCGCATCACACACGTTCACAGAGCTTGTGACGTCTAGAGGAGCAGTACCATTTAAAAATTGCTCGGGATGATAGTATATGTCGGAAAGCTGAGGCACTGGTCAGGAAAGTTAAGCCGTCGAATGATAGGTTCAACTTACTAAGGCATTTGTGTCGAATACCGCAAACTGTGCGCCGGGGTAGCGTTGTGCCACTTTCACCTCGTACGGCGTTTTGTACTTGTAGATGTCGTTGACAGTGACAACAGACTCCAGCATACGATAGCTTATTTCAGTGATATTACTGGGCTTATCTTTCCAGTATTGCGTCGCACTGAGACCACCAGCTTCAGGTACTGCGTACTGTGGGAGTAGTTGCAATGGTGCAACGTTCATCACGACAAAATATCTCCCGCCATTCTTGTACACCTCGTCAAGTGCACTGTAGACGCAGTCCATATAGTCGACCAGGGTTTTGCCTTTGACCTGGGAGTCGGTGAGGAATGCCTTGTTACCAAGATCATTCGTCCCAATCCATATGGCGTACACTGTCTGGTCTGCTGGGATATCGAGCACCTTGTTGCCCTGAGGTGAGACATATGCGGAGTCTGCAATGAAGGCTGGGATCTCATACTGCTGAACGGACGGGAATAGGCCAAGCGCTTCCGATAAGAATCGGGGCGTTATATCGTTTGAGCATACCGCGCCAGACACAGCATAATTGTAGAGGTTGACCCCAGTGTATTGCACGACATAACGAGCCCAGACACGGCCGCCTGTAGAGGTTGCGAGGCCCTGCGTCAATGAGCCAAAAGACTATCAATTTTTGTGCTGCTACTGACCTCCTGTAGAATCGTGCCGACGGGTGGTGCAGCCCCGTTCTCAGAAAAGTATGCCAGTCTTGACTACGAATTGTCAATCCCCAAGCATGAAGCCTAGCGCGTTGTTGTACAAACCTCGTCTGTGTAACTATCGCCGAAAGCGACGAGGCTCTTGAAATTTCGCAAATCCCAGCCTTTGCCGTAACCATTTTCCTGGGTTGGTATTGCAGTAGCAAAACCCAGAGCACCAGCCACCGCCACGATAGTGATGAACTTCATAATGGTGAGGTGGCAAGAATCGCGCCGTGCCGTCATAGACCAGGCATAGCAGCGAACCCACATGGCTTTAAGTACTAATTAACGATATAGCACTAAGGTTGAGGCCTCGGAATATGCACTGACTAGCATTCCATGTAACGCGGCACTACAGGGTGGCTAGGCTAGCGTATGCAGCGGTATATTGCAGATATCGTCCGACAGCTTCTGATACAAATACGAAGTTTAGATTCTGGCTAAATGGATGCGCAGAGCCGACCGGAACAAGAGCTCCCGTCAGGAAAAAATAGCTATAGTGATCATCGGTGTCATGGTGTCCGCCCACCTGAAATTTCATGGCAACGAATTTTTCCGACAAGACGAATGGAATATTTCGGCCACGGTTGGCTACAACACAAAGCGCGGATGCGTGCGGAGATTCTGAGATGCAAATGGACCGAAGCGATGCGCTGATCCGGACACGGTAGCACGGCGGAAATGTTCGAAGTCCCGACGTTTCCGAAGTTTTTGTGGAAGCACAGGGGAAATAAAAACATGTTGACGTATGACACGAGGCGTGGGCAGATCCGGATGCACCTAGGCGTGATGAAAAATACCTAAATGATGTATCGTACGCAGAAATTAAACCTTTCTGTTTCAGACAATAGATCTCAGATAAGACTTCCTACATGGGCCCTCTTTATGGCAAGAAGATTTCATACCTTACCATTATTTGATCGTGTGACTGTGCTCAAGTATACAGTAGGATAGACAAATTTCTTCACTATGCGCTATCGGCAATTGAGCTCCAGTTATCGATTTCCGAGCCAGTATGATCAGAGAATTGAAGGTAACATCTATTAGAAGCCAACAAACAGCGACAGAGAGCTTTGTCAAAAGGATGAGCTAATCATCATCACCACGAGGTGCCCCACGTGGAGAAGCTACGTATAAGTACACCTTATAACTATCAAGCAATTTCCGCTTCAGAATCTCCTTGAGGAACAGTCTACAACATATACCACCTAACCAAACATGTCTCTTCAGCGCGATCCATACGCATAATAGCTATACCAACAATTAGCTAGATTAGGCGATAGGCTCCAGTCACTTACAGGCGGATGTATAACCGAAGGTGCGGATTATCCAGATCCTGCTGAGCTCTTGTTATCAAACTGCGAACTGTGGCTTCTGAATCTGGCCAGCCAAATTCTGAAAGTGGCCATAGAGCAAAAGATTCTAAAAGCCTTTTGGTGTTGTTTTTGTTTCGCTCCCCCCAGTAGCGATGGTGTTCACCTGAAAGAGATGCCATAAGCAAGGACCAGTTCAACATACCCAAGACTAGAAACTTACTATCACCCCAGCTGCCGATAGGTACTTGATACATCCCAGATACTACGTTTTTGTAGCCAGCGTCTCCCATCAAGGTCGCAAGCTTTGTACTAGCACGCGCATCACTGGAGTGGTAACGCGTCTGCCAATCGCGAACATAATCCGACAGCTGCCCAATTGCGAATTGCTTCGGATCATAGCCGCACCATCCACTATCAGACTGGAACAAGAAATCATACTCTACGAATTCAACATAGCCACCCCTCTTGACGAGACTTCTCAGTTCTTTGACGTAGCTCGGCCATCTCTTTTCTCTGAGTCCGAATGCAATGAATCTCGAATGGATGTAATCGAACTTTCCTTGTTGCAGCTCCCCAGATTTACTTTTGGATGTTATATTCTTGTTGAGGTTAGCCCATTCGAGGACAAGATTCTCAGGCTCTTCTGGAAGTGCCTCCCAGTTGATATCAACGCCACAAACCTGCAAGTAAACTTAGTACCGCTCTTCAATTACAGCTACCATGCGTCCATTTCAGCTTACAGTTGAATCTGGGAACTGATTGGCGATCGCAATGGCCCAATGACCTCTACCATAGCCACATTCAAGAATGTTCTTGGGTCTGGTCAACGGAGCGAAGTACAGACGATCCTCACCCGTGGTACTGAAAAATCCAGAGATAATAGCATGTTCCTCTTCCAGACGGTCTTCTTCTTCCTATATACCAAGTTAGTTGCCGCTGCCAGTATTGCCAGAATTAGGTCAGAAAGCGAGATTGAGGGCTTACAACCAAACTTACATCGTCAATTGGAACCTTATATACGTTCTGCTCTACAGACCAGGTCTGATATTCCCTTCCCATGAATTCCGTACGCTCCATTTCAACTTCTATCTCTGCGTTTTCGTAGCTGTCGGACATTGTTGCTCCTGATGTCGTTCTATGAGAATCAAGGGTGGTACCACTCAGGAGAATTATGTGTGCAGTGGGCTGTCCAAAGTGAAAATGTGATGCTATCAACAATTCAGTCAGTTGTACCGGCGGTACTTTATACGGCATACGAGGTTATGACGCCCCTTCATGCTCTAGGATGGCCTAGATGTGACAGCCGGGGCTCAACTGCAGGAACGGTCAAACGAGCTTGTCTAGCACACAGTAAGAGAGAGTCAAGGTCCAATTTTGCTGTGGAGTCTTCACTTAGGAGATATGGGCTCATTCTAGCTGGGATCTTCACACTGACTTGTTATACGCCTCCTTGACTCGTCTTCTGGAAACGTAACTTGGTCGGCTCGAAGTGCCTAGGTCACAGTCGTGTCTATATTTCAGTGTCTTCGTTCATGTCCATTCAGACACCGAGCAAGGCATACTGATAAGCACCTACTTTGTTTGCGCTATGAGTTCGCCGCATTTCTCCACTTTCGTAAGAACGCCAACGCGTGCCGCCTGATTAGTCCATTGACCGTCTCCAAGTCGAAAAGATAATAAGTGGCCTTGCCATACAAGACTATGCATTTCTTCAAGCGAGATGGCTACGCCACTCGTAGCCACTGGGACATTACATCTAACGCCGTAGCTGGAATTTACCCACGTCATTCAAGCAACTTTGAGCCGTGCCGTAGAATCAAACAAATAGGCAGAATAGAAGACCATGATATTGTATTCGCCTCCATAGAGGCAAATACCACTAACTCATCCCTGAGTTACTCAAAGCATTGTTCAAGAGCAAAATCAACGCTGAAAACCTGCCAGTACTTACATTACAACTATTCAATCAGTATATAAACAGCCTAAGATTAGGAAAACCAATTCCCAGCCGTAATATTACATATACAGCACTAATCTGACCGTTACAATATGAAGGTTCTCTCAATAGCCTCCCTTGTAATTCGAGACCAGCGGAGTGCTCAACGTGCATCTCGAATGGTGTTCTTTCAACATTACCATGATGAGTTGTATATCTGACTCGTAACATGAGAATTGAGGTTTACAATTGGACGGGTAGTTGCAGATGATCTCGACATAACCTGATAGCCTGGCCTACTCATCCTTGCTAACATAGCCCTATAGGGCTATAATACCGATGCCGGGTCGTTAGATCCCCGTATATCTGCAGGAGACTGAGCTTAGCGGACATGGGATATTAGACGCGAAGTGTGGTCACATCCCTATGACTTGGTACCATGGCTATGGTCCTTGCTTGTGAAATCTATATTAGGTATATGGTAAATTTACTGTGACAGTCAGGAGAACGATCGACAACCAATTATGACATCGAGAGCTAGTATGGTCGTGTTGGGTAACCCTATCCTGCTGACCTTTATTAGCGCATGACGTCTGATTGAGTACAATGGTGCTGGTATATTCTACAAAGTCCGTTCAATGTCTGCGCCTGTGGATCTGTTTGGCACAAGCAACCTGATAGTATTTGGAAGGCCAGGCACCAATGAGAGTTTTAAGTATCCCATTCTTTTCGTTTAGAAGAATCACGGTGTGCGTTTGTTCCCCCTAGCTGTGAACAAGCCCCCCATGGCTGAATCTACTACATCCTACTGCTTAGTTCAATTGTAGCGCTTGCGCGGTAATGGACTGGACAAGAATACAGCCTCCTGCCTATAACGGCATATATTCGACTAGATACCATGATTCGTGCGATGCCTAACATAAGAGCTCTTACAGGTGCGGCTGTGAACATGCGGTGTCACAAAGACTGACACTTCCCTGTGCCTACTGCAAAACACAAGGCAGACACGATCCAGGTACCGTAATTTGCTACCAACAAAAACACCAGGTACTTACTTACAGCTGGCAAATTTTAGTCGTGTCGCTCACCATTGCTCTATATCCTATCATCAAAGAGCTGAGTAGAGGCGCGGTATATGTCGCCTCACGTCGGTAAACACAGCCCTGAGTCTTTGCCGTCTGTAGGCTGCAGCATGCGGCACGAACATCCGTCCACACCGACCTCGTAGATCGCATGGCGTTCCGATCACGTTATGCCAACAATATGCGCGTTGCGCCATGTTGGCCACAGTTAGTGCGGCGTTTGTCATACTTGTCGTCTCCGGGCGTGGTCTTCGCCCATTCCCCGCCCAAGGACTCATCGAAACCGTCGAGTGGGCATTTTTATTTTATGACTGTCCAGCCCCTTACCGATTCTATAGAATTTACTGCAAGGTCTTTTTGGTTAAGGGATGAGATCGTCCCTCCCGTCCGCCCTGTCGAATAGCATTTCTGATTGCTAGGATTCTCCAGCGACGGATGGAGCCAGCGGGACGACGCGTCGGTGTACCATAGATTTTATTTGAACGAACCTCAACAAGTACCAATATACAGTAGCAATATGTACGATCATCGAGATCTACACGGGCAGATTAGCGTTACAGTCAACGACCGCTTAACAGGCAGGGTAGGAAGAGTAGTCCCAAGAAGGCTATAAGTGGAGTCTTTGCTAAGACATAGTAGAGAAAATATATTCTCATTGTCATGCTGTTCCTTATGTTGTTACTGAAAGCCAAAGACTCTGGACATCGAAGACGAGCAGCGTACGCAGGAAGCGACGAGGCCATAGAGTTCCTCGGGTGCGTTTTATGTGTTCTCCCGGGGCATTCACTGTAGAAGAGTAATGTATGCTAGTCTATTCATTTAGGCAAGTATCATGTCTCAAGTAGACGTCTTGTCGAAATAAGGCAAGGCTATAAGGGTTCAAAGGTAAGCAAGTAGCGTCCTGCCATGTTGCGAGCATGTGAAAACTGCAGCTACCACCGTGGATACTCCTGCACTAATTACCCCACACAGGCGCTTACCGAAAATGGCGCTCGAATCTACCTCGGCTCAGCTGACGACATCGGTGCCGTGGTTGCTGCTGCTGCTGCCGATGCCGACGTCAATCATATGCTCGGTATAGCTTCAGTTCTTCTCTTCCCACAGTTCGTGGCCTCTCTTATTTTCTCTCAACGAAACATTCCACTCAAGCCGAAAGTCGAGCCACATTTCTGCTCTTCTAAACACCTCCACCTAGAGTCTGAGAAAGCTAGCTAGCACAAAAGACTAGTTACTGCGCGCTCAGATTGACGAATCGATTTGGGATACCACATAGTCGAAAGAGCTGTGCACATATACACAATGCCAGAGGAGCTGAGATATGACGGCCAGACCGTTGTGGTGACGGGAGCTGGTGGCGGTCTCGGAAAAGCCTATGCTACATTCTTTGGCGCACGAGGTGCCAATGTCGTTGTGAACGACTTGGGCGGTGGCTTCAAAGGCGACGGCAGTGGTAGCGCCAAGGTATGTCTGGCAATTTCCTCAAATAACACTGGGCATTAGTGCGTCAGCAGGCGGGCCATATGGTGCCTGATGAGCACTGAGTATCATCTTTTTATAGCTCAGCGAGCTGACAATAGACTATTAGGCAGCTGACACCGTTGTCGATGAGATCAAGAAGGCCGGTGGTAACGCTGTACCAAACTACGACAGCGTCGAGAATGGCGATAAGATCATTGAGACCGCTATCAAGGCCTTCGGTCGTATTGACGTACTCATCAACAATGCCGGAATCCTGCGAGATATATCGTTCAAGAATATGAAGGACGAGGACTGGGATTTGATAATGAAGGTCCACGTCTTCGGAGCATACAAATGCGCACATGCCGCATGGCCGCACTTCAAAAAACAAAAATATGGACGTATCATTAACACTGCATCCGCGGCCGGTCTGTTCGGATCTTTTGGACAAACCAACTACTCCGGTATGTCATGAAACGGATAAGGATCGAAACGCACCGCTAACACATACATAGCTGCTAAGCTTGGTCTTGTTGGCTTTACGGAAACCTTGGCTAAAGAGGGTGTCAAGTACAACATAATCTGCAATGTTATTGCACCTATTGCCGCCTCCCGTATGACTGCTACTGTGATGCCACCAGACGTTCTTGAGAACCTCAAGCCTGAATGGGTTGTTCCACTTGTAGCTACCTTGGTACACAAGAACAACACCAGGGAGACTGGCTCTATCTTCGAAGTTGGTGGTGGCCATGTGGCCAAGCTCCGATGGGAGCGTGCAAAGGGTGCTTGCCTCAAGGCCGACGAGTCCATGAACCCTGGTGCTATCCTTGCCCGCTGGGACGAAGTGGTCAACTACAAGGAACCTCAATATCCATCGGGCCCTGCAGAATTCATGGATCTGCTCGAGCAAGCGAACCAAATGCCCACGAATAAGCAGGGTGAAGATGTCAACCTGAAGGGCAAGGTTGTGGTCATCACAGGTGCTGGTGGTGGCCTAGGTCGCGCATATGCTCTGCAATTCGCCAAGGCAGGCGCTAAGCTCGTTATTAACGACTTGATGAACCCCGATGCTGTCGTTCAGGAGATTCAGAAGCTTGGCGGAGAAGCTGTTGGAGACAAGAACAATGTCGAAGACGGTGAGGCGGTGGTGAAGACTGCGATTGATAAGTATGGTCGCATTGATATCCTAATCAACAACGCTGGTATCCTCCGCGACAAGGCCTTCCACAATCAGACCGAGGATCTATGGAACTCCGTCATGAACGTCCATCTACGTGGAACCTACAAGGTCACGAAGGCTGCCTGGCCCTACTTCCTCAAGCAAAAGTACGGTCGTGTGATCAACACTGCCTCTACTAGTGGTATCTACGGTAGCTTCGGTCAGGCCAACTACTCTACTGCCAAGATTGGTATCCTAGGGTTCTCACGTGCGCTCGCCCGTGAGGGCGCAAAGTACAACATTTATGTCAACACGATCGCACCAAACGCAGGCACGAATATGACGAGAACCATCATGCCTGAGGAGGTCGTACAAGCTCTCAAGCCCGACTTTGTCGCTCCCATGGTCCTTCTGCTCGCCTCGGACAAGTGCCCTGAGCCGACCGGCGGGCTCTACGAAGTCGGTTCTGGCTGGCAAGCTCAGACAAGGTGGCAACGAAGTGGTGGTCACGGCTTCCCCATCGATGTCACCCTTACCCCTGAGCATGTCCTCGAGAAGTGGGAGAAGATCATCAACTTCGACGATGGTCGTGCGGACCACCCTGGTGACTCCAACGCTGGCCTGGAGGCCATCCTGGCCAACTTCAAGAACCGTAGCAACGGTTCAGGTGATGATGACGAGGAGGACTACAATGCCAAGATTGAGCAAGCGAAGAGTGCAAAGGCCGACGGCACACCATTCGAGTACACCGAGAAGGACGTCATCCTATACAGTATGTCCATACTATGCGCACTATGGTATTCGTAATTAACAGTCTACAGATCTAGGCCTTGGTGCCAAACGCACCGACCTTCCCCTCGTATTCGAGAACGACGAGAACTTCCAAGTCATCCCATCCTTCGGTGTTATACCTCCTTTCAACGCTGCGACCCCCTATGATATCGCCAGTATCGTACCTAACTTCTCCCCTATGATGCTGCTACACGGCGAACAATATCTCGAGATCAAGAAATACCCCATCCCAACTGAAGCCAAGCTCGTTTGCTACCCCAAGCTTGTCGAAGTCGTCGACAAGGGTGCCGCTGCTATCGTCGTGGCAGGTGCCACCACCAAAGACGCAAACACTGGTGAAGACGTTTTCTACTCCGAATCCTCAGCATTCATCCGCGGATCTGGAGGCTTTGGTGGCCCCAAGAAGGGCACTCAGCGTGGTGCCGCAACTGCAGTTCACCAGCCGCCCAAGCGTGCTCCCGATGCGACTGTCGAGGAGAAGACGACCGAGGAGCAGGCCGCTGTCTACCGGTTGTCAGGTGACCGCAACCCGCTACACATCGACCCCGAGTTCAGCAAGGTCGGTGGCTTCAAGGTGCCAATTCTGCATGGCCTGTGCTTCTTCGGCATCTCGGCCAAGCATATCCTACAGAAGTATGGTGCGTTCAAGAACATTAAGGTGCGCTTCGCAGGCACAGTGCTGCCTGGTCAGACACTGAGCACGGAGATGTGGAAAGAAGGAGATAAGGTCATTTTCCAGACGAAGGTCGTGGAGACAGGAAAACTGTGCATTGCGGGTGCAGGCGCGGAGTTGTTAGGTCAGAGCAAGGCCAAACTATGAGGAGGATGTGAATTTATTGTTCCTTTATGTATGACTGTCATACGATCTAGATGCATATCATGTAAATAAATCTCGAAATATCTACGTTATAGCCTTACCATACTTGAACCCGCTATGCAAATGCCTATAAAATGCGAAAAGGCAGATCCATTCACGGAGGTCTACAAACTGATCGCCAACCGACTCCTGTTTCCTCTACCTAGCATGCAACAAGAGGATCATAACTGTCTACACCAGCCCTCCACAACACGATCCACACCCAAGCCACCCACTACTCCCGCAATCTCCTCCAGGCTCACATCCGCGCGCACCATACTCGTGGGCGCCAGCGCCGCACCTGCCGCGCCCGCCACAACAGGCAGCAACAGCTCCCATCCAACACACTTCTCCCACTCGCGCCGCGCGACTTCGCGGCCCCACACACGCACACCCGCGCCAACAGCCGCCTGACCAGACGCCGCAGCACTGATGCGCGCGCGCGTTGCTAGCGCATACAGCTCTGCATACGCCATGTTGAAGTTGCAGCTGGGCGCGTCGGTGATGATGTCGAGGCGAGCGGCGGCGATGAGCAGAGAGAGGGCGAGGACGGAGAGAGAAGGCAGGAGGTGCAGTTTGGAGTCTGGCGCGGAGGGCGGCGCGAGATGGTGGTGGGCGAGGCAGGATGAGACGAGGGTGCTGCGGGTTGGGGGCGTGGAGTGCTTGGAGAGGGAGGCGATGTATGGGTGTAGTGTGGAGAGGAGGGCAGCGGGCGATTTTGTGGTGTGGAAGATGGGCGCCAGAGTGCGTGAGATGAAGCGTTGGTGGGCGAAGAGGGCGGCTATGGCGGAGTTCCAGGCGGTGAGGAAGGGCTCGGGGGATGTTGGCGTTTTTGATTTTGGCTGTGATTTGGGTGTGAAGGTGTGATAGTGGCGGTCGGTGTCGGAGAGATCGGTCGGTTCGATGGTGAGAAGGGTTCTGCAGAGATCGCGGAATGCAGGCAGGCTTTTCGATAGTGAGGTGTGGACGTAGCGATGACTGAAGCGACTCTTGACACGCTTTTCGAGGCTCTCTGCCACGTCTATCCGTGTTGTAAGGCCGAGTACCGCGATGGGAGCCTTGCGTGACTGTGCTATGTCGAAGAGATTGTATAACAAGGTTTGTCGAGGATGCGAAGCAAAGAGGTCAAACTCGTCCATTATGAATATCACTGCCTTCGCTACTCTCCCAGCTTCTTCATTATCGGGCTCAGTGGGCTGCGACAAGAGCGCCAGAAGCTTGAGCAAAGTATCAGCATAGTTCTTGCTATCATCGTCCACTTCCATCTCTTTTCCGAGCTGCCTCCATATCTCTTTCAGTGCGATCTTGTCGTCCGTATGTATAAATCCGTTCAGGTGTATGGTGTAGAAGTCGTCCGCATGATCTGTTGAAAGAGCAGATATTGCCTTACGTACAAGAGCAGACTTGCCACTCCCCCGAGCTCCTATGAGTAGCATCGAATTGCCCTCCCCTGCCTCGACTGTGTTGAGTAGTAGTTGATGCACTTTGGCGTACTCTTCATCGAGACCTACAAGCGGGCCTTCTCGTTTGCTGGTCACTCTCTCTAGGAGAATTGGAAGGAAAGCTTGGAACTGTTCTTTGGCATCACGAGGCAGCTTGAGCTGACCCAGATTATCGACGTCGCCAGTCTGCAAGGAGCTGATAGGTTTCTTCGGTGTCCATTCTGCTACGGGCCTGTTCTGTGCAACTCCATTGGGGCTGAGTTCCAGCAGTTTCTTCGTGAATGGAGTCCGTGGCATCTGCTTCTGGGTTCTTCCCGGTGTATAGCTGTGTTCCATATCCATTGACCCGTCCACCTCGCCTTCGTCCGCCAGTATGGGTATGTTCCTACTCTGCGTCACCGATGATCTCGGCGCCTTCGCGCCTGACGGTAACATGTCAATCGCGAGCATATCTAGCGCGCGATTCTTCCTGCTTTTCGGTGTCTTTGGTGTAGACACTGGCTTTGGCGCCAGTTCATCCTCATCATCCTGCTCTGTGCCATGGTTCGTTCCTTCATTGTGGTCGTCGACTACATCATTCTTTCGAGGCTGCTTTTTCTTGCTCTGTGGTGTGGCTCCAGGCTCACGATATGCTGCTCCATTTTTTCGTCGTGGTGTTCGAGTCTGAGCTGGCTCGTCATCTTCTATAACAGGACTTGTCTTTGCCAGCTTTCGGGGTGTTCCTTTCACTCCTGTTTCTTTACTCCTTGGACTTTCAACTCTACTTGGTACGCTCACGAGCCCTCTCCGCGGACGTTTCAGGGGCGTGACAGCGGCATGCGCACCTTCAAAGTCATCGTATACGGACGATTGGTCTTCATCTCGCTTGCGCTTCGAGGGCGTGTTTGACGTAGTCGGCTGTGCCAATTGGGAGGATGCTACTCTGCGCGCACTTCGGGACGGCGTAGGCATTGGACTGGATAGTGTTTCTACTATCTGGCAGCTGGTGGAGTGAGGATGTTCGCAGACACTGGGAGCTCAAGGACGACTCGTCGCGTCGCGTGGGTTGGAGCGCGCTAAACCACTTTGACTGGCTTAAGCTCGGAGATAAGATAGCCCTAATGGTTCAACAGTTCCGTCTTTACATTCTACGACGACTCACTTTCGTGGATTCCATCGATCGAGACCTTCAAGTAACTGCTTGCCTCTTCATACTACTCGTATTGTACGAAGACTTATTCGTGAGAATGTCATCACAGGACGACATCAGGCTCGGAAACTGAACCCAGTTGAAATCATGAACACTGCTTCATATGAGTTGATCCAAAGAATATCACTTATGATCTGAGACCCCTACGACCTCACCAGCCTTTGAGTTATTGATGACTCAGTCCGTTTTGTATCTTCGGCTGGGTACATCTCACAAATGCAAAATGCTAGGCAAATCGTACATATTGGCTTGATAGAGTCAGGTAACAGCAGCGAAGCAGCCCAGGTTTAAGCGTGATTCTTGCTTTAACACGTGAAAGCCTGTGTTATTCTGTGCTTCTCCATCGATTATGGAAATTATCAAATCATAGTCGATAGCAGGGCTCCGGAACAAGTGTGAAGGAAGAGAAGCTTTAGAATGACGAGAAGTAGGCTTTTCTCCTCCTTAACTTGAACTAAAGAGTTGTCTACTGATCGTCATTCACTCGATAAGAGCTTGTCAGCGGACTCTACTGCAAATACCCTCTCTATCATCTCTAACATTAAGCATTTTGCTCTCCTTTCATAGAGAACCCAGAACCACGATCACGCTATTTGGGAGTATGTACTCGCTGCTCACACCTTAGTTCCCTTAATTACGGGCCGAGATGTAGCCTCCGATTCCGATCAAAGCCGTGCCTATCTCGTTGCGATCCCGGACTATCCCACTCGTGCATCTCATAGCTCTCTATCGTTCGAGCCGGACTCGGTACTCGGAGAGTCCTTAACGACCCCATCTCTACATCTTCAATCTGATCGATGGAGTCCCCTTGAGGTCTATACAAATCCGTCGATGTCGTACCGTTGTATGCTGTAAGCGGTGCCACAACTGATTGCTTCCTACTGGTGGAATTTGCGGCTGCAGAGCTACTGTTTGCGCTCCAGCCTGCTTTGACAGATGCACGGGGCGTTCGATCGGGGGTTCGGTTGCTGTTCCACGAGCGAACCGGGTAGTTGAGAAAGCGCGAAGCATAGACACGGCAGCATGGAAGACAGGCGCAGATAACGGCGACGTTGGCCTCGGTGCCCGTCCAGATCCATACGTACTGTGTCTCCCAGGTGAGGTCATAGGTGGTGGTATAGAGGTGTGAGATGGCGACGAGACGGAGAACACCAATGATACATACACTATATTGGAGTCAGTGTCGTGTAGACTCTGACAGGAATGTTGGGTGTTTACCAAAATCCAACGAAGAAGACGGCGCCTAGAAGGATCTTTTGACGGCGAGGAATTTGCAGCCCATGGAACAAGGCAAGAGGAAGTCCAACTGCGACGAAGTCCTGGAAGATACTGATAGAGCCATTGGCGTAGAAGTGGGTCAGCTCATCGAAGCATTTCCACAGGCCTGGTTTCAAGTGGGTGTAGAACCAGCGAGGGTCAACCTGGTCGAAGAAAGCATTGAAAGGGGTACAGGCAAGAAAGGGCAGTATGGTAAAGAAGGCTGTGGTAAAACCAACAAATGCAATGAAGCTTTGCGATACTCTGATCAGAGTTGGCGATATTCCACCGTCAGATAGTCGTTTGTAAAACGTCAGGACTGATAACTTGGTCAGACCTGTCGAGATGACATACAGGATTTCAATTGCAAACAAGATCTTGGAGGTGGTCAGCGGGAACGGATAGGTGTTCCGCGCGTCCTTACTTTGCGAGTCGCAGTAGCCTCATCTATAGGTACGTCCCATATATGACGATCGAAATGGTAAACTTTCACAGCTTTATATTATCAGCACGATCACGGTTCCGAGAGTATCGAACGCACCTATGGACAGAGCTATCGTCAGGCCAAGTAATGGTACCTGATGACGATTAGCCGGGTCCAGATATATGACGATGGATGGTCCTTACCAAGTTCAAAGCTATTAGATAGTCGTCTATCCCTGCACTTCTAAGGATAAAGAATCGAGCAAAGAGTCGCAATGAGGCTACCGTAAGGGCTAGTGAGAAAAGCACGATATTGACAGCAGGTACGAGCCATCCCCGTAACTCTGGATTGAGATGATTTGGTTTCGGCCATGAGGCTATAACACTGAGCGGAGGATGTAGACCACCAGACATGACTTCGAGTTAGTTGTAGTCTAGATTGTTGGCCTAGGTTTCCTGAAGTACAGCTAAGTATGCCATTGTACCTGGCTTGGCGATTGAATACTTCAACGACGAGTGAGTCGCCCATACGAGAGCGAGACGATGTAATATATTCCTTGTTACAGGGGCTATCCTAGACAGAAGTGCCAGGGATATGTGCAAGGGAATTACAGCCGATTGGCCATTATAGCTAGCTCGTGCTGCCGGTGATCATATATAGAGAAGCTATCCTAGATCAAATATAAAGACCCTGTATACGATTCTGCGGGAAGCGATCCGTAGAAGGCTAGCATGCATATCCCAGCAGTCGTCAGGTGTCAGACCATGGATTGATGCGATCTTTATTATACTTCAGTGTGCGGCATACCGCTGTATCAGGTATCGAGGTGTGATTTTTCCCTTCCCACTTAGCCAACACATTCCCACGAGATGAAGAGTAATGAGCCAAACCAGAGACTCTCGGGAGATTCGATACCACTGGGTGTAACCTTTGTACCAACATAAGTGTCACCGCATACTGGTCCTTGAACATTCAAAACCAATCGCGCAGCGTCCACGATACGTCGCATACGTCCTAAGAAATAAAGGATCAGGCCATTGGACTCAAGATAGTTCCTCTTGCGTGGGGGAGTGCTTTGTCACCCCTCATGGATTGCGCACGGATTTCCTATCCAATTATGTGTACGGCCCTGGTAGAGGAGATCCAATGGAGTCTACGTTTCTACCAGAACCCCGGTCGAGCGGCTCCGACAGTCTGGATCTCACTCCCGATCCTTGAGCCTCCTTCTTCAACCGGCGTCATACTTTGTACCCCTGTGTTGCAGGTAACCTGTTTGCGCAACAGCTGATCAGGCGTGATGCTATATCTGGCTTCACGCAAAATGTCAGGACCATTCGTGGAATGGAAAGAAACGTTGGTGCGTCATCAGGGATTGAAACGCTCGAATAGTAGAAGTAACATTTTTGTTCCGCGAGACAAACGGTATAGAGTTGCATCACTGATTGGGTGGCCAGCCTTGAACGTATGATAGATAATCCTTTAATAACTGACTGCAATACTGGTCTGCAACTTGGAATAGAGCCGATCATGATGATAATTCACGCGCTGGTTGAGCCTCATTAATCCTGTACGGGTATACATACTCGATATGCTGAATCCTGTATCTTATGATCTACGAATTGAAGTTGCAAGAGATGCAGGTGGAAAGTTGTAGCGAAATGCCGGCTTATCTTTGTAAAAAGAAAAACAAAGCCGAATTTGTCTGGTTCCTTGGCGTTTGCACCAGGCACCAATATCCATATCTGCTCCCAGTTACTACTCGTTCCTTCTTATGTTTGTACATCACCACCTTCGAGATGCACCGTCACACATGAGTCTGTTGCATCCATTACAGCACAAAATGGTAGTGTGATCTCTCCTCGTAGAACGTTGGATATTGCAGCCACGTGTTCTGGGTAAATTGAATCTAAAAATATCCAGTCAAGTTGCTTTTTTGGTTTTGCCGTCATGACACTCCATTCATGAAGATCTTCAGTCTGCAATTTGACCATGCATCATCCCAGCTGGAGCCATGTATCAGTACATGGGATCATGAAATCCTCATTACCAAGTCGCAAGTGCCGATTGGCCATTATGACGCACCGTCAAGATGTCTCCCAGTCTGACCGGCTACTTGGACATAGACATATCACAGAAAAGAGGTACCACAATCGATGACTGCGACAAAGATCTCCAAGCACCAATATCCTATTAAGATTCGATAAACTTCCAAGCATCTTTCCCTTATTCACAACTCCACTCCCCCAGAAGATCATGATGCCATATGTGCCGTGTAAACAAACCCATGGACATCCCTCCTACGGTCTACGCACAGTACGTTCGTCGCCATGAATCCATATGTTAACCCCCGAACATCACCACACATCTATCCATCTATCCATCTATCTATCCAGTCACTGGGACGTATGTCATATAGAAAGAAAATCGGCATTAGCCTGCATGTCCGTGATTTCTATCGAAGCAATGAATTCGTCAGAACATAACCACAGCAGCATAGCTTTATTTAGACGAGCAACGACCAATCCACGAGAATGAGCCGATTAATTCTTTGCTCTGCTGCTCTCCTGGTGAATCATATTAGTGATGAGGAATGCCCACATACGCATGACGTTCTTTGTTCGTCTCCTACGCCCAAACCCCATCCCTTGTTCTCAATCCCTTGGTTCCAGGGCACCACCACATACATATCTATCCCATCTTGCGCGGAGCGAACAAAGGAACCCGAGACAGAAAAAGAGTTATGCTTGCTTTCTCCCATATCTTTCATAGACTCGCACTGCGTGGCGCGCTCCTGTGCTTCTCCCTTACTTCCTTCGTTTCTATCCGACTTTCCTTCTCAGGTTTTCAAGTTTAGTCTTGTCACACAGACAACCACCGACACAACCACACGCACATCATGTCCGACGCATCCAACCCGCTCGCCACAGGTCTCTCATCAGCAATCAGCGACACACCATTCCCATTCCCATTCCCATTTCCCAGCATCCCAGACACAGATCCAGACGAGCCCGACTCAGAGCCTGATATTGTCATATATATTTTTGAGCCTGTGCAAGAAGCGACCAGTGAGCTGGTGATTGACTCTTCGGTTTTGACCTCGGAATACACGGCGATAACGACGGCCTTGAGCACGGCGACGGATGAGCTAGTAGTGACGACGGCAGCGAGAACAACGTCTGCGTTGGGATCTGTAGAGTCGTCCGTGTATAGCTCGATATGGAGTTCGTTACAAGCGCCAATGCCAACGTCGAAGCAGACTTCGGCGCTGACGACTGAGGAGTCAATGAAATCTACACCGATACGGACACCGTTTCAGACACCAATACCAACATCGATGCTGCAATCGGCGCTGGAATCGGCGCTGACGCCAGTAGTTTCATCCTTCAAAACCTCGATCCGGAGCTCATTGCAGACACCGTTACAATCATCGATGCAGACACCAGCTCCATCATCAGTAGAATCAAAGGAACATACATCGATACGGACACCATTCCAGACCCCATTCCAGACACCAATACCAACATCCATGCTGAAATCGGTACTGACATCGGCGTTGACTCCAGTAGATTCTTCCATCAAAACCTCGATCCGGAGCTCATTGCAGACACCAGCTCTTTCATCAGTGGGGTCAACAAAATACACGTCGATACGGACACCATTGCAGACACCAATACCATCACTGCAGACACCAGCTCCGTCAGTAATAGAGTCAGCAAGATATCCCTCGCTCCAGAGCTCATTGCAGACACCAATAACATCATCAATGCAGACACCAGCTCTAACATTGATAGATCCAACAGAATACACATCGATACCGACACCATCGCAGACACCAACACCACCATCTATACAACCTTCCATTCAAACAACACCACCACCACCACCCTCACAAACATCACCAATCAACATGCCAAACCCCACTGCAGCAAACGCCAACGAGACAAACGCACCCGACACCGCATCAAATGCCGTTGCACAACATGCGAATCAAAGCCAACTGTCCAGCGGCCTGATCGCAGCTATTGGCGTAGTCCTCTTCTTTGTCGGCTTCTTCGCCGGTCTAGCCGTGTACTGCTGCCTCAGCAGACGGGCTAGAAAACGTGCGACGGCGAAGGATACCGGGGATGTAGAGCAGTCGCGAGTCTATCATGGTTCGAATGCGCGCGACTCGAGAGGATCGATGCAGTCCCATGAAACGTCGTCGTCGTCTAGGAGGAGGTCGTCTTTGAGAGGAGGGCACGTGGTTCAAGGACGTGGAGACGAGCTTGATAAGCACGCAACAAGATTTTACAGTCCTGTCATTCAAGCACACAATCTTCATCTCACCACCCAGGCCAACGGCCCGGAGTCAAGGAACGAGGCCTGGGGTCAAGACACCTACACATTGCCACCGATCGCCGAGCAGCCACAGTTCTCGATGCCCAAACAGACGGGGGACTCCCGCAGAAGTGTTTCCGCCGAGAGCGAAGTGGACCCATACTGGCCCAACGTGCCTGGAACCTCATCTCGTTCAAAATACGCCAGGACGACAAAAAAGTCCACCGGTTCAAGTAAATACTCGCGCCCGGCATTTGGAAGCATGAGAAGGAGTATGGGTAGATTCGCGAGTCGAGGTAGTAATGCACGTAGTGGCAGCGAATACTCCCAACCGTCGAGCATTCAGAATGCAAGCCTGAGGCCTGAGTCTGATGTGCTCAGAGACTAGATCAGTAGGCTCGGAAGGAAGTGTCGTACCAATAGTGTATGAAGCACGGCTACGCTGCGATTCTTTCAGTACCGTCATTATGGTGGCTTTTTACGTCGTTCATAACGCGTGGGAGTCAGGGACTGCAAAGTCCGTCGCCTGCTCTTTTACGCCATATGCTTCTTGTATGGCCTGATCCTGACTTGTATATCGTAGAGATATGTCAGCTGAAGTCTTGACTGATACTGTTCACCTCGGTGTTTTATTGTCCTCATGTTCCCCGTCCATGTCTTTACTTGATACTCCCAAACCTTCAAACAGACCGTCGTCATCCTCGTTGTTTTGTCCAAGTCGATCGTGTACATCAGAATCTGTGGACTCTTCCGACAATTCCGTCGTATCGGGTGCTAAACAAACAGCGGTTGCATATGCGCCATCATGGCTAATGCTTAGCTGCACATGCTGTCCGTCCATACGCGAACAGTCGTCGGGACCATCGTCAGGACCTGGGCCTGGGCGTACGGTAGAGGGATAGTCGCCGTATGGTTTGTCGAGCACGATAGCATAGGGGTGACCGCGCGCGTGATACTTGATGATGATCATATCAAACGAGACTTTCCTCCATGTGACGGCCTTGATGACGGCTTCTTTTGCAGCAAAGCTGTACGGACGTACTCAGTGGGACGTGCAACGAAGCAGGCCAGGACGACCTACCGACCAGCCAGGAAGTGTGAGACCCTGTCTATAAAACCCTCATCGGTCCCGATCTGATGTTGCTTGAGGTTGTACGTCGCGCAAAACTTGGTGTGTTCGTATGGAGTGAAGATCCTCTGACAAAGGCGATACAAGGGAGACTTTCGGTGCGGTGCGCGGCCAGTCTCTGTGGATTTTGTTATTATCTGACGGCATCGATCGATAGAACATAGATCTACTCCAACAGTGAGGCCTGCTGGAAATGGTCGGATCGGCATCGCAGATTTACGCGCAGCTGCCACGAGCTCAGCAATCTTCAATCCAAAGATTCTAGTTCCGCCCTAGAGCTCGGACCAAGCGGCGCGACGCGCTATACGTGCTAATATAAGACATTCATGGTGCGCCTTATACCGTACCACAACATTCTCTATGATTACTTTAGGTGAATCTAATCTTCGTTCTCGGGACTAGCTGTATCATCATAGGCTCAATAAGTTGACCAAACCGCTCCAAGATGCACACCAACAAATCCAGGATCCCATGCCAAACCAACTTTCCAGCCTTGTCCATGCCACTTCGATACCTCAAACGTAACATGTGAGCCAACCAGCTCAAGAGGGTTCCCGCTGGTCAACTCAGCGTCTGATAGTCTAGCGCCTTCATCTACTTCTTTCCAGTCTTCTTGAACGCCCAGGAACAAATATCAAGGTCCCCCAAATTCCCAAAGCTCCTCATCAAACGCCTCCGTAACCCTCTCATCCTTCCCATAGCTCCTCTGCCAATCCCCAAACCCACCTTGCAAAACACACACTTTCTGCCCCTCCTTGATTCCCCCACTAGGACTCTTCGCCATCTTCTCTTCCCGCGCGCGCAGGTACCCGAGCGCCGCCTTCGGCCCTCTGACCTGACTCAATGCACAATGGAATACCAGCATCTCTTTATCGCCGTGTAGTCTGAGTAGCTCTGGCATTCGCACGTCGAGTTGTTGTGAGGGGACATGCGTGCTGCCGCGGATATGGCCGCCGATGTGGTCGTCGTCGCGGACGTCAATTATGGCTATGCTAGAGGGGACAGGAGAGGGGAGGGCTGTTCTAGCAGGTATTGAGGCGGGTGGCTGGGTGGTTGTTGAAGTGGAGGCTGCATCTGTGGACGATGGCGCGGGGTCGGTGTTTGAGGTGGAAGAGCACCCTGGCGGCGATGTGAGGAGGGCGCGTAGCTCTTCCCGTGTTATACGCGGGAGCGAAGCGACGGAGTGCGTAGACATCTTTGCGATGCGGAGTATGGGATTGAGGTTAAGGAGGGTGAGTCTAGAGAACATGGAGAGTGTAGTTCGTGAGTTGTGCTGGAAGAAAAGTGAATGTGGGGGTAAAACGTGGGGTGCAAGCTTGCTGCATGGTCTATCCGGATAGGGAAGTCTGTGTACATCTGTTCTCTTCGCTTTCGAGATGTCATATTGACGAAGCATCAGAGTGCCAGTAATTATATAGTATAGGGTACATGCATACGTCTACAAGCGAATGACCCTTCATGGGTCGACTTCATGCACTACACACAAAGCTGCATCCGACAACATCATCGAAGCCACCGGTATAACGCACCTTAACACCCTCTTTTCTCCTCGCCCTCCCCAAGCCCCTTTCCCTCAAGCCCCATAATCGCCCTCACCTTCTCCGCGCTCGCACTGCCTTGATCAAACCGATACCCCAACCACTCTTTGACCAGCCGCCTCGCCAACTCCAACCCGACAACCCTCTCGCCTAAACATAGCACCTGCGCATCGTTACTCAGCACCGCCCTCTCGACGCTGAACCCATCATGCGCCGTCACCGCGCGCACGCCAGGCACTTTGTTCGCTGCGATGGCAACGCCTAGCCCGGTGCCGCAGATCAAGACTGCTCGGTCGACGGCGCCCGAGGCGACAAGTTGTCCCGCTGCAGCTGCGACGTGTGGGTATGCTGTTTTGTCTGTGTGGGCTGGGACGCCGACGTCGGTGACGGACGAGACGAGGGGTGAGGCTTCGAGGTCTTTCTTGAGTGCTGTCTTGTAGTTGAAGCCTGCTTCGTCGCAGCCGATGGCAATGCGGAGGGGCGTGAGTGAAGTGGCTGCTGCCATGACGTAGAGTATATGGAGGAAGACTGAAAGCTGTGAATGCAGAGTAGAGCTCGATTTGGAGGGTATATTTGTGTCTCGCAGGCTCGATGATACTCCTTCCTTGCAAACGTAGAGAGGATGGTCTAGCAGTGAATGATGAAGCTCAATTGAAAGGTCTTCGTGGTTTTGAGGAAGTTGATGTCGAGCAGAAAAGTTGTGCTCCGCGGGGTTGCCACTTGCTCTATTTGATATCAAGAGGTGGTTGACGGTTTTCCTTTTCTGGTAATTCCGGACCCCGCGTCGACAAAAGTGGAAATCTGGGTAAGGCAAGGAAATCAGAGCTGCACGGATAGAAGCCCGGGCGGTGCCATGTCTCTCGGTTTTGCGAATACGGCCTGGCTTATGTGTGAATTACATAAATATCATTATGTCTGTCGCCGTTTTTGGTAATTATACATTTTGATGGCACTAATAAGTGCAGTTGTGTACGTCGCCAAAAATATGTTCATGTCATGGCGTACCACACATTCTCGCCCCTTATTAGGCAAATATCGCCTGTTCCCCATGTACAACGCTAAACAATACACGACCGTGACGAACAAAGAGTGACCGGAAGACCAGAGACTTACGCCTCAATTAGCTAAAGTTATGCAAATGGCTGGCGTCTCCTTGAATCCCGAAAAAGTTGAACCTGCATGGTTGATTAGAACAAATTCTGACTAATGGGTACGGGATAAGAAGGCATACCAGTCTTCCACATTCAGGGCAGTTGGCACAAATGGTCCGGCGTTGCTACTGCTGTTACTCCACGTATCTTGATCCGCATGTGGCGGTTGATGTTGCTGTTGTTGTTGTTGTTGTTGTTGTTGCTGCTGCTGCTGGAGACCCTCCATTTGCATTGGCCACTCTTGTTGGCCACCATGGTTATATGTAGGAACACCACCGTTGACGTGTATAGACCCTTGCGGTGGGCTTTGCATGCGTGCTTGTTGTTGGGGCTGACCCTGAGTCTGCAAGTTATGCATCATTGGCTGCTGCTGTGGCGTTTGGCGTGTTAGTGCAGGATCGACCATGCCATGCTGTTGAATAGGCGATATCTGCGGGAATGTGACATTGGTATCGGATGGGAATAGCTGGTCAGGCTGGAAGTTTTGCCATATTTCTTGAGAAATGTTTGGTGAGTTGCGGGTTACAAGGAACAGTTCTGGAGGTGTGCCTGGATAAGAGTAAGACGGATTGAAAGGAGTGGTCGGGCGGGTATCGGCTTTACCCATGAATGCATCGTTGTTTTGGCGAGAAATATGCGGAGACGTAGCACTCATCGAAGGCATTTGTTGACCAGGCTGGGATTGCTGCGGAGGAAGTTCGCGAGAGGGAGTCATCGCTGGTGTCTGGGGGCGCGATCGTTCGTATGACACTGGGGGAGCTGGTCCGAGTCCATAGCCGAGCTCCATGTCGTCAAACTTCCTTTTGAGGGCTTCATCTTTCGGTTTCTGCTGCTGCTGCTGCTGCTGCTGCATTTGCTGGGTCTGTTGCATTCTGGCTGCGGCTGCCGCGGCTGAGTGTTTGTTCTTCTGATGACGCTTCCCTGCAGCTTTCTGCAGCCGCTCCTCCAGATGTTTGTTCCCGAGGATTGATTCAAAGAGGGTGTGCACCATCTTGGCCACCAGCCACACTTTAGAGACTTCCTTGAGCGCCTGCATGCATGTGTGCATGCGCTGCTCCGTAGCAGTTACGATGGCCTTGTTCGACGATCTCATTTGATAGACATGCATGATCAAAGCCGAGAACAGGCTGTAGACGATGAACGCAGGGGCGTAACGGAGCTCGTCCTGCGCCATTAGCTGCTCTATGATCGACGTAATCATGCCAGCTGCATGATATGCAATGGTTCGAGAGGGGTATGCTGTCTCTTCCACCTGTACATGGCCATTCTGCGCCTTGGGAGACCCTGAAGGCGGCATATGTGCTCGATGTAGTAAGCAGAGCGTAGTGCTAGGATCGTTAGCCTCGGCTGATATCACATGTGAAGCACAACTTACTAGTAGTTTGCATTCAGCAAGGCAGACCAGAAGTGGTGTCGAGACTTGTCCCACTGCACGTCATGATGGCAATGTTGTAGCCAGTCAGCCAAAGCCATGTCGCTGTGCGTCAGATCGATTGCGTCGGTCCTCCGGAATTTGGCGGCCACCGAGTACTGCTGCGACAGGACTAAGCCCATGATTTCGCACAGCTTGACGTAATTGATGAAGAAGTGCACATGAACCGAATCAAGAGGATATTCGGTGGGTCGATCAGCTTCATCCTCGATGAAGTCGTCTTCTGAAATCATCTCGACGTCCGAGTCTTCGGGGTTGATGGCGATGGGTCGCCCTAAAGCAACGGCAACAGAACGATCCCTGGAGAACAGGCACCACCAAATGCGCTTCCACAGACGCTTGTCAGATCGACTGAGCTGGGACGTCTCGACACTATTGAATCTCAGCGAATGTAGGGTGTGCAGACACGAGAGAACTGACCTGCGATGCATTCCCGACCCTTGCGCCACCACTATAGCGACTCTGGTCCAATAGAAGACGTTCTTGGTCACGTCTAGGATCGTCATTAATGATTTGCGAGGCTATGACCAAGGAGTGTGTTGCTCACCTTCGGGACCTTCCCAGTACCAACCCATTAGAATAGCAGATTGCACAATGGTGACCCTGTCATCCTCGTAGTTCGCATCATACAGTGCTTTAGCACGTTTGTAAAACGTCATCGCCGCAGGTGTTGTCGACCCACTTGAGTCCATCAGCTGGGGATTACTACATACTCTGGAGCCAGCCAGGAGCACAGCTTGAAGTAGTAGTAGAGAAGGAGGGTTCTTCGGATCCCGATACTGGCGCATGAAACGATTGCGATTGATTACTGGAACAGCTGGCGCAACCCATTTGAAGAATGCTTCGACCAACTCGTCACACAGTGCTCGAGGTGGTAAGAGAAAGGCACCTCTTTGATGGAGAATCTCAATCTCCATGTTGTCGAGGTCATTGACCTTACCTTTGGCGCCACGAACATTCTCAGGAAGTGGGTAATGTACTACGTCTGATGCTCCGTATCTATCGTGCACTAATAATGACAGATTCGACGATTCTCCGAGATATGCTACACGGCCAGCTTCCTTGATTGGCGCTCTGGCAAAGCGTGGCTTCATAAACTGATCACAGGTCAGTACTTTAATTAGTGCAGACTAGAGATATAAAGCAGAACTTACCGCTGAATACTTGCCATCTCGTGTGGTTGATTCCATGCCCTGGTATGTTGGAGCGATGGACAGCTCAGAGATGGGTGATTTCTCGGACGGTGCATCTTGGGTGACGGATTGATCGCGCTCGTCACTATAGCAGACATGTTGATTAGCAAATGTCCTTTTCCCAATGGGTCGAGTAGCGAAACAGGTCGCAAGCCAAGTTTTCAGATTTGCTTTCCCACAATCTGACCAGCTCTCAGCTAGCGCATCTCCATGTTGAGGTTTGCATCGGTACTCTTTCTCTTTCTCGCATTCGCGGGTGGCAGTGTTGCGTGTTGCGGAGGCAGAAGGCGGGGTCGTGAAATGCGGAGATGTTGTTGAAGTCGACGTTGATACGCCGGCATAGATGCCCCTCTGTGTTCAGGCCGTCGAAACAAGCAACAGTTGAGTCTTACCTGTCTGAGTCCTTTGATTTTGAGTTATTCTTCTTCCGTTTCGGGGTGGGAATGCGACACTCGATGCCGAAGGCGGTGCAATTGGTGCATGGTACACCCAGGCTGGCGGCGTCACATCGTACCTGTGATGAAGTTAATGGCGAAGGTCGACAAAGCGATAGACTCTTAAGGCGCGATGACGGATCGTACCTTTCGAGCGTGGCAGGTCTGTGGTCATGATTAGCCATCGTGGTCGTGAAGTTGGTGGGCACCGAGATCCTCGGCACCGAGAGGACGACGCGAAACTGGGCGGGATAATAAATATCAAGACGTACCTCGCATGCTCTTGACGCTCTTTGCCTGCAAGCACACGACACAGGTTAGCAGTCAGACTTGCGATATTTGGTGCATGTCGAGGCGCGCACTCACCTTCGGAATGAAGCGTGAGCCTGTGCACTATTCGCAGGCCCTATGCTCTGGGACTTTGAAGTGACAGAAGTGGGAGAATGCAGGGTGGTCTCGGTCGCCATGGTCGCCATTCGAGCAGTATTATTAAGTGGGCAGCGCAGCCTTTGGAGGACGGAGATTAAGTGGTGCGTTGAGAGGTCATACAGGAGAAGAGGATATAGTTGAGAATGGAAGTGTAGGGCGGTGGGAGGAAGCGTATGTGAGGGTGAGTGTGGTGGATATGCGTAGCGTGTGAGGGTGTGTGTGCGTGTGCGTGAATGCGTTCTATGCGAGCGGCGGATGGATGCAGGACCGGAAAGCAAAATGTGTGGGGAAGGCGCCTGAGCGGCCGGTAAGAGAAGGAGGAATTACTTACTGCAGCCTGCAGCAGAAGCGGCGGCGGCGGCAGTCAGTGATGTTGGTGGGTGGGTGCAGGGAGGAGGGAGGGCAGCGAGGGCAGCCAGAACAGCCAGAACAGCGAGGACAGCGCGGACAGCGAGGGGCAAAGAGCCTAGAGGGAGCCCCAAAGCCAAAGCCAGAGCCAGAACCGGGCGGCGGCGACAGGCGAACAAGACGGTTTGTTGGGTGGGTGGATCGCCCGCTGTGGTTTAGTGATTTAGTAGTTTTAGGCCAGGCCCCAGGCTTCCCCAGAATCTGTGGCTTGCTGCCACCTTAGCTCGCTGTCCGGCTGGCTTCTTCGCCAACACTAACAAACACAAGTCAGTTTAATTGTCTTGATGTGTGAGTTGTGGCCCAGGTGGTACGTACGACAGATATGGTCAGCGCTGGAGTGGTGGTATTTAACGATTAAACGGTGCGCCCGTCCTTGTCCTGGTCGCAGGTCACCGTCGATGGCCTCTGCTGCAAACCTACGCACGAGTCAGGACCTTGCTTCTAATATGCTTCTGCTTCTATGTCTGCGTGGAACAACGAAGAGTAAGACCTGGTACAGCATCACAAAGTCACAAGAGTTACCTAGCTAGGTACCTCCGTCTTACGTCCTGTGTGCAATCCATGCTTGTTAGTCGTAGGAGCCCACCAAGCTCCATAATAGTGGCCTGTAACCTACTGCCTGCCCTGCCATCCTTACCTCCACTTCAGTATGATATGCCATATCTTCCTCAATGCACATCACACTCGATGACATTTCCACACTTCCACTGGCCCGCCCACGCCCTCTTGACCGCATCTTTACTTGACCTCACATCCTTCTTTGTCTGCGCGTGCGGGGCGCTGTCGTCAAATCAGAGGCGCACATTGCTCTCAGACCAGCACGCGCCACCCATCTCTTCCGCCCAAATGGACGAACCTCCCGCGATCGCTCCCAAGCCGCCTGCAACTCCGCAAGTCCCTCATCCAGGTCACTCTCGCACCCCCATCACGACCTCCCTGGTCATCTGCCCTGGTCCTAGCAAGACATCTTTTCATGCGTCCTGTCTATGCCCCCGCTGCACAGTGTGCTTTGTACAGGCATCCTTCCACTACAAATTCATTTGAGCCTCGGCAATACTGCGTGCTGTAGGCTTGTAGTATGGGTGTAACAGAGTATACCTAGCAGGTTCTCATCGCAACAGGGCCGGCTAGCAACATTTCTACACATCTGGCACACTGCAAGAGTTGGAGCCGTAGCAAGGAGACATTAGCAAGAAGACATGCGGGGAAACTGCACCGGCGCAGCTATTAGATCTCCAACCACTCGATCAGCAATCGGGTCTAGAGGTCCTGAACCCTCGTAACTGGCCAGTAAGGGCACAGACATTGCATCAGCTCTGTACACTTCTGGTTGGCTTCAATCTTAGCCCGTCTGGTCGTCCAGGGTCTGGGAAAGGTCATCTGGACCGCCACTTCCGGATCCCTGTTGCTGGCCGAATTGGTTTCTCGATTGAAGAGCACGCAAATGTAGAATCAGGCCACAACAAGGTTTCAGACATGAAACAGTAGTGCTCTGGAGCCTGAAGGATTCAACCATTTATCAGTTCGGTAGACGATCAGTCCCTCAAACGTGGCTGCCATCTCATGGTAATAGTATATGTAATGTTCACTACATGCATGTTCTGTGTAGCCTCTACACACTAACACCACTAATACCTGCAGGGAAGATCTGATGCAAAATCTCGCATATACAGCAGCATACAGACAGTCTGTCCTCTGCCATGTGCATCTCTATCAGGGGCAACTGCCACAAATACCAAAGAAGTGTTTCATGAACTCCATGATCTGATGCCTCGTGGCTGATGTCAGAAACAGCAGCCAGCCCTCCCACGCGTGCACGGGCGGGTTCGTCTGCCATACGACACCCCTGCAATTCATCTGCCTTTCGTCACTACTTAGTACTGATCTACACAGCCGGACATCTCCACAGGGTCAGCAGGGGCCTCATGGAGTGAGTGAGAGCACAGAGCAATACTTCGCTCGGACCGATGAAGACTCGAATTCAATCCTACGTCTGTGGAAATGGACACGAAGAGTCGCCGACCGCTCTTTTGAGCTGAGTACCTCACTAAACAATTAAGTAAAGGATGAGATAGCCTGGGAGTCATTTGGTAAGGGAGGGTCCACTGCTCGTGCGATCAATGACCTAGTATACGCACGCACGGTTGCCTCTAGAATGGGTCGTTTTGCCCTCATATGCCGGTATCCACGCGGGCGAATACCACCCTACAGTACCTACATCATACAGGCACATATACTGTGCATACATATATAGGTATCTGTTACCGGCATGACCGCGAATCCCGGAGCGGAATTGATCCCCCGAAGCCGTGCTTCCCGTCAAAAGTCCACGCTCCGGTCATGTTTAACAAAATCCCGGGAGTGACCTTGGAAGTCGCGGGGAAATTATCCGTCTAAAGGATCGATTCCAACGTGGCTTTTTGTTTTGCATACCGAGACCTCCCCACAAACTGCTTCTACGCACGTATCGAACAATGAATAGAGTTCCTGCTCCTCCAAGAGAGAAATTATCTTTCAACCAATTGGCTGGAGTGCCGCTCTAGTGGACGGCCACAAACCACACCACATCCCTCTACTGATCCATCTCCATCCATCTGCGCAATCCTACCGGCAATGTTCCATCTCCCATCTCCATCTCCCACATCCAAACCCAGTCTCACTCCCAGTCTCGCGGTTAGCGTTTCAGCTGCCGTCCAGCTATGGATGTCAATAGCTCAGGTAATTACATTAGCGCCACTTCCGTCCGTCGAGACACACGATTAGGATCGACGACAACGGCAAAAAAACGTCAAGGGAGTCTCGCTAATTAGAGCGACAGCCTTGACAGCGGATTTCTCCGGCTCGCTGTTTCGCTGTCTTTACTTATCGTACACAGACGTTTCTTCTCTAGTATGCTCGTCCAACTAAAGCCCTATTAGCGCACAGGTCATCAATTATAATCAAAGCTCTTCGAAACTCACTTGCTTGTTGCTGCATCACGTATACATACTCTCCTTCCCCTCCGCGACTACTAAACTTTCGCGTCTGTTCATCAAAGTTACTAAATGTCGTGGTTTTGGAGATGACGCCACGGGTGGCAATACAACCTACCAACTACCTACATCATTTAAATTCCCCGATTGCACGCCTTACATTTCGCGCTTCGGCAGGGGCGACGACACTCGCTTTCGTGCTCGTTCACGCGTCAGGTTGTTACATACGACCGGCGTCCGAACACGAAAGTCTATTCTGGTGTGTATACTTGATATGCTGTGTCTCTGTCGTGTCATAGACGTGTTGTGCGTAGAAGGAGGATGCGAGGAGGGCTTTGTGTGACGTCTCCATATATGTTTCGATACAGCATCAATGAACGTACCGGTTTCGACATCCACCGCACACTCTCGTAAAGAAAAAGAAAAAAGAAAAACCTTGGTCTTGCGCGCAAGACTGAGGGCCATGGGGATATTTTTATGCATCCAATCTTCTCGGGTTCTAATGTCATCATCAACACTCAGTACTACAATGCACCAAGGCATCAAGGCGACAAGGCATCAAGGCCTTAAGGCAGTGAATGAGTAAGTCACGAACTATGTGTGATAGCAATTCTTCTTCCTCCCAACACACATATCCTAACGATGTCATCTGTTCTACACATATGAACATAATTCTAGATGTGTAAAGTTGATGATCGTGAGAATTGGTGCGTCACGCGTGTCGCCATGGTATGTTTTATAGGTGGCTAGAGGAGCTTTGTATAGCAAAGTACCTTATAATAAGTCTATAACTAATTCTATTCTATACCTAATGCTAAGAAGCCACACACTGGTTGGCTTGCCAATGACTTTTCGTCAGCTCGTTCGTGCCCTTTTCTTCTCCTATCCATCCATCTACCATGATACCATGTCTCCACCGCCAGCTTTCCTCTATCCCATCTAGCCACCTCTCATGAACGCAAGCCTCTACACCGCAACACCCACACCACCATCCTCACCCCCTTCCGCAAATCCAGCCCCTCCCTCCCCCAACGCAGCAACAGCCTCCCTCCTCACCCGAAACGCATCAACAAACATCTCCCTCGCCCCCTCCATAAACCCCACCTCCACGCCCCCAACCCGTCCCGCCAAAACCTCCTCCTCACTCGCCCACACAAACGCCTGATGTTCCTTCGGATCCAGCCTCACAACAACATCGCCCTCCCCGTTTCCGTTTCCGTTTCCGTTTCCGTCTCCGTCCGCACCCCGTTCGACCTCCACCCAAAACACAATCTTCGCCCATTGTCCCTTGACCTTATGGCTCCACGCATGCACGCCGCCTACGCGAGCCATCACGCGCGTCATCACCAGCCCCGCTTCCTCCCATAGCTCGCGCCCTACGCCGTGCAGGAGCGTGCGGTCGATGGTGGCGTCTTCGCAGCCGCCGCCGGGGGGCTCCCAGGTGTTTGCGTATGCTTCGTGGGCGGCGCGTTGGAGGAGGAGGATTTTGGGCGTGGTGGTGGTGGTGGTTTGGTTTGGGGATTGGGGGAGCGGGGGGCTGAAGACGACGGCGCCGATGGCGAGGTTTGCGAAGCGTGGGTTGGCGGCGAGCCAGTCGGTTTTGGGGATGTGGAAGGGGGTTGTGGCGGGGGTGGTGGTGAAGGGGTGGGGGAAGGGGATGTTTGCCATTGTTTTTCTTCTTCTTCTTGGTGGGTGAGTTATTGTATTTTTTTCTGAGGGGATTGGTTGGTTGGTTGGTTGATTGGATAGTGGGTTGTTGGATGGGTTGATGGATGGATGTGGAGAGAAAGGATGGACAAACGTGGAGGAATGGATCTGGTTTACTTTTTTGGTTGGGTTTCTGGTGTTGTTGGTGATGGTCTTGTTGATGATGTTGTTGATGTTATTGATGATGATCTGGTTGATAATCTGAATGATATTTTGGTTGATGAATGGTGGGTGATGTCGTGGGATCTAGCAGAAACGAAAATTCTGCAGCGGGGAATTGGACAGAAAGGTATGGAGGTGCGTCTTGTGTATCCCTTACGTTGCGACCTTTTTATGGTCGACTGACTATGTTGCTGCCTGGATCAGCCTTGAGCATGAATCCATGGCTGACATGCTAGCGCCGTTTAGGTATGCCGCGCAAGGCAGATATGACACACAGCAGATAATACGAGGAACAAAAGAAATAACAGAGTTATGTGTCATACGGAGAAAGGTAAGTTACACTGCTAGTCAATACTACTATTAGTATTTAGATATATGACGGCCTTGATTGAGAGGGGTACATTCGGTAGGATTATACGCCTTGTCACTTGGTATCAAAATATGTAAATCGATATATTGGACTAGTTGTAATGGATGATTCTAGAGATGGACTCAGGTATGACCCTTCAGAACGCTTCCCGTCCTGTATCTTGATGTGATCCGTCTTGGTGCCCTTAGCTTCTCCATTCTGCATCTTGATGCGCACCTGCTTGGTTATAACTTATATCTGGCTTGTTGACTCTGTTCTGCGATATTCGCGGATTGAGAATGGACCGAGTGCCGATGTGCTTCGTCCGACCAGCCGTGGCACGCGCTGCCTCGCGTGCGTCCTTCCAAATGCGTGCTCAGAGCCTCGCGATAGGGAGTTTGTTTTCCTGTGGCATCTTTTTGCTGCCTTTGCCTTTCTCGTTGGACATACATGCCTGGTGAGCAGTGGGTTGAGCTGTACGACCCTGGATCATGTAATGTCAGTGCTGAAACATGCATACATATGTATAATTGGCGACTAATACCTCAATCGGAGCCTCGGATGTGCGAATCTCAAACATTGTGTTCTTCTGTGCCGGACCGTCATCTTCCTGGAGCTTCCGAGACTCATCGAGCGTGGAACTCTTCTCGTTCTCTTCGATGGCAGTACGGTTCATCGCAAGGTCCTCAATGAGCTTCTCCTCGCCTTCCTTTTCTTTGGTCTGGCATGCATGGGCCAATTTCAGGCGGGCATACATGAATGTCTCAAGGTCCGAAAGCTCCTTTATGTATTGCTCTAGAGAATGCATCTAGGACGATTTGGGCTGTATAGGTAGTTGTGCTTTACGAACCAAATATATGATAGTCTATAAGGTGTCTTACGTCTATGTTCAGAGAAGGAGGAGATAGATTGAAGGCTTAAGATCTTGCTGAAGTGAGAAGATTGTTGTGGTGGTGAGGAACGGTTGGAGGATGAGAGGAGAGATCTACTCGAGCGGGTACATGATACTTATAGTCGTCCGAACTGCCGGGTTAGTGTGCGGATGGCTGCGAGTGTCGGGTCGATGTCATGTCTCCGTCAGACCCATCCACGCGTCAAAGTTTGGCATATAGAGCATTCCATCGGACGTAAAGAGGCGTATAAGGACAGGTATATCTCCATGGGTTGAAATGAGCGATCAGATATGCGGTACACTTGCACTGTGAAATCCACATGTGCTTTGTCATTGCTGTCTCCGTCTTTGGTCATCCGGTTGATGTCGTTACGCATATACAACTATTTTCGTACCACACCCAGCATCAAGTGGCCTCCAAGACGTCGATCAAGGTTCGACATGCGTCTTTGTAGGACTAATGATAGTCATTTGTAGGTTACTCTTGCAACAATGCGACCTCTTTGTGTGTTTCTGGACCTTTGCGCCTTTGCGGTCTTGCCTTTGATATCTCTTGGACATCAAATACCACTGACACCTCGTTCAGTCGTGCGAGCAACCTTAGTCTTAGGTTTACCACTGAGCTTCATGCGACTCCCTCAGCAAGAAGAAGAACCCTATATTTCTCCTTTCAGACGAATTTCATACGGACGACACGTGCCTCTAGAGTCTAAGCAAATTATAGCCTCTACCTCCGGCCAACCATTAGAAGACACACTGTATCGAAGCAAGAGATGATGACGATATGCTTGAACTGCCCTAGACATTTGCAGATGGCAGATGGACCTACAAACTGGACATTTGAACAAAGCGTTGTTATACGATCGATTTATATTTCTACAAAAGAGATATGTGACACTCTGAGAAAGAATATCTACAATACATAGGTATAAAGCACCGGAGGTCAAGACAGGTCGAGATCGCACATGACTTCGGGCAATGCATAAAGGTGCAGAATAGAGTGATCTTGACAAAAGAACTCGAGGAAAAAACGTGAAGCAGCAGGATTAAGCATCGAAGTATGGCATGGCGTGGTCAAGATTCAAGAACCTCTTGGCTAGAGCAAAAATGTATAAAACAAGTCGGGACGGATTGCTCACGAATGTACTTACGTCAAGGGTCTTGATAGAAGGAAAGCAAACTCAGAGGAAGCAGTGGCCATAAGAAGGGAAACGTTTAGCTTTAAAGTTGAGAGTAGTTGTATGGAAGACATACACTAAAGAAGAACAGGATAGACCGGAGGTATAGAAAAAGGCCTAACCAACCTAGGAAAAATTGATCGTCAGTTAATTAGTGACTAAAAATAACATATTAGCCTCGGAAATGCGCTGATAGTAAGCTGGTCTTTTCAGCACAGCCATGGTATGGTATCAGTGACACAATAAAGTCGATAGTGGCCATCGCGTAAACCATTTGCTACCTGGAATGGCAAATGGTTACATAGTAGCCAGGGGCCGGGAAGATCAGTAATGTATCAGCCTCGACTGTGGCATGTATTTTCGGACCACAGGGTTTTGGAAGATACTTTTGGAATGCTGGCAACTGGCTGTGCCACAGAAAAGCGCAGTCGTCTGAACTGAGGAGTGAGATGTTACATTTATGAAGTCTGCCACTGTCTGCAAGATGGGGAGCATGGCGAACGCTGTTTATAGGCATCCAGCGACCATTATTGTAGCGAAACAGTGGTACAGAAGAAGATGATAAAGAGAACATACAAGTATTGAGGTCTCCGTTCACAGTGGTGGGTGAGATGGAGTGAGAAGAAGCCTTGTCTTACTCTTGGGTGGATGAGCACTCTCCCACACCCTCCACCGGCCTACTCGGCAGCGGAGAGGCGCCAGTAGTAAGCGCAAGCCCAAGCGCTGCAACGCCGCACCTGCATCCATTGGCCACGCTGCCACCACACTGACGTACCGAGTATTGATTCCTGCGAGTGATTTTCCCATGCACCCCTTCAAACCCAAGTCCAGCAATGTTTCATTGCCTTGTAGAGTGTCCAATAGCCTGCTAAACCTTCGAGGCACATACTCTGAATACCGATTCAATCTTTCGCTGACTGCACGCTTAGGCGATGGACTGACGCACATCAATCGAGGGATGCGGCTCAGGTCGTATTATTGCTTGTAGGATGCGCCCCAGCCCATCCTCACACAGATGGTTACGAGGTAGGATCGACATGCAACACGAGAGAATTATATATATCTGCCTGTGCCCTGCGGCTTGGTACTGCTGATCATCAACATAGACAGACCTCATCGAACACTCGCATCTCCATTCAACAAACTACCACCGATATAATCCTCACCAACTGTCGCGACACAACACCAAAAAGTCCATCACAATGCAGTCCCTCACCGCAATCCTCTCCCTCCTCTCCCTCACCGCCGCCGCCTCTCTTCCCAAACGCGCCGGCGGCCCAGCCATAATTCCCCTTCCTGCAGACTGCCCCGTCACTTCGCCCACCTCCGAACTCTCCGAGTCCTCTACCGGCGGCTACAAACCGTCCGACGCCGCAATGGGCGCCAACGTCTACTACTACTACAACCCAAACGTCAACTTCACACAGTGCCAGGAGCAATGCTATGGGCTGAGCGGCTGCACATCCGTGTTCAAGGCGGCGAATGCCCCAACGCCGGCTGGAGGTTACTATGGTGCTGGCGGAGTTCTAGAGGAGGCTTGCCTTATGTTCTCGCGGTACCTGACAACGGATGATTTTGTTGAGGCACAGCAGGGGCAGTATACGAATGTCCAGAGTGCGAATATTGGGTGTGCGAAGCCCCAGTGAATGCTGCGCATGCAACGCCGAGTCAAGCAGTTGGAGAGCTTGTAACAACACTCATTCGAACAGACGAATCTCCCGACACTAAGACTAAAATGGTGCATATTCTTTTATAACAGGCGATTTTACCAATAGCATAGCATAGCGTAGCCCATCATAGTAACACTAATACCCATTCTATACCTGCCACTGACCTTTAATACAACAACCACTTTGCATGATATACACTCCTCAAGCGGACGTGAATAGCTGGTATGAGTGAACAATATGCGAAAAACGCCCCTCCTCATACACTTCTGATATCATATTCATGATCACATTGCGTACGCTAACAGCTCGAGTCGACAAGCCTCCCTAACGCCACCTCCGCTTCATATGCATCGCTCCAGTACCCATGCCTTACCCAAACCGATCCAAAAATTTAATCCCCATGAATAACGCCTCATTTTAGGACCTGAACAACACTCGTACCATCGCTAAATCGCGTCCGGAAGATACGATTCGCATTCTCGAACATACCATCTTTCAAGCTGACAACAATGAATTGTGATCCCTTGAACCGCGTCTTGATCAATCGACCAATGTTCTGCGTGTGGTCTGGATCGAGCGCAGCATCAACCTCGTCAAGAATGTACATTGGTGCAGGTTTGAACTGTAGGAGCGCCATGATGAGAGATAGGGCGATGAGCGATCTGTGAGATTCGAGTCAGCAGGTGCAAACAAACAAATGAGTGCAGAATATCATACCGCTGGCCACCACTCAGCTCTGTTAGACTCTGCTTCCAAACCTTACCCAGGCAGACCTTGACCTCGAGACCTTCGGCAATGGTCTTACCCTCTGGCGGGTCCAACTTCGCGAAACTACCGCCAGGTAGCAAAGTCTCAAAGATCTGCCCAAAGTCGCCGTTCACTTTCTCCCATGTCTTGTACAACGCCTCCTTTTTGTACTCGTCAAGATTTGTGATGGTCTCCTCGATCTTCTTCTTGTCCTTCTTGACGGTTCTCATCATGTTATTGAGAGCTGCCTCCTTCTTCTCTACGCTATCAATCATGTTCATGACCTTCGGATTAACCTTTTTGCGCTTTCCCTGGAACGCTTCCGTTTCTTTCTTTAGAACCGCTTTGCATTCGGACATGTTTCGATTCCTGAAGTCGTAAGCGGTCCCGGGACGCCCGAAGAGCTCCTTCTCATCTGCTATCCATTCGTGTTCTTTTTCGAGCGCAACGATGGTTTGCGAGGCTGCTTGCTGGTCCTTGTCGAATTTCTCGATCTGATGACCAAGTTGTTGCATCTCGAGACCCTCTTCTGTGATAGAGGCTGATTTTGAGCGAATGGCGTCGTCAAGTTCACGCAGTTCTTCGTCAAATCCGCTGAGTTTAGCCTGTTCGTCCTCTAGATTAGCCTGCGCAAGATCATGAGCATCCTTGACACGCTTCTGTTCAGCAACGATTGAATCAATCTCTTCCTGTTGTGTCGCAAGGGCAGTCTGTGCGTCTTGGAGTTGTTCTTGTGCAGCTGCGAGATCATTGCCACATTGCTCAGCATCTGACAATGCCTCTCTCATCTCGTGTTGCAATGGCTTGATAGATGCTGACGTCTTCGATAAGGTTTTGCGAAGCTTATCGAGGGAAGTCTGAAGCTCAGCAAGCTTGCTGTCTTTATTCTTACTAAAATCCTTCATGTCACCCTCAATACGCTTCACTTCCTTGGTTGCCTCATCATGCCGAGCTTTTGCATCACTGATCTCTTGTTTCAAACGAACAATGTTGGCCTTCATTTCTTCAACAGCTTGAATGATAGACGTGGAGGAATTGCTGTTGATTTGGTCTTCCGTTAACCTGATCTCGTGGTTTTTTAGGTCAAGCTCTTGCTTGGTCTTGCGAGCTCCATCGAGCTTCTTCTTGTCCCTAGCAATCGTCGCCTGGAGCACTTCTAAAGCTTTCTCCTGATTTGTGAGTTGAATCGTCAGCTCGTTGAGTTGTTGCAAGGTAACAAGAACACCACTTGACTGAGGTGCACTTCCACCGGAGAGCGTGCCCGACGGGTCATATACATCACCTTCCAAAGTCACGCTCTTGAGCCGTACGGCCGGGTCGAACGTGACACGCTTCGCTGTCTCAGCATCTTCGCAGACTAGAGTCGACCCGAAGACATATTCCATTGCAGCGGTCACTTCCTGATCATGTCCTACGAGCGATAGCGCAAGATTGACCTTTCCTGGAGCAAGTTTCTGCGCGGCGCCAATCTTTTGTGCAGATGCCTTGAAAGCAGCAATCTTGTTCAGTGGAATGATCGTGACACGCTTCCTGAGTTTACCATTTTGCAGAAGTTGAGTACCTGTCTCTGCAGTATCGACAACGACATTGTAAAGGCGACCACCAGCGCAGATCTCAAGGGCAGTACCGGCTCGGGTATGCTCCTTGTCAAGCGTGAAAAGCTGCGCAACCAAGCCTTTCACCTTCGATCTATCGAATCTTGGAGATGGATCAGTGTAAGTAAAGTCTATGTTGGCCACTTTCCGCTTGAGACCATCGGCTTGGCCCCTGAGGTCACGGATCCGAGACTGCAGCATCTTCTCCTCGTTATACATTTCGTCTTCTTTGCCAGGCTCAAGTCCAAGCTTTGTCAACTCATTTGCAAGCTTCTTTGCCTGTGACTTCAACGCCTCAAGATCCTTGGTCAGACTCGAATTTTGCTCTTTTGCTTTCTTTGCTCGAGGTTCTTCTTCCTGGATTCGCTTCTCTAGATGCGATACCTTGAGTTTACCCTGTTCTTGCTCGGTGGCGGCGGCGCTCACACGATTCCTAGCCTCTTGAAGTTGGCCTTGATAACCTCCTTCTTGACCTTCTTTGGACGCAACACCTGTCTGAAGACTCTGAAGCAGTTCCTCTTTGTTCTCGACTTCCTCGGTCTGTTTCTGGAGCTCAGTATGCGCTGCCTCGTATTTCTTCTGAAGAACTTCATGAGCCTTAGTCTTCTCTTTCAGTTGTTTCTCCAACTCATTGACACTCTTCTCGGCTTTCGCCCGCCGTTCCTTCTCCTCTCCCAGGCTGGCTTGCTTCAAGTCAAGCACCGTTGATAGTCTCACAACTTCGTGTGAATGAGTCTTGACTTCTTCCTCGAGTGCTTGAAATTTGCCGCCCTTTCGCAATTCCTTTTCTCTCGTAGCTTTGACTTTCTTGATATCTTCTTGTAGCAGCACGATCTCGTTCTTCATCCGCGCAGCAGAGTCTTCAAGGTCTTTCGCTCGCTGCTTTTTGGCGTCCAAGTCTTGACCCGATTGCTTCAGTTTTTCGTTGTATCGTGCGTAGTCATATGAAACAACGAGTCGGGTCATCTGTTCGATGTTGCTTTGTGTTTGTTGGAAGTCTAAGAATGCGCGTTTCTCCTGTCGCAATTTCTCGAGTTTTGGCTCAATTTCATCCTTCAGCAATCCTGATATTTCTTCAACCTTCATCTGCTTCTTTTCCATTGTTTTCAGAGCCTTGTCCCTCCTGTCCTCAAACATCCTTGTCCCAGCTGCCTCTTCAATCATGGCCAGAATCTCTACGGCCTTCATATTGAGCACTTTAGTGATCCGCCCCTGCATAATTAGGAAATTCGGATTATTGATATTCAGCTGTACAGATTGGAAGAGGTTCTGCACAGTCTGCTGTTGTGCTCGGTGTCCATTGATCAGGTACTTGCTCGTTCCACCTAGGACTATTTGCCGCGTAACAGAAATCTGGGTATAGGTCTCAAATCCAATTGGGCTCTTCTTCGTATCCGAGTTGTCAAAGACGATTGTGACACTGGCTTTCGTTACGCCCGCTTGTCCACGTTTGTATATGAGGTCCTTCATGCAGACAATATTAGTACATTGACCAAGTCCATAGCTTTGCGCATACCTGAAGATTCTGTGCTCGCACAGTGCTCATATTCGTAATACCGAGAACAAAACATATTGAGTCTAGAATATTCGATTTCCCACTTCCATTCAGACCTGTGATTGAGTTGAAGCTCTCATCCCTGATGCGCCGTTAGATTGTTACGTGAGAGGCTGTCTGTTTATCGCGTCGCATACCAGCCTGTAATCACCGTTCGCACCGCGTACGACTTGAACCCCTGGGAGAACTGTCAGCTGAGTTACGCAGCAATAATACCAGAGCTCACGTCAATGATAACTTCCGTAACCCTCATGCTCGTGGTTATTAGGCTTCGTTGCTATCTGTCTCAGCGTTCTTCGCGGAATCGATTGTTTGTTATCTGGGAACGCGATGTTATGCGCTAGCCAGGACTAGCTTAAGGCGGGCGGCTCGGAGGTACCCCATGCCCAGGCTGAGGTTCTCCGCAACTCCAGAAGGTAATTATCATGATTCCAAAACCTATCATCAGTATCCGCGCTTTCTGAGCTCCTCATTTCCGGCAGCGGCCATTCGTCGTCAATATAGTGGGCATTCTTCCATAAAATTATCTAACTCATCAGTCCCTAGCCGTGTTCAGACTACCCTAGCCTATCTCCTCTGACCCCCTGAGTCCTTTGCATTACATCCAACTTCACCTCGGCAGCCTCACACTCTACTCATGGGCCGATGCTGCGGTCTATAGTATGCCTTAGAGTTACTATCAGAGCGAATTTTGCGACCTTAAGTTCAATATATCATGACGGACCGCCACAAGAAAGAGGTAGATGACTACGACTACAAACAAGGGAAGATCCGGGATTATTGGCGACTCTATGCTATAATATTCCCTGACATGGTAGAGTCTAGAACCTACATCTGGGATAAATATGCGATGAATCCTGAGTCTGAACCGTTCAGATGGCGCTTAGCCCTTGCACGCATGCCCAAGTCAGAATTTGAATACCTCTATGCGCAAATGCATGGATGCGCTTACGCACTTCAACAGGAGGCTATGATGGCAGATGCGGACTATGTTTCTAGTCGGTGGTCCCTCTTGCAAAGTCATAGGCGCAATTCTATTATAAAGGAAATAAGATCAATACGCCCCCAAATGGGGGCAGACACGGGGCAAAACGGTTTCACGGATGTGCTCAAGCGAAGACTCGTGATGACACACAGGCTCCTGAGACGATACAGACATGAGGATAAGACCAGCATCATTCCGGTGGACGACCGGATTGCTGGGCGTCAAGCTAGCTTTGACAATAAATTCGAGTATTCTGGAATTACCTACCCGTCACATTCTGGCCATCCATTGAGAGGGAACGTCCCCTCTGTGAAAAGCATTTCAGACATATCGCGTGTTCCATCTGCCATTTTGAGAGAGATGCTATTGGAGATCTCTCGGCCCTCACCTACACTCAAACGCGCTTTAGCCACTGAACTAGACCTTGCAAAGCCATGGAACGATGGAGCAACTTCGTTCTCTCTCGTGCTCAACTGCAAGACCGGATCCCAAATACGAGCGGCAATACGCAAGCTATGTGCCCTCTCACCTGCATTACGGCAAGCTGTTATCAACAAACTCGGATCATGAGCAGACAGTCTTTGTCAATGACGGACGCTCTTACCAATGATTGAACTTGGTGAGGACTGGGATGCAGTCACTCTCCTCCTCAGCAAAGAATTCACTTCTTGTATTATATTCTATATGCTCCAGAGTATGCTTCTGTTTGGATGAAAGAATGTTAGGATGGATAGCAGCGCAGATTCATTGCCACCCTAGAATCGTGTTTACTGAACGCAAGCAGCGTCAATCACTGTTTTACCTTACTACCAATATTCTTTGACGTGTGATAACCAATCATACCGCCAAAGCTACCTAGTCCAGCACCTCCAAGGCCCTTCTCCCATCCCTTGAGCATCTTTGCTCCATTCACACGTTTCCCGGCTCCCAAAGCCACAGCCGCACCCAACGTAGCTCCTCCGATCTGCCACCAATCTGTCTTCATTTCACCCTCATTTCCGAGCAATCTCCATGATCTATCCTTCCATTCAATGTCTTCTCTATCCCACATGCGCCCAATGAGCGCGAGACCGATCAGTCCTGTGCCCCATAATGTGCCGCGCGCAGAGTTTGACAGGATACGTGTTGACAGAGGAAGACCGGGTGAGCGGTTGAGTAGGACGGAGCCGCCTGTGAAAAAGAGAGAGATGAAAGAGCCCGAAAGGAAGCCTCTGGCTAGCACGTGAAGTGTGAGAATCGTATGCCCATAAGGCTGGATTTCGGCATGGTCGGGGTGGGGAAAGAGGGATGTCATTTCTCGCGCTTTTACCACAGCTTCAGCTCTGTGGGAAGGCGCACTTATGTTAATTGAGACGAAGGGTCTCTGATTTTGAGCCTTCCGCTTGATCTTGTTGATTGCGGCACTTGTAGAAAGAAAGCTGTTCTTGAGCAATAACGAATTGAGGGTCCGGAAGAACGTCTTGCTTTGACTTAATGATCCTGATCAGTGGACGTCAGCAGCTTATATAACATATTAGCGATAACAGAGGCTAAATAATGTGGCGTTCAGGGTGACCCGCCTTTATCCGTTCTGTGTGTGGAGCGGAGGAGAACTTGCTCCGGGAGTCCGAGTTGACCGGTTCTTACTTCGTGGTATATGAAACATACCAGCCACAACTTCTTGTAGCACCACAGCTCCTACGCCTATGGCTTTGAATCTTATCTTAGATTTATCGTAACTAAAGCGACGAACCCTAGCGATGATAGTATAAAGTGGTGGTGCACTACGAGCATGTGCTCGCCTGGGAATATCAAAAGAAAGCCGACCTCCATTGATAAACAAGACTGAGAGAAACTTGGTGAAGCAGCCGCAATTCTTTGCGCTCTTGATGGCAGAGTGAGTCAGGCCTCAATAGCCTCCTCTCTTTTTGTCTCTCGTTGTATGTAGTATGGGCAGTCGACTGCTGACTATATCGACGATGCTATTGGCTGGCAGCTCAACTTCCATAGTACACTATACCCGTGAGAGAGCCAGCTGTCCTATGTCATATCACCAGCCAGTGGTCGAATATTCGTGGTCTCTCCTTTTTGGAGTACCTACTTTTCTTCGAAGATGATCGACTCTTGATATCAACACCAAAGCGAACTACTCTACAAGCCTGCTAAGCCTCTTGGGGTTCTAGTCGTCTAACTTTATCGGCCAATATCAAGCACTTCGAGCCATGGTGCCCAAGCATATTTGCTCCTAAATACTTCGGGTTATCCAGACCAGAGGTTGGATTGGACCGAGAGATGGCAATTTTGCGCGAAAAATGAATAGCATCGGAAGGCTGACTCGCAGCAACATCACAAATATTCTGTTCACCAACCAGCGCGGGGGTGAATTTAGCATCCTCCTGATTTCCGTTTCTGAACGCAATATGCAAGATATACGTAACATTCTGATTGCACTTCCGGACATCCCGACAACATCTCGCAAAATCGACAAATGATCTCAAAGTCCAACTACCTTGCAGATGCCTCTGAAGACCTTCACCTAATGAGAGCTCGTTCATAAGGATATCAAGCCAGCCAATATACTTGGCGAGGGCATCAATGTGTCCGTTGATGACTTTACAGACGTGGAATGTGACGAGTACCGCTTCTATCGAAACAGTTTCCTTCATGTCGCCCTTGAAAGTGACATGCTCTTATCTGGTCAACCTGTTCCACTTTCCTCGAACCAGGAAAGTCTGATGATCCACGGGCAACGTTGGCAATGAATCTGCATGCTTGGTCGACTTGCGAATTATCCTCATATGAACTCAACTGGGGGATCTGACTCCTCCGGACTCTGGATCTCCTCACGCGTATACCGATTATCGAGGAACGCCTCTATGTGCTAGTCGCTGTAGTAGCAACAAGGATCAATGTTGCGCCTCGCAACACTCACCATGAGCGGACTAGCCTGCACCGTTGAGGGTGCAGACGCCTGGGGCGTTTATTGAGTTGATCTTCAGAATTCGGATATCCCTAGCTATCCTCAAGGATCAAACAGATAAAAAGCCTTCTGGTGGCACATCCTACGGATGCGAAATTGATGACTCCCCGCAACGGGGCTGGTCTCTCAGCGGTCACATCAAGCCTATGGCACTCCAAGATAGGAAACAGGAACCGCGAGTAGCCCTGAGTGGAGAGCTCCGAGACCTGATAGACTGCAGGTTCGTGGTCATGTCACATTCTCGCCCTGATTACTCTTTCGAGTGTCAACATTCCAGCACTCTTAGCCATTCGTGGTTCAGGCTCTGGCTATGCTGTCGGCCTTGTTTCCCTCCGCCATGGTTCATGGTGGATGCTCTGGACTGGGCATGTGTCTCATAGGTTTTCTGACGCGAATTCCTGATAAGGGAGAGATTTTTTCGAACCATTGGGACAGTTCGGGATTCGTCATGACTAGATCAGACATGCTTGAACAAGATCTGCCAGTCATCCACCCTGTTCTGTTCTCTTTCCAGCGCCGTTTGGAGGAACATTTTGACTCGCTCAAAGCATTTGCAATACAGATATACGATGAACTAAAACGCAGTACACGATATCCTGGGAAGACACCGGTGCGTTTGATGAAGGTCTCGCACACAAACCAAAGTCAGCATCGCAGCAGCCAAGGTCTGCCTATACTGTGTGAGCGCACAACAGAGGTTTAGACAACACGATTGTTCAGCTCACAAGACGACATTTCCGGCGACAGTCGCACCTGAAGCCACCTCGAGGCCTGTCACTGATACTCACTGATATCGTACGATTCCAGTAGTATGGTCACAACAGGGAAGTCCGGGTAGATATCCCAAATGTAATTGTTGCTATTGCACCATCATTGAGCCGTCTCCCAAGGTTTCGGTACTGGCCTTCATGTATATGGACAAGTCTATTGACTATAGGCGAGCAAACAGTATCCTGAGAGTCTTCTTGAGACGATGGCCTGATCTCTAATCTTAAAGTCATCGCGTATGTTGGGACCGTCGCCAGACTATGACCTCATTCACTGCGGATCCAAGTCTATATACCGCTTCTAGCCATACGTATGCGTTACAATGGAGTATGAATAGGCGACCAACAATGAAAGCTGCAAAGAAAGCGTTAGCGGTAGATGATTCCACGACACGAGGCAAGTCGCAGACATAGGCATAATATCACAAAACCAGACCATTTCTAGTTATCGATACTCCATGAACTGACTCCACAACTCCAAAACCACCTGCTCCACCCCTCTGTAATGTCATCGTTACCGTCATTGTCGTCATCAACCGATTTCAGCACTTTTCGTTCCTGTCCTCCGCATCGTGCCATTTCCATATCTCTGGCACCCTCATTCTACCACCCGCCGGATAAAATCCACCGGAAGCCTTTTCTTGCCCAACCACATCCTTTTACCCCCAACCAACAGTAGCAGCAGCAGTAGCACATAGAAATCAGACAACCATCTAGACCTTTTACCCACGCGAGGACAGAGCCTCCATGACAAGCCCCACGGAACTCTGCACCCACGCGGGCCGCGGAGCAGCCGCTGTCAAAAAGTGATACGTCTCACATGTGAGGCACCATTTATTTTTCTTGTATGCGCGACCCCGGTCCTTTTTCGTTGGATTGATATACCGAATTCATCCGACCCGAGAGCTTGGATGCGGTCGGTGTACCCTAGTAGTTTGTATCCTGGTAATTGTCTGGCGGGGCGCCGGGACTGGGGAAACTAGCGCCGGGTAAAGAGGTGGATGGGGTGGGGGTGGCTGGTGGGCTAAATGCGTGGGTAAATGAGGGTTGGTTGGGTTGAGATATACACTGAAAGGTGTTTAGATCATGGTATTGGGGATTTCCTGGTAGTGTACAGTGTGCGCAGATCTTAGCGATGAGACACCAGAGAGCGCTCAGTGCTGTTGCGTGCTTTGGCTAATCTCAGACGATGTAGGCAAAACTGGCTTCTCGTGAGACGAGGATTTCCTAATGCAACCCTACGTGGAACATCATCATGTACCACTGCTCAAATGACCTCTCCATTACAACGGTGTTTTGCACCAGATCCTTCCAGCAAAGCAATATGCGACTGCATACACGTTATCGTGTATGCCGCACAGTTAGTGAGTGACGATAACAGTTGATGTTGAGCAACGTACCACGACTCGAGTTGATTATGTGCGTCATGCCATCCATGTATGCAAGTCAGCGGTGCACAAGTAGCTCTCAACAATTACATGTTGGATATCCAATGACCGCATGTTCCAATGCATATCGACATATCATATATGCGCGCCGTCATATGAACGCCGGCTGCGCAAGGTATGCCGTTGTCTTCGCATGAAAACATGTTTGACCATGCACCGTTGCGAGATCGACGTCCCAGCAGCTTGGATCGTGATCAAAGTTGTCCCACACATGGCGGAGAAATCCCGCCGTGAGATGTGGGGTTGTTTGCATGTTGCAATATATCTTCATCTGGTAGTGTAACCAGGCGTCAGGGTTCGTAGAACAAGTGTCTTGAAGGCTTGCGGTGACCGTCCAATAATCATCCGACTATATCGAATTGCAATCCCGATGGAGGGATCCAAGCTTCTGGAACCCTTCATGCGAGCTTGTGGATGCTACCTGTGTGCCATAGTTGTCCATGGTTTGCGGATAAAGTGGTGTGTCTGGATGAAGTGCGGTTATACTCGCACGAGATTCGAGCGTATCAGACGATTGACTCTCGGAAGCAGAAGGCTATCTCAATATTCGATAGTCGTTGCGTTTCCGCAAGGTCTGGGAAATATTGTCGACTGGACAGGGTGATATATGCCTAAGCCCCAGGGACCCTGGTGCCCGCGTCCTCGCTATGCACCCAGTGCGAATTGGAGATGTGGTCATCGGCCTTAAAGCAGTATGATGCAGAGTTCTATAGATAGACCCAAGCGAAGCGCGGTATTGGCTAGGTTTCAGGATCCAAGACACCGATCAGTACGAAAGGACGTATGAGCTATCACACAGAACGAAGGGTGTGCTGTGCGCAAAGCTGAGAGCTTTCCGTTGAGGTGCATGATGTACTTCGGATGAGCTGAGTTGATAGTCCAGCTTTGCAGTCATAATAATGAATGGACTACGCGGGCAAGGCTACGATTTTTCCCAAATTAGCAATTACCTTATGTGAGCAAACCGGAATGAAGTAATGAAACCTAGAACACACAAGGGCCGAATCCCGGGCAAGGTAGCAGCAGCAAAGAATAAGTCAACGTGGCAGGCTTGCCAGAATGGACCAGTGATGAAGAAGGTGCAGGAGGTGCTCAGGTGAATGTATTGTTGGAGCTATGGACAATTGGTGGTGGCGTCGAATGGGTGGTTCGGAGTGCATAAGATCAGCCCCAATAGCTGGCGGTAACAAGCATAAGACGATGCAGCCAAGATGGTGATGGAGTGGGGGCCCCCTTAGATACCCCCCTCCCCCCAGATTTCCCCCATCACGCCCAAGGCACACTATGCAAGGCAGCTAACTTAGCTGAGTCTGGAGCAAGACAGTCCGGGGTCTCCGCATCCGTAACACGAGGTTAGTGTCGCTCTCGCATCTGCTCTCCACGATAAGCTAATGCTGCTATACAGTGCATATGTGTGGGATCCGAGATATGCCTATCATGCCATGGTACCGCTATCAGGCCATTCTACTCAAATACTTCAATCATCACACAATACCCCCTTCGTCATGCGGTCCGACTTGCTGAGGAGTGTGTCTGCCTGTGACTGTGCCGGCTGCACTCATTAGGCAAATCCGAAAAAGGAGCAACGGCGGGCCCCAGATGACATGCAATCTGTGGCCAGTCACAGAGCTACATGCGACCCGGACCAGTCTTAGTGTATATTGCTGGGCGGTGATGGCAGCGATAAGACAAAGTCTCTCACCGATTCGGTACGTCTTTGTCGATCCATGGTGTTGACTCTGGTGTCAATGTTTTTCTATGGGGCGACAAGGTATCTATCCTGAAACAGATCGTCTTGGTTAATGACATTGTCGTGAAGCATTCATTGGCATCAGGTTATGTCGTTTGTCGAAGGATCCGTTTGTCCGCTATCGGGCCAGCCCATTCAGCATTCAGACTGCGTTCGTGTAGTTGTTCCCTAGGCCTAAAATAGGGCGTCCAATGTGCGCTGCGCATTGTGGCGCGTGGGTACCTGTTTTTATCTCATCAACCTTATGGTCTCAAGGCTTCTTTCGATTAATGACTGTGAATGCTAGTTTGTACCGTGAGTTCAACGCCCTGCCCTCACCATCGCTAAGTCTACGCCCAGTCCCGACTCCCAATTCCGTTTCCACTTCCCTTGCCCGGTTCCCGAAGGCCCTCGGGTATGTACATATGTACCCCAGATTGAATGGCGTGCAGAGTCAGACTCGTCCACGAGTCTCTCGAAGAGGAATGGCACAGTGCTGGATGCGGAAAGTGCATCCTCATAGCGTGATAGGACTACCCCGCCAGTGATCTCCTATCATCTCCGCCTCATGTCATCAATCCTTTGAAAACATCTAGAACCTCGTGTTTCCATGCATCCTGAAGCCATTATTGGCGTTTGTCATCATTCACCATCAATCGCGTGGAAGTTCGCATATAAGCGCTGCGCCATTATGCTGTTGTCTGCGCACCTGCAAGAGACCGCTTTCTGGAGGTGACGTCAAGTATTGCCAGATTGCACTATTGCTGAATTATTCCTCGTCACGGGCTCTGTATCTTGGGGTGTGGGGCTTTGCGAACTTTTTGCTGTTCACAAGGCTCTCAAAAGCTAGTCTCAAACAATGGAGAATATCCACCCGTGGAATGTTCGAAACACTGACTCTGTGTTGGTCCCAGTGTTATTCCAGCACCAGGCCAGGGTTGAGGTGCATTCGGCACAACTAACAACTCCACAGCACGACGCCACAAAAATCAATAATACAATCTTCAGCCGATTCCAGGGCTCGTCGAAGCAAAAGAGATGTGCTTGACGAGATGGCAAGTAGGCTTGCATACAGCATCATCATGGTGTTCACGACAATAGGTGGCACATCTGAAAATTTGGCAGCACGCAATACAATACAAGCTAGCCGTAGCGGTAAGCGCGGTATTGACCTCCTTGCTTGCTAGGCTGATCGTAGCGTAGATCGTTAACCCTGTCCTATCCACCCACATCTTTCTTCCCTGTTGTTGTGGGCTATAGTCAGCCAGCCACAGACTTGTATGACGATTCTTCCAGGGTCAAAGTCTGAGAGAAGTAGCGGTGAACGAAAACATTTTTCTTCTGCGACCGCTGAGCTCTCGGCGATGCACTGCATATGCGGACAGGTCCCAGAGCAGTATAACTGGCAGATGGGTTCAACTGCACGATGAGCACGGTAATATCGTACTGTACGGTCACATACATTCGTATATCAGACCCTACCCCAACCATACCCCTTATAGCCCCTACTACCTAGCACAGCACCAGAGACTGGCGGCCCATTCTTCGGAATCAAAAGTATCTCAACAGAAACCAGCCAACCATTCTTAGCAGCCTTGGCCTTTGGATATACGTATGCGTTTTAATTAGTGTGAGAATGCAACCCGATCCTCTCCGCAACGGAGCCAAGAAAAGAGGCCGTTCCCGTCCCTCTCTCGGCCGTTGCGAACCGAAAAGTCTAAGATTATCCTTATCTGTCGGCACGAGCTCGGCTTCGACCTGTGTGAGCCTGAGAGGAGAGTCAGAAGGACTGTGCCTATGATATATCCAGCTCCCGAGGTCATCTTTATCTCGCAAATGCCTCGCCAACACCTCGCCAATGCCTCGCCAATACCCGGCTTATCGGCTTATAGCGAGGCGTTCACAGGGGAATCCTATTTGGCCCAGCTCAACGGGCGGCTCCAGCTGTTTTACCACCTAGATGCTTTGCCGCAGACGACTGCAATTCTGGAACAAGTCCGGCGGTTCATCGGAGCGGGACCTACTCCGCATTGTTGAGATTCGCTGTCGCGAAATCTGGAGAGGATTGCGACAACGAAACACTCTGCACTGCATCCTTGCAGCTAATCGCGCAACCACCACCACAACGTAATGCGTTTGCATTGTGTTATGGAGTTGGGAAGGTAGGCCTACAACACGTACACGATCGACTGATAAGCAAGCTCTATCCCTGGGCACCGCATTGAAAATGGTGTCATAACCGCCACGACAAATATACCACCACCACCGTGATGTCCTACACGAAAGTCCCTCTGATGGCAGAGCACAATCCCACATTCCATTGTCCATACTCCACATTCCACACTCCGCATTCCACACCACCTTTCTCTTTCCACGCTGATCATTCGCACGCCCTACATCTGGGTGTCTTAGCCCCCTCCCTCTCTTCCACCCTTGAGGATGCCCGTTGACGCGTCGTAACACGACAGGCGCGGATGCGAGGCCTCGCTTCCAGATGCATTTGCATGCAGTTGACTAAACCAAACTTCGCACCAGATCTACCGCCGCATCTCGCCATTCAACGAGATTCTCCGCAGCTAGTGGCTAGCTCTGGGGATCGGCATGCGAGAATACGTAGTCTTGACTATTTGACACAGACACACACCTTGGTTTTTGTTTGTTTGTTGAGGCACCATTATTTTTCTACTGGTGTATTTGGAGGCGGGGGGTCTGTGCGAGACGAGCCACGACGCAACCAGACGAGATGAGACGAGACGAGGCGAGGATATGTATCGCATTTGAGCAATGTTCGCCTCCACCCAGGCTTGGCATGCTGCCTGCTTTTGTCTTTGCCCAATCTCATCATGTACGTACGAAAGCAGCGCAGTGCAGTGCAGTGCGGTGTGGTGTGGTGTCGTGTCTGCCTCGTACCGGTGAGCAATATGAGTCAAACCAAGTCTTCGGAGAACTGAAGGAGGCCGAACACACAAATTGACAGTCAGTCTCTTTCGTCATCCGTGACTCATGTACCCACCCACCCCCCCAGAAAAAAGACCAGACAAGCATGAGCAGAGCAGATGAGCAAGACGAAGGCAGGACATATACATGGATTGGGGGACGACGGCCTCTCCACCTCCACGCAAAAGATCAAAAACCCACCACACCTACAGAAACATAATCACCAGCCATGTAAAAATAGGGGGGAATTTAATGCGTTTGCCAGGGATTCAAATCGTTGTTCAAGAAAGGAAAGTCTTTGCCTGTACCCTGCAAACCTTGAGGACAGATAGGGAAAAGCAAGCAGGGGTGTGTACTATAGGTAGGTAGGTATGTAGGTGGAGGTAAGTAGGCAGCACATGCCAACCACACACAGGGTCCAGTGACGTCTCATATAGCAGCATAAGTACTTAGGGTAGGTACCTAGCTACCCCTGGCTAAGACATCAGTGCGCGCCAATTCATCACATGCTGAGCACAATCTATGCCTTCCCCCAAAATGCAATGCAATGCAATGCAATAATGGAGGGATAAGAATAAAAATACATTCTTTTTTTTGGCTCTTTCTCTGCTCTCATTATGTTGTTATACGTATGACATACATACATACAAGTATACATAAACAGACATACAAGCATCAACAAAACACATACTATTATAACACGCAACAAGCACAACCCGTCCTATCCATCTCCCTCCCTCCCTCCCTCCCTGCCCAGTGCCTGCCATACCCCAAAAGCACATGCACTATTAACCCCAATCCCCCCAATTCCCCCATCCCCCACTAAAATAAATCTCCCCCCGACCCCCTCCCTAAAACACCCAAACCCCGTCCGGCACACGCACACGCAACGCACGCACACAACCCGAGCAACTCCGTAATTCTGCAACAATAATCAACAGGAGAAAAAAAAGAAAAGGGAAAAACGCCAAATCCGGGGAAGGAAAAGGGTAATGGATAACCTTCCTTGCAGTTTGCCTGGTTGGAGAGGTTTGGTTGGTACTGTACATACTGTACGTGATTATTACCCCGGGCTTTGGTTTGGGTAGTTCACTACCCCTTTTCCCCAATCCTGCGGGATAGGATGGATGGGATGGGATGGGAGGGCGGAGAAGGAAGAGGAGTGGGATTGGGGATTGGGGATTGTGTACTCCGTGCTGCGTATACATGGTAGACCATAGCAAGCCATCCCATCCCATAGCATAGCAACACGCTATGAGCGCATACAGGATTGAAATGTAGCGTAGCGTACTGCACAGTATGAAGAAGATACGAAACTATGAAACACGTCAAGGTTTGTACGTACTGTGTGAATACGGTGTCATGCCGTTATATACGCCTGCAATGCCACGATATACCTACCTACCTACCCGAGACCACCATGCACATGACAATACTTCACGCGCACACACACACACACATACATACGATACGCACATGCTCGAAAGCGAACCAAAGAAACGGGTTGTCCAAAGTTCGTCTAGAAACCAAAGAAAAAAACGGCGACGCCGAGGCCGTTCCGCGTCTGTCTCTCTGCCGTCCATCATTTTCAACGGTAACGGTTGTGGCTAACGGGTGCTAGCCAAGGGAAACGTAGCGAAACGACGGCTCTTTTGACTATTTCACTGCGGATTGGTAACGTGTTCGGAGACGGGGTTCCGTCACGGGATGAAGATCACATCCAAACTTTGTTTCATCACTGATCTACCGACTAGCTCGTATCACAAGTTTTGGATAGTGGCCGTTGAGAGGTGTGTGTGTGTGTGTGTGTGTGTGTGTGTGTGTGTGTGTGCATGTGCTTTGTAAATTATAGGGTTGCTAGTGCTAGACTGTGCTTGCTTGCTCGCGGAATTGCAACTGTTTGATAACGCCATACCTCGATACCAATGTCTATCGCGAACGCCATTGCCACTTGCGTATTTGTCCTGAAACATTCAATGCTAGCCATCCCAGTATCTGCAGCGTGACATATGCTTGTGTGCTGCGCCCGAATGTGCGCCGAAACTCTGCCGAGAACTTAACAAGACTAGGCTCTGCGTTCATACGCGACCCAGGGTAAAAAGCGGGGATGGGTATGGAAAAGTGAAAATAGCAACAACAGCAGATCTATGGGGTTGAGTGGAAAAAAAGGATCATGAGAGGGGTGAGTGATACAAGGGTCGAGTTGGTGATTAAACTGATTTATGGGGTTATGCGCTCCGTCTATATTGAGTCCCAAGGGCGGCCGTTTCGTAGTCAAGAGAATCGTTACTGGAGAGGACCTCTTTAATAGCGATCCTAGAGGTCGTTACCGGCCATTGAGCCAGTAGTAGAAGAGTTGCCAGAAGCGACGCTAGGCCCATTCAGGATGTCGTGAATAGCCACTTTAGGCATTTGCGGTACGGGCAGCTTTCGTTGCGCTCCGTCACTTCTCGAGATGATGTCGTTGATGCGAAGTCCAGAGCTTTGCACAGGGACGTATGGCTGCTCCGTGTGCGTAGACGGCTCCATAGGTGCGAGTGCTGGGGTGTGGTTATGGAGTGTAAGCTTGCGGAGATGGGGTAATTGTACATCATGCATCTGGTAAGGTCGAATGCGAGGTGAGTGCGCTGGTGTTGCAAGAGGCGTATGGTCTGGCGTAGGCGAGTAGGAATCGTGAGAGAAGGTTGGAGATGGAGGTGCGGTGGAGAGAGGAGAACCAGGCCTCGACTTCTTGGTCATTCGGTGGGCATATGGATCGTCGTCTTCATGCGAATGAGAACGAGACATGGGCTGAGAGTGTGATGAGTAGGCATATGCTTGCAGACCAGGCAGACGAGGACTGCTGCTATGGGACGAGCCACCATAAGGATGATATTGATGTGGATGGGTGTTGAGGTGTCGGTTTGGCTGAGGGCCATGTTGGTAGTTCTCACGCTCGACTCTGGAGGCGGCATCCGCCAGTATGTTGATGTGACTGCTGGCACCAGCCTGTCTGAATTGTGATAGTCCGGCCAGACCGGCTGGCATCGAGGTATAACTTTGGAACGAGTGCGGTGGGGAGACGTTGGGCGATGCCAAGTTCGAGTTCGGTGCCGAACGTGAAATCGATTTGGGCGGTGGCATCATGTGTGCCTGACTACCAAAGCCATTATCCATGATCCCAGTATTGGCGGCTGCTGCTGCTGCTGCTGCCTGGGCAGCCTGGTGTTGCTTATTGCCTCTTCTGGAGTTCGGATTGTTGTGAATTCTCGAGTGACGGGTAAGTTCGTCCGACCTGCTGAAGCGCTTGGTGCATCCGGGAAACTGGCATGCATGTGGCTTCTCCCCAGTATGAGTGCGAATGTGTCTGGTTTGGTGTTCTAGGCGGTGGAAGGCCTTATCGCACAGCGGGCATTTGTATGGTCGAGGAAGGTCCTGACGGTTGTCGTCTTGGGTGTTCTGAGCAGCCTGAAGCATGGGAGCCATGAGACTCACAGTGGCCGTGGCCATGTTCTGATTGTTGGATGGAAGTGGAGATTGATGATCAGACGAAGGGTGCGACGGGTGGTGAGAGGTAGAAGTAGTAGGATCGCGGGTATGAGGATCTGAGTGGTGGTGGAGGAGATTGCCGAAGGGGGCGGCAGACGTTGAGTGTTGCATGTGAATCTTTTTGTGACGTGTGGACTCTGAGAGCACCAAAGAGGTGTAAGAAGATAGATCGGGGGCGGGTTGACGGATTAAGTAGAGACGAGTGAAAGCCGGAGAAGAAGTGTGGGAGGACCGGAGGGCGCGTGGGAAAGAGAGCCTGGGGGCCTGGGGACCTTTTTTTTGGGGGGGGGAGGGGGGTGCTTTGCGGGCTTGGGGGGCTTGGGGCGCTGGGGGTGTTGCAGCTGGGCGGGCGTAGGGTGCGAAAAAGTAGGGTGTTAGGGTGTTAGGGTGTTGGGTTGTTGGGGTGTAGGATGGTGCAGGCCAGCTCTGCCAGACGTGGAGGCTTTATCGGCCGGGGTTGATTGTGATGATGATGATGGTTGTGAGAGGGGGGGGGAGGGGGGTATGTGGTGAGTGGAAGGAATGAATGAATGGATAGAGGGATGGAGAGAAGGTCGGCGGACTGCAGGGGGGAGGGGGGGAGGAGAGAGGGCTGGACGCTGGACGCTGGACGCTGGACGCTGGACGGCGATGGTGGCAGCGGCAGAGTGGCAGATTGGCAGCGTGGGCACAAAAGTAGCAGCGTGGGCTGAGTGGGCGGGCAGGAGTGGCTGCCTCCCTCCTCACGACTCGCTGGCTTCTTCTGACTGTTGCTCTGTTCTTCGCTCTCTCTCTCTCTTATTTCTTTTCTTCTTTTCTTTCACGGTCTAAACCTTTTGAGCCTTGGTCGCGCCCGTTCAGATGTCGGATCCTGGACTGAAAGACTAGCTGGATGGATCGGTGTGGAGAGAGTAAGAGAGATTGGGAGGGAGAGAAAGGATGATGGTGGTGAAGGGCTCTCAGGCTGCTGCTGGTTTGTTGGCTGACGCAGCGCAGGAACGTGGGGAATCTGCCGTCCAGTGGCGTGCCTGTCCTTGCGCTGTGACCCCACCAACAAGTTGAAGAAAGAAAAAAAAAACAATATGCTCTCCTCTCACTGCGATATCGTCCGCTTGCTGCACCAGCTCCAGCACACACACACACACACACACACACAGCTGAGACGGCTACCGGTGACCAACTTGAGCTGACGAACAGGAATATCTCCCGTCGTCGTCAGCGTCACACTGGTTGAGCGTATCAGGGATGATTGTGACCGCGATGCGAGGCGTGCGGTAGGGCCAAAGATGGGGTCCGGGGAACAGGATCTCCAGCTGTTTCACGGCGTAACGCTGACGCTGACGTGCCCTGCTCTGGGGATGAGGTGAGGCCGATGAGGCTGTCTGTCCACAAAAAGCACCCGGGCAAGGTCCTTCCTTGGTCGGCTTGTCGATGCGAATGTTATGCCACAGATCCGTCTGTAGGGGTGAAGCAAGGCACTCTGTTCGCCTACAATGCTCAATAATACTCTTTTGCTTCTCTTCGCTTGTCGTAGCGTAGCGTCCCTATGTCCCTATACACTCCGGAGCATTCTTGGCACAGTGGATATGCGTTCGACTCGTGGAAATGGCCGGATTTGGTCCAGGAACGCGTAGAGATGGTGAAAGTCACTTGTCACTGCGCATAGATGGACAGACTACCCAGAATTGCTACCACGGTACACTTGTGATGCTGCGACTTCTGGCCCACGTGCTCTATCTCCATTGTGCAGTATGAGCGAATGAATTCGCCATCTATCATCGTTCGCTGCAACTGCTACCTACCTACAATGACAAGTGTGTGCAAGTCTACACGGTCCACAAAATCAAAAGGACGGATAGTTTTGTGGAGTTTTACCTGTAAGCTACCAACGGCATGACCGAGAGAGATCGCAGATACGTCGGGCGTAATCCGCCCTCGGCAAGTCTAAGTCGTCCTTTACCGAAGAATGCTAGATAACTGGAGCAAGAGGAGATGAGCCTCGTCAGGAACGTGCCGTGAGTAAATGAATGAGGCCTGCAAGTCGTCGGGAGGTGACCACAAGAGCTTGTGCAAAGTATTGATTTGTCTCACAAATTTTCTGTCATCGTCCTGAATCGCTGGTCAGATGGATGGGCCCAGCCTGTCGACGGATGATGGCAGGGCAGTCAGGTGTTTGTTGCCTCATAGATAGGCAGCACCACACACACGAGTACCCGTTCAAGGGAGAGATAAGGGATTATAGCATTCAATCTAATGGCCAGGGGGGAGGAGGGTATGCAGCTTGCGAATCCGGGGTTCCAGCGTGATCGTTCCTGTGTTCCAGCGAAATCCATCACTTGTTCCAAGTCTTCCAAGGGCAATTAATGCACACGTCTTTTTGTCTCGTCCAACTTCCCATCTCTCTCATCTGTTACCAAGGCCCCAGCTGGGTGCAGTTACAAACGTACCTTGTTCGATCCATGTCCATCTCACTGGGCCATTCTGACCCTCCCTTCTTCGCTTACATGGCAACTGTTTCAACGGTCATCACTAAGCCTGCTTGTGAGGCGGGGATCCTGTCATTCATGATTGTGCGGAGAAATATCAAAGACAGTCATTCCTTCAAACCCTAGGATGATCGCTCCTCATTTCGTTCATGCACAGCCAAGGTCCGTCAAGAGCTCGAGAGTCCGCCTATCTCTCCGTGTCTGGTGGATGGTGGATGGGTGCAGCGCCACTGATTTCCCCGCAGATTGTCATTCGGCCTGGAAATGGAATCTGTCACGGAGATGGCTTCGTTTATTTTGCTGGTGGTGATACAGGCGGTGCAGGTGCAGCGCAGGGAGTCTGGGGCAATGCTTTTGGGGAATTTGCACATGCATGCCAGCAGGACAGGCCAGGCGTTCACAAAGCAGCCAATCACCACCGCATCGGGATCGCAATTGTGCAGTGGCTGAGGTCGCCTGCACAACCGCTGTCACTGGCTGAGAATGGGCTTCGGTGTGGGGGGTCGGGGGGTCCGGGGGGGTCTCCTTATTACCCTTTGGGAGTCCACAAGCCACGCTGACGATCCTGGGGTACCTTAACGACCACACACTGCACGCACGCCTCCTCATACTAACTCTCTTTGCTCTGCAACTATCCTCACAATCCCGGAGCAAAGGTCTGTCTGACGGTCTCTCAGGGGTTTGTTTGCTTTTGTCCGTCGAACTTTGTGCTACAATTGCTATGTATGCATGTTGCTGGCCCCCTGCCACCTGCCGCTTGCTTCAATCGTCAAGTTGTCTGCTCATCTCGTGCGGCTGACTCCAGACAAGAGAGTCACGACTGTCCACATCTTGTGCGATCTGGATATGTACTGTTGGATATGCCGTGACTTTATGTACAAGGGACAGTAGTCACAACGGACTCGTTTTACCAAGCCACAATCACGACATCTCGTGTTCAGTAGGTACTATTACCAACCAGTTGACGTATCAGAAAGTGGGGAGATGTCTTGAAAGTCGAGACGCCGCCGCGTCTCAATCCTTTACAGTCTCCTGGACCGGTCAATAATCATGCCTGACAAGCCAAGTAGTGCGACTGTCAGTTTGGTCTCCTTGGGTGTGTTTGCTCCAGGTCATCGTACAGAGGAACGCTGTGTCTCCTGCAGCGGAGAATTGAAGCTCCACGAAACTCTGCATTGTTGCGGATCCTTGAGGCATGGGCAACAGTCTTGACACCAGACTGCGCACTTCACACATATACAGACTTTCAGACTATCAGCCTGGCGGCTGATGCAACGAACCCATGGCAGTTCATGGGGTGTAGCAGTGATGGCGGGCAAGCGCGCCGAAATGCCCGAAACCGGGTTGACGAGAGCGGGAAAACAGGTGGCTGTCCTATCATCTATCTACGAGCTAAGAGATTCCCAGGTGCAGATCAGTGACCCGATGCTTGACGTTTGCCCTGGTCGAAAGGTATTATCTGGACCGCGATTCGGGTGAAAAAGAAAGAGGAGGTCAATTTGGATGCTCCCTCCTAGTCGGGCGCTCTGGCCCTGTCGACGTCGCAGGCTTCGACGTGCCTTCCACGATCGTTCTCCCGCATTGCACTAAAGTAAAAGCACAGGGAACCAGCAACGCTACTAACGACGACTCCGACCGAAATATACGACGACAATCTATCAAAACAATCATCTCTCAATGACTACTGAGCGATAGCAACTCAACTAAAAATGAGCTAGCCTTTAGACGCCATCGATACCCCATTATTCTACTCCACTAAGCGTACCATTCCACGCCCTGCTCCGGGAGATCTCCGAGTAATCGGGCGGGACTGGGGCCAGAGAAGATTTCTACGTGTATCCATTCTTAATAATTAGCGCTACGAATTAAGAGTTCTAAGAGCATCCACTCTATGGCTAGCCTTGAAAAGAAGCCTTTTACCCATCTAGGCCCCTTTGCCCTATTCTTCTCTTTCCCGAGACATGGATAATGAAGGCCCCACTGAGAATCAGTTCATTTTTTTCTTGCTTATTATAAGATTTCTCCACCTTTTTTTTGGGGGGGTTAATGATGGAGACGGTGCCATCAGACTGCTTTGCATGTCACTCGGCCGTTATCGTCGCTGGTTCTGGCTGTTGTGTGCGAAAAGAACGCCCGTAGGATTGTAGCCGTTCGAAAACCTCTCATGTATATCGGTCGATTGTTTCGTACGAGCTGCAGACGTCCAGACCTGGAGGTCTACGATTGTGTGGCTTGGCGTGAGGCTAGCTAGTTTAGGCCTTAGTGCCGTTTGACATAAAGCTTATAAATCTCTCTTATACCGGGTCCAGGTTGGCATCACGGGGGTGAACTTTCTCGCCTAGAAGGCGCTAAGCCCGATACAATCATGTCAAACAAACCATGCACCGTACAATAATAGTACCAAAGCTCAGGTGTGAAATCTGTTGATCTCAAGAATCCATCCTAAAATATATTACTACTCCCGACATTGGAACACCTTCATACGAATCATCCTGTAGCTTTCAATTCACTGCGTCAAACGGTCGGTCCGATCGCTGCACATAACCTCTTGCTTTGCCCACACCGTCCGCTCCCCCCCCGGCCAACATGACCCATCCCCCAACCCCCACTCATACATACATAGACAAACGCACACGCACACACACACATACAGCACACGCCCAATGAATCCCGTACCTTGCAGCCAGCATAGATCAAAAACGTCCCTGAATTCAGTGTCCCTCTCCCATCCTACCAACCTGTCCCCTCCCGCGTATCAGATAACCGCATGCCCCCCTCCTTCCCCCTTCCCCGAGACGCCGCCAAGCCGATCGCATCCATCGACCTGGATGTCGGCGTGCGGCTCTGACTGGCGGATTAATAGCGCGCGGGCAGCGCCCTGGACGGAGGATCGTGGGTGCTGGGTGGATTGGGGATGCATGCCTGTGGGCGATGGGGGATTGGGGGGGACTGGAGAGGTCGGGGAGAATACGGGGTGAGTGGGTGGGTGATTTTTGAGGCAGGACCCCGCTTTGGGGATGGGTTCGTCTTGCTTATGTTTGTGTTGTGTTGTGTTGTGGAACGACGACGACGACGACGACGATGAGGAGAGAGAGAGAGAGAGGCTCGATTGGATTGTACCATATGCGTGGCAGAATTCCAAGTGAGTCGTCCCTCGGGGGCGATGCAGAGGATATTCTGACCGAGGAAATATGCAACGAGCCTAGTTTAGTTGTTACTTTGACGCGCAAGTCAAGCCTGGATCAACCTCAATCGCCGGTCGTCACGCTGCGAACACGACATTATTGGAGACCAAACTATTGCGGTTCGTCGTGGACAAGAGTATTAGTACCATCGTTGCTCGACAGCTCCCCCACGTCGCGCAAAAGATCACGCAAACACAGATTCCGAGGAATTCGCCTCTTATCTTGCTCAACTAGGCTCGGCTCATGAGGACCTAAGGACATCATAGCATTGAGCCCTGCAAGATACAAACAACCATTTCCACACGCCCAAGAAAGCTTGCTTGACATCTGGTTTCGGAATTGACGGGCACTACCAGATGCCCCAGCTTACCAATGTAGCACGAATGTATCCCGTGAGGTCTTAATTCGTCTCAGTGACTATGGATTAGGGAACCAACTGCCCGTAAAGCTATCTTCATCTATGACCTTCATACTGTTCGCATTCCAGTCGTAATGTAGGTCCTAAATAACGAATTCACGTCTTCGCACACAAAAGTTCAAAATACAAACGATCTTACGATCCGTATATTCTTCGCATCGCAGAGGGACTACCAGCGAACGGCGCACCAATATATACAAAAGTGGACAAGCTATATATACACAGCGCAGATGTGCCCAAGACATCCGCGCACAAATCCCAATTTCTCCTCCTCTAATCACAAGAACAGATATCCCGGCAGGAAATCGCAAAGGGGCAAAATCAATGGTGATGTATGTACAGATCTGAAGCTTCCCAAAAAAAAAATACAGCGCAAGAAAAAAATCAAATGCAAGAGGAAATGTCGAATGTTGCTTCGGTAGAGCGAGCTGCTCGAGCCTACAACCCCGTACGTGTAATGTGACTATGATCCCGGACCTTCATAATACGAATCGCGACGGCGACGATTCGTGTTGCTGCGCGCAAGACTGCCGCCGAAGCCGGAATTGGCGGCAGCTTCGTCAACGTACGAGCCGTCGAAAGCGCTTTGCAGATTCCGTGTTGCATTTCGTGCACGCTCATCGCGAGCAGATTGGAGGACTTGCTCGCCATGTGCAAGCAATGGATTCTGTGTGTACATTGCAGGCGGTGGTGGTGGTTGTGGAGGAGCAACTGTGCGGAGTGCGTATGGCTGGGGCAATGGCTCGGCTGGCGGTGCTGCAAGAGGCGCGAAACTTGCACCATATCGTAGACTATATTGGCTGATTGCTTGTTCCTGGCGGACTGCCTGACGGGCTTGTTCGCGCTCCTGAGCCATAAGCCCTAGAGTCTCTTGTAGATCGGGACGATTGTCGTATTGTGCTGCGCTGGGGCGGCGGCTCTGCGATGGTCGGCGGCCAAGAGGTTGCTCTGAGCGCTCTGAGCGCTCAGAGTGACGAGGACGGTCAGGGTTTCGACGTTCGCCTGTTCGAGGACGTTCTTGAGGTTGTTCATGACGACGAGTGCGTTCATCTGATCGTGCTTGGCTGTCGCGGCGACGGCGACGTTCTTCGTTGTGACGATGGTCGCGGTCAGCTCGCTCACGTTCCTCCCTGCGGATGTTTTCGCGGGTTATTCGCTCAGTCTCGGATTCAGCTAGCTGCCTCCGTTGTCTTTCCTCGCGGCGGTAGCGCTCGCGCGCCTCTGCTCGGTCGAGAACTTCTGGTGCAAGCCCCGCGGCATCATTGTGGACAACTGCTCGGTCTTGTCGTCGTCTACCGCCAGGGGGCGGCGAGTCATCCGGTGCGGCGGCAGCAGCAGGCGGGTGATTTCTCGGAGGCGGAGGCGGAGGTGGTGGGGCGTTTGTAGCTGTACTCTGCTCGGCATAGCTGTAAGACGATACTCGGAGAGCTGCAGGTCGAGGTGAGCTCCTTTGAGACGGAGAGTCGACGATCACCACATCGGACGAATCACTGCTTATCACTGCAGAGCCTCCCGAGCGGCGTTTGTGGGCTTTCTCCTGCTCCTTGTTCTTCGACCCGCCGATACGAATCACGATCTCTGGCCTGATCCCGGTGCTAGAATAGCTTCTACTACTTCTCTTCATGCGCTCCGTCTCGCTTGAGCTCCGACTGTAATCACCTGCAGGTCGCACTTCTCTGACTCTGGCAGTGACTGGAGTTGGCGGATGGCTCAGTGTTGTTGGCGATGCAAGACTGAAGCTTGGCGAGCCAGGATCGCTGACATTGAATGACCTTTCCGTGCGCCGAAGGTTGCTGCAAGGAGTAGTACCACGGCTGAGACTACATAGTCGAGGTGCTTCCACCCGTTGCTCCACACCGTTCGCATAATGGTAGACTCTGGTCTCGATGACGCACATTGTGAATGCTTCGAAAAGTTTTCCACGGGTATATATGTGTATACTAAATCTCAGACCTTCCAGGCCTCAGTCAAAGATAGATTGTCCTAGAGGTGCCGTGGGAAACTCCTCGAGGAAGAAAGTTGTCCAGTCAGGAGTATGTGTTGATACGACTGGAAAAGTGTTGGACTTGGGTTCTGCCGATATCAGGGGTGGAACAATTCTTCGCGTGGCAGTAGGCTGGGCAGAAAAGTGCTCTCAGCCGTTCGAGCGGTGGTCCCTTGGTGGTTACGGGCTGGTGATATACCTTTGGGACCAGATGACGATGAGTGTGAGACAAGTCTGCACCGCCAGTCCCGAGGAATTAGGTTCACCAAGTCGATATATGAAGAAGAACGAGTTGTGAAGACAAAGCCTAAACTTGAAAACTGAAAGAAACCTTACGCAAGGAGGATTGAAGATGCAGGTAGCGCCGTGGGTTCGCAGTAAAGAGTATTCTGCAAGTATGTTATGCAGGAAATATCATAGCCTTATTCTAAATGAGATGAAAGCCCCGCGCGTCGATCTGATATATAAGAGACGGAAACCTTGCAGCCTAAACAGACCGCATTCCTGGCCAAGTTTCAAGGCGCAAGGATCGCCAGTTAAGTGAACGGCCTCTGAGATGGTGGTCATAGGGACTGTTTTCGGAATCGTTCTACTATGGCTGCGTTGCTTTTACCTGCATACCTGTTCACTCGGTCATAGCAGCCGAAGCACGAGACTGATGCTGCTAGAAATTGTTCCATGTTCGAGGATTGTAAGCATCAGCTATGTCCACACTCAAATGCTTGTGGCATGTTGGTTGCTTTGCAGAGTCTCTTGGCGCTGTCAGTAAGGATGATATGCACAGCCTGGAAGCAGCCACAGCCACACAGCCGCACCGCGCATGGTTGCTCGAGGAGCAAGCGAACACTGGCCTATGTTCAGTAAGACAAGCACACGACTAGGTGTAGAGGGCTATGTGCTATGTGAACGAGGTCTGGTGGACGAGACGCTGCGGTTCTAGAAAGCAAGGATACGCCGCCGTGAATCGGCTGAGATGGCCGAGAGGCCTTCGACAAATCGGTTGCCTTTGCATGCAAGTGCAAGATGAAGGGGGCCGTGATGCGCCCATTGGGCATCGATACTGACACTGACACTGGCAAGGTCATAACATGTCTGAAAGGAGAGGGCGCTGACGTCTTGTGTCGTGTTTTGGTGAGGAAGAAGAGAACGGAGTGGGCAGGGAGGTTCCCCCTGTAAGCGCCCGAGAGCGAAGCCACACTGTGGCTCACACTCACAATTAGATCTGGGTGGACTCCAGCAAATGATAAAGAATGTCTTACAATTTCCCCTCTTGTTGTAAGCGGCTAAGAAGTCTTGCCATCATTCGTCAACAAAGCGAATGTGTACAGGCCAAGGACTTCTCGTTCTCCCCCCACATTGTGCCTTTTATCCCGAATCCATCCGATGATGGCACACCCGACATCATCGTCCAGCCTTGCGTTGCAATACTTCTCCATGGCTTCATGAGTCAAACCTACTAAGCTATGCCGTTTTCTCCATCACCCGACGCCCATGAAGCAGTGTTCTGAGACCTCCTGTGCCGCACACGCACGCGTTTAGGCATCACACTCTCGAATACTTCAAACTGGGCAAGCAGATGCGACTCTCTCATAAACATGATAATCGTCACCGACGTTGCGGCTACGTTGTGCACACTTGCCGCCCAACAACAGTAAGAGGCGCACTCCATCTGATGAGATGACGGCCCTAACTCCATGCTGGTCTCCCGTCTCTGTCAAGCCGGTGTTACAAGAAACGAGAATCAAATTTCCATCATCTGCGAGGCATCAAGCATTGAGAAGGATTCACACTACGATCTTACAAGAACTAATTACTATGCGGAAATCCTTGCTTCACCAGCCTCGCTCGAGCCACAAAAGCCACAGGTCTCACACTATCTTCAGCCCGTTGCGGCTGTGCAAGTCTCCTCGCGTCAGACGTTGCTACCACAAGTCCATCTTTGGAAGCCGAGATTTATACGACATACTTCTATCGAATTCGGTCATTGTCCATACTGCCGAATGTCTAGACCACTGCGTCAGCGTTGAGCGATCAGTAGTGAGTGGCATTGCAAGATTCCGTCGCCGCAAGAGCTGGTCGTCGAACTGAGGTCCTGCTTACATAGCATAAGTCACGCTTCTAAGATATATTCACAGTACAACGTTGTGCACCATATTCTGCACATTTGCTTATGGATTCCTACGGACCCTGGCGGAGCTGAGGTTTGCGCTGGGCGGCTCACAGAGCGCACTGAGGTCTCGCAGGACTCTCTCATTTCGCTCTTGGACAGACACACTAGATGAATCCTGTGCGTAAGACTTGATAACAATCCAAACTTCACACGACTCTATCTCGAATTCACGGGACTCCCTTTAGACTAAGCCGCTTACTTGGGTTTGTCATCTGCAGATTAAATCATCTGACTGCTGCCTTACACACTGCGACATTATGGCTTATGCGCGATATGATCTAGTTAAATCCTTTCACGTGGCACGCTCTAAACACTTTGTAGTAACTCCGTATGCAGCTTAAAATATAGGTATAACTAATTAATGCTACGGTATATAGATGAATGTATATAAGAGATAGTTAAAGTATTACCTTTATTTAATAAGAAACTATATTATCATCTATATAGCTACTATACTCTATAGAGTTTTAAAGCGATAATAAAATTAATATATATATATAGAAAAGTAAGGGACGCGTTAATATATTAATATTAGATGTCATAGATATATATATCTATATATAGATCATACAGCCTAGTCTTGCGCGATTTTTGCGCGATTTCGAATTTTATAGTAATATGCTAAGTTATTCTTCTTGTTAGAACTCGTCTTATAATTAACTATTTCTTCTTCCTTTTTTACTATCTTCTTCTTCTATCTTATCTTTATATTTCTCTTATTCACTAACCTTTTAAGCTAGTGTTAAGCTGGTAGCAAGAATCCTAAAAATGTACTTTTCCTTAAGCACGACGCTCTCTCTTACACACTCCCTCCTTATTCTCGTAGTATTCTTTAATACTCCTTTGGCAGTAAGGGAGAGGGGACCGCCGCAAAGTAGGCCGCGAGAACTTACTTATGTCGTGCACTCAACATGCAGTCACTATACGATACGCCCTCATTTAGAGGAAGCTCTACATATGGCTAGGCTGGCCTATGAGGGCCTACAAAACTACCACGAACTCCCGGAACACCTTAGGATAGGCTATGTACACCTCTTCGGAGAGAAAGGACAAAACTTCCGGCGTTTTACTGAAGGTCTAAGAAAAGTCACGCGAACAATGGGAGAGGTCGCAACCTTAACAGAGATTAACCGACCGAGAGACGCAAATTTCATTATCTTCTGTGATGATTACCGCTGGCGGCGGACCGATGCCTCTGCGTTACGAGGCCCCCCCCGCAGGCCCGAAACACAAGAATGGGAGGATCCATAGAGTGCTAGGAACGAAATTTGCCGGTAGGCTATCGTGCCTTGACTATCCCGATCGCCTCCACGACGATGTCTATATGGGGTATTACCCCGCGCCACCCAGCAATGGAGATCAGATCGTAGTTTCATGGTGCGGAAATAGATGGCCTGAGGATTCCTTTAGACTCATCCACGACCCTAATTATGATGAGAATATCGAGGAATCAGACCTGAATAATATTCATAACACCTATCTTAGTCCCTTTCTACTTTCAATCTTTCTAGACTCAGACTTTTTCGAGCGTAGGTCCATGAGTTTTCCCCTTCCTTCTCCTGGGCGTGTTCATGATAGTCCTACGCGTACTAATAGGATAATAGATGACTACGAAGGAGATATCGATAACTGGGCGAGCGCTATACAGGCGTCTAGTGAAGAGAAATTCCAGGGTACTATAAACTATAGTTAGTATCGAAGATTTCAAAGGGTTATGGTACAAGTACTAATGCTCTATAGCATTTCTTGCCCTTCTGTTTCTTTTGAATGATTTGGACTTAAGATACGATACAGAGTCCCCGAACGGGAAACTTGTACGTTTTAATTAAAAGAAGAAAAGAAGAGAATCAGAGGTAGTACGAGAGAGAGACGACTAGGGGCATATAAAAGAACTTCAAGGGGTAGTCTTTGGGCAGGCAACAGAAACACTGGAAGCTTCCGCAGGCTTCTCTGGTTGATATCGGCCGAGTAATAGCTTAGGCTGCTGCATGTGTCTGTCATCAGAGGGGCAATTGGACCTATCTTTACTTTCATTCGATGGTAGGATGAGTGCCACTTGTATTAGCCTTCCAGAGAGTCGGGAGAACAATTTTGAGTATTAAGAGTGCTGCAGTATGTTTCCACTTCCTTTAGATGCCACTTCACCAATGGCAGAACTAGTGGTAGTATTGACCGACGTGAGGGATAAGTCTTCGTAGAATAGTAGGCCTACTAGAAACTAGCCGTTGATTACTCTGCATATCGTTGTGATGCACTTCCAAGCACATCACTGCGTATCTCCTCTTGACCTCCATAGGTCTGGCTTCCGATTCTCCTCCTCAGCATGTATCATTCTTTCTCAAACTCACTTTGACAACCACTACAAAGGATGGATTTTCTATATTAAACGTGCACGTGCTGCTGGTGATGCTTCGATGCCTGATAGTAGGAAGCATCCGGCTACCTCAAACTCAGCTCGCTGCAAATCAACAGGCTTGTCAGGGTCGTCTTAGCTGGACATCTTCTCGACGTTGTCATACATCAAGAGTCCATTGCCATGCTTATGTGGTACGTACCAGTATTGTGAGACTGTTTGACTGTGGCTTCAAGGAGTAACATCACTAGCTAAGTTCAGTACATGACTGCCTGTGAGGGTGTTAAAGTTGTAAGGGCATATTAGATAGTTTCACATTCTAGGAAGAGGGAGCAGAGTTCGATCTCCGATAATGTAGATGATATCCCTCCTCTTGGTTGCTGGGAGATAACGCGAAGTCATACAGCCTGTCGAGGTTGATGAGCTTGGAGATTGTGTACGGCGGTCATTTTGAGATGAGTGATAAATGAGATACAACATCTGTTTATCTGCCAGCGCCCGCATCCAGGTTCGGGCCTGACTTCGTGATTAAATCACCTCTAAGTACCTGTTGATGCAGCTTGTGGAAGTGGCTCGGATCTCGCCTCACCGAACACGCGAGATTCCGAGCCGAAAGTTCCGAACCTCGCATCCATTTTAGGACTTCTCACCTATCACAGGTACGATCACCCTCTCTCGAATACATATGAGGTGCTGAGTCATTGATTGAGCTTGACTATATCTATGCATAACAACCGACAAGTCAAGAGTCGACTGATCATACGACTTACTTTAGGTGAAGTTCTACGTCTTGATTACTTGACACTGTGAGGCCGAAGCTCGGCTTGTGCAGAACACTTTCTCTCATGCCAGATGCCTTGCTGGTTATATTATCTTGAAGTACGAAAGAGCCAGACTTTTAGCTCAAGTCGTTCGTACTCACAGCACTTAGACTCTATATACCAACCTCGATCATCGCCAATATCCACCTGCGAGATCCGATAACGATACGCTTCATTCTATCACCCATTGAAGCTTCCAATCCCATGTCTCAATCACCTACAATGCGAGCAGTCCAAGTCACCCCTGCTCCTCCCAGCGCACCGCCATACAGCCCTTCTAACCCTGCTCCGTCCTCCGCTCTCACCATTACCACAAGGACCGTCCCAGCCCCTTCTCCCGGTACTCTCCTCATCCGTAACCACGCGAGCACAATCATTCGCGACACCTTGACTTGGCCCGAGCTCTATGTCCACCCCTCGCAAATCCCCGGTAACGACTTCGCTGGCACTGTCGCCGCCCTCCCTCCCAACTCATCCTCGCCCTTCGCCGTTGGCACCGAAGTCTTCGGCATGACCCACGCGGACCGCGGCGCCACATGGGCCGAGTACGTCGTCGTGCGCGAAGACGAGTGTGCACAGAAACCGGCAAGCCTGAGCTGGGCAAAAGCCGCTGCGGCGCCGCTGAGCTCGTTGACGGCGTGGCAGGCGCTGTTCGACAAAGTACGACTGGACACGCCTGTATTGTCGCCGTATGATCCGGGTGCTGCGCGAGAGAAAAACGGAGGGCAGAGGGTGCTGGTGACAGGTGCAGCGGGGGGCGTTGGGGCGATTGTGGTGCAGCTGGCGGTGCTCGCCGGGTACAGCGTGACAGGGGCGACGAGCTCGAATGCACGGAACGAGACGTTTGTGCGCTCGCTCGGGGCGGATGATGTTGTTGAGTATGCGGCTTTACGTGCGAGTGGGCGGGTGTTCGATGCGGTTGTTGATACGGTTGGAGGGGGCGTGCTGGAGGGGTGCTGGTCTTTGATATCTCCCACCGGGAGCGTCATTACAGTCGATTCTGCTAGCTATGCTTTTCCCGCAACACATCATGAGGCAGGGCTGAGCAAGGGTAAAGAAGGTGTGCACGCGGAATTCTTCATTGTTGAGCCTTCAGTGCGTGATTTGGAGTGGATTTCGGAGGCACTTGACAAGGGCTTGCTGAAGGTGTGGGTTGCGGAGACGATACCGTTGGAAGGCGTAAGGGAGGCATATGAGACGGCAAATGGGAGGTTGAAGGAGAGGGGAAAAGTTGTCTTGACCATGTAAGAATGGGCCAAAATCGGGGCTGGTGCATCGGTCCAGGTCGCAGTACGGTCGACTGTAATGGAGGATTATAGACCTACGACATCACGGCTACTACTCGAGACCGCCGAAATGGACACGGGTGCACTTGTCGGATATTGGTTAGGTCTATCTGGCTTATGACTATATCTAGGTATAAGCTATGTTTACCATTCATATGATTGGACATGTCTAGATACCTCACCTGATTCTACGATCTCTCCGGGCGTGTCACGTATAGCGGTCGATGTCTATTTGGTCCAGCTTCTCCATTCTAGCAATACAAGTATATGCCCATCTTCCAAACAGCCTTCTCGAGCTCAGCCCATCATAATGTTGTCACCACGTATGAGCCACCCAGAATTGGATACTTGGTCATCCCGGTAGTATCCCCATCACTAGACGTCATCCTCATTGCCACGATCTCTTCTCCCTGCGTCAAGTTCTTCTTGTCTTCATCATCCATCTCACCTCGCAAATTAATGGCCTGTTCAAGTACGAATGCCATTTCTTCGAGAAGGCGGAGATAACGGCTCTTTTGGCGTTCCAACGGCAGCATTGGCTCGACACCACTCGCCACGGTGGTGATGTCAAATGGTGGGTGTACCCAGTTGATGCTGATGATTGCATGAGTGCCGTATACCCCATTCGCACAAGATACGCCGATGTTATATGAAGCGCCACGGTATTCTGCTTCAGAGAGCGGCATGGGTGGGTATATATAGGCTCCGTATGCGTGTTCCTTTCCCTTGACGAAAGATGGGTCGAGGACTGGGACGGTCTCTTCCTGGTAAGTCAGTATAGAACCTTCGGCTCGCGGGCCAACGTGTACTTGCCGATTATTCTTATTTTTGCTTCCCGGATCCTCGTATCCATTAAAGTTTCGCACGGCTGTATCACAACTCGAAATGGATCAGGACTGGGTGAGGAGGTATGTAGTAAGGAGGAACTGAACGATGGTCTTGACCCGTAGCTGAGACTTTCTCTTGTACTCCAGCTTGTATTTGCCTCGTAGCCACTGGAATTAAAGCTAGTTGTATTGAAACTACTGGACATTGCTGGAATATCGACTGAGCCATAGTCACTGCCGGGTTGCTTGTGATCTCTGATAAAACAGGGCGTTGGCTTTCGTGGTGACTTATGCGGTGGCCTCTGAGGCGACTTCGCAGGTGTCTTCTGAGACTTGGTCTGTCTTTTTTGCCTTAGTGATCGTGTGGGCACGATTTCGTCTGTTGACAACACGCATAATTGCTGCAATTGCTTTGAAGGAGGTGATTTTATTTTGGTGTTGTCGAACGTGATAGCTGGTTGTAATGAAGGTTTACGGCGGAGTGTCTTGTCCTTAGGCATAGTGAAGAGACTGTTCGCGAGTGGACATTCGATCTGCGCGTATTTGGTGGTGAGGAAAGTTTATAGGTAGCTTGCAGTCTGAAGATCTGATAGTCGTTTTTGGAAAAGTCGTGTTAGTGGGTTGGATCCGACTGCAACCGAAACCGTGGAAGTAAAAGAGGCGGGCCCAAAGTGATTCGACCCTTCCACACCCGAGACATTCACCAATGTGACGGGTGGTGCGATTGCGCCGGAGCATATGAAGTTTGTCGTTATTAATGGTTCGTGGCGTTAACACGCATGCCTTGCGCAGATGGAGTCAGACTTCCCTGGGCAAAGACACGATAACACACAATCTACAACTATTAAGCACACAGACATCTTATGATCTTTGATGGCATACCTTGCTTGTCTATCCAGACGACAATTGCACTGACGTTGAATCTCACACCCAAATCAAGACCAGGCTTAGGCTGCATCGCCTGCCAAACTGGATATAAATCGAACAAGAGGAAGAACAGACGTGGAGGCAATGAGTACTGTCACAAAGAAGTTCATAGACAGACTTGAAAACGCGGCAAGCCAGATGTAAGAATGAGCGCCGTGGCAAAGGCAGATGATGTCGCGCCAGTGCGATTCCTCGCGTCATATAATCATCTGTACAATTGGATATTAGCTTCGTGGAGACCGAGTCGCAGGTGTCGCAAGAGCAAGCTTCAAGCTTTGGCTGGCAAAAGACAAGGGCGCATTGGAGAGATGTCTACTGCAGAACACACAAAGGTTGTATCCGAAGAGCGATGTGATTGTAAGCGAGACATAAGAACTACGATACTTACATACTTCTCTCCATTCCTGCTTGTATTGGAACATCAAAAGTCCCAATGCCACAATGAAGGCATCGAGTAGGCTGCTGGACACATCACCTGCTCCAGGATTTACGATCCCAGTCTCGCCTCTAAACAGTTGTATGCAGTGAGTCCGCGTTCGATATGCATGCAAAGAGATCTCAAGCGTATCTCTATAAACCACAGCCAAGCCAAATACCACTAGAATGTAAAGAGCGGGGAGACATAACGGGATGGAGGAACGGCTTCATTCAGGCGGCAGTGTGAGAGCTCCAAAACATGCCAGAAAATCGACATAAAGCTGAAGTGACATCGCATAGCCTGTGCTATGATACAGAGGTACTCCTACCGTGACGAGCGCAGAACCATAGGTGTCGACGTCCGGAAACGTAGTGAGGGATGCCGCAGTTTCTTGAGTTCGAGTAAAAGGTATGGTATCTTGTCAGAATACTGTTCAAGCAGGATGCGATAGGAGAGATATCGTCTCCGGGGGACTTCCAGTACCTGTTACTTACGAAGGATCTTGCGTGAAGCGGCGCCTAGATTTGTCCTTGACCCGGGGGGATGATAGGTCGTCTCTAGTGGCATCTCGAGCAACCGAGATACGCCTAGTCTTCGAAAGGTATCTTGTCTCATCTAAGGGTATGCCTTCATCCTCACATCCAAGCTCTTCGGCGCAGGTTTTGGTCAATGCTCACTTGGGTGTGCCCAATAGTAGATGAAAGCCACGCGTGATGAATGCAGTGAAAGATATCATGATGACAAAACCGATCACTTCCATACACCAGCTCCATACAAGTATCTTTGGACTCTAAGGAGTGTGTACAGAAGACCTAAATGAGACGAGGGGAAGTGATTGATGGAGAAGTGGATCTATCGTAGAGCAGAACTAACATGGTTATAATTTTTGTCGCATGCTGTATTAGAAGTTGAAAAGTCTATGACAGTAACCTCACTAAACACCACTAGGCGTTTGGTCTTGCGGTTTTCGATCAACCATTGGGAAAGTATGGGCGAAAGTATAAGCGGAACAGAGCGCTTAAAGACAAGCTACCGAGGCAGCAAAGACACAGAACTGATGGTGATGTGGCTTTCAACCCGAAGCATGCAGCTGAAGAGCACTACAAGCCATGCTTTAACGGCTCTTTGCCATGATGACTTTGCCACTTGGTTGATACTTTGATGATATGGATGTATCAATTCGACCTTTGTGTTCAAGACTCACGAGACTTGTTGCCGCATATACATCACTGAATAGAAAAGGTAGACAATTCTCTTTCGGCCACGTTGCACGGAATCGTGGTAATTAGCTTTTAGTCAGATCCTTCCGCGTGGCCCGGCTGCGACTCATGTTCACGTGGGGCGATGCAGGATACGTAAGGAGCTTAGCATATCCGACCTACAGCATTCCTTCTATACTCTTGAGACTGGAACGTAACTTCAGTCATCGTATAGGTCTTCACTGTTGCATTCCACAGTGCTAGGATCAGACTCTTGAGAGGGTACACGGACGAGAGCATAAAATCGTGTGCGAGTCTTCTCCATCACATCCACAACGAAGTCTTCAGCCAGAACACCTTTCTGCCAACTGAAGGCAAGCGACAAACATCCATCCCCCCCAGTCACGGCACCCACAGCAAGTGCTGGTCCTGCTACATTGCCACTCTGACTGAACGTTATCCGCTCTATGTGAGGATCTTCCCCGCCCAAATGATGATCATGTGATCTCGCGTCATCCTTGTATGCCCCTAGATTGGAGACTTCAAATGTGGCATCTCTTTGACTGCCTAACTTATTCAGTAGGTATTTTTGATAATCCGGTACGTAACGGAGGAGTCCCACAGCGCTGTTGTTGCCACGTGCTGCGACTGCATCTTCGATTGCTTTTCTTGACGCACGGGCCCTCTTCCAAGACATTCCTTCTGTTGATAATTCGGACTTTTGATAGACTTCGTTCCACGCGGTGACCCAAACCCCAAACGACCTCTGAGTGACGTCAGGAATGAAGCTCCGAAGAGACATGGCGCCGTTGCTTCGGATGTTTGTGTAATTAGCCGGCATGATCTCCAGTATGACCTCAGCGACCAGCGTTTGAAGAGCAGCTGTGACAGTCGTCCCATTCTCTTTACACAAACTTCGAAAGGCTTCAGAGCTAGATTTCGACAGACCTGTCGTGCGGACAGTGGTTTCTAGTGGCTTCTGTATAACGCCTCCGTACCAGAAGCCCTTCTCAAATTTTTTCCATAACAAGCCCTCGAGGATGACTCCTAGCAGGTATATCCAGGAGATGCTTAATGGTAGAAAGTCCTCGACGGCAGAGAGTAAAGGTTTCTTGGGGCTAGTGAGCACAGTCTGCACCACACTCCCCTTTGAATGATGTTTGCTGTCGAGTAGAGCAGCGAGCAATTCTCTGTGAAAGGCTAATCCAGAAGTACCATCGCCAATAGCATGGTGAAACACGAAAAACGCCGTGAAGTTCCTTGGCACTGCAGTGTCAGATGCTATCAAGAGTCTCCATAGGGGTCCATGATCCGGAAAGTCTTGATTATGCTGTTTCTCTAAAATTTCCCTCAGTTGCTGATCAGTCATGCCATGATAGTTGACGGTAGTCGTCGTTGATTCGAAGATGACACACTCCTCCAAAGCGACTTGGGTCAGTCTAGCAAAGACTGGGGTGGCAGTTCTTCCATTGAGAATTTCCACAGAGAGGTTCGCGTGCTCTGCAATGATTGTTGCACATGCTCTATAGATGTGGTGTTGTAATGGCAATTGGTAGGACTGTGGCAGTACATACTCAGCTCCGACAATGACATTAGTGTAGAAGCCGAGATCGTGGCGAGCTGTCGAGTACTTCTCGAGAAGTCCTACGCGTCGCGTCAATCAACTAAAGGAGCCTTGCAACCTCGGAGCCATTGACAAGCTTACCCACGGAACGTACGATCTCTGAAGATGCCATATTGTCGCTTTTGTCATATCGTAACTCTTAGTGCGATTCGGGAATATGCTGTGTTAGATACATGGATCGCACGAGCTAAAAAGGCCTCGGGGTGTCAGCGGCGTCAGCAGGTACTTAGGTAGTTCCCAACATGCCGTGATTCAACAGTCAGCAGCACAGCCCGCCGTAAGGAAGATGTGGCTGTCTGCCCTGGCGGAGAGAAGTGTGCTCTTCACAAACTATCGAATTTTGCACCAAGACCTATGTTGTTCAGTAGGATGCACATCTTGAAAGGGGCCAAGGGCTGTTCTTGCTATGTCGGCATAAATGACAAAAAACGCATCGGCATAGTCCGTAATTGGCCCATATGCCTACATTCAGACAGTTGAACAGTTCTACATGTCAAGGAAAGCAGAGATATGTATGACGGATATTTAATATAGCAACAGTAGTTAATTCAGCGGTTTAAGACGTCGCCTAGGGTGCAGGTCGCTTAGTCATGCATGCTCAGAGGCCCATCATACTGCCACCTCACCTGTAAGGTTATCCCTTTTCGCGCGTTCTCCCCTGCCAACCGTGTCGAAAGTTACTAGACCACTCGCAACGAAGGAGACGCACGTCCAGCGTCAGCTCCTCTCCCACTCTCGAATTGTTCGGCATCCGCCGTAGTGTTACATCTATTCGCTAAGCAGGGCAGACTGTGCGAGACCTCAACATGGCGCTCGCTTCCAAGACCGAGTCTCAAAAAGTGTTTGAGAAGCTGAAGGTCAAGCCGGCAAACAAGGTACGTCCCTCGCAATGTCTGAAATACGATTTACTTACGTCTGCAGATATGTTTCGACTGCGGCGCAAAGAACCCTACATGGTCCTCGGTCCCATTCGGCATCTACCTCTGTCTTGATTGCTCCGCGAATCACCGCAACTTGGGCGTCCATATCTCCTTCGTGCGGTCAACGAATTTAGATAGTACGGTCGGGCAGCTGTAGTGCATAGAATATAACTAACCCTGCAATACAGTCTGGCAATGGGATCAGCTTCGAATCATGAAGGTTGGTGGCAATGAATCCGCCACGAAATACTTCCAGACACACGGTGGCGGCGCCGCTCTCGCCAGCAAAGATCCAAAGATGAAGTACACTTCGACGGCTGCTACAAAATATAAAGAGGAGCTAGCTAGGCGAGTTACTGCAGATGCGAAATTGTATGTTATACCATCTATAAGCACTCGAAACGTCACTGATCAATACAGATATCCCGGCCCAGTCGTGATAACTGACATTCCGGATCCTGACTCTGAGGGTGCGAGCACACCAGCAGAGAACGAAGATGATTTCTTTTCATCATGGGACAAGCCCACAATTAAACGTCCTAGCAACCCTCCTTCGCGTACTGGTACACCCGCTCAAGGTAGCCGTACAGCATCACCATTTCTTAATGCGCCTGCGAACGGCAGCGGTCCCAATCGCCCTAAATCGCCTCTTGTGTCCGCAGAAAGCTCAACGCCATCCGCCAAAGCTATTCCTTCTGCCGCCATACGGAAGCCGGCAGGCGTGTCTGCTAATCGACCAAAGACAAACATCCTGGGTGCAAAGAAGAAAGGCCTGGGTGCAAAGAAGGTCGTGGCCTCGGACGGTCTGGATTTTGAGGAAGCAGAGAAGAAAGCGAAGGAGGAAGCGGAACGGATAGCAAAACTTGGCTATGATCCGGATGCAGAGGCGGCCGAGGCCACAGTCAAGTCGTCCGTCGTCGAATCTTCCTCCATCATTAGCCCTACACCAGTGAGTCCGGTGCGTGGAGGTAGTAAGAGTAGCGACGTGGAGAATCTTGGTGTGCAGATACAGAGGCTTGGGTTTGGACAGACTGCTGGGGGCGCGAAGACGGCTGCCCCGAAGAAGATGGGGTTTGGTGCTGTGGGCAAGCCACAGACTGGTGTGTAACACGTGTCGCACATGCTGGCCCGATGCTGATAAAAATCCACCTAGATGATTCTGAGCGCTTCGCTCGCGAGAAGTTCGGTACACAAAAAGGCATCTCGTCAGACGAGTTCTTCGGTCGTGGCATGCATGATCCGTCCGCTGCAAACGAAGCCAAGTCCCGCCTACAAGGATTCGAAGGTGCTACGTCGATCAGTAGCAACGCGTACTTCGGACGGCCTGAGGACGAAGGCCCAGTCGATGACTATGGCGACCTAGAAGGCGCTGCGAAGGATTTTGTGCGTAAGTTTGGCATCACTGCGGGAGATGATCTGGACAATCTAACAGCAATGCTTGGAGAGGGTGCAACGCGGTTGCAAGGAGCCATTAGGACGTATCTGAACAGCTAGGGGATGGCATCGCAAGGTTTGAGAATGAATGGATCATATTGAGTATCATCCGCTGTGATGCAAGGTGCTCCGAGGTGTGACAAAGGCGTTGGGAGAGTCTGCCAGTGTTGAGAATACGAGTGACAATACGATGGATACGTCCAATGGCTTCTGACATTGATGTCATTGTCCACAACATAGTATGGGTGGCCCGGCCGCTCCGGCCGACCGAGAGACAGATCATAATATATTATGTATGTTTGTGGGTTCCAAGCATACGCATACGGACTGCCGACACAACGTTTTAATCTCGTGGTAGCGGGAACATATCTAGCTGTCTGCCTAATGCATCCCTCCTAGAATCATTCACCCCCGCATAGGCACAGACTGATATGACCTGACGTTCTTACCCCCGTCTCCTTGGCCACCTGTATGAACTGCAGGAGCACATGGTCAAAGCTTGGTTGCCCCACAGACGCTGAAACCTTAATTGATACCTCAACGGCAAGACATATCAACAGATGAATACATGGTAGATATTCGAGCCATTCACTGGCTATTCAAGCCATTCGCTGGCTGTTCAAGCTCGAGCTGCACCAACGGAACATTTGCAGTGACATCCCATAGTCTAGTATGTGCTAGAAGGTACTAGACATCAAGCGGAGTATATCTCGAGGTTAGCGCAGGCGGCACAGGAGCCGTTACCGTTGTGACTATCCATTGCAATCCCACTTAGGTTCCCACCGTCGAGCTAGCTAATAGTCTAGGTTCTCGGACTTCAACGGACGCTTCAATTAGAGCGTCGAGAGCAACATAGGGAATGCTTTCCTGCCGATCAGGAATGCCTCTGAGCGGTCTCCATTGGTTTTCGAGTTATTAGTCTGTATGGTTCTCAGGCCATCAGTTCACTAGTATTCAAAGCGAAGCTATATGGGCGAGACATGAGCGTTGCAACATGCAGATCTCACAATTATAGTTCAACTATAAAATACATGTCGTGGTTTGGCGCCGGGACGTCAAGTGTTCCGACGGCGGACCTCTCCTTTTGTTCCCAAAACATATATCATATTAGACTGTAGCGCTGTCCCTATAAAGACCCTAAATGGCTATCTTCTGATATCTATGCTCATCTCACTCGCGCAACAACCTTGACTTTCACGAAACTGCGTACGAAGATGTGGACCACTGCTGGGGCTTCCCTTGCCGGCGTGTCAATCGCCTTTGGGGCGATGTCACTCATTGCGGTGTTGCTGAGGACTTATGTTCGAATATTCTTTGTGAAAGCATTCGGGGTGGATGATTATCTCATGGTCGTGGCTCTGGTACGTGTTATTCGTCTTGTAGCGTGACAATGCGGTGGAGAAACTGACTGATAGTCCTATGCAGTTGACTTGCATATGGTACACAACAGGTGGAGTGCTGGCTGTACATTTTGGAATTGGATCGCCAATGGTTACTCTCTCGCCAGAGAATCTGATGCAAATATTCAAGGTGAGTCAGTTTTCACTCCGGTTCGGGACGAGGAAGACTAATACGAGGCAGGTATTTTGGAACTGCTATCTCGCGTTCTGTCTATCTGCGACGCTTGCAAAGATATCCATTGGGTTCTTCCTCCTCCGTATCACTGTCTACAAGTATCACGGATCATACTCTGGGCCACTATGACATTTACCGGCCTGATAGGAACAGCTGTCTTGTTCATTACGTGTTTTCAATGTTCGCCGGTAAGTTACTTCTGGAATAGAATGCTACCCGGACACTTGAACGGAGGAACCTGTCTACCAAACAAGACTATTGCCAACGTCTCATATCTTTACGCCGCCACTTCAGCCACTTGCGACATCATCTTCTGTGTTATCGCTATAGCACTCGTGTGTAAACTCAAGATGAAGCGCAAGGCGAAGGTGTCACTCATACCTATTCTATGTCTGGGAGCTGTGTAAGTGCTGAAATTATTCTATGGCTAACTATCAATATGCTCCCCTTTTCTGACATATTTACCAGTGCTAGTATCGCCGCAATCGTTCGCATACCATACATCAAGGGTGTATATGCCCCAGATTTCACAGGTAAATGCTCAATCACTTTTATCTTGGCGATACCCCATCACTCATTGCTCTCTGGTTGGCACGGTAAACTTTGCCATCTGGGCTCTCATCGAACCCGGACTCGCCATCACATCGGGGAGCCTCACCACACTACGCCCATTGTTACGTCAATTCAGCATCTGGAAAACAACCCGCGGTGCCTCAGACCGCACGCCGAACACAACTAAATCACTAGATAAGAGCACTAGAAGAGCGGCATTTGGCTGGTCGAAATTGTCCGTCCCAGCAAGAGATGCAGAGAGCGGTGGGATGTCGCTTGAGGACCGCAACAGTAGTGTAGGCAATAGCATGGGCTCCACGATCGATGATAAAGGTCGCTGGCGCGTCCAGGTGCAGCAGGATTTTCAAATCACCGATACGACAAGTGACGAGATAGCCTTGACACATGAGACCCCGACGGACCCCGATACCGAGCAGTGGAAGTGATCGGACCAACAGTTCTGAGTCGGCATCCTTTTAACCCAAATCCAGTCTATCCTTACTGTTTAATGTATGAGCGTAGACCTTTAACCGGTCGCGTCCGCTTATCCACTCAAAACAGAGCTATTGATCGCATCTTTATTCATGTTATGAGATCTTGGACATCTTGATATTGCCGCTGAATGCAACATACCCAGTCGTTTGAGTTTATACGTCTTCTGTGGCATCTTAGTCTCATTTTCCACTGTCGTGTCTACAACCCTAAGGCTGGACTGAAGAAGATATTGATAAGAATGCGCATATTTAAGACTAATAAGAAGAACATTTCAGATACGACGTTGCAAGATTCTATTAACTTATGCAGAGAAAGCCCCCATGTACTGAGATAGCTATGTTGTCAAAGATGTGGCATTTGCAATCGTACTTCTTCTCATGTCTCGAATGCCGAAAATCCTCGCGATTATAGGGGGATACACTAATTAGCGGCAACCAGTATACGTGACTCGAGGCCAATTTCATTGAAAGCTACAATGAAATTGGAGGGGCGGAAATGCGGTGAATATTAGATGGTTCGTTTTAGTATCCGCAGTTGAAAGGGCAAAGGGCGGCTACAGTAGTGGTACTCTATCGCATCTTATTCAAACTTTCGAGAGAATACAATGATATGCTCGCGGTAAAAAGGTGCCTAATCACAATATTCTCTTCACAGAGAAAGGATTTGGTGTGAACACCCCATCTGGATCCATCTTACCTCTCAATCTTCCGAGCTTCTCATACTTCTCCTTGTCATCATAATAGCACTGCCACACATTCTCCATATTCCAGTCTCCATAGCTACCCCACAGCACTCGCTTATCAACCTTGCTAAACTTCCCATTTGCACCAATACCCTCGACGTCATTCTTGTGCTGCCAAGATTCTGCAGCCTCTCTGGCTATCTCATTGTCCTCGTGGAAACAGTCAATCGTTGCACAAACCGTTGTGTCGCGCCAGCTGTGACTCGTACCATTATTTGCATTAACGCGGAACTGCGATTTCGCGCCACCGAAGACCTGAATTTGGGATACGAAATGCAGACTGTTGCTGTTGAAGCCGACGATGGCATCGAAACGGCTCGCGACCCAGTCGGACCATCCGGTCTTCGAAAGGGTAGTCGAGGAGGTGAGGTACGTGCGTTTGACGTAAGGCGTATTGAACTCGCGATGCTTCTTAAAGAGCCACATTTGGACAATCTTGGACATAGGCGCCTTGACGACTTCGTTGAGCCCGAATATGGGAATTCCAAAGTGGCCTTTGAGGATGCGATCGAACCATGCCTGTTCTTTGGTACCGAAGGTGTCGTTGGGAGATGTAGGAACCCACTGAGCGTAAATGACAATCATTGGTTTGTAGATGTCCAACTCAGGCACTTTGAGTTCCGGAATGTCAGGAAGACTGTGGCCACCCAGAGACGCACCGAGATCAAGGCAATTGATGCCAAGGTCAAAATTACGGCTGAATGCATCGTCTTCCGCCATCTCGACTAGGATGTCGAGGACACGCTTGAGGTTTGCATGACTGTAATTGTATATGGCCTTCATGCCACGGGAGCCCTTGTATTGTTCGTCGTGGAAAGGAGTGAATGTAATATGGGTCAACACCCCAAAGTTGCCCGGGCTACCGCCTAGGAGGGCATAGAACATATCTGGGTTGCTTTCTTTCGTGACCTCGAGCTCTGTACCGTCATGCGTAATGATCTCAAGAGCCTTGACTGTATCTGCAAAGAGTCCGAAGCTACGTCCGAGCATGCCCCATCCACCTGACAATATTAGCACATATATTCTAGAACTGACAGGGACCACTTTTACCAGATTGCGCGTGTCCCCCAAGCATCACGTAAATACACTGCCCAGTCGGCACAAACAGATTATTATCGGCTAGTTTCTCAAGAAAGTCCCCAAGTGCCCAGCTGACGCTTACGCGAACGAGATTTTTATCTTTTGAATACGTGAACTCATTCTTGAATGTTTCAGAAACATCCAGCAAGATATTTCTTCCCCCGGTGGAGGAGGCGCCGCTGTATTGATGGCCACCAGTCCTGATCGAAACCGCAAGCTTCTGTTCCGTTGCATACGCGAGGACACGCTTGATATCGTTGATACTCTGAGGCTTCAGAATCGATGTGGGATTCCTATTAGGTAATCCCCGTTACTTAGATCTTATTCAGCGTTAGGCTGGTATATATAGCACTTAGATAGACTTAGTAGACACGTTAATCAATTTTACCACGTCTAATTTACTAAAGTTTCTATATCTAGTAGCTGAAATCTAGTTTTTATCCTCCTAGGGAGGCTATCGCTTCGGCGATGCCTCCTAAGGGGTAGTTATCTTACCCCTTATATAAGGGAACTCGTTAAAAACATTTAACGCTTACGACGAACTATATAACTTACTAGATAATAATAAGAACGAACCTAGAGTCTAACACGAAAACCCTTCTCTAAAGCAATATATTCTAATTTCAGAGATAGAAATTACGGTAATAAAGCTTAACGACTAAATTCAATAGTCCTAGCGGATAGTAATATATTATAAAATAAGCTAAAAGAGTCACGTAAGAAAAATATATATTAACTCCCTCTATGTCCGTGATAGATATTCTAGCTACTCGTTAATATAAATTAACGCCGTAATTCTAACTTAGAAGATAATTATCACCCTAGAAAACGCCTTCCTTACCTAAGCTATATTAAGATATCTTCCTTATAGAACCCCGATCGCGATAGCGACGTCCCTATAGAAGGAGCTAATACTCCCTAAAATATAGGACACGCCCGTAATAAGCCGTTAAACACCATTAACGCGCTTACCGCGCTCCTTAATACTAACCTAGCTATAAGGGACCTTACTAGAGACGCTCGTACGTTAGTACTAATTAATATATATACTAATTAACTCGAGTTATAAATGAGGAACGACTATATTACTCGAGAAGAACTAGTAAGAGACTTTAATAACCTCCTTCTTAATAACCCTAACTAGATAAGCCTAGCTATACTAGTAAGAAGAGGCCGTATTCTACTCCGAGTACCCGATATATACTTAGAAGAAACTAGAGATAACGCCTACGAGGAATAGTACTTATTAATCTAGAAATAGATTTATACCGTGGAATTAGTAGAGCGCTAGGAAGCTATACCTAAGTTCGAGAAACTATAAATCTACGGGATATATATATTAAAGTATATCCACACCCTTTAGCATAGCCTTATAGAAGCCTATAGACGTAATAACCTAGGTAGTCCTTAAATACTAGATGGCTTTCTAGACGTTATACGTTAAATATATATCTTATAAAGAGTAAAGACGTGGGATAGTAGTCTAATAGTTCATAGAGAGATATAGGAATGTATTTATGGAGTAATCTTACTCTTATACGAGGTTAATTCCTAACGAGTAGGAATCGGTTTATATGGTCTACTTATATAGTAATATCGCTTAACTTAGCTAACTTAACCTAGCTCTAGCCACTACGTGGCTATATAGATTAGAATAGTCTATATAGATCTATTATAGTTCCCGTCCTAATAATATCCTTCTTCTTTTTATACTTCGCCCTAAAGCACTTAAGTATATATAATTCTAAGTCTCTATAATCTATTATATATCTATATATCCGTAACTAAGTTCCTATAACGTTATAACTATCCTTAATATAGGTAAACTCGAGATTCTAGTTCACTTTTACTAGTTTATATACGCGCTTATCCCTTACTTCGTGGCTACTACCTAGGATATATAATTACTACTTTAGTCGAGTATATATTTAGCTTCGCTCGCCTTTAATTTTATTCTCTAGTATATCCACCTCGCTCTTAAGGTAAGTCGTTAATTTATATACTATCTTCCCTAGTTTAGGTTTAGAAGGGTCTATAGTGGTCTATTCTTATTAGAACCGGTTCTATGTGACCTATTCGCGTTATTACGGTTACTAATTTAGCTTCATTAATCGCCGTTAAGGGTAGACGAATATTCCTTCCTTAGATCTCTAGCTAATGTATATATATAGATATCTAATACTAGTCCTATCTCTAAGCCTACCTCCTCCTCTCGTAAGACTCGCTCTAAAGGTATCGTCTCCTCCCCGGCCACGCCAGCTAAGAAGTCTATCTATTATAGTAGTATAAAGGCGCGCTCTAAGTCGGAGAAGAGAGTAGCTAGGGCTACTACTATTACTACCTCTATTACTAATATGGCTACTAGTCGCTCTAATCTAGGTAATCCTAGTACTAAACTTATAGATAAAGTAGTCGTAGGTTCTTCTCTCGCTCTAAAGCGTATACCGTCTACTCTACCTCCTCTAGAGGATGAAGAAGATCTCGTTATAGACAATAATTACGAGCCCTCGCGCTTACCCACGCCGCCGCCTTGCCGCTCTTCCTTCCGGTCTAATATAGACTAATTTAGTTACTCTAGGTCCTTTTAGGACCTTAATATTTACTCTAAACCCTAGCCTACTAATAATAAGGCCTAGGTCGCCGAGGATACTAAACGTAGTTATAGTTTACGCTATAGGAAAACGGCGAACTACGGTTTAATATACTATAAGTATATTAAGGGCTATACGGCCGGCTCTAAATATCTCTTTCGCTCTAACTCTAGTATTAGCTACTACTCTACTAAC